TTCTACAAAACTGCACATTACAATCTACGAAGAAGGGACCGTCCCTATCAAAGAAATCACAGCACTAAACCGTTCTACCGAAAGAGCCCGTCTACAAACACGAAGTGGTGTGATTTAGCGTCGTCATTCTACAAAACTGCACATCATCTACGAGCAGGGACACTCGTTCCTACAGAAAGAAATCATATCACTAAACCGTTCTACAGGAGATGCCCACTCTACAACAGAAAAGAGGTGTCAAATTAAAGTCCACTACTCTACACATAAACTGCACATATCTATCGAAGAGGGGACCGTTCCTACAGACAGAAAAGAAATCATATCACTAAACCGTTCTACTATGGGGGGTCCGGTCTAGGAGAAAACTAGAGGAATGTAGGTCGTAGTGACTCCGTAAAATCTGCACACTATCGACGGACGAGGGACCGTTCCGACATAAGGAAACGCATATCACTAAACCTTGTCTACAATAAGAGCCTGGTCTACACACCAACGTGTAATCAGATCATGCTTCACTACAACTACAAGTGATCTACGTCCACAGCAACTGTTTTTTCTACAAGAAATCTCAGATCACTCTACACTGTTATACAAAAAAGACATAGCCTTCAAGCACATCAAATCACTTCAGTGACGTCTCCTCGCACCACTACACATAATCTACTACAGAGGAACCGTTGCTACGCAAGAATCATATCACTTCGCTGTTCTGCAGGACAACCATACTCTACATTTAAATCACTACAAGGTACTCCCATCATCTCTTCCGTGACTGTCCATACTCTACGTCCACTTGGACTGTTTCTACAAAGGAATCATCCATTACCTGAGGTCATGCGAGAGAGAGTAGGGCCTACACCTGAAACTGCCCGACATATGGTGGGTCACACTTCTAACTTAACACATTCTACGCCGTTTCCAACGTTTCAGACACAACGAATCCTCTATCACCACTTACTCTGAGAGCAGTAGTTACGGTCTTTTCCTCGTGTTACGACAAACATCTACGTCAACATAATCTGTTCCTACAGAATAATCACATCAGTCCGCCTCTACCGTACAACACTTGTCTACGTTACATACGGCACAGTCACAGACACTTCTCTCTCTCTCACCCACATCCGTCTGACTCGTTGCTCATGTCCACATAGAAATTATTCTACACTACATACCTTGCCTATATAACATGCATCCAACCCCCTTCCCTGTTCAACCTTACGCGCCCTACATCAACCAACCTTTTCTCCACACACAACATCCCTGCTTATTTTTATTTTGTGTTTGTTATAGTTTGTATCTTTCAGTTTCTAACTTCGCTTCTTCAATGCCCACATCAACAACAAACATATCAATACACTCGTGAAAACACCGGCTGTCTATTCCACTACTCTCCAAATCTCCTTTCCAGCATTACCAAACGAGTATGTGTCGATACATCAATACCATAAAGAAATGCATTTCCATCTTCATACATTACTTACACTGCATACTGGGATATTCACAAAAATAATCACTCGGCATCAGAACAGATGTATAACATTCCTTTAGGACACTTCAAAAATCACATTGCGTTAAACTTTTCATTCTCACTATAATCTCTTTCTTTAATGTTACATTTATTTCCAGTATTACTATTAATAGTGTCGCTGTCTTGTCGATTATTCGTAGGTTTCCTTCGCTTTTCGCACAAAGAACTGGACTTCACGCGCACATGTAATACACACGCCTACAAAATCCTGTCTTCTTACTTAGTAAATCATTACACTGAAACTATGTATCAGTCAGAGTTTTTGGTTTTCACGGACGGAATGTTGCATGATGTCTTGTGATAATAGTATCAAACTATTAGTTTGGATCTTAACACAATTTATTATTGGACGGATTTTAGACATCATTTTATCTTTGAATGATATAAAATAACAATAATAAACTACAAATTGTCATTGCAGTCGGTGTTGTCGTTTCTGTCTACTTGTAATTACATCCATCTGTTGAACAAGTATATACGCAGGTACGATAAGTTAACGTGTCTCCCGGTTGTCTCTCACCCGTAATTGGGCAATTTGAATTGTCCAGATCGAGTGATGAACATAAACGCTGCGTGTTCCAATACATCGACAAGATAATTTCATTCTTTCATACCATCTTTCTCGACTGTTTCATTTATTTTTCATTCCTGCAACCAATCTTCGCAAACAACTAAAACATTACACTCATGCATGTATCATTCCTTTCTTCGTCCTTTCATTTTTCTCCATTTCTTCACAACCCAATTGTCTGATTTGTTATTAAACTACTGCGAATATGTAATTAATTATTTATTTCAGTTAGTACTAGTAGTGATATAAAATAGTCAATAATTCTATTAATTGTAGTCATTAACTAACGACTTGTCTTATTAAATCGATAAGTACACCTCCATATCTCCCGGTTGTTTTTATACAATGCTGCGCTCACCTACACATTCTCACACTGTAGGGTTTCACAGCTCCACCGTAAGAGAACCTTCTTCACATTTCCAATCTTCGGCAGATGAACATTGATTCGCATCCATCCCATACTCAGATCAGAAATGAAATCCAATCTCTTTAGGAGCACGTGTAGTACTACTGTTTCATACATAGGATAGTTGTAAAGTAATGAGGATGAGGGTACAGCAAGCACCTGCGAAAGGGTTAGAAGTAGTAGGAAAGATGGCACAGTCACCACGGGGAGATGACACTGCAAGTTTATGTGAATAGGCAGGAAAAAGCAGGTATTAATCCTGACACTTCCATAATATTATACACACGCACACACAATCATTCATTCTTATTGTGAATCACCATATTACTCATTACATATTCCCCCATACCTATTGTGATGTTATTTTATTTTTACAGCATTAAATAATATATATTTCAACGATTTTTTACCCTCAAATCGACCAACATGTTTGATACAATATTTTGCACCAAATACACCATCACATGACTTTGGTTGCATATCTATATCATCCGTAAGAAATTCATTGCACTGAAAGATGTTCGTGTTATTTGTGCTTGCACACTGGTAACAATTAATTCCTTTAGCTATTAAAAAATAAATAAAATAATATAATAACAAAAATATATCAAATTAATTATAAATTTAACATAATATTCAAAATAATTTATATGAAACATTGTTTAGAATATAATGAATGGACTTTATGGTTATTACTCTCAATTATTATTTTAATCAATTTAATTATCGTTCAAATGAGTATCAACTTAAATATTAATATTAATCAATAGGTCATTCATTAAAATCACAACTGCGACCTATTTTATGCCTTATACTGCCACATTATTCTTCGTGTTGCAATGACCGCACCCAATGACGCTTTCATTAATTTAACAACATTTCTTACACTTCAATTAGCACAAATTCTCACCTGGTACGAAATAAAACGTAAAAAGGCCGATGAAAATGAAAATTTTTTTAGTAACGTTCTTGGGACCCATTTCTTTATCTAATTTACACTTTTGCAGTATTTTTCTTCGTTCAGAGGCGTTGTATAGAGAGCTCGCGGGTAAAAACACCTGCTTCAAGTATATAGGAAGTTTACAAAGTGCGGGCTTTAACAGATCCTATGGAGTTGGTGCTGTAGTAACGTATGACTGCTCGACAAAGTGGGAACCTGGCTAAACAATAAATACTCAAGTCACGTCACAACACTATCTCCCAAAGTGGGGATTCTATGCTCACTTCACTTGCCACAAAACCCTTACTCATTTTTATTTATTCCATTTGTGAATATGTATACCTAAAAAATAAATACACAGCTCACTGTCATTATTATTCAACTAATGTTCACGTGTCAAAATGATTATAAAATAATTCGATCAATATTGATCATACTCTTTTTATATTATTTCATTTAATCATTTTCAATTATCTTCTTTTTTTGTTTATTATAATATGAATCTTGTACTTTATGATATATTTTTATAGTTATTGATGAGAATCACTAAATATCATTAATACATAGTTATATTTTTTTAATCAATTATACACATTATATTGTGCGTTTCAATAGTAGACAAAATTTTGTGTATCTAACGGAATTTTATCAATTAAAGTACGATTATTAGAATACAGATAGATGTTGTAATTACATTATGTTTTTGAACTATGTAACTCTTTTATCTGAGACTACAAACAACGGTATCAATTCCAGTGCATTGATTTTTCATTCTTGATTTTTTTACATCTTAAAGTTATAAAGATTATCATATACTATACAATTTTATACGTCTACATATGATAATAAATTTTTTATGCAATAAACGTATATGATTTTAATCAAATATAACTATTTTTCTAAACGCTTCCTGAGTATTAACATATTATTAACGCATAATAAATAATATGATGAAAAATTAGGATATCACAGCATGGGTACATAAATTCAAAATTATCAATTAAAATAATTTAGACATATAATTATGAAAAAATACCCGTTTTTTACTTACATCATAAATATTACTTAGCTACCATTCAATTTATGCAAATTAATCATGTATACAATCCATCAAGAATTATTCCTTTATATTTTTTGTAATTAACTTGTATTACTTCACATGTTCATGTTTATTTCATCTCGATAATTTATATTTTACATTTTTATCTCCGGTCAAAGTTATTTTTTTTCGTGTAAAACTCTCGCCACCTTGTTTAGATGATTCTCCAACTTCTGGCTTAGTCTTTGAAATACTTTCTGATATTTTAATTCTCTTAGTACCCTTCTTCAAAACTGATGTTTGTTCCCCAATAAACTCTACAATTGTCTTCTTTCCTCGATTACTAGTCATTCGATTCACTTGATGATGACGATGGTGATAAATGTCGCCGACCAAGTAGCGCAATCCGGTTGTCTTAAGCACAGTCGCCTTTAAACCGATTCGAGATGATCTGATTTTAGAAACTGGGCCATTTTCGACATTATTCAAATGACGTTGATTCTTCACAAACTTACAATTTGCTGATAGTGGCCTGGCACTTCTCTTCCCGCTTTTGATTCGCTTCACAGCACTATACAGTGATGACGTATGACAAACTATTCGTGATTTTGATGGGATATCTCTTTGCTTTTGACTACTGCCTGATTCCTCGGATGGTAAAGTATTTATAGTAGTTGTCACAATATCTTCAAAATATGACGAATCTTTAGGACCAATTTCATGACTTGACAAACCCTGTATGACAGTAAAAATAATTAATTCATTGGAAGAGAATTATTCAAAGCCTTAATGACACTATCCTCAAAAAAATTAAAATTGACTTTTAACTTACCAAACGATTAAAAATGGTTTTTTAACTAGACATAAAATTAAACTATTATTACTTTAGGTGATTCGATCTAAAAGCCAGTGCATCAGGATCATTTAGGATAACAAGCAGGAGCAAACAAATAAAATGAAAAAAGCAAGTTATTTAGTGTGTCAAAAGACTTTGAATTTTATTAACATAGATGAAGATACTATTCAACTATACTATAATTTTAAAATCATGTACATATATGTAGATAGAGCTATATCCTTCATTTATTCGTTCACTATCTACTAAGGAATCACTAGACAAAATTTATTATATTTATTGTAAATAAATATTATCGTTTGAATTACGTTTTTTTTTTCTTTTTAATTTGACTATGGAAGTAGAGTAGAACACAGGTAACATTAGATTAATAATTAAATGCCGTTAAATCAGTCATTTGTCATCAATATTTAAATTCAACAAATTTCAATAAACTCTTTAAACTGGTTAATTATAAAAATCTTCTAGTCATGAAATCACACGTGTTAGCACGTTCTTTACAATATACTCTTATGTATGAAAACTATAAATTTATTGATAATGTAACATAATTTAATCTATTAATTACAATAAATAATCGAATTTATCGTCCTATTTTTAAAATAAAATAATTATTTATAAAAAAAAATACACCTATTTCATTAGAATCTATAAGCAAATTAATACATGTAATAATAATAATAATTGAAATATTCATCTGTGCACATTGTAAATAAGAATTATATAAAAAAAGCATAAGCTAAATCAATAAATATTGTATATACATACAAAACATAGATATCACTATTATTCAAGACAGCGAACACTGTCTTATTTCAATGTTATTGATCAAGTTTTCAGTGCTTTCATTTACCTTCAATCGTGGCTTGTTGATAGTACTTGTGACATTGTTCACATAAGTCAACTTCAAATAAGATTTTACACCCCTTAAAGAACGATACTGACTATTTGGAATACGACTATTTGGATTACTATTCGTTAGGTCAAGAATTGATGGTCCTAACGCTGCTCCAACCTGTAATACACACATCATGTCATACTAAGAGTTAAAAACGATTTAAAATACATATTTAATTAATTGTTACTTTCTAACCTCCTCGAATACAGTGGGTGTATATTTCGGTGGTACAAACATCTGTCCTTGTGATTTTACTAAAGTATCTCGCACTCTTGCAGGAATCGTATTAACTAGACGACCCGAATTATAATTACATTCTAGAGTATAACTTCTCACCAACCCCGTCATTTTGTAGACTGCTACCCGACCAGAACCTTCTCTTGACATTCCATCTCTCTTATCACTATTTTACAATAAAATCAATATTTTAATTAACAATTGAAAAATTGAAGAAAAAATATTCCCCATTTATCAAATATTACTCACATGAGATACATATTTTTTTCTGTAAAATTGCACGAAGTAAAATGGAAATTACAATTATTGATCGACATTAATTTTGGAAGCAACATACACATTATCGTGTCATCTGAATTATCAAAGTAATTTCCATACATAAAGATTCCTTTTTTTGTAGCGTGGCCATGCAAATCAATGTATAAAAATAGGCCTGAATCTTCTGAACTTTTTGATAGTTTACTTGCATTAGAAGAAATGTCCAAAGTATTTTTCTTTCCTACATTTTCGGAATATTCGTCTGATTTATCCTGAATTTCTTCTATATTTTCATTATCAGCTAGTATTAAAATAATTTTTATTATTAAATATTTATAATTTTATTTAAAATATGATAGCTTACTTGATGAGATCAGTTCAATATCTTTCTTTACATTTACACAAGTTGAATTTAATTGTTCAAGACATTTATTCTTATCCGTTGATAACTTTTGAAGCTCGCTAATATTGTCCTCTTTTTCTTCATAAAAATAGTGATAATACCTAATAAAAAGAATACTAATAAAAATACTATAAAGTTTTGAAGATACGTAAAATTTTAGTGTCATATATGATTTTGACAATCAATAAACCTTATCAAACTTCGTGCAGCAAAAATAGTCGGATGGTCTGTGATAGAAGGATTGAGATATACTCGATTAAGATTAACACCTCGAGTATCCATTCGATAATGGCCTCGTGCAACACCATCCGGATTAAGCATTGGTATTAATTTGAACACATAAATACGGCGGAGTATAATAGCTATTGGATCTTCATTATTTAATAGAAAATTTAAAAAGCCATTGAACACAAAGCTGGACGGTGTTTCTCCTGGATGAACTCTAGCACTTACAAATACAACTCTCTTCCCACGAAATTTAAACGGTCTTTCTACTTCACATTCTGGAAACATTCCTTTTAATCTAGCCTCTCTTTCTGTTGAAATATTATGATGAGAACTGATTGTCAACACTTCAAGTCTTCTTCCTTCTAATGAATTTATAGCACATTCCCTATGATAATAAATAGCATCTGCACTTGTTACATTTTGTTTAGACATTCTTGCGTCAATTTTATTTAAATAATATTGAAGGTCTCCATACGTAAAAGGATACGTAAAAGCAACATATAAAATGGATTTCAAATTATCTGGAGTACGAATGGTGAATGATATTGTAAATTCATTGCCTTTCTGGTCCATCTATATATAAAATTATAAAATTATGTATATATATATATATATATAAGAAACATACTATAATAAAAATCTCATACTTTTCATTTTATAAAAAAATAAATAATTGAATAATGAAAAAAATTAATAATGAGTATGTCACAAATTTAAACTTACGGTATAAGTCGGTTTATCACGTATTCGTTCCCAGTGAGGATGACCTGGAATAACTTTAAAAACAGGACACATTCCTTGACTAAACATTTTTGATTGTCTGTTAAGATTAACCACATTGATTTTAATACAAGCTCCTGGGACCGGAGCTTTGATACCAAAGTAAAACCATGTCCTACTATCATTTTGAAACTCTGTTCCATGACAATCATGTTTCGTCCATACATTAAATTCATAATCAAATAATTGTTCTGTAATTCTAGATGGTCCGATGCCGATATTACAACCATCTACAGAATAAAATTATTTTCAAGTTATTATAAACAAAAAAAATGATGATAATTGAGAAATCAAATTATGTATAAATTACCACGTTCTATCGTATCTGAAGCTGAAACCGACTCAACTCTGGCCAAATTAGCAGAGTCAAAATTGTTGTAAAATAAAAAATTAGCACACGTGATGCCTTGAGCCGTAGTTGCCATGGCGAATATTTTTTTTATGTGTCTAGTCTCTATAAAAATATCAATATCACTGTATTAAGAAAGCTCTAAAAAGAATCGATTAAACAAAATGTCTTGTGTCATTTTTGTATATCGTGGATATTGCGACAATCAATAGATGAAAGAAATAATCAATGTCAATTGTGTCGTGTTACACGATGAAATTTCAAGGTGTCATAACATAACAATCAATTAACAAGAATCATTATTAGCTTCGTTAGATAGATATCATTTTCCAATGATATCAATAAATATAAATACTATTTATGTATACACGTATAGTTAAATAAACTATAACAAACCTCTTGATTAATCAACATCATTCAAATTCTTTTGTCTGTTTTTAACCTCTATAATGTATAATTTCCTTTCTTAATCTCAATATTCGAGGCTTCATTTTGGCTAGAAGCATAGCTAAATCTATTGTAAAGTTTCACATATTACGCCCTTATTTTTAAAGATATTACAAAGTACTATCTTTCTATTATAATTAATAAGAAACTACGATTATTAGAAAATTCCGTTAATAAGTAATTCTTAAACTCTCAATTATGTACTGACTGACATGACGAATAAAAACATTTATATGTGTAATGGCTGAAATCGTTCGTAGCGCTCCCTTTAAAAATTGATAAACATTAAATTTCGAAATTTTTAGATAAAATGTTTCTATTATTTATTTATCATGAATAGTGTTAATTATATGTAATTTTTAATTGAAAGTATTTATTACAAACACATTTTAAAGAATTTTATCAAAAACGTATTTTATATAATGTTTATTGGAATTACTTTATTTTTAAAATCTTTCATAATTTATCATCAAATTCAAAGTAAGTTAATTACACCATTAAAAATTTCAAAATACATTATAACATCTATAATTATTAATTGTGTTTAATGAAAAAATATTATCTTTAGTTTTTATATGTCAATAATTTGATAAAAAATTTCTAAAAATTCCTTCCATTAGTCATATAGATATAAAAATAATTATAATACTAATAATGAATACAAAAAAAAATATCAAATATTAAAAAGCATGAAAATTATTTAAATAAGAAATACTTGATTATCTGCAAGCATTACTTGATTTGCGTCAGTCATTCGATGTAATGCTGCTAAAATTTCTCCCAAAGAAAATTCAGGACTATGTTGTTTCTTTACAAACTCACAAACTTTTTCAAGAGATAATGACTGAACACGTTGATGCTGAAAAAGTTTATGAAGTGAGGAGCGGAATAATTTAAATCTATCTTCCGATATTTCAGTTGGTGTAGAGTCTACTTCCATTGGGGTATCTTCTATTGGCGTTTCTTCAATAGTTGACATTTGTGAACGAGTTACTCTGCGAACCGCTTCATCAATATGCTCATCATTATCACTATCATACTCATAAGGATCATTAGTTTCTTCTTGGCTATCTTTTTTACTTCGTTTCTTCTTTCTATTTTGATCTTCAATTTCTCCATCAGTACTTGCTTCACTTTCATTCCTTCGACGTTTCTTCTTTTCTTTCTCAAGTACTCGTTTGAAATATGCATATTGTACTAATTCAATTGCTGCATATGCATCTTCCACTGTAACATTTTTAGACAATCGAGCTTTTGCATGAGCCGTTGACAATCGAATAAGAGTTTCTAATGTACGAGCAGTTATTGGTTGAGTTCTTGCTACATCCGATTCCATCATATCTTCAGATCTAAGACGTGAGTATTCATCAGAAATAGTTTTACTGGCTTCTTCTGTTAATTTTGGCTTCATGCATTTAGCAATATGAATATACTTTCTCATAAAATTAATACTCAAAATTTGTTCAGTTTTAGAACGAGATTGACCATGAAGTAAAGGATCGTATTTTTCATAAATTGGATTTTCAGATTCCTCTGCTTCAACTACATCTGGATTTTTAGTTGTAAGCATATCCAAATTAGTATTTAATGGCAATGCTTCACCATCTTGCTCATTTGGACTTCGATATCGGTGTATTCTAACGACGTGATCACTAATAATGTGATCAATATCTGGATCAACAATATCTAAAATAACAAACAATAAATCAAAACGAGAAAGTAGTGAATCTTGAAGACCAATATTTTCCATAGGAGTTTTATACTGATCATATCTTCCATAAACAGGATTAGCAGCTGCTAGAACGGAGCAACGAGCGTTCAAACTAGCATGGATTCCAGCTTTAGCAATAGTTACTCTTCCCTGTTCCATAACTTCATGAATTGCTGTTCTATCAATATCTGACATTTTATCAAATTCATCTATACAAATAACACCACGATCTGCTAAAACCATAGCACCAGCTTCTAATCTTCTTTCACCGGTTTCTTGATCGGCTGTCACTGCTGCTGTCAAACCAACACCTGAAGATCCTCGACCTGTTGTTGGAATAGCTCTAGGTGCAGTACATAATACATAACGTAGTAATTGAGATTTTGCAACTGATGGATCTCCTATCAATAAAATGTTTATATCTCCCCTTAATCTTGTTCCATTCGGAAGAATTTTCTCTACACCTCCAAGAAGAAGACATAATATAGCTTTTTTTATGTATTCATGTCCATGAATTGAAGGTGCAAGTGATCTGCTAAGAAGTTCGAAAATATTTTTTCGTGGATTATGTTTGGCTAATTTTTTACACATCGCTACATCGTCATGTGAAATATCTAACGTTGCTTCTTTACTGAGTTGAGTAATATTATTTGCAATTAATACGGTTCTGTAATAAAATAATTACAATTATAATTAGAAATTAACAATAAATATCGCTAAGTAATATTATTACCTAAAAGTTCCATTTGTGTAGCCATTCTGTTTTCCAGGAAGACATCTGTAATTACCGACAATTTGAACTCTATCACCAGGCTTGCATAAATCAACCAAATCATTGTCACAAATAATGTCTACACTTCTTGGTAACTGTCCGGCTGGTGCTTTCTCTGGCATTTCTTGAATAGAAATTGTTTGATGATCTTTGTAAGTAGACAATCCAAACTCAGTTTCTAATGGATTACCATCAGCATCCTAGAATAATACATCTTTATGAGTAAATTTTTAATGAAAAATCTCATTTATGATATTTGTTGAAAAAACAAATATATACAGTAGTTGGATAAACTGATGATCCTGGAAATGCATCAAATGAAGTCAAGTCTGTATAAGCTCTTTCCATAATAGATTTTGTAGCGTTACAGTAGTGTACACTCCTCACAATCTTTGGTCTAACCAATGAGCCTATTGAATAATGAATAAAAAATCAGTTTAATTATAATTGAAATATTAAATGTTTTTTCATACTTTATAAATTTATAATTACATTTTGTGACAATCCCTTCAACACAAACAAGATTGGACAAGAATCTAGAAGTAAGTGTTCTCGGTGTAACATGTCTATTACCAAAACTTCCTTCAAAACCCACAAAAAATTCAACACTTCCTTTTGCGTAATCTGTATCAATTGTAGTGATATACTGTTTTAGAGCATTTTGAAATGCCATTTGTTCTTCAAATGAATTTTCCAATAGCCTTTAAAATTTAAAATAATAATCAAAAAAATATATATATATATATATATATGTAAATCAATAAACATGTACTTTTGAAGAAATAGTCGAACAAATATAAATATAAATTTTTAAAAAATTTACCCCATGGCACGAGTAGGATTTTTACGACGTAAATCATTGATATTAACATAAAGTCGATATTTATTTTCATCAATCATAGTTTTTACCATATTACTGTAAATACCTTGATCTTCCTAGGAAATTAAAAATAAAAATGTAAGGTTAGAAAATGTAAAAAATTCATTTAAGTCATTAAATATTTACCCCATCATCTAGAAAGTCAAGGTACTCCCTTTCCATATCTTTTATTCGCTGATCAGTATCCATTATTTATTTTTATATGATTTTTTACTGATTAATTATAATAAAAACGACAATTGAAACACAAACCGACGACGACAAATCTTCGAAACCGCTAAACTACTGTATATTTTGGCGGGAAAGAAGTTGTGAATTAGTCATGTATGTGACTATATGGAGTCACATTCTATACATGTAACAGTTTTAAATTTAAACTTTTTTTAAGTTCATATTTATATATAAAAATTGAAAATAATAATAATAATAATAACAAAAGTTATTTTTATTCATCTTTTTAGGACCTCAAAAATTATTTAATTTTATAAAGTTTAGAAACAAGTCAAATTTTTACCAACTAAAGATAACTGTAATACAAATTAGCGCCAATTTCCTGAAAAATTTAAAATAAGAACTTTTATTTATTAATAAATCTATAATACTTTTAACCATATTTTTTGAAGAATATTAAAAAAATATTTTTATTCACAAACAATTCTGTACGTTACAAAAATTCTGTAGGTTGTATTTGCAATTTTTAATTATTAAATTATATCAGTAACAAATTTTCTTTACATTACTTCATTTTCAATAAATTTGTACATAACAATATGTCCACTACGTTTGGGTAGAGGATATTGGCTATCAAATAATTCCACTACCAAGTAATAATGTTTATCTAGAAAAGTTTTAATCCGTGGCACTAAATTATCATACATTATTAAAATTCGTGGCACTGTAGAATTATTGTAATTTTTATTAATCCATTTCATAGGGTCCGCAAAAAATTGATCAGTTTCATCTTGATAATTTTCTTCATTGTTGAAATTTGGTTCACAAGTAAGAAATCTCATTGGAACATTAATATGTAAATGACTATAAAACGGTGTGGAATGACAAGGTGTCATAAACATAATATCCACATTAGACTGTCCATTAACATGGACTTCATTCCTCAAATGTTTCATAATATTCAGTGTTCCCTTCTGATGAACCATTCCAAAGTACAATGCAACAATACAATTGAATGAAATTATCAATAATACGACATATTTCTTGACTGATACTGGTATTGTGAAGATATCAGGATAGACTGTACATGTAGAAACGTAAATTATCAATGGTAATAATGGTAATATAAATCGAAATTCTTTGTGTTGAAGTAAAGAGTAAATACTGAGTGTCCAGATAATAGTAATAAGACAAACCATTTGTCGTGGCATTAATTTTCGGTGTTTAATCACTTGAGGAATAGCTATCGGCAAACTTAATACTGTAGGTCCAAGTAGAACTAGTAATGCTGAAGTAAAATACCAATGAAATGGTTCCACACCGTAATGACCAGCAATCGGAGTTAAAATGTTTATTTTGAAAAATCTCCAAGGTGTAAATACGAATTCTCCATAGCAAAAACTGTCAATTACAATTGAGTAGCACAAAGTACACAAACCAATAGATAAATAATCTTTTATTAATTTCAACATACTATCGTTGCTTGAAATAATATGATAAATGCATAAAGGAATCCAAATAATTGCAGCAGTAGGTCTTATTATACACATCAATCCAACAAGCCAAAGGTATTTAGAACCATGAATTGTTCTTCTTTTCCATGGAAATACTGATAAGGCAATCACAGTTAATGAACTCTCTAAAGAATTCGTTAGAGTCCTTGTAGCACAATAATACCAATACCAATTAAATAATTGAAGTATGACTGAAAAATCATTTCGAGTCCATACATAGAATCTGTGGTCTGAATATCCACTAATAATAGCTTGAGCAATTCTCGGTAAATAAATTAATAATTCAGTGTAATCTAGTCTGAGAATGGCAAGGATTTTGTAGATAACAGATATGAGAAATGGACAAATATAGCTTCGTATCTTTTCTCGCCATTCCCATGTTAGATAACCATATCCAAAAGCTAGACGATGAGCTACTTCCAATGATTGCCAATATTCATCAGGAACATGATAAGTTTGAACTATTGCTACCGAAATTATCCTCCAGAATATCATAAATATCATAATATACCAATCAAAATCTTTTGCAAAACCCAGATTCATCTTGAAACTGTAATTGACACTTTTTAATTTTAATATTAACTTGCTCACTGAATGATCACACTTTACAGTATGGTAAAATTTTCACATTTCTTCAGACTTTATTGAATTAAGAATTCAAACTTTATCAAATTTTGATTTTTTGTTGTTCATTACAATTACATTGTGAAGGTTATATTTGTTTATATAAATCCTGTTGGCAGCAATTATTTTAATTGAGGAATTATTCGGGTATGGCGCACATTCTCCAGTGTATAAATTTCCGGCTACAAATTTTTATTGAGAACCCTCGAATGAATTGTGCATAGGTAATGAAAATATTAGATGGAAATTACATTTTGAAAATATTATTTGAACAAGGCTCGAAATTGATTATAAATTTGGTTATTAGATGACAATCGGTACATTTCCAAAGTGTAGCTTTCATCTAACATTTCTATTACTTATGCCTAACTCATTTGAAGGTTCTCAATAAAAATTTGTATTGAGAAACTGATACACTGAGAAATATGCGCCATACCCTAATCGGAACATTCTTTGAGGTTATTAAAAACAAAACTCTTTTTCAGTTTGACTCTTTTTAAGAATTAACATGAGTTTTGCTGGAATTTTCACTAAATACTCTAGGTAATTTGTTTATTTATTTAATTTTAAAATATTTTTACACAATTTATCAATATAAATAATTCTATCAATTCTTAGGATGTTATTTAATCCTATTCAACAATATACAACCAGAAATTTATTCACCGATGTCAATCCTCTGGCATTTAGAATGACAGATATACTCTTGTAAGTAATGAAATATTTGATAAACTATTTTGTCGAAAAAAAATTATTTCATTTTCTTGTTCATGTACGTTTTCAATTTAGAGGTGAACCGTTGAAAAAGAAAAAAAGATTAGATCCTCAAGTTATTAGAAGAAGGGAAGATCGTAAATTGAAAAAAATTACCAAAGCAATTCGTCGTCTTGAGAAGCATGCAAGAAAACTTAAACCCATTGATGAGTGTGAAATTCCATTCAAATTAATAGATGAAAAAGAGTAAATAAAATTAGCTGATATTCCTGAAATATCCCTAATTCATTATTTGATTAATGTAATTTATTTATTGTAGAAAAAGAACTCGTCCACCTCCAAATTTGTCTAACGAAGTGATAGATCGGAGAGCATTACTCCAAAAAGAATGGGCTAATTACAAGCGAATCCAAAGTATTTCTGACATGAATACAATAAACAGTATGATTGAATCACAACAAAAAGCTCTAGATGAGCTACGTAATGAGTCAGAAGAGCTTTATCAAGCGGCAATAAAATTAGATATTTCTTCAATGCTACCATGTGTATCCGAGGGCCCAGGAGTCTTATACACTACACCTATTCCTAAGTATTTTACTCCAGATGGTGAATACACGGACATTACTAAGAGATATGAGGGTCAAGATGAATTAGAAGAACGACTAAAAAAACAGCGTGAAGATAATGTAGCTAATGTACAATCAGCTTGAATAAGAATATTCTTTATACTTTAAATAAACAAGTATTTAATCCTTTTGTTTTATTACCATCAATTTATAGTTTCGAAGTGATAGAAATAAATATTTGTGTAATAACTATACTTTATTGATAGAGTGTTTGATAATTTTTTAATTTCCAATAAAGATGTGGAAATTTATAAAAATATCTTCGATGAGTAGTTGACATGGATCATTTTCGACCTTAATCACAAAAAATTAACATATTAATGAATATTCTCTCGCAGGGTGTAAAAATATCAATCTTAGGCTAAAATGATGCTGTCGTAATCGTATAGATGATTAGAAGAATATTTAAATCTTGTCTATATTATTTTCGTCAAATTTTTCCATGCTCATTTTACCATTAATTGGCCATTTGCGAGAGTATAAAATGATCGGTAAATTATAATCTACCAAGCACTTGCAGACATTGTTGTCTATTTCATAGCTTCACTAATAGAATTTTTCTCAACATAGTTGAGGTAAGTTCAATAAGTTTTAATATACATGAAAAACTAAACCTAAAGATCAACATTAAATCAGTTTTTTTGATTTTATTCTAGAGCTCCCTATAATTAAAATGGTCAAAATTCAATTACTAATTGTATCTCTGATGTTATTTGTCTATCTGCCACAGTAAGTATTATCATCTTGGTAAAAAATATCTAAATATATAAAAATCACATTAAATCTTTTATTTTACAAGTAATATTGATAAAAATTCTTTATCCAGTACGATTACAAATGAATTATTTTCTGAAGACAAATTTTTCCAACATTTCAGGACCAGTTTTTCAATAATAAGAATTCGTGAATCTGAAAGACGTATTGAATGTCAAGGTTGCCGGAATGAATGTGATAAATGTGAATATGGAGTTGCGGTTTCAGAACAATGTGGTGTCTTAGAATGCCGAAAGGTTTTATCAAATTTTTAAATTTTATTTTAAGACATAACTAAATTAAACATTTTTAATAAGCCATAATTTTATTAAAATCATCAGGGACCAGATGAGCCCTGTGGTGGAGAGAATAATGCTGGAGTATGTGGAGACGGAATGATCTGTCTATGTGAACGATGTGTTGGATGTAGTGTTGATACTCTTCAATGCTCAAAATCTAATTTCAACCAACCTTGCCTGCCAGGAGCTGAGAGCAGTCACGACATACGATTTTTAGATTTTGGAGATCGGCGTCATCGGCTTGCAATGGTGAAGTAGAGTCTACAGCATTTTCTTTCGGCTATAAAACTGTTTTAAAATGTTCACTCGTAAAATTATTAATGTTGTATTTTCTTCTGTCTTTAGTATTATGTAAAAAAACTTTCATGTATCTATAATATATGTGTTGTCAAAATATACGAATATTCTGATTAAAAGTTCAAAATGCTCGTTCATTTTAACAGTAATCTAAAGTATCAGTTTTAAAAAAAAATGAAAAATTTTTCAAATCAATTTGAGTGATGAGCTTATTCGAATTAACATAATATATTTCCGAGTACAATTCTTTACAAAATTTTTTTCGATTTAATTTATATAATTTTTATTTATCGTTTGGAAATTTGTTTATCATCATTACGATTATCATAAACTTCGTTTTTATCTTCCTTATTTTCATGTATTTTTCCTGGATTTTCAGACGAATCAACATTAATAGAAATATTGTGTACAGGAAAAACAATACAGTCATGAAATTCTCCAGTGTGCTCCAATAATCCACTTTCGTCAGTACCTGTTTTTTCGCGTGAAATTGTTGTAGCTCTTTGCATTGCATTTTCTCGATAGAGTCGTTTTCTTGTTTGATAATTTCGAAAATTGTTCTGTATTGTTTTAGCAGCAGTGTCTTGTAATTTCATTATATCCTGCTCTTCAGGTTCAGGAATTAATTCTTCTTTCTTTTCTCCTGACTGTCATATTGACAACAGAAGTAGAATTAAATTATATACGAAACAATAAATGGAAAAATTGTTAAAAAGAATTAGATTTAATTTATTTTTACTTATTCATTTATAAATACATACTTACCATAGCGTGGTCTTTTTCAATGACATTTGGAGACTCCTCTACTTTTTTATTTTTACGCATTTGGTGACGTGTTAAAAACCCTCTGATAACTTCAATAAAAGAATAAAATATATTAATAATTGTACATAAAAATTTATAGAATAAAATTCAATTGTATACCAACATTTTTTTCATAATTAACAACTATACCTGCTTGAATTCTAATAACAGAATCTTCCATACGATGTAATTCTAATGATTCTTGGCTCGTCAATAAAGTCTCTAAAACAATAGAGTCTTCAATAAAAGGATCGATTTTTTGTAAATCAACTAGCACTAATGCATGTTCTTGTTGGTATTGATCAGGTTCCAAGTTTTTTTCATCACTTATTATTACAGTTTGCTGTTCTTTCAACTTGAGTTTATTATCAGTATTACTTTTATCGTACTCTTCAATTAATTCTTCTTTTCTCTCTTTATTTTCTTCTATCTTTACTTCGTGATGAGATTCATCAACTGTTTGTATAGTGAAATTCAATTCTGGTGACAAAAGCCGAGGCATAAAGACATAGTTTTCTGATACAGAAATGTCATCTTGAAAATCTTTAGGGTTTTTAAATTCATTACTGTCATCTTTAGGTTTATCAACATCATATGAATTGTCCAATTTATAAGTACCTCTCTCTAGGTTTTGAATTTCACAGCTACCCTGATCTTCTTTTGGTTGTTCAATTTCTGATCTGTTTCTAGTTAAAAAATGTGGCGCATCATCATTTATCATATCATTTGTGATAACATAGGAACTTTTAGCTTCAATATAGGTAGCGGAAATTTCATCACTATCTCTAGAATCATTTAAATTCAATGTAGGTGTTTCCGTGATAGAATTAGTGCGATCAATGTCATCATCTGGATGTAAATCACATTCATCTTCTGTCATTTTGAACGACGAAACAGTAATGTCTTGTAAAGAATCTAAATTTAATTCTGGTACATATGGTCTCACAGGATCATCTAAAGAAAGTAAACTCATACCGTCAGTGACTGTTGTCTCTTTAGCTTCATTAGAAGATTCAACATTATCCGTTGATTTACTTACACTAGGTCCAGTTTCAGTTTTTTCGTAAATCACTGGTGATTCCAATGGGCCATCTGTTGGACTTGTTTCCTTTGTCGTTGACGATGCTTCACTATCAAGTTCATTTTCTGTCCCATAATTCTCATTTTCACTTTTTGTTACTGTTATCTCATCTACTTTCTTATTTACTTTCTCCTCCTCTATTTTTTCCTCATCCATTATTAAGTTATTCTCAAGTATTGGCTTTTCTTTTATAAACAATTCTTTTTCTTCGTCTGTTATCTCTTCCAGTATAACTTTACTTTCTTCTCTAAACTCATCCGATATATCTTCTTCATTTATGCTTTGAAGATTTTGCTTGTGAAATTTAATTTTATCGTTTGCCATAAGTGCTGCTAATTCAAATGCAGGTACTAGATCTTTCATTTCATCAGACACTAATGTTGTATTTACAACTTCTCCGATCAAGGAACTAAGAGGGTCTTCTAAACAATGATTATGTATAGGCTCTTCAATTATATTGCCTGTATCTGGAATGATAACAGTGGTCACATTATATGGAATCTCAAATAAAGGGCTTTCAACCGATGTTAACATATAACATAATTGTTGAGGCGTTTCTTTACGAGAATTATCATTAATTTCTGTAATGATTATTCCTTTTTCAGATGCATCATCAGTATCTGGCATATCATCATGTTGCTCATCAGTTTTTAATGCATCATCAGTGTCTTGAATATTGTTTTGTTGCTCATCAATTTTTAATGCATCTTTATTTTTAACACCTCTATTTTCAGTGTGTTTTTGTTCATTAACTTCATTATTTTTGATAGGACTATTGTCCGGAGTAGGTAATAAAACAGGAAGAGTTAAATCTTGTTTTACTTTTGCAGATTTAATTGAATTTGTAGGTGAGGCAGAAATACTTGTGACCGGTGGAAGGGGTGGAAAAGCTGAAGATCCATTTTTAGTAGCATTTTTCTGAGAATTCAAAGAATTAACTATTGATGTTGACTGTACAGATGGTAAATAAATATTATTACTATGTTCATTGTCTTTCAGATTTAGATTTTTGAAATTCGTTGCTTCGGAAAAAATTATTAGAAATTCCCAACAGAAGATGGTGAGTTTCATTTAACATAGCTTCAAGCTTATCAGAAGCATTGCAGTAGTTAGCATAATTATAAACAGCATCTGCAGATCGTGGTCGTGATTGTGAGTTAAGTTTTGGAAAACACGAAGAGATATCTTTGAGTAAATTATGTGTTTCATTTAAACGTGTTTCGAGAATATTTGGATTATTCAAAGTATTGTTTTGGAATTCTTTGATCGATTCTTTATTTTGTTGCATATTTAGCTTATTGCTTTTTAATTCTTCAACTTTTTTATTAATAATTTGAGTGTTATTATCTATCACACTTTGAACTACTTCGGTGTAATTCATCGATTGTAATTCATCCAGACTTGTAGTTTGTGCAAATTTATCAACTACATAGCTTTTGACCTTGTCCATGCTATCGGGCTTTACTACTATGACCTTGTTATTTTTCGATACTCCAGTTTTACTTTCTTGTGTAGAAATTCTGTTTTTCTTTAATTTATGTTTTATGTCTTTACGAACAGCAGTAATTCCTGAAAAAACTTTTGAAGAACGTGTTTTGGTCTCTCTACTATGAACTTTTTTACGTTTATGTTTCAAATAATCTTCATTTTTGTGCAATTTATTGGAGTTTGTGTATCTCGATGATACTTTATCATGAAAATAATTATTAGAATCACTAACGTCTTTATAATAATCCTTCAAATCTAGATAAACTGATGAATTAGGACAAACATTCCATTGTTGATCCATTGATCTAGAGTATTGCTCTCTAAGTTGAAGTAATTTTTCAAAATGTTGAGCGGCAAATACATAAATATCTTCAGGATGATGTCTTATTATTTCTCTTGTTAGACCTTCAACTGCTGCTGCCAGACCCTGAGGTATCTTTGGAGTTATTAAATATCCAGCAGCTATTTTATCAATCTTTTCACCTGGTGGATACATGTTTTTAGTAACTATCGCCGTTTTTATAAGTATTTCTTGAAATAATAAATTAAAATGAAATAGTTCAATTGAAAAATGTAATAAATTATACTCCCAACTAGGAAATCAACCACTTCACAACGAACTCGATAGCTTTGTATTTAAGCAAAAGGAAAGAAGCGATCGATATTTTTCCATTGATTAATTCTGACTCCATGGTCACCACTACGTTTTATTACACAACAATGTACTGACATTGCGCGTAATGGTATAAAAAAGCCAAATCAAATTATTAATAAAACTGAAATATTGAATAAACATAGTTATGTTAAAATATAAAAGATATATTCTTACATAAAATATATTTACAAAATAACATACAAAAATGTTAAGAATTTTTGTATAAATGATTGAATTCTTCTTTGTTTAATGCAAATTGTCTTAAGTAATCAATTTCTAAAGGATGAAGTCGATTTTTTGGAGCAGGTATAACGAGAGAATGTAGAGGTAAACCTAAATCAATTGAGGAAATTTGCCTCAAATTGCAGGCGATAATCTGCTGGTCATTGGATCCAACTCTTGCTAAACCTACAGTTAGGCTATCCTCTACCAGAACTGTTTAATAATGGAGTAAAAAAAATTTATAATAAATTATAATATGAATTGTCTATTATTCATAAAAGGATGGTAATAAAAGTTACCTATTTCTTGTTTGTTATTTCTTCTTTCTTTTATAATACTAAGAAGTTGATTTGCAGCCTCAGCTACACTCATGAATTTTGGTGGCATATATTCTTTTTTTTTCTTCATTATGCTTTCCATTGTTGGTTCTTTAATTTTAATGTCTAATAAACATAATGTATGAAGTCCTCTTTTCATATTTTCAGAAAGTTTATCATAAAAACTAGCAGGTTTCCAACTATCTGTCCAATAAGGAATTGAAACAATTTCTCCAAATGAGTAAAGTTGTAGTCCACAACAGCCAACGGCATTTAATATTGATGCATTGTGAATTATTTGGACCGGAACATTTCTTTCTCGAGCTCTTAGAACTAGATCCGTATGTGTAGTTGCTCCAAAAGGATCACCAACTATTAATAATGCTATGTCTTTGTTTATAGCATTTGATAAAATGTCTTCAGCACCGCTTTCGATAAATTCTCGGTCTGCTAATTCAATTGAACGACCATAAAATTTCTCCTGGAAGATTTATTACTTTTAATAATCTTACACACTAAGCATTGTCATAGAACATACCAGTGCATCAGTTCCTACAGTCAATATTGAGGTATACGCCTCTAAATATATTTTATCACATTTTCTTATTATTTCGAATCCTTTCACTGTTACATCACTAGCATCACCAAGTCCAAGACCAATTAAATACAACATTTCGAATAATTTTGTGTGAAAAAATGTTCTCAATCAACGTGATACATCTAACCTCAATGAAACTGTAACAAAAAATGAATAAATTAGTATATGAAGTGGTTATTTTTCAAAAATTTATCATCTAATTGATTAACTAGCCTATTTGACATATCAACTATGTTAATTGACTAAATAAAATTCAATATTTATTTGAAAAAAAATCATTTTTTCGAAACCGTAATTAAATAAATCTGGAATTAAAGGAAAAGAATTTAAATTATTGAATTAAAAAAATTATTTATGGATATACTTTAAATCATAAATATTAAAATATTATTAATGGATAAAAAATTATTGTCAAGTTATCATGTTTATAAGAATCCAGCAGATGAAAATATTGGTACATAAATGTTTATTTCTTATAAGATTTATTGCATAATCACCTTAAATTTATAAATATAAATTAATGTAATTTTATTATTGATTCAAAATCTAAGCTGATTTAACCATAAACACAATAGCTATTGTTAATATTGTTCATAAAAGAAAAAACGTCCATAAATAATTACCGGCTTCTGAAAAAGATAAAAAAAAAGAATTTAACATTTACGTGTTGAAACATTTATCTGTATAAAAACTAAACTGTTTATTAAACTGTACAATTAATTCGTGTGTTTACAAATATAAGTTAATTTTAATAAATAAAATAAGCAATATTCACAAATGAAGTATAACCTTTTTTACACATTCATAATTTGCATTGTTAGTGTCATTAAAAATCTAAAAAAAATTATTATTATAATTTATTCTTTGAATTTTTTTTGATGTGTACAATCATTTAAAATTCCATTTCACATATATATTACATGTAATAAATTTGTACACATAAATTTAATGCATTATCCCTACCTGTTACGTCTGTATCCCCTCTATCATTAATGACAGCCAGATTGTTACTGTCAAATACTCCCGTATGTCGTCTATAATAGCAGAATTATGATTGGATAAAATTAATTTCTCTTTCCTCTCCCTTTAAAATTGAGCGAATCAGAAAAAATAGCAACATCACAATTTTTTTTATCGTAAATATGGTAAAATAAAGTAAATATGTATGTCATTCAGAAATATTTAAGTTGATTACTAAAATAAATTTTTCTTTAAATTTGAATTTATTCCAAACTTGAGATATTTTTTTGTTTTCTTCTATGTTAATTTTTTCTTGTCTTTCATCAATCAAAAAGAGAAAAGTCGCACACTGTACTGACGAGTGACGACACAAACAAAAGCAGTTTTACGCACATACATATAATTTGCAGAATCACATGCACTCAACTATCTGTCCAAAAAGTTTTAGGTTACAAGACTGTATCACATTTCAAGATTTCTCTTATAAATTCTTAAATTAATTAATATATATTAGAAAAAAGACATTATTGGTAGAGTAATCATGCTTATTATTATTTTAAAGCATAATTAAATATTAAACAACTATAGGATGAGATGATTTTGATTAGTTGCCGGCAGCCGACGTCTATTGATCGACCAAAAGATAATTATTTCCTTTCCGGATTTTATTGTACGATAAAATCACCTAATTAAATACTAAAATAATGACTTTTTAAGAAAAAATAATCACAAAATGTTGTACATTCAAGCTTTTGAATAAATAATTTCTGTAAATATTGATTAAATGAATATAAGGCGGTGCAGTTTGATAGACATTTTAAATAAAAATTTAAATTTCGCGGGCGCCTCCGTGAGACGGGCCCGGTGGACCCCGTGGCGCGTTGTTGTGATCTAACATGGCGGAGTGTAGTGTTGTGGCTGTTGAGTGTCTATGTCAATTTTAGAATAATATTGAAAGCAGGGTAGGCACGAATGACGATGTTTAACACATGTGAGTTCTCCGTAATAATTAAAAAATAAATCAGTCACTAGTAAATCTGTAAAATATTGCCGTGGGTGAGAAAAAAGTTTGATTTTTTTTTATCGTGCCGCGAGACCGCTCTGATTCGTACACAGCGGTGCGCAAAAGTTCCATCTTCGTGGGGTTATTCTTGTGGCCCTGAGATATAATTTTTTTACATTCTAACTTGTGTTTATTATTACGTAGGATCGTTATTATACAGTGTCTAATGACAATAGTAATAATTAATTAAAAAATAATTAATTTTTATATTGTTTCCCGCGCCTAATGAACATCATCTTCATCTTCTGTGTGTGGCATCTTACGACTGAAGCGGGCTTATGCAACAAGGCTGCATAAATACACAAACGTTGTAAACAAAAATCACAAGTTTAACAAAATATTTCGACGATAATTAAATTAATCATTTTAATTAAAACGTATCTAAATTAATATGTACACACGATTAATGACTAAAACCGGCTGTTAATCAGTACCGTTACTCAAAAACGAGTAGAGACCAGTCAAACGTGCACGCTCCTGTTTAAAAGCAACCTGGCAACGTCAAGTGTACTTACGTTTGTTCGCGAATGCTACGGTTGTCAGCTGTCAAAAAAAACTGTATCAGTGCCATTGGGTGACTGTGACACGGACTCAATGATAAACGTGAATTTTCTTGAATGTTATGACAAAATATCCTGCTTTTTTTTGGAATCTTTCAAAAATGCCATTCACGTAATATCGACAGAGATAGAATAGTAGTGATTTATTCATCATTTTTTTTTCAAATGATACAGTAAACAATGTTGTTCCGTCTTAAGAATGCTAATTGTGCCAGAATATTTATATAAATAAACATTTCTGGATCAATTTTAATTGTTACTTTTGATCCATTGAGTTTATATTATAAATAAATAGTTGTGTAGATAGTTCAATAGACACGTGATTAAAAGAATTACGTAGAAACAAAAATTTTAAACAATCTTGGAGTATTAGTCGTTTAAGTCAGAGGTTGGAGGGATGCTAATTTGTCAGTTATTAAAATAAAAGACAATTAAAGTGATTTTACCGTGCAAAATGACTGACACAAGAAGGAGAGTAAAGCTTTATGCTTTAAATGCTGATAGGCAATGGGATGATCGTGGTACTGGTCATGTATCATCTTCATATGTAGACAGACTCAAAGGAGTCTCATTATTAGTTAGAGCTGAAAGTGATGGATCCGTGTTACTTGAAAGTAAAATCCAACCAGATACTGCATATCAAAAACAACAGGTTAAAAGAAAAATTTTTTATTAAATAAATTTATGTTTCGTTAGTTTAATATAAATAACATGATTGAATTTGTATTTCAGGATACACTCATTGTTTGGTCGGAAGGAGATAATTTTGACTTAGCATTGAGTTTTCAAGAAAAAGCTGGATGTGATGAAATATGGGAAAAAATATGTCAAGTTCAAGGAAAAGATCCTTCAGTTGAAATAACTCAAGATATTGTTGAAGAATCTGAAGATGAACGTTTTGATGATATGTCAGATTCAGCACCACCAATTGAATTACCACCGTGTGAATTAAGTCGTCTTGAAGATATTAATGAATTAATTGGTAATTGTTTATCAACTCCCGTAAGAAAAGAAAAACTAGCAATGGCAATAGAATCAGAAGGATATATAAAGAAACTTTTAAATTTATTCCATACCTGTGAAGATTTAGAAAATATCGAGGGTTTACATCATTTATATGATATATTTAAAAATATTTTCTTATTGAACAAGAATGCTCTATTTGAAGTAATGTTCAGTGAAGATGTCATCTTTGATGTAGTTGGCTGTTTAGAATATGAACCTTCTTTACCACAGCCAAAAAGGCATAGAGAGTATCTACGTCAATTAGCGAGATTTAAACAAGCAATTCCTATAACAAATGCAGAATTATTAGCAAAAATTCATCAAACTTATCGTGTCCAATACATTCAAGATGTAGTTTTACCAACACCAAGTGTATTTGAAGATAATATGCTGAGTACGTTGAGTAGCTTTATTTTTTTCAATAAGGTTGAAATTGTTACCTTAATACAGGACGATGAGAGGTTTTTAACTGAATTATTTCGACAATTGACGGATGAAGCGACGTCCATTAGTAAACGTCGTGATTTAGTACTCTTTCTTAAAGAATTTTGTAATTTTTCTCAAAATCTACAGCCACAAGGTAAAGAAGCGTTTTATCGGACTCTTACAGCACTCGGTATTTTACCAGCCCTCGAAATCACTTTAGCAATAAATGATGCCCAAACTAAGACCGCCAGTATAGATATACTGACTTATATTGTAGAATATTCACCAAGTGTTGTTAGAGATTATACCCTCCAACAAATAAACAATACAGAACCGTGTCAAATGTTAATAAACGTCATTGTCGCTCAACTGGTTGGTGATACTGACCCAGAACTAGGTGGTGCTGTTCAACTTGCTGGTGTTCTTCGTCTTTTACTAGATCCAGAAAACATGTTGGCTTCTGTCAATAAATCCGAGAAGACTGACTTTCTCAATTATTTCTACAAGAACAGCATTGTCGATCTTATTGAGCCACTTTTAGCTAATACAATTGGAGATCGACCAGCAAGAGAAGATTATAGAACAGTTCAACTATTGGGCTTGATTTTAGAATTATTATCATTTTGCGTTGAACATCATATGTATCAAATTAAAAATTGTATTTTAAACAAAGATTTACTAAGAAGAATATTAATACTAATGAAGTCAACGCATACCTTTTTAGTTCTTTGTGCATTAAGGTTTATGCGAAAAATCATAGCACTCAAAGATGAATTTTATAATAGATACATCATTAAAGGAAACTTATTTGCACCAGTATTTGATGCATTCGTGAGAAATAATGGAAGATATAATCTTCTAGATTCTGCTATTCTCGAGATGTTTGAGTTTATTAAATTGGTAAAGTATTTCGTAACTTGATAACTAATAAGCCTATTAAAGTAGCTTATTAATTAATACTCTTTTAATGAACTTTTCTTTTTTCATAGGAGGATATAAAGTCACTATGTTCGCATGTCGTTGAAAATTTCTCCAAAGAATTGGAAGCAATTGATTATGTTCAAACGTTTAAGGCATTAAAATTGAGGTATGAACAGCATCAAGATAAACTTAAGGATCGTGATAGAGCAACTCTCGAAAGGTAAGTTAGTAATTAACTGGCCTATCAGATAAATGTTTTCATCATTTGATTAATATAATGTTATTACCAACAGTGTACCATCGATTCTGCGAAACAGTCGGTATCGACGGGACCAACGTCAACTTGATGAAGACGAAGAAATGTGGTTTAATGAAGAAGAAGATTTTGACGAAGGTGAGGCAGTTGTTCCAGCTGCTGCGGCTGATCTTGTTCCTCCAGCATCAGCTAAAAAGCAACCACAAAGTCCGAACTCTGGACTAAATCCAATTCCTGCTGACTCGAAGAGTCAACAGCAACAGACGGTATTGAATAACAACACTGCCAATAACACTTCGGCAACGCAACAGTCTCAAATTAACAATAGTTCTGCGGGAAATGAATCTTCAATCTCTGCTGGAATTATTGCAAGTTCTACCGACACTACAGATAAAGCTGGCTCGCCAGTTTTTAAAAAGGTAATTGGATAATAAATTAATCGAGAATATTTTATTTTATTTTCTTTAGTTTAATTAATGGGATAGAAAGCTCAATGAATGAATTATTTATTTATCGTAGGGCTTGGTGGATTACGAAGGTGATTCAGATGAAGAGGATGAGGACCCAGAGCTAAGTCCTTCACCTAAAAGGCAGCGGCTCTCATAGTAGATAAATCATCAAAGAGCAGTAAAAATGCTGCAATTATCGATCGCCGCGCTGTTCTTCCCCCTGTTAAACTCGCTCAATAATTGATTCAAGGTTTATTTGATGTATTGTTGTATACAGTGAGATGGATTAAAATACAATACCTTGATTGTTTACATGAAAATTCGAGTTTAGAATTCAATCAGGGGGATATATTTTTTAAATGTAGTGCATCGTGGACATTGACAAGCCTGTCTGTGCTAAATTTTGTACAGTTTACAAATAAAACGGAGCAGCTAAATGATGGACAAGAGAAATTAAGAACGATATGAATAAAGATATATATTATGGAATGGATTTCAATATGCAGATTGATAAAGGTAGCGTTGACAATGGATTTGTAAAAGAAATTTTGAACTTTCTTTAAAATTAAGATTAAGAATTTAATACATGCTATTGTATGACTATGTTGTGTAAAGATATAGTAAATTTGAGGAAAAAACAAACCATAGTTCATTCCAGTGGTTTTAGAATGCCCTAAATGCTGAAAGTAATGAAACGTCGTTTTTATTGAGAAACAACACTTTTGTAAAATAAAAAAAAATCTTTTAAAGATTCTATTTAACAACAAAAAGAACCGTATAAATTTTATTCTGAATGATTCAATATCAAGAATAAAATTAAAACAAAGATCTGTATTTTTTATCGCCCACTCATTATTACATAATACAATTTGAGAGTCTATTGAAAACAAACAATCGTTGTTGATTCACAATATAAATTTCATTTCTTAATACTTATAGCTTGTCACAAGGTACAAATTGCATTAAAAATTATAAACGATGAAGAACATTATTCACTGATTGTTGACTATAAAATTTGGTCTGACAATCCTCGATAAGATATTAAATGAAGCAATGAGTGAGTATTTAAATGTATAAGTTTAGGGTTTAAAATCATTAAATGCCAAAAATGTTCATTTATTTAGCCATTTATAAATTTATTAATATTCTTATTATTACTTCCATACATGGTACACTGATGATTTTATTCCCTGACAGACGTACATTACAATATCATTTAGACATTGTTTTTTAACATCCCCAGTTTCTCCTTAATTTCAACGTCATACCCGCCGACTACTTCCGTGTAACAGAAATATTGTGATAAGATATTAAGAAATTTTTTTTTTAACAAAGACCAAGCCGCTGCGTGCTGCTCCGATCTAAACTTTTTCTAAACTAATACAAGACAGAACAATTGTAAGTTAGTGTACAGGTTTTTTAACTGGTTTATTATTTTTAAGAAATATATTCAATGTCAAATCACAGCCAGGATACATAAGTTGAATTTGCTTACACGCTGACTGTGAAATATAGATTAAAGAATTAATAATAATAATGAAAACAAATACAACAACAAAACATGTATATATAAAAGAAACAACAACAGGTGCAACTTGTGGATTTATAAAAAGAATAAGAAATTGAATCCTTCTGACGTGTTTTTGCTATACTTGCAATTTATTTAGTAGTTACAAAAACTTTAACAGCTGCCCTTAATCTGGAATAAAGTGTGTAAGTAAAAGAAACAAACAAACAAAGAGTTGATACAATCTTCATCTAAGTGATAAACGAGGGAAATACGATGAAGTGTTAATTTGAGTGTTTTTCAAATATATATATATATATATATATATATATATATATATATATCCATACAAAATGGTTGTTTGGACTTCGTTATGATTAATTAATCTCACTACAAAATATTCATTACCATTAGTGCAATCGATTGTGTATTGAAAATAATGAGGTAACAACTTTGATCATTTTGATAAAAATAACATGTTTATCTCCTCGTAGATGTACTATTCACTGTAATTTTATTTTTGTAAATAATCTTGGACCTCTTTGATAACTGCTTTTAATTGAATACGTAATGAGAATTTCATAAAATAAACTGCTCATCAAATCATTTTAACTTAAATTATCGGCTAAAAATAGATCATTAATTATAACAAAATACCGAAGCATTTTGTATGGATTAAATCAATAATTAATTGGTGATCATTAAAAATTTTACAAACGTTACATCGATATAATTAATATTAATTATTAAAAAAAAACAAAGATATTATTATATTATCACATATTTCAATATTCTGTGTTTTTAACTGTATATGTTAATGAATCAGTAAAATTTTTGTTGTTACTTTCAACGAACACAAATACACAAACTTTTTATAAATAAAATAAATATTCGTGACCTCTGTAAACAACACAAGAATTATATAATATATATATATATATATATATATATATATATATATATATATATATATATGTATTATATATAAAAAGAATCATTGAGTGTACATCAGTGGCGATAGGACCATTAAGTATAATCGAAACAAACAAAAATAAATAAATAAAAATATCTTGCATTTTATTTTTACAAAATTCATAAAAGCAACAAGAATTCGTAGTAAAATCATAGTAGAAAATGATTAATTGTTGAAAATTTATGTCCGTTAAAGTCTTTAGGTGAAACAATTTATACTTGAATTATTTTTTTTCTCATATGCAAATGATTATTCGATTTTATTATATATCAGACTTTTAAGATTGTACATAATTGATCTATAATGAAGAGTAACACATTTTCAAATAGTCCAATAAGCTTATGATTAAAAATAAAATTATTCATTTTATGCTACGAATCTTAATGCTCTACATGAATTTGACAATGAAAAGTAGAGAGTGATATGAATGCGTGTTATAAGAGTAAAAGTGTGTTGTAGAAGTGCGAAGAATATTTAATTGAATAAATTTAAATTTAGAACAACTTTATCAATAATTGAAATTAATTAAGATTTCATTTTTTTTTTAAGAAACAAATTATACAGAAAAAAATTTATAAATATTGTTTCTTAACTGTAAGTAAATATCAGCAATAATTTATTAGTTTTTCTTTTATTTCATCTCAAAATACTCACAACATATGAAATTTATGTAATTAAGCAAAAAATTAACTGGACATATTCCGTATTATCAAAGAATTTAATTATTCTGAAGAGTTAATAAATTTTACAGTAAAAATGTCGAGAAGTGAGTAAAACTTACGCAGAATAAAATCGTTAATAAAATGTTTTAATATAATTAAACTTTAAAAATTATTTATATTGTTCTGTATATTAGTCGTAATAAAAACAATTATTGGCAGTGATTTTGTTTTGGTTTTATTTATTGAATTTATAATTAAAATGCCAATAATTGTAATTTTGTCAATTGTATCTTAAAAAAACTTTTTTTTTCTATCAAATAAAATTATCTTCCATTAACAGAAAAAATTTTACGAAAATTGGATTTAGTAAAAATTAAAAATAAACAGACAATTGTAAATTTTGAATTATATAAATTACTTGCAATAAATAGGACGTATATTACTAAAAGTTACATGGACATACTCATATTTTTTTTATTGATATTTAAATAAGTTTTATTTATAAAAATATTTATATTTTTGTATTCTTTGTTAGATAAGAGCCTATTGTATATTAATTATTATTGACCAACTCCTTTTGTGATGACAAATACGATGAAGATTTTCCTGCGTAAATTTAACTTATTTCTTGATAAAAGTGATTAAATCTAAAAGGTCTTCAAAGAATATTTAATACAGAATTAATAGGTCAATTCTGTTTTATCTCATTTTTTATATAATATCATATTTTAATTATGTCCAATCAATAAGTTAATCTTTTCCAGTGATGCAAAATAATTTTTTTAACTTTCAATGCAATGGAACTTTGCAGTTTAAAAAAATTTTAATATGACAATTATACTGCTGTTGTTTATTTTACTGATAAGAATTATCGGCCTACTACTTCAGCTTTAAGTCTAGCTGCAAGTGCTTTACGTACTTGAAGAATTGATGAATCCGGCACTTGTGGGTTCTCCAAATCCTGTTTACCTTTCATTGTTGCCTCAGCAACATTTCGTGCTGAACTGGGACGTGCCTTACTCATTTCCAAACGTTGATTCCGTGCTTTTTTTTTCAAAGCTACAAGTTTATCCCTTCGGGCTTTTAAGTAATATTCTCGCTTCTTAATATCATCTTGATTTTCTTGAGTTTTCTAAAAACATAAAAATATTTTATTACAATAATTTTCTCGTTGAAGCTTAATTTAATAATATCACAGATAATACTGACTTCTTTCGTCTCTGATTCTGTTTCTTTTTTATTTCTTTCCTTCTCTTTATTTTCTTCTTCCTTTTTTTTCTGTATAGGACCAAGTGGAGTAAGTTTTTCCAATTTTTTCAGCAATGGAAATGGTTCAGCGTTTGAATAAGATAAGGTATTATCCCTTTGTTCATCAGTCTCGTTGGATTCATCAATTGATGATGTCGATATGTCTGCAGTTGCTCTCAAAGCCTCCTCTAAAGCTGCCCGTTCATTTTGGTACTGATGAGTAAGACGTTCATGTTCTTTTTCAAAATCAGCATCAGTTTTGTTTTCTATATCTTCTTCTTCTTCTTCTTCTTTATTTCCTGCTATCTGTTTGCTATAATTTTATTTATAATTAAATTATAGCTTTATCATTAACAAATGTATGTTTTTAAAAATTAATTTACTTTATTAATTCTTCCATAACTAATTCATCATCTCCAAGATTATCTGTTCCACAGGTTAAAGATGCTGGAGTGAGTCCAAACCTCTGTTCCAACATATTCAATGCTTGAAGCTGAAGCTCTAAATTCTTCTGAATCATCATTCTTTTAAATATTTCATATTCATTAGCTGCCCAAATTTGTTCAAATAACGACTAAAGAACAAAAGTGATTATTGATATACATATAATTATAAATATTTTAACTATAATAGATGATAAATTATATATTAATACCTGCTGAAAATGTATGGGTAGTTTAGTTTGTCGATTAACTGTGCACGCGTATTCAAATTGCTCGGGTGAGATGCCCATATCTTCCATATAAGAGCCTAACAATAAATCAACGAGATTTTTGTATTCTTGATAAGCTTCACGGTATTCATCACTATCTTCTGTGTCAGTTTCAAAAACTGTAAAATTGATTGAAAATTAATTAAATAGTATTTAAATTTTTTTAACGTATTGATCTCACAGACATATTAATAGGAAAATCTTACTCAGCGATCTCTCTTCGATAAATGTCAGAAGAGGTGCAGACCATATTGGACCTTGGAGAAATCCTACTAGAGAATCAAAAACCCAACCACTATCGTTTGCCATTTCTTATTTATTTGTAAGTAATTTTTTTTTAATTTATTTTTATAGATAAATAAATACAACTGTCGAAGCGTATTCTTGCAACTAGTGGAAGTGAAGGTATGACAATGAATATTGGAGTAATTTTTGTCGAATGGAAGTGTTACCATAGTGATATTGGACACAACATTCTTTTACTTTAACACTGTATTGACATTTTTTTTATATATTTTCTAGGAAGACAATATTACTCTAGGAATTTATAAATTTTTGTAGTTATTTGAAAAAATTAACTTCATTTTTAATTTTTCTTGTATTCTAAAAATAGTAAAAGAAATTTACAAGTTTACATAAATAATTTATTGTAAAAGAAAGTTGTTTTTATGATTTTTGTAATATTATTATAAGGATAATTAATAACTTGAACTCGTAACTGTATGAAATAAAGTAGTAAATTTTTAGTTTCAATTTTATCAATCTACAATTTTTCACCTCTCTTAAATATAAATACACTTTTTAGTAATAAGAAATGCTTTTATCGTTTATTGGTATATCAAATGATATTTTTTCAATAAATTAATGTCTGTATTCAGCGGCTTTATATTTCCACTCTATAGTGTCTTCATCATACCATGTGTTAAAACCTAATCTTCTTGCAGGATCTTTCCTAGCAAAAGGAGGGAATTTCAATAGACCTGCTCTATGCGCCATTATCACCATTGTCTCAACTCTTTTTTGCTGAATCCAGCATAAGCCAGTAACTCTTCGAGGTAACATACATCCATCAGATCTTAAAAACTGACTAAGAATTAAAACATCCTACAAAACATTGAGATTATTTAATGACTTAAGATATTTATGCCAATAGAATGATTAACAAATACTAAATAATTACAGTATGTTTAACATCTATTCCAGCAGCACAAAGTGGGCATGCTCCATTTTCATTTGGTTTGAGCAATCTAGCTTCTTTAGGATCTTGAACGATTTTCGCTTCTAAAATTAAAGTTTTTCCTTCTTTCCTTTCAATAACTGAAATAATAAAATATTTATACAGCTACAATAGTTATTTTCAAATAAACAATCAATGTAAAATTTGATGGTATTGGAAGGACAGGTCATAAAGTCGTAAGGTTAGTTGTTCCATAAAATTAATGGTACAAAATTAGCTTAAAGAGTAAAGTAAAAGAGAGACTTGAAAACTCACTTTCTTTAAGATTATTCACTGGAGTGACTGATATTAGCCGAAAGGGTTGACAAAATACTATTTTTTTACTAAAATTGAACAAATATCGTCCGGCAAGTGCCATGTTTATGTATAGTCTCAAGAAAAACAATCTACATTATCGGTAGAACGATTGATTAGAAATTTTTTGTTATCAAATGTAATAATTAATTAACAGGGAATTATAAATATATGTAAATATTCTATACATCACATTAAATAAAATAAGTTTTAGTTATGAACTTAATTTCAATAATTATTGATGGTATTTAAATTTACATAAATAATATAATCAACACCAATTTCGTCATTGTTTTTTAAAAATATTTATGTTGTTTATAATTCTTAATCAATTTATTAATTAATATCATGAGATTTGTGAAATAATAACCTTCTAATTCAATTGTAAAAGGAATAAAATAAAATAGAATAACTTAATTTTTGAATAACTGCGGGTTCTAATCGCTCTTGCGTTGTACAGGTAAAATGGCGTTGCGATGACTAGGGACTCTAGACTCATCATCTCTCTCTCTCTTTCTTATTCTATTCCTCTCTTCAATTGCGTTTGCTTCTTTCGTGGTGTGGATCAGTGTGTATGCATTGACAATATTGTTAATAGGATTCATCAAAATAAAGATCATCATAGAAGTGTAAAGCGTTATTCGTAAATTCATAAAGTGGTTTGTTATTAAGAAAAGTTTCCAAGAATGGCAGATAATGAGCAGAAAGCTTTACAGCTAATGGCTGAAGCCGAGAAAAAACTCAGTTCATCAAAAGGACTCTTTAGTTCTCTCTTTGGGTAAGTATATCGATTTACTCAAGTGCGCCGATTGGTTTGACACTCGTTCATCATATTGAGTCATGTTACCACATTTTTATCATTAATGAGTCACTGATTATAATGAAATCCTTTCATTTTTTTTTTCCTTTCTTCTTCATTCATTTTAATGGTTAGCAAAAATATGTCCTTTATGATAATGACTTCTAATGTGTATTGGACTGTCTATGGATTGTATGATTGTGTACACGCAAGCGCGCATGACACTTGTCAAGTAAACAATTGGTATTGAAAGATTGTTTTTTTGACATAAAATTAATACACACGTGGAGAAAACTTTATTACTATACTTCGACTCCTGTTCTACTTTTCTGCTTCAATTGACCCCATCCATCATTACTTTTCTCATTGGAATTGTAAAATAGAAATACAGAATATATATTTCTTTTGATAATAGCTCATCAAAGGTGGACGAAGCAGTAGAATGTTATCAACGAGCAGCAAATCTGTTCAAGATGGCTAAAAAGTGGGGCAATGCTGGAAATGCCTTTTGTGAAGCAGCAACACTCCACGCTAAAGCTGGTAGTAAACATGATGCTGCTACAAACTATGTTGATGCAGCCAACTGCTATAAGAAGACTGATGCAAATGGTAGTTTCAACATTATCTGGCTAAATCCATTTTAAAGAACCCTTATCAGTAATCTGTAACGAAATATATATATATATATATATATATATTTTTTTTTAGAAGCGGCGAATTGCCTTTCAAAAGCTATTGAGATTTATACTGACATGGGAAGATTTACGATGGCTGCTAAACATCATCAAAGTATAGCTGAAATGTATGAAAGTGAAGCAGTTGATTTAGAACGTGCTGTTCATCATTACGAACAAGCAGCTGACTATTTCAAAGGCGAAGAGAGCATCTCATCTGCCAATAAATGCCTTCTTAAAGTAGCTCAATATGCAGCACAGCTTAAAAATTATGAAAAAGCCATCCAGATTTATGAACAGGTATATCATCAATTCAAAAAGAGTAATTATTAACAAGGAAAAATATTTTAAATTAATTCTTCTCTATCTTACAGGTGGCAATGTCATCATTGGAAAGTCCATTGCTTAAATATAGTGCAAAAGAATATTTCTTCAGGGCAGCGCTTTGTAACTTGTGTGTAGATGCTCTCAATGCCCAGCATGCTATTGAACGATATAACGAACAATATCCAGCATTCCAAGATTCTAGAGAATACAAGTTGATAAAGGTATAAGCCTTGACTTTAATTAAATCAAATATCATCTTTTTTAATAAAATATTATTTTTATTTACTTTTAGACATTAATCGAACACTTGGAAGAACAAAACGTTGAAGGTTTTACAGAGACTGTGAAGGAATACGATTCAATATCAAGACTAGATCAATGGTACACGACGATATTGCTTCGCATCAAGAAACAAATTAATGATAACCCTGATCTCCGCTGATTAGTGGTAGTGATAATTGATCAGTGCATTATATCATTAATATTCTTCCTCCTGCCCCGTGTGTATTCTTCCTTGTTTAAAATTAGGCTTCTAATATCACTCGTAATATAAACTAAATCGGAGGCTTTGTTCAAATACAAAATCCATTCGTTTAACTTTCATCTTCAACAATAATATCAATTTCGACGTTATTGAGTTATAAAACTCTTTAACAGACTGCAAATTTTCGGTGAGTGCTTAACAAGCAGTAGTCAATTAGCTAAACAATCTAGCTAGGTCGATGCAATCGATATTGGAAATAAAATAACTCTTTTATTATTATAAAAAACCGAATATATTAATTTATAAAGAATACCAAGAAAGGAGGATACAATATTGTTTTTTTAATGTACATTTTTGTGAATTATGATATATTATGGTTTAAAAATATTTATAATAATCTCTATTTATTGTGTTACTTCTACATTATTCCATTGTAAAATTTTATTTTATGTAATTGTTCATTCCATCAGTTATAACATAAAAATTTTTAGCATCCATTTAATGAAAATTAATTACATAAAAAAAGTATTTTCATTGACAGACATAATCTGTTAAAAATTAATGGTTTTTTAACACTAATTATTACTTTGTTTGTTATGCAAATATTGTTATGAATTAATATTATTACCATAATTAATAAAATATAATAATAATAATAATAATAATATAATAATAATAATTAAGTGCGGAAGAATATATTAGGGGAATATAATTCCAATAAACTCAGCTATTTGATTAGTAGGAAGTGAAAAAAAATCGAAAAAAAATACAAAAAAATATATCTATCAACGTTTTAAAATATTGAGCTTATCATTTCATAAAGAGGAGGAATAACAATCACATTTACAAACTTCGTAAAGTAAAATTTTTATTCTTAGAAAGGTAAATTTTGTGGCTATAATCTATAATTACATAATAACATATTCATTGAATAATTAATTAACTAAATTAATTAATCGTAGGTTTGACATCCACGTGAAATTATTACATGCCACTTATTATGTACCACACTCGTACACACGACAGCAGACAAACGTATGCATGTATCGGAGCGAATAATAAAATTATTAATTATCAATTCGATTCTGAAATTTGTTATGGTTGATTATTATTCATTCATATCCACAATTAACCGAATATCAATAAAATTTTAACAGTATTTACAAATCTATTTACAATTATTATTTAAGTTTATAGTTTAGACTCGCTCTTTAATTTTACAGCTATCTCAACCATCTCTATCAATTCTTTTAAATGTTCGATCTTTGAAGAATCGACACCAAGTTCTTTAATTGCATCTGCGAATGCCAACACATCTATTTCCAGCTGTATTCTAATTTTCTCATCGTCACTTATTCCTTGAACATCAGTCTGAGTAGTTCCAGATGATTTATCACGGATTTTTTTCAATCTTCTCAAGCTTTCTTCTGTTTTCTGGACAGATTCAAGAAGGTTTTTGACTGAGGAAAAATACTGTTCACTCAAGGAAGATAAAGTCAATGAGAGCCAATGATTAACAGCTTCGGGAACTATTTTCAAGTATGTTGTATGGAAGTCTACGAGAACTGTTAAAGCATTTTTCATATAAGCACATGGTTGAGTAGGTCGGTCTCTCATCGTACGTCGGAAGAGTCGAGGAATGTCACTGACTTGTTTTAGATTTGGAGAACTTTTTACTAAAAGCTCTTGAACAATTTGTTCTGTAATTAATGGTAAAGCAGACTTTAAATTTGTTGTTGCATCATTCAATGATTCTGTTAAGATGTTTGGAATGATCGGTTTTACATTAGTAAGTTTTGAGATGGCAAGAGTTATAATAGTTGGTACTAAAATTGAAAGTTTCTCCACATCAATATATAAACAAACCAGAAATTCTGTTCTACTTGGAGTTTCAGGTTCGATAATGTTATTGCTTGTAATAGTTGTTTTCGGAGCAGTTGACCACGACTGCTTTAATGCATTAACTATCCAGGTCCGATACCTTGATAGTATTTGAAGATTTAATTTCCAAAATTGATGAATCAATTGTGGTAGAAATATTCCATCTGACCAAATCCGTAAAAGGCATTCCCACGTTTTTTCTGTGGTATTTAAAGAAAATACATTATGACTCTGAGCTTCGATACTCGTCGAAACATGTTTTATAGATGCAGGTGACACTGGATGATAAAGAACATGCTCCACAGATCCAGCAATCTCTTGGAAACGAATTTGAAAGTAAACCGGTAAATTCCACTTTTTGAGAAATTGTATAAAAAGTGGATGATTCTGCAACTGGGAAAGGATTTCAGCATCACTGCACTTATCTTCAAGATTAAGAATAAAATTCAAGGACTCAGTATATCTCTGATAAAATAAATCAGGATTTCCTGGAGCAAAGATCATCTTTAAACGAAGTTCAATTTTTTCTTCAACATCTGTCCAAAAGCTATTGACTAAAAAATTAAAATTCTTTCTAGAGCCTTTATCAGGCTGAGAAGTAACTTCTAAGAGTGGCTTTAGTTCAACATCTAAAATATTTAAAAGTTTTAAATAAAGTTCATGTAATCCAGTACTCTCATTAATATTTTTCTCTATGATGATATCGTCAATTAAAGGTGACACAATTTTTTTTCTGACTAAATTTTCTGCTTCTTCGATTTTATCTAGCGTTACATAAATTCTAAGACAACAGGTGAGACTGTCAATATCAGACTTTTTGATATTTAATAGTTGTGACGCAAGACAATCCATCAGTTGTTTTTCCAATTCTTCACAATTATTATTCAATTCTTGTGAAATATGTTTTTTACATTTTGTCATATGAAACCTTAGCTGGTTAAATTCAGTTGCTGCACGCTCTAAGATGTCTAATTTAAGAGAATGCAACTGTAATATTGATCTCAATTTTGCTACAGATTTATAAACTCGACCTAAACTATGCATGCATTGTTTCATTTCACGAATTTTTCGATGTTCTTCTAAGCCATTAGCCATTTCTGTTGTTGCAGCATTTAAAGTTTGACAAATCTGCATTACTTCTTCCCTCAATTGTCCTAATGGGGTTTGTAATTGATCAATTACTTTGTCTAAACCAATGAGATCTTTAGATAAATTCACGAAATCTGCATAATCTTTATTAATAAGTTCAATCATCGCTGATCTTAAAATTTTCAAATAAACACCCAGATCGTCTCGCATCGTTTCCAGTGATGCATTTTTTCTGTGTTCATGCAAGAAGTTATCAACATCAAAGTCCGACTGAAAAAATAATAAAATTGGTATAAATAATTGGAAATATATAAACTATATTGTATCAAAGATAATTACCGCTATAAAGTCTTCAGCTTTGAAACACAAATCTTTCGGAGCCGATGGTAAAGTAAAATTATTATCAGACATTTTTGTTTATTGGTTAAAAAATTTTATTTGATAATTGTTAAATAAAAATTATTTAGGCTGGATAAATATTTTATTTTTTCATAAGTAGAATTGACTTGTCATAAACTAACCTCTTTGTGGTATTTATAAATATTGAAAAATCAAAAGATATATTTTATTTATTCTAGATTTTCTAATCAAGTCCTAAACAATTACATTATATTAATAATATTTATTCTTCACGAGCCTTTTTCTGACACCATTAATATTTTAGTATGATATTTAATACGTGACATCATAAGAAAGAGATATAACTTCTTCGGAATTTAGTACACTTTGTGCTTACCATTTGTAAACACATGATGACTTATCGGCTAGACTTACGTGGCAAGTGTCATGTCAATGAAAATCATCAATAGAACAAGTAGTGTTAGAATTACGCGTGGCAACTTTTAGCAGCATCATTTAATACACCGAAAAAATTTTTTGTAAATTATCTTTAGAGTAATTCTTGTCAAAGGTTAGTTTACTATTCAAGTCATTCATTTAGTCTGTTTAAATATTTTTACTATTCTCTTTATCTTGAATAATTAATAAATTACGTCAGAACAAAAGATAAAAGATACAGATCACATTAAAATATCATTAAAAAATATCTTTTTATTATTTATATTCCTCTATGATATGATTCTTAGCTAAAATTATATGAAGTAAGTTTTTATATTTTTCAGTATGTGTTAATTGTCATCAGTTTTTAAAAGAAAGATATGCCAGAAAAACGCCAAAAAATGGGCACCCTTCGTGCTTTAATTCTTGTTGGAGGATATGGAACTAGACTGAGGCCTTTGACTCTTAGTAGACCAAAACCACTTGTGGAATTCGCTAATAAACCTATGCTTATGCATCAAATTGAAGCATTGGTAAAAATGAAATCTATGAATATTTGATAAACAATAATAATTAGTATTTATTAGAATAACTCAATTTTTTATTTAGGTGGAATCAAATGTAACAGAAATTATTCTTGCTGTATCATATCGTGCTGAGCAAATGGAAAAAGAGCTTACTGCTGAAGCGGCGAAACTTGGTGTCAGTTTGATTTTTTCTCATGAAAGCGAACCTCTAGGAACTGCTGGACCGCTAGCACTTGCACGTCAAATATTAACAACAAGTGATGAGCCATTTTATGTACTAAATTCCGATATTATTTGTGATTTTCCATTCAAACAACTTCTTCAGTTCCATAAATCACATAAACGAGAAGGCACGATAGTTGTGACAAAAGTGGAGGAACCATCAAAGTATGGAGTAGTTGTGTATGGAGACGATGGAAAAATTGAAAGTTTTATTGAAAAACCGCAGGAATTTGTTTCGAATAAAATTAATGCTGGTATATATATTTTAAATCCAAGCGTGTTGAATAGGATAGAATTAAGACCAACCAGTATTGAAAAAGAAGTATTTCCTGAAATGGCATCAGATGGACAGTTATTTGCTATGGAACTTCCAGGTTTCTGGATGGATGTTGGTCAACCTAAAGACTTTTTAACAGGTGAAAAATACTTTTATTTATAGAATAATTAAATAGATTTTCATCGTATAAAAATAAAAAATATATTTACATCATTTAATTAATTTAATTTAGGAATTTGACATGCAAAAAATTGTTTTTAGGAATGTGTTTATATCTTGCATCACTGAGACAAAAGTCTCCAGAAAAACTTTACTCGGGAGAAGGAGTTGTAGGCAATGTATTGGTTGATCCTACAGCCATAATTGGCAAAGACTGTAGAATAGGCCCTAATGTTACGATAGGACCTGGAGTTACCTTAGCTGATGGTTGTTGTATCAAACGTTCAACGCTTCTTCAGTCTTCAACAATAAAAGAACATGCATGGCTAGATGGGTAAGCCTTTTTATCGGATAGTTCCATAATTTGTAGTATAAATATGTAATAAAATTATTGTTGATCTAGATGTATTGTCGGATGGCGAAGCGTAGTAGGAAGATGGGTTCGAATGGAAGGAATTACAGTTCTTGGTGAAGATGTTATTGTTAAAGATGAGCTATACATCAATGGCGGACAAGTTTTGCCACATAAGAGTATTGCTTCATCGGTTCCTGAACCACAGATTATCATGTGACAATTTTTTATCTATAAATTCTGAAAAACATAAAATCTATGTTTATTTCAAATATTTGAAATAAAATTAGAGATATTAAATTACTTTTCATATGTATAAAAATACGGCTGGCATAAAGTACAATAATATTTTAGATAATTATAAAATTTATATGATTATTCTTATGATTAATATACTTATATAAACAAACTGTTTGTTTTGTAATATTTTTTCTATTAAATTCAGAGTGCATAATTTAAGAAAAAAAGGTAATATCGTGATAATAATAATATTTTTTAATTCGAGTCAATCATGCCAATTTTTTTTTCAAATAATATTCTTAGAATTCAAATATTGTAAAAAAAAAAGTAACGATCATTATTGGTTACAAAAGAATTTTTTAAATTGATTTCAGTTTAATTTTTCTCTAAATTACAGTTATCAGAGTGTATATAATAAAGATACTTACCTAGTATTTTAATTTGACTGGTAAACCTCGAACTACAGCAGCTGCTGCAGTCATATATTGGGTACAACATTCTTTGGCTTGGGCGAAAGCTCGTAATAATTCTGGTTCATAAGATGGTGTTTTTTCGGTAATTTCAGAAGGTTTTTTAAACTCTAGAATATATTTCTTACATTGAATTAATAAAATCTTAGAAATTTTATATTATGAAGAATCAATACTTACTCATGGTACCTTGACACCACAATTCGAGATCAACACAAGTCCAAGGTCTAGGTGCTGACGATGGTATCCAAGTGCTCATAAAAGATACCGTCATTTTATCTGTATCTCCATCAGTGACTTCCCATAACATTCCCAGAACACAAGGACTACAAGCTGTTAAATATTGATTACATACTCCGTTAGGTGGAAACTTTCCACCTACTGGCAAAAGTTTTATACTACTGCAACCAAACAGTAGAGCAGTTGCTTTAACTCGAAGCCTTTCAATGTCTTCTCCGGGAAAATACTGAATACCACTTCCATGACCGCTATACATCAATGCATTATGATTTGTTAAGGCATTAGAGAATGTTTCTTCATCAGGTTTCTCATTGTATACACCTTTCCACTTTGGTAACCAATAATTCATGAATAATTTTAAACGTTTTTCCATTTTTGGTAAGTTATTACTAGGATTCACTATAAACGTTCCTTCTGTTTCATCTAATGTTATTATTTTGCATCCATCTACTATCGTACTTTCATGTTCTTTAAACATTGCATAAGCTAATTGAACACAGGAAAACCTAGTGACTGGTTGCCTTGATAAGATTGTCATTTTTTCTATTGGAAGATAATCCATATTCTGAAACAATATATGCAATTTTAAAATAAATAATTAATAACATGATAAACAATTTTTTACATTACTAAAAAAACAAAATTTACTTCATCTATCACCAATACCAATATTTTTCTTTTCATTGTTTCTAATGTGGCGATTTCTTTTTGTCTTCCTTGAATAGACAATTCAATATTTTTTACCAATTTTGAATGTTTTGGAAGGACATATTGCACTGCTCGTGAAATTTCATTTTTGTCTAAACAAAATGAACACGTGGCAATTTTTTTTAGAAGCCATTTTGTTTCGGAGACAATTTTACTCTGAAAATTAATTATCGTGAATATTTATTTTTTAAATTCATGTGAAAATATAAAAAAAATATTATGTACCCAGTAGGATCATCATCTAAAAGTTTATCAATCATTCGGTGAATATCATCAACAATTTCTGATGGATTTAATAAATCTGCTATTAACAATATTCTCCATTCTCGTAACCAAGTCTTTTCCATCTCTGTTACAGCAGTCTAATAACAAATAATTATAAAAGTTTATAAATTAACCAATCACTAAAATGATTCTAAGTAATTTCATTAATATACCTCCATTGCTTTATTCTGTTTTTCTCTCATTTTCCAATATAACACCTGAGACTTGTATTCTGTATTTAATTCCGTTTTATTTCGTTCTAAAAGTTCTTTAACTATTTTACATATATCGTACATATTTGTATTAGGTTTTGGTAAAGTAATACAAAATGGATCTATTTCATTTTTACCAGTGGGCATAATAGTAATGTGTAATTGATGAGTAACAGATTTAGTTCCATATTTATTTGATTGTTCATAAGGAATCGTCAGTTGAACCATGTACCATTCTGTTTTAAAAAAATTTAACAAGATGAATGAATGCAATTCGAGGAATATATATATTAAAAATATAATAAATAATATAAATATTAAGTAAATAAATACCTGGTGGCAATTCTTCAAGTTTACTCTTTAATGAATTAGGGCCATTAATACTATTGACATCGAAAGACCATATAATCGGGATTAACTCCAAAATCTTTGGCTGCAAGATTAAATTGTTGTCTTAACTCACATTTTTTATACCTAAATTCTACTTGACGCCTATGAATAACAGCATGAGCTTCTGTTAAACGATTAATAGCTTTGACTTCTTCACCTTTCTGTAATAAAATAAAGCATAATAAATAAAAATAGAACATTAATATCAACGAAATAAAAAACGTTACAAATCATCTTACCGCGAGTAGAATAGATGCTAATAATTTATTTAAAGTTGTGTAATGAAGACTGCATTTATTTACATTAGGATGGTTTATATGTTTTTCTAAATCATCTGTTAAATTATCGAGATTCGTGTTTCTTAATAATGATTTATAATTATCCTTAAAATCACTAGTTGGTGTACAGTCCGTTAAAATACGATAAACAAATTTCTGATTATGCATATCGTTATGTGACTTTTCATAGAACAACAATTAAAATAACATTAGTACAATGATTCAAATTAAAGAAATAACGCTTATTGTGTTGAACATAAAAAAAATAAATAAGAAAGGAAACTTGAATTTCAAAGATAGATGTAAAGAGAGCGCAGTCAGTAGTTTCCTGTCGCGACGCCATCAAAAAAAAGTCGTCAAGTTTCTCGTCTGTGAAATTAAACAATCAATGGGAGTTGTCTAACCACAAGATGGCGTATACCGTGCGACGCTACTTTTGACGTTCGTAAGTTAGTTTTTTGGTACAACGATTATAACGAATGAAGTGAAAAGGGCCAAGATAATCGTGGCCCATCATCGGTTTATTCAAGACGGAGAATGCGGTTGATAGAGTTTAGCAAGATCCTCAAACATCAACCAATCAGAATTTCGATAAGGAGAAACGCAAATCGTACGCGGGGCACGAGGACCCGCTATTGGCTAGTTTACGAGACGATGATGGCTCCGTGATGGGAGAACATGGCTGCGACGCAAACGGAGAGCCAACAAAACGATGTAAAGTTGAACGATAGTGTGAAATGCGCCCAGAAAAGAGCACAATTAAGTGGGAATAGTGCGAGTGTTAGTGTAAAACAGCAGCTGGATCAAGAGCCGGCCGAAAAGGTAACCCGGGGCGCGGCCCAGCTGCTCAAGTATGTGAATCGCGGGGACGGCGACTCAGGTTTCGAGATGAGTCAATATCGTGAGGACATTGGTGGACACACCGCTGGTGAGGTCAAGTCACCCCGGGAGGTCATACAGAACCCTCAGGAAACGAGTGCCAAGCCAGAGCCCCACGAAATACCCGGTCATCCAGGACACCCGGGACATCCCTACGGCGGAGGGCCAAACGTGCCTCGAGACTACTCTGATGAGTATGCTAAACCTAACGAGTTTTCCAACAAACAATCCTCCGACTATCCAGGCAAACCGCCTACGGAGTATTCTTCAAAACAGCAGTTAGATTACCACTCAAAACCACCACACAATGAAAGTGAAAGACCACATCATCCTGATATGGAGGATCATTACTCGGTATCAAAAATGGAACCGAGATTAGCACACATTGGACCTGGTCCAGGAGGTTTTCCTGGCCAACCAAGATTTTTATCGGGCCAAAGTATATCTCAAGCCACTGGACCTACACCTACACTCAATCAACTGCTGCAAGCCACTACTTCAGTACATAGGTTTCATGCCAATTATCCTGGAATAGGTCCAGAGTCTTATCAACAACCTTGGCCAATGCAAAGACCACCAGTTGTACCACCTGTATATCCTCAACCTGGTCAAAGACCTCCACAAACGGTAATTGATGTTTAAATATTTTTGTTTTGGAAAACAAACATCAATACGACTAAAATTTTCATTCATAAATTAATATTCATTTTCATATTACTGTAAAAAGATTGTTTATTAGTCTTTTGTTTTGTTTTTTATATTTATATTAAATTTTTTTTTTCTCATTATTTTTTATGTTTTTACAGGGTTCTCCAAGATTACATCCCGGACCAGGTGGTCCTAGTTCACCAACTCCAATGCCGTATCAACCGTATACGGCACGTTATCCATCACCAGCAAGATCTCATTCTCCTTATGGGCACCATCAAGTGAGTTATATTTATTCAATTATCAACATTGTCATTAAGACTTTTTAATTCTAAAATAACTTGAAGGATATTACTGAACTTTGAAACAATTATATTCGTTGACAAGAATGCGTTTGCACTCGATAAAAGTCAAATTACTTAAATTTTTTACTTTAATATGTTAGCCAAAATGTGAGAAACATTTTTCTAATGTAAAACTTGCAAATGACTTTTAGATAAATTCGTATGCCGCACAAGCGGGTCACCCTCCAACTTTATACCCAGAACAACGAGGTTGGAATCAAGCGGGACCACCTAATGCACCACCTCCACCACCAAATCAGGTTAATTCTTCAAGTCAATCACCGCAAAGGGCACTCTCGCAATCGCCTGCACCACCACCGTCTGCTTCACCACAGCCACAACCTGGTGGACAACAACAGGTAATGACAAGGAAAAAAATAATAAATATAGATACAGATAAAAACGACAGGATGATTGATGTTCATTTTTTTATTTACATTCTAGAATTATCATAACATACAACGATCGACGACTCCAAATACTCAAGGAATAGATTCTGGGGTAAGTTGTTTTTATTGCAATATCATTCGTAGTATATATTTTTTAATAAAAATAACTATAGATATAAAAAAAAGGAATATAGATTAGTGAGGCGTAACAAGACTCAGGAGTAGTGATAATTCTGCAAGTATTTTCTGACAAAAAGTTTCTTCATGCTCCACATAACCGTCTGATCCTTTCAATCCTAATGTCCGTTTGAAGGTATGTTGTTTCGCGCGTGGACGACGATGAAGTGCAAAGAGAAAAGTGAGATTAAGGGATGAGAATAAAGAAAGAAGAAAACAAGAAGATTGTGAAGGCTAGTATGACGTTGAAGACGAAGATGAACAAGCATACTGTGGATTTTGAAAGAAGAGAATGGCGTTGCAACGGTGGGAGCGGTCGTCGAGAGCTCATGACGATTGTCAGTGTGTGAAGTTTGCAGTGGAGTACGCAGATTCCGAGAGGAAGAGTAAGAGAGAAGATAAAAAGGAGATAGACAACAGGGTGAAATGGTAGTGGTTGTGTAACTCATGGAGGTGGTGATGGCGACGGAGACGACGTCGACGAGAATTTTCTAGTGGTGGCAGCGCGGTGGTTGGTCTAGGGATGATGGTGGGGCACCGACCACGCCGTTAACCGGGCGGAGGGGAGCATAAGGGACTTGTATAGTTCGATTAGGGTGCGAGTTGCGCGGCCGCCGGAGCCCCAGATATTAGCGCCTTCCCTCCGTTCTTCTCGTTGCACATGAGCGGATTGACGAAGCCGGTTAGGAGAGGGTATCGTGGAGAGGGATAACGCCGGTAGGGGAAAACGAAATGGCGGTTGGGTAGACAAAGATGGAATGAGACCGGCAAAACATGAGTGCGTGCTCTGCACTAACTGAAATTGTAGAGAATCAAGGGGAGTCGGTGTTTCGTTGCTCGAGGGATACCATTCTCTCTGTCTCTCCTACTTTTTCGATTGCTTGCTTGCTCTCTGAGCGGTATTATTTGAGCACACTCAGTACCACGTTTCCTATCCTACCCGCCTGTCATCCTGTCTCGCTTGCACGGCTCTTTTGCTAACGCGCGGGTTTCAACAATGATTTTCGCATCGATTTTTTGGACCACGGGTAATATGGAACGACCCCCGCAGTGATTGGTTTTTATTTGAGTTTTTGTTCTATTCACGAGAATATCGTTTTTTACGTCAGTCTTTTCAACAAGTCACTAAAATTACCTAATTAACACATTCTTTTTTTCAATGGAAACTCAGTGATATAAAAATACCTTTTGACAATTCAATGCTTTAATAATCCTTCTCTAAATTACATCGTGGTGATATTCAACGCTTATTTAACTTTATCTTTAGCAATAGAAAAATTGGTCAATCATGAATCTCATGTTCCATTTTGGTTTATTCAACTGTAAATGTTCTGAACATTATATATATATATATATATATATATATAGTTTTTTTAATTAATTATGAGATTATTATCTACTATCTAGATCATTGACTTCTATTCATAGCATGAAATAATCATTCTTTTTGTATGATTCATCTGATTGACTGTTGACAAACATTTGAAACTTTGGCGCGCTTTTCTAAAATGGCGCCCCACCACGTTTCAATGACGATAATGTTCGAAGATGAACGAGGCTGCACGAACGCTTGCCGCGCCACAAACACGAACGCCCTCACATAAGCACCAATGCCAGTTCTGAAACTCGACGGTTTAGAAGTCTCGTTAGTGTTAAAGAGAGAAAAAGACAGATAAAGGAAGATGGGGATTGAATGATAGAGATGAAAACAGCAGCGTGAGGAAGATAGAAAAATGACGAGTGAAGCATAAAAGCTAGTAGAGGAAGCAAGGAAAAAACGTTTGCGCATCGTAAATTTTTCCAAACGATCCTTGATCCCGCAGGGTATTAAAATCACGTAACACAGAATTGAAAAGCATTTGAATTTTTAGATTGCACAGTGAGTTTACGACGTGGCGTAGTGAACAGTGGTTTGTGTTTGGTCCTGTGTACTTGGAGTATCGAACCATCGATGCACTACCATGCGTGGCTGCTCCCTGGTGGTGGTGCCGCTGCTGATTTAGTATCTCTGTATGTTGCAGCAAACAGCAATTCCTTGCCTCTATCGCACGATTGTATGTGCTTTGAAGTGAAGTGAGCGTGTATGTATTATATTGTAGAGAGTAAAGGCAGAAAAGAGACAACCAAGAGAGGGAATACGGGCGGCGACTGCGACGATAGCGGAATGTCAAGGAAGAACACACCCGTGGCTAGTTGTCGACGACAAAACGACGTGGAGGAAGCAACGGAGTAAACGAAAATTGTGAAAAGAGGAGTAGAGTGAGTGCAAGGAAAAGAGAGAAAGAGAGAGAGAGAGAAAAAAAATATATTAGGAATGAAAAGGCGAGAGTGAGAGAAAAAGAAGACTCTTGTTTTCGCGTGTGCGCGACCGGTGGGCTGTGCCTTTATTCTTCCTATTCTTCTTCTCTGTTTTGTCCCTAAAAGTTTTTCATCAAGAGAATCGCGTCACTCGAGGACACGCGTTCACGAGGCGAGGGAACGAAAGATGCGTATTATTGGTCCGTGTCAGTGTCGCGTGCACACGGTTATTTGCCTTCGTTTATCCTCATTTACTTTTTCTTCAGTTTTTGGTCGTTGTCAAGATGTTACCTCGATGGCGTACGACATCGTCTCGAGCTGCTGTTTTCGTGTCCCCACGTCGTCGAGGAGTCAATTGAGTTAAGCCAGAAAAAGAGAGCAAGAGTGAGCGAGTAAGTGAGTGAAGAGAGTGATAGAGACAGTAACTGTGTGTAAGAGAGACGATACAACTAGCATACCCAACGGAGGGAGAAGAGTAGAGTAAAGGAAAGAAGAATATTGAAGCGACGACGACATGAGTTAGTGCTGCAGTAAGGAGACACATTGCGCCGATTATCGATGAGGTAATTTTCAACGAGGTTATCGAGTCGGGAAGAGTGAGAAAAGGAAGAAAGAAAGTGTAAAAGACTAACTCGAAAGACAGAGTCTGAGCGCCAACGGCTGTGGCTGTGCCTCAGGCACAGGACAACACGTCGTTGCCATTTTGTAGTCCAACAAGAGACTTCTAAAATCATTCAATCAATTGTGTAACCAACTATTTTTACTTTTTTCATCGTTTAAATACCATTTTTACCGACAATTAAGTGTTTGCAAATGTGTTTTGGAGTATAACCATGTTGGATAGTTTACTTGCCGCCCAGAGTCAGGCATAATGCGATTGTCGTAACCTAACCTGACGTCGTAAGCTCTTCAAGCCGATGTATATGAGAGATAACGTGTATACTTGCGTTTACTCAAAAATTTTCTACTAGTCACGAGACATAGTTAGAACATTTTCTCGAGTGTGAGTTAGTAATTGTTTAAAAAAATATTATTTTATGTAATAACCGTTAAAATTGTTACTAAACATTGAATAATAATGTCATCAATTATGTTAACAAGATAATTCAATAATTGTCCTAATTAATATTATTTTATTTTCATCATAGGAGCTTTCTGGTCAAAATAGTAATGACAGTTCGAATGGACCCGCCGGTCCAGGAACTCCAAATTCCCAGGGGATGAGACCTACCCCTTCACCTACTGGATCTACTGGTTCTCGGTCAATGTCCCCTGCCGTTGGTATGTAACGATTTCATTATATAATACGATCAATTATTATTTAGTAAAGTATTCTCATATTATGATAGTTTACTAATCATTTTTATACATAATGTTTATAGGCCAACAAAACGTTCAGATGCCTCCTCGTCCGTCGAGCAGCCAGTCGGATGGTAGCGGCCCAGCGCGAATGAGTCACTCTCCAATGGCTACTCAAGGTAATATCATCCTTATAATTTACTAAAATAGGATAACATAAATAAATGTTCTTTTTATGATTTAATCATTAAATTCTTATTAACAGGAGGTTATCAACAACCGTTAGGGCCATCACCCCATATGCATGGCTACAAATTAAATAGTAGTGGGCCTGGTGTACCTTCGGGTCCTGGACCAACAGGATTGGGTGGAATGGGTCCTATGGGAGGAGGAATGGGATACGCAGGGAGTGGTGGAACAGGTGGTCAACCCGGTGGCTATTCTTCTCAAGGACCGGGTGGTTATCCACCACCACGGCCTCATATGCAATTTCCACAAGGATATCCACCACCAACAAATTCACAGCCACCTCCAAATAATCAGTATCAACCCACTAGGCCCAACAACATGGTGCAATATCCATCTTATCCGGTAAGTAATTCATCAATTAATAATTATGATCATTTATATTACTTATCAATTGTATTTTTGTTCCTTTTTCGTTCATAATAAATGAATGTTAAAATTATTTATGTCAATTGTTTAATAAATTAATGATTTTTATTTTGTCTTCTAATTTAAGTTGATAAAATAATTAAAAAAAAAAAAAATAATAAATTCACTTTAATAATTAATAAAGAAAAAAAATTATTTTCAGCATAAAATGGGCTTCAATAGTGTGCCACCGGGAATGCCCCCAAGTCCAGGACCTCCTCAAGGATATGGTTCGACAGGTGGTGCAGGATTAGTACCACCACCGAATGCACCAGGAATGGGCAGTGGTATTGGTAATATGGGTCCGCCAACGAGTTCAATGGGTCCACCACCTCCTTCACCAAATCATATTAGTAATCAACCTGGACCACCACCTCCACCTCCACCACCCGGACCACCAAATGCTCCGATGGGTCATGCACATCCACCGGCAGCAACACCACCACTAAATCACGAAGGTAGTCCGATGCCACCACCAAGCACTACTCCTAATTCACATCCAGCCCCAGCGCCCACGCCCACAAGTCACGGCTCTGCAGATCTTGCGGCAGAGTCATCCAATGATAGTGGGATTACTACCACTGCATCAGGCACCACAGCAATCAATGTGACATCAACGTCGAGTGGTACCGTTACATCAGTTATTACGACCGGTCCTGATGGTACATCAATTGACGAGGGCTCGCAACAGTCCACTTTATCAAATGCGTCGGCAGGTAAGTGGACAGCTATAACAGTGCTGTAACACTGTTTTCAACTGGTTTATTTGTGTAATTCATCATACCCTCCTCGAGAATCAATACGTAATAATCATTAGTGTCCGTAGCATCCGGCGAGGATCCAGCATTTACGCCAAAGACTCGCAAGGATATGATAAGCGCCTATCACAGTCACCCAACGACACCACAGAGTACGGTACCGTCACCCGGAGCTGCTAGTATCAATTCTATTCATGAAGAATATCCAGACATCAATAGCCCCAGTTGGCCTCGTACACCAGCCAGCCCTGTATGTTTTTTTAACATTATTTAAGTACCGAGTTTTTTCAAGTATATTTGTTTAAAGCATGTCTTATAGTCTTTCACATGATTATTGACTTAATTGCAAGAAACAAAATATTTACATTATATATCGGTTACAAAAAAACATCGTTTTAGACTGAATGGATTATCAATGTTTTCATGTTTTACAGGTGTTTAACAGTCATGTGCCTCAAGACCCGTACAGATCTAAGGTTATTCTTTATTTTCTACAATAGAAATATAAATAATCGTTGTCAATGCTTCTAAAGCTTTAGATTACACAAATAATCCAATAGTAACCTGAACAAATATTAATCGCTAAATATTAAATTTCATTTTTCTAATATAAAACCGCACACTATAATATCAAACATTATCTTAACAAAAAAGAACAAAGACGTTAAGACATTACTTTATTATATTCTTTTTTAACTTCATCAAACGTAGCTTCATATTACGACAAACTATCATACGATAACTAACGACAGTGTATACAAGTAGCTTCGCATAATCGATGACACGTTGCTTTGGATCATATGCACGACGTAGTTTCACTTCTCTTTCGCTTATGTCTTGCATTTCCTGTTTCAAGCATCCTGTTAATATTTGCTTTATGATTTTTTTCTTTTATTCACTAAAAACACGACCAACAAATGGAATATAAATAAACCAAACAATACAAGTATTTATTATTGTTTTTATGTATGTTTGCTCTATTTTTTTCAACTATCTTTTTTTATTTTTAATCCTTTTAAAATTGAACAAATAGACATTTTATATAGACTGGTTTCTCTCCAATGCAATTAAATTAAAGCAAACATTTTTGTATTTTTTTCGTAGTTTTTAACTCTGTTATTGATTTTTTAATATATCTATTACAGAAACCTGACAGTTTGGCGAAACTGTATGAAATGGATGACACGATAGAACGACGAAATTGGCTTGATAAACTAGTGGCATTTATGGAAGAACGAAGAACACCAATAACCAGTTGTCCTACCATCTCCAAGAACCCCCTCGATCTATTTCGTCTTTACCTCTACGTGAAGGACAGGGGGGGCTTCATGGAGGTATGCAAGGTGCAGTGTAGTTCCATCTAGCCCTCGGTGTCTTAATGTTTTTTTCTCTAATCTGTGTTTTTTATTTTGTAAAATGTTGTTTTTTCTCTATTGCTCGATGTAATTATTCAAGGCATCTCTTAGTTGACTTGTTGCTCCTTGTGAAGCATTGTCTGCCTTAGAGATGTCTTGACGCGCTTTTTTTTTAATTGTTGTCGCACGTTTGTGCATGGTTTTTTATTTAGTCACGTTTTGTTGAGTCTTATTTTAATTGCAAAAATATAAACTGAAAGAAGAGCTAAATGTTAATACGAAAAAATTTGATACAAATTCAAAATTTTTTTGAAGATTAAGAAAAAATGCTTAACATAATTTTCTTAAAGTAATCGTTCAAGGTGTTTGGATACACCGTGACACCTACGAACCCTGGGTGCTAAATGGAATTATTCTATTATTGAGAAGAAGATAAAAAAATTATTATATCAAATGTGATGACGGTAATCTATTTAGACAATATCTAGCATTTCTTTTCTTCAGCTGTGTTGCATGGAGAATAAATATTTCGTAACTTTGTGATCTATATATATATTTTTTTTTATTCAAAGTTTTGAAGACAATGAAAATTGAAAGAATAAAGGCAAATAATTTTTCAATTTTGTTCTTGTCAAAAACTTTAATTAAAATTATTCACAAAGCCAACGTTTACTGATCGCTTTGAGAAGAGAAGCGATGAATAAAAAAAAAAAAGATTGAATAAATTTTTTTTTATGTTGTAAAAATTTAGAAATTGTGTTTTACTGTCTTGACTCAAAAATTTGTTTTTGATCCGATTAAGATTTACATTAATTATAAAAAAACTTTTAAATATTTCTCATAGGTTACGAAAAACAAAACGTGGAAGGATATAGCAGGTCTTCTGGGAATCGGTGCGAGTAGTAGCGCAGCTTATACATTACGTAAACATTATACAAAACATCTGTTAACATACGAATGTCATTTTGATCGAGGTGGAGTTGATCCTCAACCAATTATCAATCAAGTCGAAGCGGGTTCTAAAAAGAAAAGTGCTAAAAGCACAGCTTCAGTTCCATCACCAGGTAAAGATCAATTGGATTATCCATTTTTTTTAAATACCTTGAAGTATGTCAATCATTTGTATCATCATTATTCATGATTAGCACATTCTTCCACAGGTTCTTCTAATTCTCAAGATTCTTTCCCAGCAGCTGGATCTAGTAGTGCGTCTATGGATGGTTACGGGAATTATCAAGGTAACTATCAGGGTGGAAATCAAGGTGGCCCACCATCAGAATATACTCCACCACCACCCAGGCCACCAAGTCAAAGTAGCGCACCTTCTCCTCATCAAGGTATGTATTTGTTGTTTGACCTTTTGATTTCAATTCCACAGTTGGTCATTATTGACGTGCATAATTAATTTGATTTATCGTATGTTTCAGGAATGCAACAGGGAAATTACCAGAACGCGGGCTCATACCAGAATTATCCTCAAGACCAATATATACGACCGCAAGCTCCTTCGATGGGTCAGCAGGGGGAGTTTAATCAGCCGTATACACCGCGCTCACATTATCCTCCGTACGTGCCGGATGCTGACAGGTACCGTATTATCTTACGTCTCAATGTCTATTGATACTCAACTCACTATGAGAAATGTCATACTAATAAATTGAATTCAATTATAGGGGCTACCCTGGCGGAAACATTCCACCAAATAGTGCTGGAGGTCAAGATATGTATAATAGATATGGTGGAGGACAACAACCTAGTGGTTATCCTGCTGGCTCTACGCCTGTTGTTAGAAGCAGTAATTATCCTACTGCAACGCAAAGCCATGTAGTAACCCCTCCTCAACCACCGTCTACAAGTCAACCCTCTTCACCTTCTCAGTCGCCGGTTAATCCGACGTATTCGTGTCCGCAAGATTATTATAGACAAGAACAAGTAACTGATTGATTTTCTAAATTAATTAAAAGTTTTAATATATCCTACTTTCTCAAGTCTATGAATCAACTCATTAATTATTCTGTTACTTAGAGTGGATATGGAGCACCTGTTGGAAATCAGATGTATCCCGCTGGTGGTGCATCGAATAAAAACATGCCACCTCCTCCACCAGGTCCAACGCAACCAAGGCGACATCCCGATTTTGCCAAAGATCAGCAGTATCCTCAATATAATCAGCAACGACCATCTTATCCAGGTGAATTGAGATGTAAAACTTATGTTATTAGATGTAAATTATTGGATGAATAATGAATAATTGGTTTGTTAATTATTTAGGGTGGCCAGGAGCTACAAACCAGTATAATACCGGGAGTACGAATAACAGGGTACCTTATCCTAGCCAACAACCTCCACCACCATCACCACAACAACCTCAACCACCACTTACACAACCACCACCTGTACCTACTAATACTGGCAGTCCAGTTGTTGGTAGCATGAATAATAGTAGTCCACAATGGGCTAGTCAACAACCTGCTAGGCCGTCTTCTCAACCAAGTATAAATGCAATGCCTCATGCACCACCTCCACCATGGGACAATCGTTATTCACATCAACCGTCATCTCTTTACCCGCCACCTGGCTCGCATCAGGTGAGGGCTACGTTACTGGTTGGTGTTACTTTTTTGCATTTTTATTTTTATTTATATTACTTAAATAATTTATATTTAATGGACGGATTATTAATTAATGTATAATATTATTTTTTTAAATGTTTTTTAATCTCAGAGCCAATTAAGTATGAATCCAGTAATTAATCAGCAGTCAGCACCTAAAAGAGAAATGACATTCCCACCCGACAGCGTAGAAGCTGTTACACCACTATTGTATAAAAAACGTAAACTTACACGTGCTGACGTCGCACCAGTTGAAGCTTGGAGAATTATGATGGCACTGCGCTCTGGGCTTCTTGCAGAAAGTTGTTGGGCACTTGATGTTCTCAATATTCTTCTGTTTGATGACAGTTCGGTAAGTATAATCATTTTATCATAAATTATTATAAATATTATATTATTTTTGAAATTGAAATTAATAATATTTTCTGTGTTTAGGTAAATTACTTTGGTTTGACAAATCTTCCTGGGCTTCTGGATGTATTACTTGAGCATTTTTCACGTTCACTATCCGATATGTTTGAATCACCAATATCGGAAGAAGATCGTTGTGACAAAAATGCTGATAGTCCTGAGGTTGATCTCGGTGCAGTGACACGTCCTATTGATGCTGAAGATCGTACTAAGTTACTTACTACCTCGAATTATACCTTCCTCTCAAGACGCGGTCGACCAGTTAAAATGGTGCCTCGTGATGATGATATATTTGTGTTGGATAGTCGTCGACCGTGGGATCATGTTGATATTGAACCAGAGGGTGAACCTTGGCAAGTTGATCCAGATGATACCAAGTACATTATAACGTGTTTCCAATCGGAGATTGGAATGGCTCCATTTGCAAGGCATTTAAGAGATGAAAAACCACCACTTTTGCAGAAAGAGGTAGAACATACAGAAGTAAAAGATGACGGAAAATCAGAAGCACCGGAAATTTTAGACTCTCCAAATAAACCTGTTGAGCCAATTGACAAACTCAGGGAAAATGGTGAACGTAAACAACAACAACAATCTGAGAAAAAGAAAAAGACGAAAACACTAAGTGATGTTTTATCAAGGATAAAAAAGGAACCGGTTGAAATGAATGATTTAACAAGAGAACTTTTTGAGAAAAAGAATGATGGATCGAAAAGAGATTGTGAATCGGAAAATAAACCAAACAATAATATGGGAGAACATATTGTATTTTCGAAATCTGATGATGATTCGTTTCCCACTCCCAATGGTCTCAGTGATTCTGCAAGTACGTTTGAATCAGAGAAACGAGATTTAAAACTAGAACAACCAGATAATGAACCTGAAGATGAAACAACGAGGTCAGCGACGCAAACAACGACGTCATCAACAACAGAGGAGGAGAAGAAAGAGGGACCAAGATTAAAGATAAAAGATCCAGCTGGTACTCTTAAGCGAAAACGATTAAGTGATTACGAAGATGAAAGTTATTCAAGAGATGAAGCAAGTCTTTATCTTGTTACCGAGAGCCAGGACAGTTTGGCACGGCGTTGCGTTTGTCTTTCAACGATACTTCGTAATTTAACTTTCATCCCTGGTAATGAAGCTGAATTTGCAAAGAACGTAACTTTCCTTAGTTTACTGGGAAAACTTCTCCTCTTGCATCATGAACATCCAGCAAGGACGCAGAAAACAAGAAATTATGATCGTGAAGAAGATGCTGATTTTTCAGATTCTTGTAGTAGTCTTCAAGGTGAAAGTGAATGGTGGTGGGATTTTCTTTATCACATACGAGAAAATGTTCTTGTAATGGCAGCAAATATCGCTGGATACACAGATCTGAGTCAACATCCTGAGGAAATATCTCGGCCGGTTTTAGATGGACTTCTGCATTGGGCAGTTTGTCCTGCGGCTCACGGTCAAGATCCATTCCCTACTGTCAACTGCAGTAGCTCATTATCACCACAAAGATTAGCCCTCGAGGCACTTTGTAAACTCTGCGTCACTGAAAGCAATGTAGACCTCGTAGTTGCTACACCACCATACTCTAGACTTCAGCGACTTTGTTCTGTTCTAACGAGGTTGCTCTGTCGAAGTGAAGAACAAGTACTTCGAGAGTTTGGTGTTAATTTGCTTCATTTCCTGTCAGCAGCAGACAGTGGAGTTGCGCGAACGATTGCTCTTCAAACACCGTGTGTTGCTCTCCTCGTGGCATTCATTGAGCAAGCAGAGACAAGCGCTTTAGGTGTTGCTAATCAACATGGACTAGTTGCCCTCAGGGATAATCCAGAATCAATGGGTACAAGTCTCGATATGCTTAGACGAGCTGCTGGAACTCTTCTTAATTTAGCAAGGCATCCGGATAATAGGACACTATTGTTACAACATGAATCGCGTCTTTTAGCACTTGTTATGAGTCAAATACTCGATCAGCAAGTAGCTGCTATTGTTGCGCGTGTGTTGTACCAGTGCTCCAGGGGTACGTAACTGATAAAAAATGTGGGTTTAAAAAATGAATTAAATATGAATGAGTTATAAGACGAAAAAAACAAAAAAAAACAAAAAAAAAAGAACACAAGTAAATAAAAACGCGTTCACGTTTTACACGGGTTATATTATGGACAAATAGACATGAAGATGTGCTCGCGTGTAGTGAAATGAGAAAGCGAAGGACTTTCAAATATTGAAAATGAATAGTAAAAGAAAGTGAGTTTAATAAACAGAGTGATAAAACGTGCCCCCTACCCCCTCCTCCCCATGACCTATGTTTTGTGATGAAAGAAAAGAGTTCTCTTTCATATTAAAGAATGTCCCTTATTTGAAATAAACTATACAAGTGAAAAAAGTGAAATGATAAAAATTTCTACAATTCCTTCGCGTTTGGAAGTGCAGTTGTAGTTTTATATTGAGTTACAAAAGTAAAAAAATAAAAATGATAAATGATGAAAAAATGAATAATAATTATTATTATAAAATTAAATGCTAATTATCGGTGTTAGCGTGTTAGGTATACAAATCGGTGTGACATTCCATCATTTGTATACCTTACATTTGTGAAATTGAAGTAATATCGATAGTGTAAGATATTTCATAGTTAATGAAGAGACTTGAAAAGAAAAAAAACAGCGTATGCATAATAATTATAATAATATTAATAATAATATAATATATAAAATGAAATAAATACACACTTTCATGCATAAATATCAACAAATTGTCACGGTGAACTGATGGTGCAACTTGAAGAAATGAATTAATGAATTTTGATGATTTAATACGTGAGCATGATGGTTGAGAAGATCATGTAGATGATGATGATGATGATGATTAATATTGAGTAGTAATGAAAGAAAAATATGAGGTGAAATGAAATGTAAACGTCAGCATGACGATTATTATAAATATTACAATGATATAATGCAAATTTTTATATTTGCATGTTTTTGTGCTGTAATTAGCGAGTAATTAAGATATTTTGTAGATAACATACACTTCCATTGAATCTTATTCAATTTTGCAGTTGCATTAAGCAGTGCGAAAATAAACGTGGAATAAATAAATCCACTAAAAGTCTCACCTTTAGAAAAAGAAAAAAAAATAAACGCAGAAAGAACTTAGCATGGACATATGAGAGAATATGAACGAAAGCGAGAGAGAAAGTGCGAGAGATAGTAGGGATTTAATAAGAAAAAAAAAAATAATAAAAAACATGAATGAGGTTAATAAAAAAACTAGAAGGAAGTGTGAAAGAGGGGCATCAAGAATTGGCGTGTTGTGCTTATTTACAATGGGATTGGATGATTAAAGCAAATTACAATACGATGCTGATAAAGAATGATTAATTAATTAAGTAAAAGAATATTAGAAAAACAAATAATAATGGGTGATACGTCGTTTACGTAAATGGGTAATATTATATCCAAACTGTTGCGCGTTTATGCTTGAGAGTCAAGATTAATTAAATAACGCACCACGCGTTTAGAATGAAGAGGTAGAGGAGGAGGACAAGGAAGAGAATTATAACGAAGGAGCGCGCATCTGTGTGTATCTATTCTTGCGTGCTTAATTGAGATATAGCGAGAGTGAGAAAATAGAGTGAGTGCTCGATGAATGAGAATCGGTGTAAGATTTGGGGAATGGGGAATAAAGTGGTATTTGTAAAAAAAGAATAATAGCTTCAACTGAACTATGTTTAAAAACAAAAAAAAAATGCAAGTAATTCAGGGAAGTTGTAAAACAAATTGATTTTGAATTTTAATTTTTCTTTTTCAAAATTGTTTTGATTTTTTTCATTTATTTTCTTTCGTTTTCTCTTTTAATACTGTTTACCATAAATTGTCTTTTAAATAATTTCATTTGTTCTGATTTATTTCTTTTTGTAATATAGAATTAATTAATTATTATATTTAAGAGACACAGATTTTAAGAGGAAACGAATTATAAAATAGGGAAGAAAAGAGTGATTTTATTGAAATGAAAATGATTATTTCAAAATAATTACAGAGAGAATTTTTTTGTAAGGACATAAAAATAAGAAAGTGTGAAAGTGTTAAATATGTGTGTAGAAATTTAGACAGAATCATGTTTTTTTGTCACGGTCGTTTAATGATTGCAAAAAAATGATTACATTTTCGGGAAACATTAAATAATAAAAAAAAACTGCAGGCTTTAGACATTAAGTGTTTAACCCAATAACGAAGAAATTGTGAGCATAAGGAGAATGATAGAGTGATTGAATATTAAAAAAATGGGCCAAGCGCTAGCTTTTATTTGCATATTTGACTATCATAATTGTATACATATATACATTCTTACATATATGTATATAATTACGTAAGATATATAAACATATTATATATATATATATATATATATATATGTATAATATATATATTATATACACATAAATACACTCTGACGATCTCTATCTTATTAGACGTTTGGCCAGCAATGATGTACGTATTTTTCTTTCAAATTCACATTTAATTTTATGACTTTTTTGTTCATTTTAACAATTATTGATACTATTTTTTTTTCTGTTTTCTGTTTTATAAGGAAAATTTATTTACGGTCTTTGCCTACATCCTCCTCCTCTTCATTATGCTCGTCTTCGGAGAAATATTAATTAACTTTGTCACTGGGGACAAACACGTGATTTATTTGATAAAATCTTTTGCAAGTTAGATAACAAATCGATTGCACGCGTGACAAATAAGACCGCCCATAAATAACGATCCGATTAATGAAAGGCTTAAATGAGCAGAAAAAAATAAGAACACAACACATATTTTCCCTGAACCTTGGCTTACTCCCCAGCCCCCCCAAAGTATCCTACTATATAGACATCTTAATACGTGTAGCTCTTAAATTATTTACTTTAGTTCGAGTGGAGATGCCTGTAAGTGTAATTTACTAAGACTTTTTGTAAATAAATTATGAAATAAACTAGATGTACTTTATCCAGAAGGAAATGTAATTTCAATTTTTCAAGATTAAGTTCTATATAAGTTTTCCAATTATTATTTTTTTTTTCATTCAATTCAATTTTAAAGATTTGTTGTAAAATTATTTAATTAATTTTGCTTTTTTTTTGTTAATAATAATAATAATAATAATAATAATAATAATAATAATAATAATAATTATTATTATTATTATTATTATTATTATTATTATTATTATTATTATTTCTTTTTAAAATATAATCGGACAGTATTCAATGGAATAAACAATTATTACAATTAAAATTGTCACGTTCAAATCAAACATATTATGTCAAATTCTTTTATATCTTTCTGAATCTCGAGTTTATCATGTTGAGTATCATGGCAGTATTTATTTTTTGACTCAACCATTCTAATGTTGTTGTATCACTGCACTCTAGATACCAGTCAGCAGCTTGTTGTGACATTTGATTCTGAAAAAAAAAATTAGGTTAATTGGCATTCATTATTATTTTCATTATCTAGTGCATTCCATTTTCGAATTACCTGTAATGACTTGTTGACATGAAGAATGAGTTTATTTCCATCAACAACTGGTTGATCAGCTAATTCTTTTATTTCTACTGACCACGTTATGTGCCAAGATGCCCAAATACTGCATCGTTTTTCCACAAGATAAATTTTCCTATAAATAGTTGCATATTTTTAAATAAATAAACAAACCAAATAATTAGGATAGATAAATTTAATAATAATTAAAATTAAAATAAATTTATTTGCAATAAAATAAGTTTGTTAATAGATGAAACAAAAATATTTACTGCAGAGAAACAAGTGCAATATGTTTGCCATCGTTTGACAATGCAGCATGTGCCCAATAAATTTCAGCATTGGGGTCGTCGCTTTTAATAATTGTATTCAAAAGATACATTCCTCGAGCTTTGTAAGTTGAATAAAGTTCTACGGCCTGAATGTTGAAGAAAAAATATAAAATTAATTTTAGAATAATAAAAAAGTTTGTAATTAGATAAAAGTATTAAGTAGTTAATCTTACAGAAAATGGGTTTACATATCGAGGGAAACGAATTCGTGATATAAAGTTGTATCCCATCTCTTGAGCTCTTTTTATCGTATCCAATATCAAGCCTGGTTCAATTCTCAAAGACGATTTACCATCTTCCAACTTTGCTAATCCCATAATTCCCTTGCCTAAAGCTTTTAGAGAATACTTCAATTCTTCTTGATGAGTGTCTAAAATAAAATCATGTATTTTTGTTCTTGTTTTCGTCGTAATAAAAAAAAAACTACTCCATTAGTTTTACTCACTGTCTGTTGGCTTTACTATCAAGCCAGACATTTCTAGCTCTACCCCAATAGAATACGATCGATCTAGTGTCAATGCTGATAATGGAGTATCTGTACTCTTGAATCGGGATATTTTACCCTGGTAAAAAAAGAATAAGTAATGAAGTAATCAAAATAAAGTTTAAAATAAAATTAATAAAGTTTATATATTATTTTATAAATCAGAATTCAATAATAGCTTAATTAATAAATTCAATAATATACAATAATTGACTTTTAATTTAATATTATTATAAAATCACTTACTTTTGAGCGATTAAATTCTGATTCTAATAAATTAATATTGAGTATAGGAGTGAATAGGCCATCCATACAAGAGTATCCAAGAAGACAAGCAACATTATAACTAAGTTTTTCTGCTGTTTCATCACCTTGAATTACTAAAGTATCAGTATCATAAAAACTATCTCCAGGAAATTTAAAATTATAGCTGTAAGGATTTCCTAAGACCGTCATAGAAAGGATTAAAACATTAAATTGATGCCTTATTTCAGCTTTGTAATTTTTCCAAGCATCCAATAACCATTCTTCATTATCCATTGCCGTATCAATTTTCTCGTAGTGTGGTAATTTAAACTCTGCTTGCTTTAAAAATGTTCCTTTAGTTGCGTAAGAAAAAATCATTCTAACTATACTACAATAATCTGTTGGATCTTGACTAATAATTCGAGCTTCAGCTGATGCTAAGAACTTTACATTCAGTTTTATAGGTGCAATATACAAAAGCTCAACGATATTTTTATTGTTATGATTACGATCCGATGACTTGTCAGTAAGACAAGGCAAAGGAACGTAAACATTTGCTAAATCAGCTTTAAGTCTTGATGCTAAAGAATGTTTTGTTTCATCTCTTTTTTTAGGAAGCAAATCTTTAATCAAACGAATAAGGAATTCTTCCTGTAGATTCACATAAAAGTCACGAATTATCAGATTTATTTTCTTGTAAACATTGTGAGTTGCTTTCTTTTGCTTTAGAAAGAAAAATTCAACACAATGTTTTAATCTTGGAATTCCTAAATTATTACTAAAGCACTTCTTCGATCCAGGCTTTAAAACAATAGGGAAGATAGCATCATGTAATTGATTATCAATTTGAATCCTATGGATATTACCTTGCACATAAGTTAAATTATTCGACTTTCTCACATGAATCCAAATGCCTGGAGAGTAGGTCCTTCTTAATCTACCAAAAAATGGTTTTGTCATGTGCATCTTGGAGAAATTAACATTAATAAAATTGTCAAACTGGACACTGTTTGATGAATTTTTATATTTATCTTCCATCCAAGCACTTAGTTCTAAAGTCAATGTTTTCCACTTCTTGCCAATATCCAACTCCCAATGAGCAGCTGAATCTGTTATGCTGATGTAAGCTAACTCTTGACCGTGCATATTTGGAGTTTGTGAATCGGCGATAATACTTAAACCAATACCCGCAATTGCCAAAAACATTTCATTTTTGCTACATTCAGGATCCACAAGACTTTTAGCTTTCATAAACGTATTTTCATCCTGAGTAAACATTAAAACTCTTTGCTTCTTTTCAGCATAACTTATCCAATAGACCACAGCTTTATTCTTCTGAACTTTTTCTATTGGTGGACCATCACCTTCAGCCTCACTATCCGAGTCATCACTGCTACTACAGATAGAAGTGGAATTAACAGAGTTAGCGAATTTGGTATCATTTAATGACTTTTTTGTGGTGCTATTTGAATGGGGAATAACTGGAGATCGTTTTAAAGTTCTAAATGTTACGGTTTCTTGGCCATAACCATCAGTGTTAAATTGTGCAGTATAACTTTTTGTTTTACTATTGTACACATTCCATACAAGTTCTCTTATTTCTGTTGGGTCGTCCCAGGTATAAAGAACACTTTGGAATGGACTGAGTAGTGCAACCTGTCCGAGATTTACTTGGTTCATCTTAAGGAATAAATCATCACAAAGATTATCGACTCTTACTGGAGCATCACCGGGTTCATACTTTTTAAAAGTAATACGGAATGGAGAATTGTTGCCACCTTTAACTTCTACACATAAAGCTGATCCATTCTCCATTCGTAATACGATCTTGCCTATCGTCGTTACGTCAAAATGCTGAGAAACCAATTGACTATTCTTCCATTTTACTCTCATTTTCATCGACTCAGTATATGGCCAAAAAGCAACGCCTTGACTTGGCAACAAATCATTCCATAAATCAGCATCTTCATTCTCTTCCATAAATCTTAATGCTCGTTTCGTATTGTTTTTTACATAAAAGTACGGCAAAAAAGTAACTATTTTTGTAAAAATTGGAGATAAAGTTGAGTTGGCAATCTCTGCAAGAATTCTGTATTTTCTTTTACGCTCCACGTCTTTACAAACAATCAAAGACATTGAACTAATTGCATCAAGACCAAACGGAAGTGACCAATCAGACTGATGGACTTTTAATATTACGAGCTTTCGTCTGTTTTTTTTCTGTGAGAATACTATTAAATCTTCACCGGGGATTTCTACCGTATTAGAGAGAGTTTCCTAGAATATTGGAATTTCTTTTAATAAATCACTTCTGACTATGCATTTTGTAAATATGTAATTTATTTCAAATACTTAAATTAAGATAGAAATTATTTTTTTGTATCAATAATAAAATTACCTGAATCTTCAAAGGCAAGCCGGTTTTATTGATAATCCAATATTCAGCATAAATAACCACAGTCCAACTACTTGTTTTATTTAGTTCGACACAGAGCATAAAGGGTCTCCAAACAGCATCTGTGTCTCCATCAGCAAACATTTTCACAAGTTTTCTTTCTAATTCAGTATTTAATTTGAATGTACCAGCCCACTGAGTACCTAAATAATTCTGAATTTTGAAGTTGACAGTTGTGTCATTGTTACATTTAATAGAATAAACGTTTATCCTTTCGCCAGGTTCAATTCGAACTTCATAGTCAATTGATGGGACATTGATGTCAACTACAAAAGGTAGTTTATTGTCAAATACTATTGGAGGAACTAAACTTATCAGATATTGAGGTACATGATAATTGATTCTTTCAAATTTCGGATGTTCTGTGCATATGACCTTCACTCCAAATATTGATTTTGAATTTTCATCTTTTCCAGAGCAATAAATGTCTCTTGATAAATTTAAATTTTCACTTAGCTCTTTCCAACATATTCCACTGTCACTTATTTGATATTTCCTGATAAAAGATAATCAATATTAGAATAATTTTGTAAATATATTTTTATTTTACACAAATAAATGCGTAGTATTTTGATGCAAAAATTTTTTGCTAGTCAGTGCATTAATAGAGTAGATCAAATTTTTAGTGTTTACAACGATAAATAATATGAATTTTGTATACTAATTTTGTAATTGTTTACAGTAAAAATAAAATAATGTTTACAATATAATATGCTTATTATTAATAGACCCAATTGATTCAAACTTGTTAAAAAATGTTTATTTTTTAATTACGTTATTTTTTCATCTATTTTTTGCATTTTAACGTATGTAATTAAATAAATATTAAATAAGAGTTTCTTTCTTTGATTTTAATATAATATTTCATTAACATTTTATTCGATTAAAGTCTCCTTATTTATTAATAATTTAAAAATTTTTGCATCAATGAAAACCAGTAAATAAAAATATTCATACTCAGAATGAACTGGCATAATGTGAATAGAAAAATGGTATGTAATGTACATAGGAACGTTATAAATATCATGAGGCTCAACAACACATATTCTCATGCTATCATCAAAGGGATTTAAAGCTTCTCCAATATCCAACAGTTGAAGCTGTTCAGCCCTCTGTTTTTTGTAATATAATCTTAAAGCATAAGACGTCTCATTGCGTATTTGAAGAGGTGAACGAACAGTAATTGTTCGATGTAGATAGTGATTAGTCATTACTTCAACAACCAAGTGATATCGAACATCATTTTTAGTTGGACGTAGTGGAACTAATTTATATCCTTGCCACTTTGGGCAATAGATTATTGTATCTTCGAAACCTATATAAAAGACAGTGTGATAATTAATTAAGAAACCCATAAGTTAGAAAAGAAAAAAACAATAAACTTACCATCAATAAAAATTCTCAAGGTTTCTTCAGTAATACTGTTATAAATATTAATAGCAGATTGATTGGGAAATATTGTTACGTCATTTAACGAGTTATCATACATATTATCTTCTTGTTCCATAAATCCATACTCCATAAATTGTTCTCCATAAAACTCACTTTCAGGACTGCTGGGTACACTCACAGGAGAATCAACTTTTGTTCTAAATTCTTTGGCTGCTATAAGGCGATTTATTCCATCCTTTCCCTAGAAAATGAATTTTCTATTTTAAAGAAATATTCGAATATTAAAAATAATAGAAATTAAATTAAATTAAATAAAAAGAACAGCTAAGATAACAATAAAAATGTAAATTACATTATCTAATTTTTCTTCAGCACGTAGTTCTATTCTGCTGGCGTGACCAATTTCATTTTGTAAATTCAATTTTCCGACACTCGTTCGAACGATAGGAATTCCAGTTCGACTTTTAGTAAAAGAGCCCAAAATAATATCAATTATCGCGATGGTATTTCTTGTAACAGTGAAGTTTAGTCTCTCATCTGCATGTATTATAATATAATTTGCTAAATCATCACTTTCAATAGAAGCATGGTCGTAAGGGCAGTCATTCACTTCAGCTACATGTTCTGGAGTCAATTCCAAACCTTCATCTTCGCATTTACTTGACTCATCGGAATCACTATCATCATCTTCATCACTTTGGTCTTTTGTAAACAAATGACTGAAGCTTCTTGCAAGCTTCTCTGAACCATCATCTTCATTTGAATCTGAATCTTCATCATGCTCGAATGCATATTCTGGCACTAAAATAATTTATTCGGTTAAGAAATGAATTATAATGAGTTGTTCAAGAATTTAGAATTAGAATATTAATTTTTAACATATTACAACTGATTTTTGAAGTCAGATTATTATCAGGCCTGATAAAAACCATGTCTTCATTTTTTTCCTCTTCGCTAATAAAATTTTCAGTTATTCGTCTTTTTGGAGTCGATTTTTTTATTTGGTTCCAGGAATGACGACAGCATGAACTAAGTTCATGAGTTTCTGCTTGATAAGCCTAAAAATTATAAAAATTATTCTATGTAACATTAATAAAATAAACTTTGATTAGATAACATTATCAATCAATAGTTACTTGAATAGTCACTTCCCACGGATAATACACAACGTCGTCTTTTGTGCAAAGTTCAATAAATGGTTCCCAACTCCCTCGATTGGTATTATAACAAAAGGCATGGATCTTAAAATTGGCTTCAAATTGATAGCGATCATCAACAGAATTAATTATAGCACCAAATTCTATGTCAGCTTTGATCATAGGAATTCGCTCGATTGTATCTTCCATTTCAAATACCAAACGAATAGCAACAGGTCGTAAATTAAAAACCTTCACTTGATTGGATGGCTCTCCGGGTAGAGCTGTTGAATTAATCGGCGAATCTAAAAGATCAAATGTAAATGAAATGAAAAAGTTTGCATTATTTAAATACAATAAATGTCTTACATTCACCATTTCGCCTACAAGGTACTGAAAATATCTTTTTAGGAGACCAAAGATCAATGTAGGAATTAGACTCGAAACTTCCACTCCTATTCTCAAATTTGGCGTCGAGAATCTTAAATATCCCAGCAGCTTCGTTCAATATCTGTGCGAGAAATGCGTCGCTTGCTTTTTATTTATATCAACATTATTTGATAAGCATTAAGAGACCACACAACGTGCCGGTAACAATTTATTATTAATATTATTATTTATAAACATAAAAATATGTATTTGATCTATATAAGTATTGTCTAAAACGACGACAAAGTTCACAATGACGTTGCTCACTTCGTTGAATGTGCAGATGACGCCTGCTGATAGATGAATATTGACTGGACTGGCATCAAGGGTGACTTGAGCTCGGTCATCTGGAGATTTTTCCTTGGCGCAGACCTCGAAATCACAAGGACGTAATACCCATTGAGGTGGCTGTCGACGAAACCGTTCCTGGCTCTTACTTTTGGCACAAACGTTTGAAAGTGTACAAACAATTGATGATGTTCCTCCATGACAGCTGCTTTCAATCATCATTTCTCCCTGGACGAGAATTGCATAGGCATTGCTTGCTTTCAAATCTCCAAATAGCAGAACTTCCGGTTTGCGAACTCTTATTGATACAGATGTACCTAGAATTTATTTACATTTTTCATTTGAATTTTTCGTTCGGAAATTGTTTAATTAAAAATAAAATTGATTTCATTTATTCAATAAAATATTAATTTTATTGAGTTATAATTAATTTATACTTTAGTATTTGTTATTTAAAATATAATTTCTATGCTTTTGATAAACTTACTTTATTGCAATCTTTAATTGGCTGTTGGAAACTTAAACAATAATTATTTGTTGAATTATTGCTTGAATTTGTTTGAATTTAAATATTAAAATATAAATACATAAAAAAATTTATTCAATTTTCATGAGTGATTAAAATTTTTAACGGTTTGAAGTAAAAAGAATAAATTGAAAAAGATTGATTTCACACCTGGTAGTTCAGATAAATCAACTATATGCAATGGAGGTAAATGTTGAGTGAAAATTTTTTTTTTATCATTGAAGCGGTTTTCTGAATAACCATCGTAAGCTTGATTGATAACTCCTCGATCAACTGGTTCAATCGGAAGAGACTCAATGAAGTAACGGGTGAGTTGAAGTAAAAATGAAATTGATAAATTAAATCGAGTCTCTTCGATAAGCATATCAATACATTTATCTCCGGCAGGTGCTTGAGTGAATGTAAAATCGAAGACGGGAGGTTCTGAGACAGAAATGCAAGATTCCAAATTGAGTCCGGCCGATTTAGCTGGTGATTGAATAATCCTGAGAAAATAGTTTTAAATTATAATTTATGTAATCAATTTATTATTCATGGAAACATACTTGCGAATTACTAAATCTCCCTTTCGAGTATCTTCCAGTATACATGTTCTCAAAGATACTTTCATGGTTATGCTTTTATTACTGTAAAGTTCAAAGCACATAATGATTTCTCCTAAATTAAGTTTCCCTAAGCCATCATTAAAGTCACGTACTGGTGAACTTAACTCCTACAAGAAGAATTTTATTTAAGAATTAAAAAAAAATGCTAGAGTTTAAAAAAAATTATCTAAAATTACTTAGTTTAAGATTAATAAAAATTAACTAATAATAACAAAAAATAAAACAACGTAAAAAAATAAAAATCTTACATTACAAGGATATCATTATTGAATATTGGATTGTGTACAAATGTACATAAAGATAAAAGTGCCATGTCCTCAAAAAAATTAACATCAATAATATGAAAATGAAAATAAAAGTGTAATTAATAAAAATCATATATTAAAAATTGATTTTTTTTTTTAAAAAGTAAAGTAAATTATATAAATGTTTATAATAATTTTCTACCTCATCTGAATCTGTGAATAAGTTAAATTGCAATCCATCAAAAGTTAATTTCATATTGATTTCACAAACAGGATGTTCATCTTGAACAAAAAAGATTTCAAGTCTCTTAACTGTAGCATCTTCAGCAGAATTTATTTTATTTTTCATTTCCTCTTCAAATGATATTTTTGTTGAAATTGAATTTCGATGAATTGCCAATATTTTTGAAACATTATCTTCCCAAATGTTAAGTATAGATGTCAGGTCTTTTTGGCTCAAATTGATCATTAATACATCGATAAATCCAATTATCTCACAGAGGCCATAAATTTGAAGTTCTGCATTATTCCGGCATTCAATGTTTCTTTTGATATCTAAGCGAATTTGCATTGGTTCTATAATTGGTTCCTAAAGAACAATAAAATTATAAATAAACCCCCCATTGATAGATTAGTTAAATATATAAGATATTAAAAATATATACCTGTGTCTTCAAAACTCCAGCAAGTGTCATGATAGCTCTGGATATTGTCATGGACGAGAACTTGATCAAAATATTATCAATAATTGATGAGTACTTATCATTGATATGATCATCCGTAGCCCTAGATCTTTCATTTTTCTTAAAAAAATTTTCGATATTTAAACTACCTAAATCCCATACTAAAACATTCGGCATATCTCTTTTTTGAGGAAATAAAAAAGTAGGAGCTTGAAAATCGATAAAAATTCTTAGTTTTGTAGCACTCTTTCTTAACTCTTCAACACTCCAATAAACTAGAAGTTGAGAAGCTCCAACAGGAGTTAATGATTTAATAAAATGAACAAATGGTTCAACAAAATGTCTACTATCACGAAATATTTCCGATAAAATCACACAATTTATTTTACCAAATGAAAGTTTAAAACTTCCATCAGTTTTAACATTATCTGCAGACGTATTGATGTCTGAAGCTGAATAAAGTTTAGGTGCGTGTCTAACATATTTAAGATCAAACACTTTATCATCATCAGTAGTAAGTATCTTAGAATAAAGAGTAATTTCACTGAGATCTTCTATTGCAAGTCCTCGTAGGTATGCAGTTAATATCATTCTTTCATTAGCATTGTAAATGCAATCACTTTCAACTCCCAACATTCTAATTTCCATCAAATCCATGTCTTTAGTGCAAAGTCGTAAAATGAAAGTATTTAACCGAGCTGAGTAACTTAGTTTAATAGCACCAGGAGGTACAGGAGGATCGTCTTCACCCTTTTTGAAGAAGCTTAATCCATATTTAATTACTTCAATGATATTCGGAATTTGTCCTGGATATGGAATAGTTTGTAAATCTTCACAGTAGTTTTTTAGTTTCATAAATGCTTGTCGATGAAAAACAACATTCAAATTACGAATATTAAATATCAAAGATTGTTCAATACTTCTAAAGTGTGATTTGAAATCTGGACAATTGGCTCTTACTTTTCGATAAGAAATACCAACAATGTCGTAAGAACCATCAGTGGATATAAGCTCGAGATAAGACCCTGTAATTCCAGCATTAGTTTTATCAGCAAGGACAATTGTACCAACTCCAAACTGGAATGCTGGACCGTATTCCATAATTGCTGACTCCAAGTACAAAGTGCAGAGTCTTAAAATTAAATAAGGCTTTTCTCTTCCATTGCTTGTGCAACTTGCATGGAAGCATAATTCACCCACAACAATTCTCAAAAGTAAATTGACATGATTGTGAGGCGAAGTATTGTCATCAAACCCGAAATAATTAACTGATTTAATCCACTGCTCTAGATCTTCTTCACTAAACTCTGATGAAGAAACAATACTCTTTTCGGATTCAGTCATTACTGTCGAAGGAACGACACTGCCATGATAGTCAGACATTTCTCTTCCCATTATAAATGATGATAATGCTATCACTGATCTTATTCGAATTAATTCTTCAGAAGAGAGAGAAATATATTCACTCGTTTTCTCTTGAATTTTTAAAATACTCTTTCGAATTTTTTCAATATCTCGTGGTTTCGGTACAGATAATTGACTCAAAAAATTATTTAGACAAATAAATTTGTGCTTTGATAAATTAAATTTAAGAGTAGAAATAGAAACATTTAATTTAAGTCTTGGTAATAGACGATAATCTGGTTTAATACTGAATGACACTGTAATATTGGCTTGAATCTTTGGTACAAGGTGACTATCAGAGTCCTTCCAATTCCTTGACTCCCTCCAATCATCTCCAGAATGGCAAATGAGTACTTGACTGTCAGTTAGGACAATATGTATTCTGTCATATAATAATTCTTCTAATTCCATCATGGTTGCTTCTTCTAACTGAGCTTCTACCGCTTGTAACTCAGTTTTGAGAGTCAACCTACCTAAGTCAAGTAAAAGAATATGTTCTCCATCTTGTATCGATCCATTTTCAGGAATAACCAAATAGGGACCTTTAATATCCAACTTTAAATTTATTCTTAAGCGACGGTTCATTATTGACTTAACGAGACCTACGCATTTTCCTTTTGTTTTCTTGTAGCCACGAAGAACACTCCAGGCTAGATATTGAACATTGGCTTTATGGCCTTCGAAGAAGTTGAAAAGCTCTAGCATGGCATATTTATGATAAGTTACTTCAAATGCTTCAAGTCTGACATTAATGTCGTAATTGAAATCAGAGTTTTGTGGATTCTTTTCAAAGTCTACAGAGATGAAATCAACAGCGGCATTTCCTGTTAAAATATTATCAGCTGTAACAAGAGGAATCAAATCATTTTCTGATGATGCTCCTTCAATGACAAGGCTTTCAGCTCTAGCTGATATTTTGTAAGCTGATGGCTCAGGTCTTGTTTCTATACTCGTTAAAAAGTGTGTTACAGTTGCTACGAGAATTTCTCTATTATTATTTAGTAAGCTTAATGACCAATTAGCTAAAGTAAAATTATACTTTTTCTCTATATGTTTTGGTAACATATCTAATTTAAATTTAGTTTCATTGTCATATCCACTTATATTATTTGGTTTAGGACTGGTAGGTATTCCACAAATTTCTTGAATTTTTTCACAATTAACCATGAGTTTAATATTAGAAGAACCCGATTCTATAGTTACGTAATCAGGATATTTCTCTTTTAATTCAATTTTAGCATGCTCTCGAGCTACTATTATGTTCAAAATTGTTAGGCAATCCTCATATTTCTGAAGATCTAATTTTAATTCAGTGTCATTGGGTCGTAACAAATTTTCCATAAAAGTTTTTTTATAAACTTTATAATTTTCTCGATGAGTTTTGATATACTTCCAAGTATAAGGTCTAATATTTTGTTCTAGAATTGCTTTATAAGCGTATCTCCACCATGTTCTTGGTTCCTCTTTAATAGAGGCAGTAGGATGATGCTTCAAAACTAACCTTGTTCTAAGAGAGAGAGAGAGAGAGAGAGAGAGAGAAAAAGAAAAAAAAGACTCATATATTTATGAAGAAAAAAATATTGAATTATTATAATCTAACCTTTCTACTGCTCCTTGTTGAAGTGATTCCCACAGCAAACAAAAAGCAGAAAACTGTTCATCAGATATTTGCATTGCAATATCCTTGAGTACTATGTCTACTAACATTCTAGAAGCTTGCCCACTATTACTTTGGAACATAATAACTTTAATTTTGGTCGTAAAAGGCTTTATAACTGTAAATAATTATTACATTTAGAATAATATCAATCGGGATATAAATAGTAAATAGAAAAAATGTATCTGAACTTACGAAATTGAAATTCTTCATTATTTATTGCAAAAGTTCGTAAAGAACGGTTCATAACAGCTTTCCATGCTAAAAGATTATTGAAATCCCAGGTTTTGGGATAATTTTCAATTGAAGATATTCCATTTGGATTTAAATACAAACTAAGAGATTCAACACGGATCAACTGATAAGCTGATTTTGATGTAACTGGTGTAACACCAGGTTTCCATTTACTGGAAGTTGATAAAAATAATTTCAGTAAAATATATATATATTTTTTTTATTTGTCAATTCCATTTTACTCCAACTCACTTGTTGGTGGTGGCCATGGAAAAACTATGGATACACAATCCACAGGTGATACTTAAACCACTGGGGAATCGTTCTTCATATCTGACATGAACATTGCTCACAGTAATTTCGAAATTTTTCACAACAGATGCCATTAAATTTTCGAAAAGACCTGATGGTAAACCTGGTAAAAATAATTCCATATTATTGATGGAATTTTTGATATAAAAGATAATCTAGTTTGAAGTGGATCAAAAATTTACCAGAACGGAATAATCCATCACCCTCTAAATCTTCTAAGACTTTTCTTTTTGATGACCTCATTAATCTTTTCTGAATTTCTGGGTCGTAAAGCCCTGACATTGCAGGCACAGCCACAATATAAATATCCTAAAATTTATTATACATATTTTAATTGAATATTATTCAAATTACTTTAATTTTAAAAGTCGATAATAAGTATTAAAAAAATAGACCAATCGTTTAATAATTATTTGAAAAATGCTAATTAAAATTGATTCTTACAAATGAATACGATCAGTCAACAATTATCAATATCTATAAGCTTTATTAGATTGAAAAATATAAATAGCAATGAAATCAATGTGGCATAATCATTATTATCAATTAATGCTTGATGTAGTCTAATGATGTTAATTAAATTACCTCTATACACAAAATAATTGGCTGAGAAAAAAGTCCTGGCCACGGTATTTTTAGTGAAACTTTTCCAACTATTCCAATTTCTATTCTAATCGGTAACCCAAGTTGATACTGGAGGAAATAAGAATTTGCATTAGTTACATAATTATTATAAATTGAAGACATCATTTAAAAGGAATAAAATTATTTACTAAAGCTTCGGGTTTCAACTTGAGATCCGTCAGGTACGTTTCACCTGAGAATATTCCCACATTAAATTGTTCTGTATCGAGGTCCTCAACGTATCTACCAAGAAGGCGATTGAGAAAAGCTGCTACCGCACCCTCGAACATTGTTCCTTTGATTGTTATTTAATTACTAGTGCACAACAATTCCAGAATAGTATTCACATAAATTATTATTTATTTTCACCTAATCTTTTTTGATCTTTCTAGCTCGAAGACACTCGAGCAAGTAAATGGTCTTAATATCACCATAACCTCTCTGGAAAAAAATCTTTCTGAATGTCCATAGTTTTCTCTCAAGACATTCTCTAAGTCCTTAGTCAGTATGCGCGAGACCTCCCGCAGAATTATATTGATCAGTTTTTGTACCCTATATACAACAAATGATTGATACTTGTACGCATGTGTACACAAATATGTTATTGTGTTTATTTGATAATAAATTAGTTTGACATTTACTGATGTTTATTACGTAAAAAAGGCATTTATATTTCATGTCTATCATTGATTATCGTAAATAAAGTAAATATGAAGGAAAACTAGAAAACTCCAAGTTGTAATGATTGTTTTCCCGTTTGGCTGCAGCATTCTGTTGTAGTAGACTTCTGATAGTTGATGGAAAGTTTTCACCCTATGGAGTGTGTAATCACATTCAACAGTTTGTTGTTTATGCGTTCGAAGATAACTTTGGAAATTACTGATGCTGACTGAGATAAAACGCTTGTTTGTTTTATGATTAATTTGATTTTCCCTTCAGCATCGAGATCTTTTTTTCGTGTTAATCCTAAATATAAAATAATCGTATAATATAAAATAATCGATATTTTTTACCAATTAATCGAAAAGAAATAACTTACCCATTTTTATTGGAATTAAAAAAGAATTTTTCAATTATTAGAAAAATACACTCAATCTCAAGAAGTGAAGCGTCGGCGATACATTATCACCATAATAATCAAAGAGAAAAAACAATAATCTATTATTTTATCCCAAAACCTTTGTAAATATCTCGAGCTTGGATAATAAAAATCAGAGTCTCCAGGTATAATTTTAACATAACTACAGGCCATTTCTGAAACAATTATATGAAACATTTAATCACAAAAAATGCACACGTGTATTATTTGATACTCTGATGCAATCAAATGAAATATTAATAATTTTTATCGTTTAAGAGTAATTTTTTTTATTATAATTTTTAAATAATAAAATCTCTTACTTACTATTATGTTATTTTAATTAACTATAGTCGAAATACTGAAAGAGTATATAGACACTTGGAGGTTATACAGGGAAATTATTTTAGCGCATGCGCAAAAATTATTTCTGAGCTTGTTCACAACTTAAAATAATTTATTGCTCGTATAAAATATTTTTCTGTATAACAATTTTTGATAAATAATAACTTAGAATAACTTGAAATAAAATATAACAAATATAATAACTTTAAAAAAAATTTCTCATATAACCTCCAAGTCTACTATTTTAGTGTTGTTTCGACTATACATATATAAATCGGGTGCCTTAGAATATGAGAGTTACACGTGCAAATACATTATACAGAAAATTTAATGTAAAAACTTGTAAATAAGAATTTTTACAATGTTGAGTATTAGATTATGATTAAATCATATATTAGTCATAAACTATTATGTAAATATTTATTAGTTCTGGAGCTGACAATATATAATATCATTGTTCTTAGTTAAAATTTTATATTAAAACATTTACTTGGTTATAAAACTTATTCTTGAAATTTATAAATCATGGGAATTATAAGATCTAAACTAATGAGACCACTAAAAACGTATAATGTTGGGCATAGAGCGGAAAAAGTTATTAGTCAAGAAAAACCTAAATCTGCACCTTATTATCCTTCAGTGTATGAACAAATCAAAGTGGCTAAAGAAGGTTCACCAATATTTTTCAATTACTTTTTTTTAATATAATGTATATAAAATTTTGATTATTTAATAATTAATAAACTTTTTTTCTTTTGTAATATTTTAGTTTATAACTATCTATATATGCTTATTCACAGCTAGTCCCAACTTCATAAAAGAACATTATAAAAAAGATTCAGAGCTTTATGAACGATTAAAGGGCGTTTTTGTAACGTCAAATATGACAGTAAATATAATTTAATTTTCTTCAATGAAAGGAGTTTTTATTACTTTATTTCAAATAATATAACGATTTATTTAGGAAAATCCTAAAATTAAACAAAAAGAAAAAAAAACTCTTCCTTTTTCCACGATAACTCCAGATGCTTTTGAATTTGGATTTTGGGAACCTAAAGAAGTTTCAGAAAGAAAATGCAATTTAAGAAATGTGATAGTAATGTTAGCTGATCATATAACCAACAAGGAGCAAAACAGTGCTGAAATATTGGCAGAAAAATATAAATTAGACCTCAAAGATGTTGGTAAGAATTTTACATTATAACTGAAGTTAAATGATAATATTTAATTATTTCAATAAGACAAGTCAATATTTGATTTCTTTATATTTCCAGAAAACCTTTTAGAATATTATAGGGTTCTCCAAATATTTGAACCAAAACGAGAACGAGGTATTCGTGAAGAAGACATGTCACTTCCAAAAATGAATGAAAAAGGAATATTAATATGGAAATCAATGGATCAAGTAAACAAGTGGAGAGAAGAAGATGAAAAGGAAATTGAAAAAAAAAGAAAGGAAGAAATTAAAAATGAGGATCAATCAAAATTATCTCAAGTAGATAAGCAAACTGAATCGCCTCATAAAGACAAGAAAACAGAATCATCTCATAGAGATATAGAAACGGAATTATCCAAAATAGATAAACAAAAAGAATTACCTAAATAATGAAGACTTTTAGGAATATTAAATCATTTTATTTATTATAATTATTTTCAAAAAAGTATTGTAAATATTTATTCTTAAGATGATGAAGTTGTGAAGAAGCTTTTTTTTTAGCAAAATGAAGAACATTTATAGAAATAAAAAACTGTTGTTTTATTAATTCTTATTCTGTACATTAACTTTACTAAAAATTAATTCAAAATAAGAGTGTTATTAAAGGTATTTTCAATTATATTTATTCAATTTGAAAGAAATATTCATAAATCAATAAGAATCATGATGTTAGTTTTTGCGATAAATTATCGATAAGATATCAGTTTCAATTCAAATGCCCATACATTATTCAATAACTATAAATCGATGATCATTATTAGATTCCAACTTAGATTATCCGTGATAGTCCTGGTGTAACATTACATTTATTTCTGATAATTTTTTTACATTTTAAATCATGTGAGCTAATTAATAAGCTACTGAATCCATTTCTTTTAATAATTCATTACTTATCATGTGATGTATTTAATTTTATTTTTGAATTTTTTTTTTATTGTTTTAGGCATAATTATATAATGAAAGTCATCGTATTACTTTCGATTATATCATCATCAGCTTATGCATATACTTTACTTAAATGTGGATTACCGTATGGAACCATATCTAAAAAAATAATCAATCCAGATTTTCATTACTTTCAGACTAACTCTTTTACTTGGATTGTATCGATTAAAAAAATCACTGTTAATCATGAACATAATTTTTGTAAAGGCTTTCTCATACATCCTCATGCTGTTTTAACAGCTGCTCATTGCGTACAAAAGTAGATGTAATTTTTAAAAAAATCAAAGTTATTGGTGGAAGGATTTTGAAGTTGTAAAAGACTGATTTCAATTAATTTCTAGCGAGTCAGAAGGAAGTTTAAGGATCCAAGCGAATATTATAAAGGAAAAACGAATGTTTTTAGTTGAGAAAACTCTTACACGTAATGTTTCAGAGATTTTAATTCATCCAAACTATTCAGCTTGTGATGCAAGTTCAAATCATGCTATTTTGCGTTTGATTGAACCATTTCCATTGAATCATAAACTTAATATTATTTGTTTACCAACTTTCGATCAAATATCTCTTGCAGGCGATTGTGGTTACACATTGATAAATATAAATTCTCGTTATTTATGGAATATACCTGGTATTAAATTTTTAATTTTTTCATAAAATAGTAAACTAGATTTAATTATGGAAGTTACATGTTAAATTGAACAATTTTATAATTTAATTGTTATTTTTAAGGAGAATCAAATACATGTGAATTGATGGACATTTCAATGCAGGATGGTGCAATATATGTACATTCATCTTGCGAGCGAGGAAAAAATAATACTGATCTAATTTTGGTTAGTATAAAGAAAAAACAAATTAGTATTATTAATTTTATTTTATTACTTTGTTTATTATTAAAATGATTCATTGAATAAAAATGTCTATTTAGGATATTTCGGCACAATTGGAGTCTTGTGAAATACCTCGTGGTTCTGATCAATTTTTTTATTTCGGAATGAATATAGACATTCTTTATAATTGCAATCATAGAACAATTATAATGAGTAAGAATGATAATCTGTATGATAATTTGAACTGGATTACTAGCATATTACGTGATAAATTCTAAAGATGTAGATAACAAGCAGATTGAAAAAAAAAAAAAATTATTACTAAAAGTACATAAAATACGACTTTACCAGAAAAATATTGATTTTGATATTTTTCTTTAGCCAAAAATAGATAATGATATCGTTGATTGGTTCAATTTTTAAGTAAATATTAAAACCATCGAATGACATCTGAAATAAATCAAATAAAAGATTCAGAGTTTCAATAATGATTTGATAATAATAGTGTCTTAATAAATACAATGATAAAATTATTACAATTATCTTAATAAAAGTATAAAAATAATATTTTTAAAAGTGTTAAAAAATAATTAAGTTTTCACAATGATTTCAAATTTTATTATTTAATTTATTGTAAACCCATCCTCAAAATTGTTAAATATTATTAAAAATTGTATGAAAAGTTATTTTATAAAAAATGTATATGTTTATTAAATGTAATAAAAAATATTAAATATGTGCAAATGGCAAGGTTTTTTATAAATTAAAACACTGTCAATTTGGATTAATATAAAATGTATTATAATATTTTTTTTACTTATTTATTTGAGTTTAAATAAAATAACTGTAAGAATGCAAAAAACATATCAACGCGAACAGGCTGTGTCAGTAACGAGCAAATAAAAGAGATCTTTAATGATTACTGATTGTTTTGTACATTGGCCTAATATTATTTCGTTGAATTACGCGTTTAGATTTAATTTATGTGTTTTAAACATTTACGAGGAAGTTCTTACAATTATAATATCAACGTAAAAATTAAACTTGTGTTTGTTTCATAATCATATTGTATGACATAATTGTCATGATAGCAATTAATAAATCAACAGTCATTTAAGCTGATACATCACAAAAGTTAATTATTAAATTTGTGTAAAAACTATAGACAATATAATTATATAAAAAAGGAGTTTAATAAATTTTTTTTTTTTTTTTAATATTTATCGTCCTTAGTAATTAATTTTTATGTTATTATAATTCGATCAACTAATTCTAAATAAAAATTTTTAAGTAAAGTTCTTCATGGTAAACAAATTAAACTTTATGATTTTTAATAAAGGAAGTATAAATTTCGATTTCACAGCATTATAGGCGTTTCACTAGTAATTTTGAAAAAATTTGTCGAGTCATGATTGTACTATCGAATGAGCGAGTTTTTTTTTATAATTAAATGTTTCCTTTAGTTTAGTATCACTTCTATTTGCAAGACATTATAACATCTAAAGTAATTAAAAAGAGTACTGTGCAAGAGTGGATTTTGGTCAACGGCAACCATCTTCCCCTGTGTTCCCGATATTTCGTTTAAAATAATAATACAAGATCATGTTTTAACTCGTTAAAATGTTCAAGACCCCAGGCTGTTTAACGTTAAGGGCTTAAATTGCATTGTCCATAGTTAGTTGCAAGTATAGCCTCAACGTTTTTTACTTCAAATTTGTAAAAAAATTTTTTACAATTAAAAACGGTATACACGGCAGCATTCACAATAATGGAGGGTCAAAGTATAAAACATCGTGAAAGCCAGTTCGGTGGTTTCCTTGCAGGTTCCGAAGCTTTTAGCTGATTTCCTCCACTTTTAGGCGGGTTCGATGCCTCCTAGAAATTCCAAAAATTCTCTCATTAAATATCATTTTCATTAATAAAATATTTTTCGAGAAAACATTAATGAAAATTAACATAAAACCATCAAAGTATAAAGGAAATAATGCGATATAAATTAAGAAAGACAAGGCAATGAAAATAAAAATGAATTTTAAAACACATAAAATAACGAAAAATTAAAAAATGAGTATTAAGCCAATAGAGTTACCTTCTTCCATTATAGACCCGCACCACATATAGATAAAGACATAGGAAACAAAGAAATAAAAATTAGTAATGTGATAAATGTGGTGTATTTACATTGTTTAATGGTAATAGATACTATGGTGAATGTAAGTAATACATGTGATTATTAAAAAGATAATATTAATTATACCTAATGATTTAGTATTTCTAAAATATTAAAAATAAATAATATTAGTTTATAGGGTTAGTGACTAATGGATTCTTACCAATTTTTTCTCCATTTTAGCTTTAATGTCTCTGGCCAAGGTGAAAAAAGCTTCTTCAACATTAATGCTTGATTTAGCAGACGTCTCCATAAATTTAATTCCATACTCAACTGCTAATTGCTCTCCTCTCTCCTTATTAACTTGTCTCCTATCTGCTAATTCACACTTATTACCTAGTAACATTTTCTCTACATCTGCTGAAGCATTTTCTTCTATGTTACGAATCCAGTTCTTTATATTTTCAAAACTTTTTTCATTAGTCACATCATAAACGAGCATTATACCCATTGCTCCTCGATAATAAGCTGTTGTAATAGTACGAAACCTCTCTTGGCCAGCGGTATCCCTGTAAATATAATACCAGTATAAATATAAAATTCAAAAATAACAACAATAATAACATGTTTATTTATAAAAAGTACTTACCATATTTGAAGTTTTATTTTTTTACCATCTAATTCAATTGTGCGTATTTTAAAATCGATTCCTAGAGGAAAATTACAAATACTATATTTAAACGTCAAATAAATAAGAGAAACATAAGTAACATTTGTCATTAAAGTCGTTGATTGATGATTAACATGTGTAGCAATGTAATGCACAGTAAAATTGATATGTGTTATAGCTTAAGACAACGTAGTCTTTGTTCGTTGGTGAATTGACTCAATTCTTTGAGCAATATAACGATATTTTTTTTGAAAGGGTGTGCCATTTTAATAGTAAATGAATATGCTACTAATAATATTAAAGTAACGGATGTATTTTAATGATTATTACGGGATTGAGCGTGAGAAAAAAAAAGGAAAGATGTTTTTGCTTACCAATGGTTGAGATAAAGGTTGTGTTGAAAGCATCTTCAGAAAATCTAAAGAGAACACAAGTTTTTCCTACTCCTGAATCTCCAATTAATAGCAATTTAAATAAATAATCATAGGTCTTTGCCATGTTTAAAAGAATCTATCTATAAAGCTGATACGAAGTAACCTCAATATTGTTATTTAATCACCACTACACTTGTCGCATTTGACACTGCCCGGATGTTCCGTACTCCTTGTTACTCACAATGACGATACTGGTATCGATGAGTGATAATGATATTCTTGTGGTTATAATATTGATTACGTTGATTGTCTAATTACGTAGTGAATTATCAACGTCTTAATGAAGTAATAAGGAGAAAAAAACGATGACAATCTGATGATGAGTGATGACTGATGACTCCAGGAATGCCAAAACGTATTTCCATTATATGAAAATTAATGTATGGCTGAGAAACAACTGAATAAATTGTGTTATCGAATTATATTGATGAGAACTCTGTCGGAATCTTTAGAGATTATGAAGACTCAGTTGGTAAGATTTTTTTGTAGGAATATTTCCATTTATTGATAATAATGGAAACGCTATTTTTTTTTATCGAAAAATAGTAAAAATACACAAAATTCGGAGTACAATTACGCATATTTGAAATTGTTGTCAGAGAGATAAATTAATCGGAAATTAAGAAAAAGTAACAATAGTTTTGATTAAATTGTTATCGTTTTCAGTTTAATTTATTCATAAATAACATAATATACAACTTTAAAAATAAAAGAACACTTAACCGTTTATTGTTTTATATTAAAACACTTTGAATTAATTTGAAAAATAATTGTAGTTATACAAAAAATAGATGCTTAGAAAAATATAAATTCTAACAATGATAAATTGCAAAATAAGTATGTAGATGAATAAATGAAAGAAAGATAATTTCTATAATTAAGTTTTTTTGTTAGTTTTTTCATTAATTTCTCTACAACGTAGTGTTGCAGCTTCAATAGCTCCAATTAATGCTGATCTTAAACCATGCTTTTCAAGATGATGAATTGCAGTAATTGTAGAACCAGCCGGAGAAGCAACGTCATCTTTCAACTGTGCTGGATGATTATCAGTATGTTGAACCATAGTTCCAGCACCAAGGACTGTTTGTGATGCAAGTGAGTATGCAAGTTGTCGAGTCATTCCCATTTTTACAGCACCATCCGCAAGAGCTTCAATTATCATATAAATCTAAGATATAGAATATCAAAAAGTTTATATAAACAACACGAACGAATTTAAGATAGAGAAAGTCTTAAGATAAATTAGATAAACATTTACATAAGCGGGTCCTGATCCAGCCAACGCAGTAGCAACATCTATTAATTGTTCATCATGTACTTGTTCACATAATCCGACTGATGAAAACAGTCTTTCTACTGTTTCTATATCTGATTTAGTTGCATGAGTTCCTTTCATAAAAACTGATGCTGAATGTCCAATTGTAGCAGCAGTATTAGGCATAGCGCGAATAACTCGTGTTCCTTTCGGTAAATTCTAAATATTTAATAATAAATTATTAAGAAAGATATCTAAATAAAAAAATACCAAACCAGAAATTTTAAAGGAGCCTGAATTATGAAATTACTTGTTCTAATGAAGAAATAGATATTCCAGCAGCAATAGACACAACTAGTTTCTTAGAATTTATAATTTTAGGTAATACTTGATTGACTACTTGAGGTTTAACTGAAACAACTAAAACATCCCCATGTTGAGCCACAAGTTCGTTTTTGAACACCGTTTTAGATCCAATGGCCTGTAAAAGCATCAATCAAAACAAAACGTTAAAAGAAGTATAAATATTTTTTTTAATACCTTGAAAGCTTCTATACTCTTTTCATCATCTGGTAAACAACTTGCGAGGATCATTTCTCCATTACTCATTCCTATTTAAATTTAGAAGACACTCATTAATTTTATCTGCATAAAATTTAACATAGTAAATAAAATGCTTACCAGATTTGATAAATCCTTTTGCCAAAGCTTGTGCCATTTTTCCACCACCAAAAAATCCAATTTTTATTAATTTATTCATTATTTATTTCATTTAAAATTATCTAATAGTTCATAATTTATTATTAAATATAATTAAATAAACTGGGGAAATTATTTACATGAATAAAACTTATAAAAATTATCAAATTTAATAGAAAAACACCAGTAGCGACAAATAATAAATGACAATGAAATAAAATACATATAGAACAAAAGATTGATTATTTTTATTGTTTTTTTATTTTCATTTCTTTTATGACGTGAGATCATACGCAATCTTATTGCCCCCGCCAATCATTCTTTATCATTAGCATTGGTATACTATAAATAATTAACAATATGTACATTCTTATGACAATTAAAATAGTAACGAATAAATTATAAACAATTTTTTATAATGACTAGATTTTTTAAAGGCACTTTATAAGTATTATATAAAAACAATTGATAAAATATTTAATTGTTTAAGCTCAGACTATTTTCTTTTATTTTTTTAATTATTAAACATTGAATTTTGTTATCAAAATTAGAATGCTTTAATTTTTTTTCGTTGGACTAGATCCTTTAAAGCTGCACTAAACTCTACTAATGTTTCTGTTATAGGTCTTTCTTCAAACTTTTCTATTATATCACTGAATTCATCAACTTCTTCATCAAACATTTCATTTTTCAACGTATAAAACTGTTCAATAATATCTTTTAAATAAACCTTAGCATTATCCAATGATTCAAGTTCACTTTTGTCGCCGATGAAATTATCTGTTTCATCAATGCTATCCTGTAGCGGAGCAGTATTGATTTCATTATTTCTACGTGCAGTTTCTGACGTATCTTGTGACCTTTCATTGATATTTAAATGCGAACGATCCTCGAGTAATCCTAGATTATGTTCAAATTCTTTAAACTGATCAATTATATTTCTAATACTTTCTTTAACGTTATTAATTTTAGGTTTATTTATTTTTTGTTGTTCTTCTACAACTGGATTAGATTTCTTTGATAAATTTATACTATCAATTTTCTTTTTTACTAAATTTTTTATATATGTTTTAGGCACACGAAGATTAGTTTTGGTCTGAATACTATCTTGATGATCAAGTTCTGCTTTATTTTTATACAGTGCCTTCATTATTACGACTTTTTTTGGTCTTTCGAATTTTTTTCTTAAACGCTTGTCAATTTCATTAATTTCCAAAATTGAATCTACATAGTCATATTTAGTTGATTCCTCAGGTACTAATGTATTTTCAATAATTTTTTCTCCCTCAAAATCTTCTTTGCTTTGATTATTTTTAATATTTCTTTCAATTATTACTTTTTCTGTTTTAATTATTTTATTTGTTGATTTAACTGTTGGAGTACTCATTTTAATACCGTCTTCTTTCTTTTCTTTTTTATCTAATATATTTCGTAATTCGGTTAATTTTGAATCTTTTATTGGCAGTTCGTTATTTATATTACCACTGATTTTATGAATTAATTTTTTTTTCACTTTTTCTTCATGTTTTTCATTGAAATTGTTCTTAGCATCCATTAATAAATCTCCAACTTGATCCTTTACTATTTTATTTAATTTAATTGTCGTTCTGATTACGGAACTAATTTTACTACTGTCATCTTTTTTATTACGATAATTTTCTTTATTATCAATATTATTATCATTATTTTCATTATCTTTATCATCATAATTGTCATCAGCAGCTTCGTTATCTAGATGAAATGGTGATTCAGTAGATTTGAAATTTTTATTCAATAATTGACTTTCATCAACTCTATAAATAATTTTCTGTTGATTTTTTTCCTCATCTTCCTCATCAGAATTAATCTTATAATTTTCAGATGAATCAGTAAGAGTTTCTCTTTCTATTTTAATTATTTTATTTGTACTTTTAATAGCAGCACCAATCTTAATACTATCAATCTTTTTATAAATGTTATTATCTTTTTGATTAATATTTTTTTCTTTTTTATTATTATTGTCATTATTTGGCACAATTAATAATTCGATTGGTTCTGAGTTTATGATAGGAGAATCATTATTGTCAGATTTATAAATAATATTTCTCTGAGATGCTTCATCATACTTTTCAATAGAATTTATTTCATCATTCATTGATGCATTATCATCTACAATTTCACTCGCAGTATCAACAATATTATTTTGGCTTATTTTATCAGTAATAAAATTATTAACATCATCAAAAATAACATTATTTTTTCCAAAAGGAGCATTAGTAGTATCATACTCAGTATTATTTTTTCTTTTCATTATAAAAATCATGGGTCTCGTTTTAATTCTAATTGGAGGGATCATATTATAGTTCAATGCTATATGAGAGAATCCATCAATAGAGTCAACAATTTCATAGGTAGTGAGGTAAGGTTTAATTGTAGGTGAATATTTACTTTTGGCTTCCATTAATAAATAAGTGAATTGTAAAATTTCGGGATCATCGTAACTTATATTCTCTTGTTTAGAATATCTACAATAAATCATAGTAAAACACGATTAGTTAAAATTAGTTAAAACCACATGCTGTATTAGTAATAATCTACCTACTTCCAACTTGGATTAACTTGTGTAAATCGTGAGACTCCTGTTTGAGCTGTTAATACATCAATATGAACAGAAACAGGATAGTTGTTGGAATTTCGATCCAATCTATGCAATCTAGTTATTGCTACACCACCTGGATAGTTTGAACTTGATACACACAATAGAAACATGGAAAATATTGCATTCAAAACAAAATGGCTTAAAACAGCTCCAGCCAGAAGAGTATTCCATTTTGATTTTAATCTATTGTGCCAGCTAATTGAAAGAATATTAATTAATCTAACTTCTTTATAAATAATTTGAATTAGTATGAATTTAGGAAAGGACTTACATTCTTTGGCATGCCGAAGCTGTTGCTACGTTTAATAAAGGAAAAACGTAGATAATAAACCTCAATTCTTTGTGAGGTAGAAAGGAAAATAAAAGAACAAATACGACAGCAGGCACTGTAAGAGCACGTACTCGAGCATCCCAAAACATTCCTACGAGAACTAGGAGATATGATAAACCAAGTCCTCGTGGTAATGCTGAATAAAAATACCATAAAAATGGAGATGTCTGTATGATAATACTAAGGATTATTTTATGTTTTTATTTTTGATATCGATAATAATATATATATATATTATTGAATTATCAAAAGGATACACCCCATTCGCTACTTTTATTTAGGATTGTGTTGAAATAAAGCACTTCTCCTTCTGGCCAAAGGGGTCGTCGCCAAAAAAAAGAATCAATTCCTACAGTTAAAGCTAAAAAAAATATTCCAGCTGGAATAGCTATTTTTAAAAGTCTGAAAGAATATGTATTTTATCAACAAGTGTTCGGATACCTATTAGACGAATAAATCAAAAATTTCTATTTTTCATTACCTTTGAACACTAAGCTTTTGGTTTGCCATATCATAAAATAAAAACAGTCCTAAAAGGATAGCTAACTCTGCTCTAAAAATAATTATTGCTGCAGCAGATGACCAAATAAATAAAATATGATTTTGTTTTAACCATGAACCCAAAGCCAACAAAACTAAAATGAGTATTAAAACTTTATAACAGTTTGAAATATTTTAGAGTATGAATAAATATAATTTTTACCTAAAGGCATTGCCATAATATTTGGTAATGGTCTGCTCAAATAAAACATAAAATGATATTGGGTTACCATAACCGCAGTAAACCAGTATGTAAATTCGGTACCAAATATTTTTTCTAGTGTTTTTCTGAATAGTCTCAAAGATAAAATAATTAATAGTCCTAAAATTGCTCTAACTGAAAAGAAAAAAAAGAGTTTATTAAAATATTTTGTTATTGTACTTTTTTAAATTTAGAATGAACCTTGGTTGATTGTTTATTATTTTGGAGTAAAAATGAAAAACAGTAATAAAAATAAATTACCTGCGTATTGAGCACAAAATTTGGATAATTTGCAATAATTTATTAAACTAACAATAGGATATGATAACCCAGATATTATGATAGGACCCAAAAAACTTCTAGGAACAACTCCAGGAAATTCATGATGATCATACTAGAAAAAATAATTGATAAAAATATAATAACAATAGGTTAATTTCTAAAATATTTATTATTACCTCGTCCAGGTTAGAACCATGATAAAGTATATCGTGTGTAGCTTGTAAATTAAAACTTTCTTCAACTTTTGTAAATGGACAATATAATAAATGAACTAAAGCAATTAAAATTATTAATTGGTCCATTTTACTCGTCGTTTATATTTCGTCGTTCATGTATGTATTAATAGAAAAAGGGATTTTGGTTCATAATATTTTTCAAAATAGAAAATAAAAAATATATTGAAGAGTAGAAAGTACATTTAGGACCGGTTCCCAAGTCTCAAAATACCACGATTTACGTCAAATATTTATTTAACATGAAATTTAAAGATAGTTGAAGGAAAATTAATTTAGTAGATGGCGCTAGTATCAACCGCCATATTGGAAAAAATGATACAAAATGGTAGCAATGTAATTATGCGCCATCTAGTGTTTGCCAGTTGTATAAACCGCATTACAATAGTTTGTTGCAAAAATAAACACCATAGCAACGTTCCCACATGTTCCAGTGTTTTCTCGAATAATAACAAGTGTTAGTGCGGTTACGACCCTAACAACAAATTAAAACAGTCAATAAATTTTTATCTCAGTCAAAATAATTACTTCAAACGAGTGATTTTGATTGTTTGAAGTTAGAAGACAAATTATTATACATCGAAAATGACGAAAGAAGACCAATTTGATGGGATGTTGTTAGCGATGGCCCAACAACATGAAGGAGGAGTACAAGACGTAAGTTTATAATTAAGATTTTGACTATTGCTTTGTTAATGTTAATGATAAAATCATGGTCCAGTTAACATATTATTTAAATGCTTTTATTTTAGCTTTTAGATACAATTTTCAGTTTTTTAGCCAGAAAAACTGATTTTTATACCGGGGGAGGGGAAGGAGCTGCAGAGAAGGTAATCATAAATATTTTAGTAGATTTTAAAATATTATCTATGTATTCAATTTTTCATCATTTAATTTTATCCCATTTTATTGGATGATATTTATTACTTTCTGATTTAAATGTAGCTATAAATTATCGCACATTGATTGTTAATTACTTTAAATGTTAAAACAATATTTTAATCATGATTTTAGTTATTATTAACCAAGTTTAAAAAACATGAAGCAACTGCCTTAACCAGAATGAATATCGAGAAAGAAGAACGAGCTGAAACAGCTAGAAGACGCAAGGAAAAATTAGAAAAAAAGAAATTAGAAGAAATGGAAAGTATGGAAAGTGAACCGTGTAAAATTGTTGAACTTTCAGATGAACAAGCTGAAAAACTTCAAGCCGAATTGAATAATGAGAAATCGGTAAGTTCATCAAAGTCTCTTAAATAATTGTTGAACAAGATTTAACATAAATGTGAAAATTAGTATGATGCAATAATTGATGTATTTTCTAGAATAAAACTCAAAATGGAGAACAATTATCTGCTGGACCAAGTAAAGAAGAAAAAATGGAAAGTGATGAGAAAAAAGGTGATGAAATTGATGATGATGATCCTGCTGAAAAAGGGAAATTATTACCTAATAGTGGAAATGGTGCCGACATGCCTAACTACCGATGGACACAAACTCTTCAGGAAATTGAAGTAAGTACACTACTTGTTTTGTAATTTAGAGAAACAAAAAAAGAAAACTTGATTATCATATAGACGATTTTCGAGACGATAAAACTGCTGCCAACAGCACATATTTTACCTTATTAAATTTTTTTATCGTTGTATTATTATTAAGATAATGAAAGAGAAAAGTTATCTTGACGTATAATGTTATGCAAAATACATTAATGTCTGTTTTAATGTCCAGTAAATATGATATATGTTCAGACGGAACTTTCTTCATTGTAAGATAAATTTTTTCGCTATCTCATACTGAGTATTTATTAATTTCATTATTCAAATTCAACAAACTATTTATAGAGGATATCAAGAAATTATTTTTACTAATCAATAAATAATGAACAATTTTTCATTTTTGGAATTAATTCCAGATCTACAATGAAAGTCCAGTGAGTTTATTGTAAAAGTGATTGTTTCTCTATTTATCATAAAAAAATGTCCATTTTATAAAAAACGGTGTAAAACCAAACACACTCGATCCATCATTTTTTTCTGAAACGTCTTTACGACGTATACTAATTCATTAGAAATGAAATAGAAATTCATTTCATAAGACGATGCTTTCAAGTTTGTTCTTAATGAGTAATATTGCGAATAATCGTGATGTTACTGACAACTATCCTTGATGGTTAATTATTGTTCTTGTAGAATTACAACTAATTTATCACCTAGCTATTGTCATTACTTATACTTAATTATGATCATTTTATCTACCAGTAGCTATATTTTTTAAATTATCAAAATAAGCTTTCATTTAGCTTGAATTTATTTGACTTTTCTGCTCTACTTTCTTTATATTTTAATAATTTATTTATAGGTACGACATACTTTAAATACTTAAATCAGTAGGATAGCTTTTTTACTTCATATACAAACAATATCACAGACACAAAGATCATAATACAAATTCGTTCTTATTAATTTCCATTGTTACTTCGATTTCAAATAATTTTTTCAATAATAAAAATTAATAACATACAACTTTTACAATACAAATTATCAGACATTATATCAATTTCATCATAATTGAAAACGTTTTGCTTAAAAATTACATTAAATTATTAAATAATCAAATTAAATTTTTAATTTTAATTTTTTTTTAGATAATTTAAAAAATACGTATTCCTTCCAATTATAATTTTGGTACTACTTTGTTTTAATTATCATTGTTGAGGTAATCATCAAGTTGATAATTTAGTTGAGAGCATAACTAAAGTGATAGATTACTAAAACGAAAACTTTCTATCTAGTACAACTATGAACTATTATAAATTACTTATAATTGCATAACTTTAAGTATCACACTTTTTTTTTAAGCAGTGAATTACAAATTATGTAGATGAATACTCAATCATAAAATTATTAAGTAAATTATGCGAATGAATGAATTGAATTAATAATAAATATTCGTGGCAGCGACGTGGACTTTATCGTGAGTCTTTTGTGATAAAATCTATTTTCGTTCAATCATATTTATCACGAGCTCTCACTGAAACAAAAAAAATGATTATCAGTGAAAGGTCAATCATTAAATACCAATTTAAACAATTATTAAATAATATTGGAATTACAATAACTAATTTTTTTTACGAAACGATAACGAAAAGTATCTTTTTATAAAATTTTCTGTTCTAGAAGTTATAAAACTATTATTTAACAGTAAAATGCGTTAAAGTGTTCTTTTTAGTGAATATAGGTTAACATATTATTGCAAAACAGCGTCCAATTGACCACAGTTTTGCAAGAAAGATCCAAACTGTGTCTACAAGCATAGAGGTTGGATCTTTCTTGCAAAACTACAGTCAATTATAAGTTGAAACTTACTTTCCATGTATAAAACACCCGCGAGTAATCCAATCATAAAAAGTAGACTCATAGTACACACGAGAACAGTGAGTTGATGCCTTGCACACCAGGATTTTTTATACGTTATTGTGCTTCTTCCTAATCCATTAACCACTGTGAAATGAGTACTACTTGCTACTGATACAGTATCCATAGATTTTGGAGAGCTTATTAATGGTGGTTGGATTACAGCAAGGTTTGCCAAATTAGCTGCTGTTAAAAGCAAGCTACCTGATGATACACTCTGTTGATAAAAACATTGTTTTGATAAATGATAAAATTTTTTACAAGATAGGGTTTATTGATGATAAGGAAATGAAACATACGTGTGTACTTGTAGTTGAATCTTGAGAGGAAGTTGAATCACTTATTGATTTTAGATTAGTTGTATTAACTTGTTGGATTGATTCTCTCCAGTTACTACCATCTTCACTGTCTTTTTCACTTCTACCAACTAGTGAAGGTCTTGGTATGTGCCAATTTGTTATCGAACTACCGTCTGTCATTGTTGTTAACGATGATACTGGTAGTGTTGATGAAATCTTTGTTGTGCTGCTCATTATTACTACACCTTTTAATCTACATAAAAAGAAAAAAAATATTGCGAGTTAATATTTTTGTACATATGGAATAAAAAGTAGCTTATTAACTTAATAACTATTATGCTGAATAACGGTTTCATGATGTTTGTTGGTTTTTGTTACTTTTAACTAATAACGATTACTACTTGAATAATCAACTTTGTTTACTTTTTTCTTCCTTTTAATTTATTGAATAATAAAGAAATGAATTATAATTGTGACAATATATATTCTATTATATAAATAATTATAAAATTGTCACTTTAAACTCTCTATTATTTAATAATTAATTATGAGATAATATTGGAATCAAAACATTTCATTCACTGTGGTTCCATTCATTCAATCAATGATTTTCAATAGTTTACTTTTGTTTATTGATCATTAATAAATAAATCAATTAATTGATTTTATAATTGTTAATTATAATTTATATAAATAAAATTGATTTAAAAAAACAGAAATGGACAAATTTATAACAGAAATATATTAATTAAATTTAATAGAAGAGTTTATTATAAAAAGTCTGTTGAATATGTTTTGTATATTATAAGTTTGTTATCAAAAGTCAGAATTAAAATATTAATTTTTTATGAATAACAACTAAGTGAATGGTAAAATGATTCTTACATTAACATTATTTGAATAAAGTCCCTATAACTAAAGTAAAAGTCAGTAATGAATTGAATGTAATAAAAATAATCTAACTTTTATGCAATAATTTGCTCTTTACTGGTGTGATAAATCTTTTCATCATCTCAAAAATCATCACATAAAATTTTCATCCAATAAATAACATTCGACATTTTTAGTTTGTTAAAAAATGAATAAAATTTAATTGTCATATATCAGCATAAACTTTGACAAATGTCAAATTTAAATAAGCAAACGATTCATTATAAATAATAACTTGAAATTATTCAAAAGTATGATCATATCTCATCATAATATTTATTTCATTTGCTACCAGTTTTACTTTTTAATAATGGTGTTAGTCAGGGAGAATAAGTTGAGATAAAACCTTGGACATTTAACTTTATACTCATCAAGATCGTTGTCAGTAACTGATGGAAGTTATAAACAGTATATTATGAAATGTTATTTAAATATTATAATTTTTATGCTGTAGTTTTGCAATACAAAGCACATTGGAAATAATATGGTTTTTAAGGACCTTGCATTTTGTTCATTAACTTGCATTTCATTTTTTTTTTCTTTTTTTCTTTTGGTAAATTATTTTATTAAACTTACACAGATTTCTTTAACAACTTCTGCTTAACTCTCCTGCAAATAAACTTTTTAACTAAAATTCAGTTCAAATAAATATCCAATTTAATCAATCAGCTGAAACAATTGATCGTTTCATAAAAATTTTCATGTTCTTAAGGAATTTTTTTTTTGGTGACAGTTATTTGTCACACGGTCTTAACACTATACAATGCACAGTGACGTGCTCTGTGCTATGACTATCCTGCTAATAAATCCAATATCCCGGATAAATAATTGCAAAATAGCAACCAATAAATCTTGTTGAATAATAAAAAGTTTCCGTTTATTGGAAAATCGTGCACAGAATCACCCTCCAAGACCGTGTGCTTCTTGACTTAACCAGTCACTATTCACTCTCTCGCACACACGCGACTAGAGCTTCTGAATCTGATCGTTATGAACTGACTCTTACCATAGTTGAGACTGGTTTTATATACCTTCGCATCTCCCACTTTCTGTCTTCGAGCACGCATCGAGTTAAAATGTCTTTTTTGCTATCTGCACACCGGATGTATTATACTGTAATTTTAAGTGAGATGAGCCTCAACCTGATTGAAGAATGCAATATTCATGTTTAACCATACTTATGAATACAAAAAACTAACTAAGTGATTATTCTTCAACAAGATACAAAAGATACTTATGCTAAATTTTCACCATTTCATTGTGTATCCTTGATGCTTGGATACCAAGTCTTGGTTAAGCAGCTTGGTGAAAAGATTGCCAGTTAGTCTTTCAAATTTGAAGCTTGGAAATTGGTATAATCTTCAACCCTTCATTTAGATCAGTTGATTTAGTTAAAAAATAGCAACATCTGCAACTGAAGCTGATCATGTGACTAATTTATTAAAATTAATTACATGATAGATTTTGAAATGAATCACATGACTTAGATATGATATCATGCATATTTAGGAGCATAAAAAACAAACGCTGGTTTGTTTTGTAAAACCTATGTTAAGTGAACAGCAGTAAATGAAAGGGAAAGAAAGAAACTTGAGGCGAGGTCGCTTCAATGCAACAAACTATCTCATTTGGCGGATCAAGTATATACGAGAATCGCGGCCGCCCTAACTGCTATACGCCAGCTAGTATACAGGTAAACCTCCGGTTTCCCAAGGCGACGTGCAAATAACCACGGCGTATACAATTATTTATTTAAAGTTTATCTATTAAGAGCTCATTAAATAATAGCTTCATGTATTCACTGATTATTATTCATCTCTTCTTGTCATGTTGATGATGAATTTTTTTGTTTTATTGATGATTTCTCCCCTTGCACAATTAAATACGATACTATTGAGCTAGGAGTTTTGGGTTAAGATTTAAAGTAATATTTATTTAAAGTCTTCTCAAAAGTGGCTTCGATGTGAATTTCTTGGGTTGATGAAATTTATTGCATAAAATTGAAGAGAAATTTATGGATTTCATTTTTTTTTAAAGGAAAAATGATGAATATTAATTGGAAGAATGGAATTTTAATTTTGTTTATATTTGTAAATGAAGTCTTATGGAAGGTGAAGGTTATGTTGGTCTTTTTGGCTCTTTGTTATTCTGTTGTTTCATGAATCATTTTTTTTCTTCTCTGGGTCACTGTAATTGCCACTTATTTTAATTTAAATTATCTTTAGAGATAGTATAATTCCATTGAAGGATTTTCATTTAATTAGCTGCTGATAGTGTAATGTATAGGTTTTTTGGTTGAATAAATTCAATTAAGAAAGTCTTTATTTTGTGGAGATATTTAACGGCATTTCTGTAGGGTCAAGGTTATTTTTTATATTTTTTTCGCTATTATTGTTGTATCAATCTTCTTTGTTTATTTAAAAATAAAATTAATTACAGTTCATTTCAGTTTCAATAAAGTTTTTGGCAAACATCAAATTTAAATTTTAATTGTTTCTGAATGCTTTTCGAGTTAATTTTTTTTAATTATATATTTTTTTCAATGAATAACATTGGGTTAAACTAGTCAATTCCTTTTTTTGCCATTTTTTACATGAATCAAATGCAATTAATATCTAACCTAAAAATAGAATTATTTTATTTCTTGTCGTGCAAATAAAGTTATCTTACTGCTCCAATAAATAAAAACATTTTTTCAAATGAATGTTAATAATATTTTAACAAGAATAAATTAAACTAAATAATGTTGAATTATTTCAATAAATCAAAACTCTCTCTAAATAAATATGCAATAATTATTATCAAATTTTAAGTAATAATTCTGTTTACATAATTACAAAAGAATGATATTTAAGGTCAAGGTCAGTTCCTTAATCTTCCAGCCTATTTTTCATAAAACTTTTGAATCTTTCCAATTAGCTCCATCAATTTTAATCAATCTCAACTTCCAATACCTAAATATTTCGTCGAATTTGATCCGTAAATGAATAATTTAGCTCCAGCAATATGCAGACTAGATCTATGAGTCTCTAGATAATTTATAGTCAATAACATCAATAGTAATACAGAAGGATTTTCAATGAATTATTTAAAACCATGAACTAATTAAATATTTTTAAATATTTAATATCATCTTTACACGGAATTCCCAGTGATTATTTTATTATGATTTTTTGAGAAGCTATTTCTCAGATCGTAATAAACATTCTATGGCTATAGGAACTAAATGGTTATGTGTTGATGTTGAAGACCGAAGGCAAACCACTTTATACCGGGTTATAAGACATTGTAAAGATACACATTTACTAACCTTTGGTAGCAGTGGTAGTGGTGTTGGGTACTAGTGGCAGTCGCGGAGGCGGCAATTCTCCAGCATTATTGTGTGTGCAAGATAAGAAAAGTGAAAGGCGCGTATATAGAAAATCCAATGCTTTACTTGTAGAAATCTCCAGAGAAGCATCCCGACCTAGTATAACCAATTGTCGTAAACGTATACTTAATCACATTAAATGATGTTCATCACCACCACCATCAGCATTAGAGAGCCTTTTTTTTTGTAGCATATCTCCAGGTTTGGATCATCCAATTAATATAGTTTTTATTGTAATACTTGGCAGATCTGTTTAAGAGTCCTCTCTCTTTAGCCTAATGAACATGTAACTATAACACGGAAGAGTATGAAACTGTCATGTTGGAGACAAGGCCGAACCTTGAAGCTGTGGAGAATGAGTCAGAAAGTAGCTTGCATATGGATGCCCATTTATTTCTCAATACGATCACTTGCAGAAGTTGAGATTTATTTAAATAGTGAATATTTATAATAATTGCAATGCGTTTAATATACATTTATGGTAGTCATCACACTTGAAGCAATGTAATGCAAAAGAAAAAGCCAAGTATTATAGCTCTTCATGGCAACGAATCATTTGTCTTTTTAATAGAATCACAACCTTGTGTTTAACTAGGCTTGCAAATAGTGGAAATATTTTTTTACAATATAACACAGAACTGAAAATTACGAAATCATGAATACTAGTACCTTGAAGTAAAGTACAGATAAATTTATGAGAAAAGACGTATATATTTATGCAAGTCAAATTATGTGAATTGGTTTTCTTTAAGAGCTATTACATGGAAAATTATACGATAGATTATAAAGTGTGGATTGTTTTTTATAAAAATGTTAAAGAGGATATTGTTTTTGTAATTAAAATAATAATATGATTCAAGAATGGACATATTAAAAATTAAGTTTCTTTATTACTTGAGTATTTTGAAAGTTTATTGATTTTAAGGGAATTATTGTCTACATATAATTTCACTTTATTCCATAAATATTGATTCAACAGTTTTGTACAAATAATTTCATAAATACGAATGATATGATAAATAATCATATCTTCTTTATAAATAACATGTTTAGGTAAAGTTATATATTCAACTGATTTTTTTAAATTAGAAGCTTTTGAAATTTTCAATCTTAATAATAATCATCATAAATAAGTTTAACTCATGAATATCTTTTTTAATTACATACAGTAAATGAAATATTTATTTAGATTTAAATCCTTGCCATTTACTATTACACTGCTCATTTGTTTTACAAACTTGACCTGAGAACATGATACTTCAAAATATTTAGATAAAAATACCAGATTATTCAATAACTGTTCATTTTTTGCAATAGTATGGAAATTTTTCTTGTCCAGCAAATTAAAATTTACATATTATATAATATTTATTGCTCAAAAAAAAGTTAAAAGCTATTTTTCCTCAATGTTATCTATAAAAACATAACATTGTATAATTTATGAGAAAAATTATACTGGTGTGGGACCTAGATTTAAATCGGAAGGGCTTTTACTGATTCACCACTGGAAATTCCTATTACGACATTGTCCAATATTTTGACTTTCACCGTCAATACTTATGATGATAAATGAAAACAAATTTTATTACATGATCTTGAGTAGTAGTATGGTATAGTCATCAATGTCAAGCAGGGGAAATTTTGAAGGAATTTCAGGTACTGATGAAATACTTATAAGATATTTGGGACTTTCCCAATCAATAATCCAACCAAGTAAATTTGATACCCAGCCTTGATTGACAGTTGAGAATTTAAACCATATATTTTGGAACAAATTTAACGGTTTATTAGCAACTATCACTGAAAAAAGGTTGGCTAAATTTTTTTTCTTATTTCATATAAGTAAAGCAAAAAGTGATGCAATTAATATCATACTAGGTTTTTATCTTATTTCACGAATCTTATTGTAAAATGTTTGATTTTATTATTAAAGTAATGACCAAAATAATTTTCTCACATATCATATTCCATTTTGTGGATTGTTTTTTTTTTTCTTCATTACTGCGTTAATGCAAAATAAAAAGTGGACAAGGACGTTCAGAAAAGGAGGAGAAATGCAAGGTCGTTCTTTGAACTGAGGTATGGTCAGACAGGCGCCGTTTTTCGTTTCTTGTTATATATAGGAACCAGTCTCACCTCTTTGGAATTCTTACGGAATTTGAGATAGGTTCATAAACACGAAAACAACACTGAATATTTACTCAATTGATTTGCGTCAAGAAGAGTATGTAATGATTTTGATTTAGATTAAGATTTTCTATATATATTTTTTTGTAAACTCATGGTCACTTGAAGTTATGTATTATTTTTTTTTTCTGATTATTTATGCTATTTTTTCGTCTTGTTTTGAATTGAAAGACTATGAGCTAACCTTGATCGAAATTGGTAATACTCAGTATGAGATTTGATATGCTGTCTTAAAGCTTTCATTTTTACTTCCTTAAGTTTATGTATGTAATGAGATGACTTTTGAATTTTAACTTATGTAAATAATAATATTTAACAATTTTTATGTTTATCTAGCTAAGAGTTCCGCTTAAAGTTAACTTTACTGTGAGGCCTAGAGATGTTACCGTCACGCTTACAAAGAAGCATCTAACTTGTGGTCTTAAAGGTCAACCTCCGATTATAGATGGTGATTTTCCTCATGAAGTTAAACTAGAAGAATCTACATGGGTAATTGAGGATGGAAAAATACTTCTTATCAATTTGGAGAAGGTAAGCAAATGTTGTTTAGCTAATTTACGACTTACGATTGAAAAGGTATTTATTTTTTTTTACTGTTTAAAGTAATACAGTATTTAAATTATGGTAATATGTATAAATAAGTTATCATATTTAATGTTTACGTATTTTCTTCTTAGATTTGTTATTATGTAAACAAATATATGTTTGGGCTGTTTGCATATTTCATTTATTATGGATTAATGTGAATTAAAATGTCACTCAAGTATGTGGTGACGGTAAACGTATTGTTTGATAATTTACATATGATACAAATGGTGTGGAGAATACTTGAGTAGTCGAGTGTTTGGTCTGTAAGAATAATAATTTATTCTGATTGTAAAATTAACTGTTGTGTATGAAGTGATCTTGATAGAAGGTTGATGCTACTAATCTTGACATGTGGTTGGAGTCACTAGAAAAAATTCGTGCACAAAAGGAAAAAAATCTTTTATACGTCACAAAAAAAGACTTTAACATTAAATAATTTTTTCGCAATATTTGCAAAAAATATTAATATTCATAGAAATTTATGGGTTTAATAAAATGTTTTTGGTGGACTATGAGTTTTATAATCTAGAATGATACCAATAACCAGATAGGTTTGAAAGGAATATTTAATTTTCTTGATGATACCTCCAGAACAAGTTAGTTTATTATGATAACTTGACAGAACAGATGTAATATCATCAAGCCAAGCTTCGTGGAAAACATAATACTTTTCTTCTTTATGTAACTCTATCTCCAGGCTTTCCATGTTTTTATCTCATTGTAAATTTTTTAAAAATTCACACGCTATTTACTTCGCTCAGATTCACGCTGTTGCACTATCACGAACATACTCTTAAATTATGAATTTTATTTTCATCCTTTCTCACCAAATCATGTAATCCCTAAAAAAATTTCTTTCAATATTCTATTTAAAAAATGGATTCACAATAATTTATCTTTATTTCTCTTTTAGTGATTCTCCTTTGATTGCCAAAAAAAATTGTCTATATTTCTGAAGTTTAAGTAGTTTAGTAGCTAAAATAGCATTTCATTTAAATAACAAAAAATGATACTCGCTTCATTTAAGAAAATTAGCCTAGGCCATGCACCTGAGATTTTATAGATTTTAAAACAACCTCAACCTTTCTTTTGGTTCATTCACCCCTCATAAATGATTCCTTGGAATATTTCTTGTTCATATTCCCCACAATTTTGACAAAAAAGGAGATAATTATTAAACAAAAATTTTTCATTATAACTAATATTAAATTTGCACATGATTTAGAACGATTTTTAATATTTTATATACTCATCTAGCTTATCAGTTTTTTGCTGCAACCATTTAAACAAAAAAAACATTAATTGCTTTTTAACATACCATATTCATCACTTGAACGTGAGTTACTCATCTAAAGTTAACGTATTATACCTACGTGGATTTCAATAAAAAATTACCAACTTTTCTTCTTTCATTCACAATCCATCTTATGATTCATTATCAGTAATTATTAGCGAATGTAATTTCCAACAATAAAAAAATATATAGCCATTGAATTGCAGTTATGCATATTGAGCTTTATTTAGCATCTCAATTATCTACAAATGGGAAGCGACGACATTTTATTATGTATAGCTTGTCTGTTAAATTAACGGTTTTTTTAACGACACATTACACTGTCTATAAAAATCTCAAAAATATCAGGTTGTTTTTTATTTTTTGGAGACTATTGGAAATTTATAATATAAAAATTCAACTCTGTAACATTTATGAGAAATTTATTAAAACTAATGTTTTTTTTTTTCTCTCTTTTTACTTGTATCTTAAGAAAAATATATATTATTTAATTTATTCAAGTATTCTATTAAGATCTTCAATGTTAAAGTGGCAATGAAAAATTTTTTTCTAATCTAGAAATGTATGTCATTTTAATGCAAATACCAAGTACACAGTTGAAAGAAAAACAAGAATATTATTTTTAATTTAATGTATTTTTTAAAATAATATATAAAATTTAACTACTTGTATTTAAACATTTCACAATATTTCTATTTTATGATAGGTAAATAAAATGCAATGGTGGGCTCATATTGTAACTACAGACCGTGAAATTAGTACTAAGAAAGTCAACCCTGAACCTAGCAAACTTTCTGATCTCGATGGTGAGACTCGAGGACTTGTGGAAAAAATGATGTACGACCAAAGGCAAAAAGAACTTGGTCTACCAACTTCTGATGAACAGAAGAAACAAGATGTTATAAAGAAGTAAGTTTCACAAGTATTATCATGTACTTTCATGCAAAAATGATATTACCCAACATACTTACTGAATCATTAATTTTTTTTCTGGTAGATTTATGGAGCAACATCCGGAAATGGATTTTTCCAAATGCAAATTCAATTAAACTACACCAACATTTTCATTCTAAACACTGCTTTTCCGTTCGAGGTACGTCGATTCCAACGTGCCTATGGTATTTTTTCATTAAAGATAATTATTTTATTTTGTATTGAGTATAAAATAAAATGATGTTTTATTGCATCCTTCATACTTTATAGACACACTAAGATTAAATTACAACATACACAATGATAATGTTATTTAAAATTTACAAACCGCGTGAATGATGTGAAATAATTGAATTATTGTCACATAAGACTTAATAAATTGATTTGTTCCATTATATGTATATATACTGTTCAGTTATCTTGATTTTTTGACTAGTTAACCTTTGTCTTTGTAATTAAGCCTATTGTTTTAAAAATAAGAATCTCGGTTTTTCATTACATCTGTGATCCAATGGATGTAGTTGGTTAGTTTAGTGTAGATTCCAAATTTACCACGTTTTCCACAACCTTCTCCAAAGCTTGTAATACCGAATATTGTCCATGGATGGTATGGCTTATTAGGATCTTGACAAAGAAGTGGTCCTCCACTGTCTCCAGCACATGAGTCCATTCTGCCTCGGCGGTAACCAGCGCAGAACATGTTTTCAGTGATTTTGTAATCTACGTACATACTTCTGCAAAGTCTTGATGAAACTATCGGTATCTAGAATATTAAAAAAATTTTTTTTTCAATTTGATTATATAATGGGTTATTCTTTCATCACATATATAATACTACGTTCCCAGATAAATCATAGATTAAATAATTATAGATAATTTTTTCTTTTTAATTTCTTAATAAGCCTAAAGATCTAAAAATAATTAAATAATACGAAAAAAAAAATTATTATAAAAACGAATTTGAAAAAGTAAAAAGGTAATTTTGTATTAATTTTTATCTGTTTTTAATGACAATATATACAGCTGATATTCGATTTTTATTTAACTTAAAAGGAATAAGAGAGTTTTTTTGTTCGCATATGTTTTTCAATTAAAATTACTTTAACTTTGTTTATTTGGATTTTCACTTTTATGATTTGCATAAAACCGGTACGTCTAATTTAAAAAATTTTATGATGTAGCAAATCTTTAAGATCTTATGTAAATGCTGATAAACTATTTTATATAAGTAACAATAAAATGTTATAATAAGTTTTAACATAATGTCTATTGTAATAAATAGAGGTTGTAAAAGGTTAATTACTAACATTATTATGTCTAAAAATATTCCATAAATTTTTACACTCAACTACCAATTAAAGTGCATAGAAAACACATTGTCAAATTTAATTACCTAGAAAAAACTACTATTTTACAGTTAAAATTCATTCATAAATATTCATATGCATACATACTTTAGCTTCATGAAGAACATCAGTACCAAAGTTATCAGTTGTCTTAGATTTTCCCCAACCAATAATCGTACAAAGTTGATTTGTTGGTAAGGATTGTTTCGATTCCGGAAGACAAGCAATTCCCCGCAGATTAGATGGACTCAATGTAATGGGTAAGCGGATCATAGCTACGTCATTATTTACCGTATCTACATCATAATCTGGATGAATTCTAACTGATAGTGAATTAATACTGAATTCCAGTTCAGTGCCCTCCTTTACAGTTAAGTCATATTCTCCCAGTCTCACTATAATGTGCTTTCTAATACAATGAGCAGCTGTTAGAACCCATTCTGGAGAAATTAACGTTCCACCGCAAAAAGCTTCCTAATAATTAGAATAAACAATTTCTTCTTTACCAAAAAAGATATCAAAATATTTTCTTTATCCCGGATGAAAAAATTTACATATTTCTATCCGGGATCGGATGTGAACATTTTTTTTACCTGAAATCTATTCAAGATAGCTACTTGCCAAGGCCACTCACCAACATCTGCTGGATGTCCACCAATTATTTTTAACATATAAGACACTTTTCTGTGTTTTTCATGATACTTATTGATTCCACATGCATGAGATCCCCCATTTTCGTGCTTTCCAAAATTTATCAAAGAATTATGTGGATTTGAATCTAACGTATTTAATCTGGGATCTAGAATTAGATTTAGATTGAGATATATCTTTTTTCCTTTGATTAATAAAATGTCGTTAGCTTGTTTTAAATAAATTATACCATCATGTCTTTCGTAGCTATTCTGAATCTTTTGATAGATCCATGACTGACAAAAACTTGCCTCCACGTAGCAGTAGGCACTCTCCTTTATGACATCATGATCACAAAAGCCTGGTTTTTTGCACCATCTGTCATTATAATAGTTTGAAAGAAGCCGAAAATTAGATGGTTCTATTTTTGAGTGGTTCTAATGGGTTTTGAGAAAAACTGATGAGTAGAAAGATAGATATGTTTTAATAAATTTACCTTCGTCTTTGTGTTGTACAAGATTTAGTGCAAGAGGACCATTTACTCCAGTTACTGTAGTCATGATTATTTATGATTCTTCTTTTTGACTTTTTCCTTTTTATTCGTCTCTGATCGTAGGATCGTTTAAATTTGGTCTTTTTGGGCTTCTGTCGATGCGTGGGGAACATAATGAATTAATTTATTTGATGAATTATTTATTTATTGTAATCTTGGTTTAATTATCAATTAAATTCTATCCAACAGAATCAGTTTTAATTTTAGTAAAGTCAATAACAAATTTTTTTTTGTTCAAACAAAAGTCAATTTACAATATTTTTAAATATTTAGAGGCCAATATTTTAATTCTTACTCCATATTTATCAATTTTTGGATTATGTAAATATTTTATTATTGAACATATTCTGAAAATTATTCTTGATCAACATTTTTTTATGTCTGACTGGTTTTGTTTTTATCATAAAATTTTTTTTTCAAGTCTTTTATAAAAGTATTAGCTTTAGAAATGTATTTAAATATATTAAATAATAAATAAATTGATAAAATAAAAATTACCTCAATTATTCGAAAAATAGTAAAATCATACATCCTTCGATTTTTCCGTTTTAAATTGCATTTTGTTGCATAGCCTATTTTTTTTAAACATCTTCTTTCTTCCTAAAAATTTTTATTATACTTGGAAACTAAATATTAGCTAAAGATATTATTTTTGAACAAAAAATGATAAAACTTACTTTTAATTCAGTCTGTCCACATGATGATACGAGTTGACATAATTTAATTCGGCTTTGTAAACAATACCAGTCACATGTAGACCATTCACTCCAATTTGAAAAATGTGTATTATCTAAATAAAAAAAAAGAATAAATCATTTTAAATGCATCATTATAATCAAATAATATTTTTAACAGTGAATAACTTACATTTTTATTCAAAGACGAATTTTCATGCATTTTACAAAGAAGTAAGAAAACAAAAATAATTAATAAATCATTAATTATGTAATATAATAATAAATATAGTATTCAATTTAAATAAGTAATAAAATAATTTATAGAAAATCATCAATAGAGAATTTTAGAAATAAAATTTATAATATCTACTTGATTAATAGTTACTAGAATTAAATATGCACAATTAATAATCATGACAAACCAATCTTTGGTAATGATGTAATTTTATGGTGAATTGAGGACTGCAACCGGCTTGTGTCATTCAAAAGTATTGATAACTGTCTACTGGTTGTCTAAAAACATTCAAATTCGAATTTATAAATTACAACTTATTTATCAAAATAAAAATAAGCAGGTAAATATGATTATTTATTCTTTTACATTTATTTTTTTATAATAGAGTAAAATAATATTTTAAGTTATGAAAATTTTGATAAATCTTTTTTATTACAGATTTAAAAAATTCATACCTCGTGTACGAAGCAATGAGTGGTAATGAGCCAGATTAAAATGAAAAAAAGAATTCCAATGAACTTAGACACTAGAATTATATGAAAAGTTACTTTGCACATTGATGATAATAACTTTGGAATCAATTACTGAATTGTATAATTATTTAACAGGTTCACGACCGGAAAATACCTATGCACGTTTTATGCTCACAATCCTTTCTCCCCTTTCTTTAGTTTTGCTTTATTTGATGTTAGAGTTTTGTTTCCCCATCTCTATAAATACTGCGGCTGTTTCAAGCTACGAATAAGAATCCCAAAAACTATAGAAATGAAACTGTGTATGTGGATATACTTAGATTGTCTTCAAAGGTTATATTTAATAAACAATTATTAGCTGCATATTTGCTTTGATAATGATACATCATCAGCTATGCTTGTCATTTACTTGTCTTTGATTACTATTATATCGAAAAAAAATTATTTTTATTGTCTAGATTGGTCTTGCTTCAACTTTTCTCTTTTAAAAAATGCGCGAAATTTAAAATTTTGAAATTAACAAAAAAACTGCGCGCGCAGAGACCGCCAATTATTCCTCATAACCTCTTTTGTATTTCACACATGTGTAATGTAACCTCTAACTTCTGTATAACTTGAGAGTTTTATTTTTGTTAACAAAATATCATTGTCAAATAAATATTATCAAACAAAATATTTGATTATAGCTTAATAGTAAATATAATATTTTTATAAACTATCAATTTTTTCATATAATTCATAAATATTAATAAAATGGAGCCAAAATCTCTAGATGTTGAAGAATCTGTAAATAAAACGATAATTGAAGGAAAAGCTGAAATTTTAGTTTCAGAAAAAAAAGTATTTTATAATCCTGTTCAGGAATTCAATAGAGATTTGAGGTAATATTTTTTTTTTCAGTCTAATATTAACTTTGTAAATAACTTTAAAAGTTATTTTATCTTCCATCAACAGTGTAGCTGTATTAAGTTTATTTGCAAAAGAAAAACATGATGAATCGTTGCTAATAAAAGAAAAGTCTTCGAATAATGCAAATAAAAATGAAAAGCAGAATGAATCTGAGAATAAAGTATATAAGAATTTGGCACAAATATATAATTATTTGTTAAAATATTATATTCTTGATGATTAAAAATTTACAGAATGGGATTTCTGTATTGGAAGCTCTTTCAGCAACAGGATTACGAAGTATACGTTATGCTAAAGAAGTACCTCATATAAAGAAGATTATTGCTAATGACATATCAGAAAAAGCTGCTGATAGTATAAAGAAAAATATTACATTCAATAAAGTTGAACACTTGGTTACAGCTAGTCATAATGATGCTACGTATGTATACAATTTTATTTTTTTATTAAAACATAAACATAATCGTAAAAAATCATTTTAATCATTAATATAATTATCTTTAATTAATAAAAAAAAAAAAAAAATATTGATGTTTATTGATATATTTTAGGATTTTAATGTATCAATCACGACGAGATCGTTTTGATGCAATTGATTTAGATCCATACGGATGCCCGTCAATATTTTTAGATGGAGCTGTTCAATCTGTCAGTAATGGTGGTCTATTATTGGTGACAGCTACAGATATGGCTGTACTTGCTGGAAATTCACCTGAGACATGCTATGTTAAATATGGAGCTGTATCAATCAAGTCTAAAGCTTGTCACGAATTGGTAAAGAATTATAAATAATATATCAATAGAGATATTATCATAACTTTAACTATGTTTTAATTTATAAAAAGACCTCGTAATAAACAATCTATTCATTTAATAAATATTTTATTATATTTTCGAGTTTATTACATAAATTTATGACTCTATTTTTAATTTTAATGATTCAAATGGTTTCAACATTAAAAGTCTCAATCAATTTATTTTAATCAATATCAGTTTCATAATAGACTAAAGAGTAATTTTTCTTTTTAGGCTCTCCGAATATTACTGCAACATATCGCTGCTCATGCTGGACGATATGGACGTTATATTGAGCCATTACTTTCAATAAGCGTTGATTTTTACATTAGGGTATTCGTGCGTATCCGGACTGGACAAATTCAATGTAAAGATAATACTAGTAAATTGGGAATGGTATATCAATGTACTGGTTGTGAAAGCATGGCAATTCAGCCATTAGGTACAAAGATAAATAGATCATACAAAATGCCCGCATCTCCTGCAGTCGACCAGTTATGCAAATTTTGCAAACATAAACATCATGTATGTATTATTATCACTTATGATAGTTCTTATGAATGAATATATTTCCATCGTAACTGTAATTAATTTTTTATTATCAAAATCATTATTAGTGAATTCTAGCTACTAGGTATTATTTTTTATTGATAAAATTAATAATTGATCATTAATCAATTGGCTACTTACATTGGTTTTTTATAAAATATTTAATTATAATCTATTCATTATAGATAATTTTTTTCTATAATTAATCAATGATTTCGGGGAATAACAATTTTTTCTGTTTCAAGTTGACCTATTTTTTTGTCATTTTTCAGATGGGCGGACCAATATGGATAGGACTATTGCATGATCAATCTTTTGTATCAAGACTTGTTGATACTTTAGATAATATAGAATTAGGCACGATAAAACGAATCAAGGGAGTACTTAGTGTAGTTCAAGAAGAATTAGATATTCCTCTATACTATGTTCTAGATCGTTTGGTAAGTGGGAATGATATATAAACCATTCAATATAAAAACTAGTTTTATAAAGAAAAATTTCAATTGATTAATTATAATCAATTTTACAGATGTCTATTGTCAAATGTGACACACCAGCCATGGTAAGATTCCGATCAGCTCTATTACATGCAGGATATAATGTATCGTTATCACACGCAAACAAACTCTCAATTAAGACTGATGCTCCCACAGAAGTGATATGGGATGTTGTGCGTGCTTGGGAAAAGGTAATTTATCATTCTCAATTCGTTATTTAATTGATTTAAATATTGTTGTTGATACAACCGCTTTGATATTTCTTTTGAATATTTTAAAACTCTGATTCTTTCTTCGAATTTATTGTTGAAATTGAGTTAATAAAAAAAGAAAAAAAATTGCTTTTAGATGCATCCAGCAAAACGTGATCGTCTTACAGAAAATAGTCCTGCTCTTGCTATTTTGTCAGCTAAATCTTCAACAGAAATTACATTTGATGGACATCCTTTGGCTAATCCGAAGTCAAGGAAATTGCACCTGACAAGATTTCAAGTTAATCCTGCACCTAATTGGGGTCCTGGGACACGTTCTACGACCATGTATGTTTACAATTTTATAGATGTTTTCGCCATTCTTTTTTGCTTTTATTTAATCAAATTAAGAATTAAATGTTAATCGTTTTAACTTTATTTCCTATTATAGGATAAATTCAAATGAAGCGATTTCTAAGAAGATTAAAAATCAAAATAAAAAACGTCACCATAAAAGCAGATCAGATAATAATAGTGAAAAGACTAATGAAGAAAAAAATGATGAAAGTATTGAAAGTAAATCAAGTGATGCAGATGAAACTCCAGCAAAACAATCGAAAATTCTTCCATGATGATGTAAGTATAAGAAATGTCGTCAAGATTCACGTCACTTGGAATATGCAATATTACGACATTTCGCGAAATAAATATTATTAAAGCGATTAATAAAAAAATTAAATAGCGCATGGGTAAAAAATCTTTATCCGTATATTGTTGAGTGGATTAGGATATCGTACAAGTGCATTCAGACTCATTTCAGGGTTGTCATTATAAGAACGTCGCCAGAGTCGCTAACTTTAGTTTTACGACTAGTTCCACACATCGAAAGTACGTCAGTATAAATAAAAAATAAAATATTTATCAAATAATTCAAGTTATAGAACAAGATAATCAATATGGTTGTTAATTTCAAAGTTTACAAGAAGTGCTCTCCCTAATGGCAAATTAACACTGTATCTTGGAAAACGTGATTTCATAGATTATCTATCAGGTACAGAGGCAGTTGACGGGGTCATTCTTGTTGATCAGGATTATGTAAACAGCGGTCGAAAAATTTGGGGTCAATTGGTATGTAGTTTCCGTTATGGACGTGAACAAGATGAAGTGATGGGATTAAACTTTCAAAAGGATTTGTATTTAACATCAGAGCAACTTTACCCTCAGACGCAAAAGTCTGAAGAAAATCTAACAAGAGTTCAAGAACGTTTATTGAAAAAACTTGGACCAAATGCTGTGCCTTTCACTTTTAAATTTCCTCAATGTTCACCAGCTAGTGTTACTCTTCAACAAGGCCCGGAAGAGTCTGGACAACCTTGTGGTGTCAATTATTATTTAAAAGTATTTTCTGGTGATAGTGATTCTGATTTAAGTCATAAACGAAGCACTATTTGCCTTGGAATACGTAAAATTCAGTTTGCTCCAACCAAACAAGCCCGTCAACCTTGTACAGTTGTAAGAAAAGATTTTTTACTGAGTCCTGGTGAACTGGAACTGGAAGTAAAACTCGACAAGCAATTGTATTATCACGGGGAGATCATTGCTGTGAATATTTGTGTGAGAAACAACAGTAACAAAGTAGTCAAAAAGATAAAATCTCTAGTGCAGCAAGGTATTGACGTTGTTATCTTCCAAAATGGTCAATTTAGAACAGTAATTGATGCTGTTGAGACCCAAGACGGATGTCCGATAAGCCCTGGTTCTACTCTACAGAAGATTATGTATCTCAAGCCTGATATTGAGAATAATAAGCAACGTCGTGGTATTGCATTGGATGGTAGATTGAAACGAGAAGAAGATGCTTTGGCATCAAGCACCCTTCTAACTAGTCCTGATATACGTGATACATTTGGAATAGTTGTATCATATGCTGTTAAAGTGAAGCTTTATTTGGGTGCTTTAGGTGGTGAATTGACTGCTGAATTACCATTTATTTTGATGCATCCAAGAACTTCGGATCGAGTTAAACTCATGCCATCGGAAAGTGTTGCTGTTGAGGACATGGGAGTTGAAGAGAAATGCGTTAAGGAATAGCTGTAATTTCCAGGCCCCAGTCAACTGGAAATACTACTTGATAAATGGCTGGAAAAATTCATGAACCGTACCACTGCTGTCACACGATTGTCTTAACGATTACCAGACCACGATTTGATTCAATATATATATATTGTTTGTTGCTTTTATCTAGTATAGATTCATATAATCGTAGTAGTTATTGATGCTTTATAAAGTTTATCGATTCTATTGCCTTATTTATCTTGTTAATCATTCATTAACAATTATATCATAAAAATGAGATAATATTTTATGATTAATTAGTACTGAACAGTCTATAATGTATGTTAATGTCCAGTAAGAGGAGAACAATTGGTGTGTCAACAAAATCCACTGAATAAGACGCCTAAGATGGAATATTTATTTAATCATTTATGATAAAATTATTATTAAATATATTAATTAAAAAGTAGCTTAGTAATTACTATATTTACTATTCTGCATAAAGACTACACTTCTTTATTCTTTAATAACAATCTTACAAATATTTTGATAAAGAGACGATAAGTTTTAATGTTAATTATAATGATTGATGATCAATATATCACTTATATTTATTGATATTATATTAATGATATTTACGTTCATGTATAACGTACTATATATATTCTTAAAATATATTGATGTTCTCATGCTATTTAATTCTATGAAATTATATTAATCATTTACAATATATTCCAGTTATATTATCTAATATGAGTATTTGTTTATTCAAGATATTTACTGTAATCTATGAAGAAAATGACTTATAAAACAAAATGTTATGACAATGTTTTATTAAAGATTTTCAATAAAATGATTAAAATGCTCGTTTTGGAGTGAAATAATTTTTTATTGATTTCTTTTCTTAATAATCAGATATAATATAATATTGATTTATAAATGATAATATTTACTTAAAACTACTTAATTCAAAATTTCATTTAAATGTGAAATTTTTTTCTCCGACTGTATATCGAATATTTATATATTTGTATAAGCATTTCTCCCCCTCTTATTCCTCTATATGTCTTGCATTGAAACGCGTGCGCAGATATTTACTAAAATTTAATAAAAAAAATTACTACGTTATATAATTTATAATTTTTTATAATAAGTATTTGTACAGTTGAAAAATAATTGTAATATTATTTTGCAGGTACTTGTTAATACTGTTACTAAAGTATCGAGGACGATTGGATATACATATAAAACTGTCCAATTACATTGGACTAAATAAATATAAATTGGGCCTGTAATAAAAAGTCAGTTTGATCCGTTAAGCGTAATGGTCCTGGCTGGCATTATCGGTAAATGATTAAACATCGCCGTAATTACAAACACCTTTAATATACAAGTAGTGCTTTGAAGGAGTGAGAAACGTGCTCTTCATTTTTACCAGACTTTTTACACTCACTATATGTGTGCAGCCCTATCGTACAGGCAGTTCGTTTAAGCCGACTACAGTTGAACCATCTTATATCGCAGTACGTCGCCTTCAGCAGAGCCTTTAGTTGCCTTTAGTCTGAGTTAAAGCAGCTATGGTGAATGCTGTGTAAGCACTTGCTTAGTTATTTTAATAATATCAGTAGCTTATTGTTGATCTGCATTCATATAAATATTAAGTATACTGGTTGTGTAATTTTTTAAAACACCGTCATCATCGTTACTACTTAGTTTCTCACATTGGCTTCCTATTTTATAACAGTAAACTAACTAGGTAAGAAGCTATCTTTTTAGTATTTCACCTCAGTATCTTGCTGAACGTTTTACTGAGCGTGTCGCGTTACACCAATCGTACCCAACTCGTTTATTTACTTTATTTATTTTTTTATACCTTTAGTTTTCATTTAATTCCAATCCGCTTTATAAGAAACAAGTAGAAAGAAAGAATGTGCTAACATTTTCATTTTATCCTATTGGTAAGATGAAGACATTTTTTTTGTTTTAATTGTATGATGTTGCTTTTTGTTTTCTTTTTTTTTAATATATATATATATATATAGATATATATAAAATTTATTTTATATTTTTTTTTGCTTAATTCAGTAAACAATTAATTGTAGACTATATTTACTAGCATACGAAGCTTAAACATTTTAATATTCAGACATCCGGCATCAATGACTTTCATTCATTTTATTTTCACTCTGCAAAAAGCCGCTATTGAATTTAACTCTTGTATGATTTTTTGCTTTATTTGATGAAATTTTTTTCATCAATACTTTTTCACTGGTAAACACATCTCTCTTGTAAGAATAAAAAATTAAAAAGTTATTCAATTTTTAATCATCAAATTAATTAGTTTTGTTAACATTTCCTTTGTATTTAAAGAGTGATGAAAGAGATTGGAGGATTGGTTGTGTGGTTATATTAGTAATTTATACAAATTGTTGAATGCGATATTGAAGTTTTAAAGAATAAAGTACGTATGGCCACTTATACCGCATACCGCATTACCGGAATGTAAAGTGGTCCAGGCAAGTGAAAGAAATTCTATTTTCGGAGATACGTAGGATCGCAGAGGCGTAAAAAAAGATGTGATGTCAAGTTGTAAATTGCTATAAAAGCTTATTTAAAATTTTTGTTTTACAAAATCATTTTATCACATAGTAGTAATGTAATTAGGCTTGTTTACTATCTAAATGTAACTTGGAATTTCTGGGACGGTAACCTCATTTAATAATAAATTGGAAACTGATGATAGAAACAAAGAGAGATGAGTATCCTGTTCATGATCAATAACTCTCAGTGGTTGGTTCTCTTTCAAATATACATTTGCTGATTTATTTATTTATTTATTTATAAGTTAGGGTAACATAATAATGTATTTATGCATTATAAATAGCTCGTACAATTATGGCTTGGGTCATACTAACGCCTAATGGCATTATAAAATCAAGTACGGTTTCACTGAGTCATTTATCAGATCCGTTAATAAGGACATTTGCAAAAGAATGTTACCGACATATGGGACATAAGGGTCGTATCATTATTTCGTAGAAACTTGATGAACATTTTAATAGCAGGAAGATCATTTTCACGGTATAGGAATGCTTGGAGCAGTGAATAATCACTTTATTTTAATCATATGATACTTTGTCGACGAACATCATGGTAAGACTTGGAAGAATTTCGGAATGTTTTTGGCTAAGATTCAAATCCAAGATTGCTAGTTACATCTAAGATTTAGTTGCAAGTTAGGCATATGAATAGAATAGAGTATTAAAGGGGGTTGGAGGTAGGCTTAAGTATACATTGAAAAAAATAAATCCTAGTTTATCTTGAAGAAAGCTCTTCTAGAGATTACTTTTCAACTTTTGACTTTTGGAGTAAAATAAAAAATTCCTTGGGATTAACAAAAAATTTACATTTTTCATATGTAAACAGGAAATTTAAAAATATCTGCACTAACGACAGTAATAATACAATTTTAAATATGATACATGCATGAGAGAATTATCCAAATAAATATGACTCATTGTAACACTAAAATAATCAAAAAGTTAAGTTAAACGTTTTCTTTTCATTACTTTTTTAAATTTTGATAATGATTTATTATAGTTATTAATTTTTTACTGATTTGCTTACGGCATCTTGACTTCATTTAATTTCAGTAGATTAATAATGAAAACCGTTTTATTGGTATTTAAATGCAATAGAAAAATAATCTAAAGAAGCATCATTGGAATTTTATTGTTTTATGACACTCAATCTTTCCTCGTATGAGTAACTCAAATCATGGAGATAAGAAAGTAGTGGTGATAACAAATATATGCCAGTCTATTTTTATTATAATAAAAAATATGACAACAATAATTAAGTAGTGTGCATAATTGTTAAAAGGAGTGGTAAGGAAAATAAAGAGAAAAAAATTCTTCTTCCGCCTTCTCATCAACAATCTCAAATTTCGCCGTTGTCAAAATTGGTTCCGTTGTTTCGTCGTTACACAGTGCAGCGTATAAATGTGAACGAACGAACATTAAGTGCTAATAATAGAATCGTTGGCCTCCTGGCTAACGCTTAAAACTGACACCAAGAACTACACTTGAGATTCCAAGAGATGCTCGAGCAACTTTTGAAATTCGTTAAAAAGTATGTTGATTTGAAGGAAAAAAAAAATCATGTCAGCCCTACATCTTCATTATGAAATTATGCAATTGCTATTTAAAACTTTCCTACTTTAACGTTTAATTATAGACTTTCTGAAATACATAAATGTGCCGGGTTGATACAAAAGTAAATAAAATTGAGGAAATTTTAAATAAACTTAAAATAGAAAGAAATTTATTTTAAATATTATTTTTATTTCCAAACATTAATTAATAAAAATATATATATATATATATATATTTTTCTTTTGTTTCAGGTAATAATTAGAATAAATTTCAACAGTGCATTGATAAGAATCTATCAAAACAAAAATTTTAAAAAAATGGCAGAACTGATGGAAAAAAAATCAACAGAGATAGTAAGTACAACAAAGAATGAATTTGTGTGTGGTGCTATGTCTAACACTGCTTTGATAGATCTCGATCAATTAACCACGAGTAATAGTCAGCTGTTAAATATTTGTGGTGATAAACAAAATGAAGATGATTTAATAAGGAAAAATAATACAAAAAATGAATTGTGTGCTGAGGAGAAGAGCCTTCAAGAATTGATTGAAAGTGAACTTGCTTTAAGAATCTATATGAGAAATGATACTGAAACTGACGAGTTGATTAGTGAAAACGATCAAGTATTGAATGGTCAATCTAATACATCAACTATGAATAATGTTGCTCAACCTCATCAAGATTTATTACTTATTGATGCAGATTTAGAGACAACGACTGATGATTCTACTGTCAGCCAAAATCCTGCCTACGATTTTTACAACGATAATAAATGCTCAGACTTTTCTAATATTAATCAAACCATTGAAAATAAACCAATTGATCCTATTGATTGTGATATAAACAATTTTATTGAAATAGAAAAGAATATTTGTAATCTACAAGATGAAAGAAATTGTCAATCAAATAGCAATGATGATAATGTTGACGTAACTGATCAAATTCCTGTAAGTAATGGAATTATTGAAACGGAAGTTGGTTCTTTATCAACTGATAATGAAGTTTATCCAGAAATGGAAGTAAAAGATAAACCACAAGAAGAAAATAAAAAAAAAAATATTGATAAAGAAACAGAAATAATTCATGATGAAAAAGTATCAAGTCATGAATCTTTGGCATCAGTTGAAATAATTCAATTTAACTCAATTGATGGAGTCTTTGAAGTAGAAGAACAATTTGTATCACAAACAACAAATACAACGAATGTAAATGTAGAACAAATAAGTAACGTTGAGGATGTTATGGAGAATGGTGCTGATGAAAAGCGTGTGACAGATGAAATGAATGTTGAATTAAATATCCAAGTCACTCCAACGACGACTAACGACCTTATAAATTTGACTAAAATAACTAATACAGGTGTCTGTGATTCAAGCATGCGGTTTTCTTTATCAGAACAATTACCAGATTTGGGAAATAACAGCAATGATGATTTATCTAGTGCATGTGATGTAAGTTTTTATTGAAGGTTTTTTCGTTTGAATTTTTTTTCTATTGTTTTTTGTAAATTTAAATGTATTAATATAAATGTATTATTGAATTTCATTTAACTGTGTTGCGTGATGTGAATAGTCGAAGCCCAATTATGTAAATTACTAAGTGTGTAATATATATTATGACTCATAGGATTTAATTTGATTTATAATTTTTCGTGTATAGAGTGAAAGCTGTGAGGAAGTGATAACAGTTACTTCATCCACGACGAAAAATTCAACGAAAACAAAGAAAAAAAAAATTGAGGGAGTTACTGGTAATGATGTTTCATCTACAGTTAATACATCACGTACGAAAAAGACGAAGAAAAGTAAAAAGAGTGATCTTGAAAAGGAAAATATATCAGTGGTTAGTAAATTACAATTTAATATTACTGAGAATTTAACTCAATTGAAAAGGATTCTTTGAAAGAATAAAGTCATTTCTCTGGTTCAATAAACTTCTCTTTATCGCTATTAATTATTTAAGTATAGAAATTTATTAATGAAAGAAATTAAAGAAATATAGAGATTAATTAATGCTTTCTAAAAATATATTCACATTCACTGGTTATTCTAAACTTCAACAATAATAGAAAGAGCTTTTTAGCTGTTGTTACGAAAATGTCATTATTTAAACCAAGAAAAATATTTTTGTTTATTTGAATAATACATTTTTTTTTCAATGTTGAGAAATATTTTTTTCTTTGATTTCAAAGAATTCTTTTTAGATAAATATATTTCGTAATTGGTTAAATTATTAATCGGTTTTATTTATTTATTTTGTTTTATAGAAATCGAGTTTTAATAAATTTGATGCACTCAGTAAGAAATCAGTGCTTCATGCTCGTAGTATTGATGCTGTAAAAGCTGATCAACATCTCAACCTGGTAAGTTTAGTTACAATATCCATCAACACTGACCAACAAATACTAATTTTAACTATATATTTTGTCAAAACATGTTGAGAAATGAGTGATTATTTATTATTTTACAATAGCTAGATAATTTTCTACAAGAAACTTAATATAATTAATATTGATGATATAAATTACTATAAAGATGTTAACGTTTATCAATAATAGCTAGTTTTAAGTAAAAAGAATTAAGTTTATTGGCCAGTGTAATTATTTATGTATTAATTTAATTAAAACAAATGACATTTTTATTTTATAGGCGGGTCAAAATGGAGATGCAAATCCCAACTGTCGCAGCTGTGGCAAGGTCGTGTTTCAAATGGAGCAAACAAAAGCTGAAGGTTTAATATGGCACAAGAATTGCTTTAGATGTGCTCAATGTAGCAAACAACTAAATGTTGACAATTATGAAAGTCACGAAAGTACACTTTATTGTAAACCACATTTTAAGGAATTATTTCAGCCAAAACCAGTTGAAGAATCGAATCGTCCTAGTAAGTTATAAAATGATATATCATTAATAGTAATTCTTCATACACTACATTTTAAAATATAATTTATATATTCTATTTATCATGTTTTTCTTTTATTTTATTCTACTTAAGATCAGCAAAAATAATTTTTTCGAAAACTTGGTATTATTCTTGAATTTATAGCTTGTCCACAAAAGCCAGAGTTGATAATTAGAGAAAATCATCCAAAAGAATTACCACCTGACGTAGTCAGAGGTAAAGTTGATGTGTTAAAAGGATTTAAGTGATGATGTGACGTTGATTTTGTTCTGTTCCCAACTAATATTTACCAATATCCATGTGTTGATCGAAAATATATTAGCTTTAATAACAAACTCATGTAGAAAAAAATTATATTTCAATATTTCTCTGTAGTTTTCATAACAGATAAAAATGATTTTTAATACTGCATTTGTTTGACATTTACCGTTTTAATTTACTAATTTAAATAGAAAAATGTTATGAATAAATAGCTAATTATCGTTTGTTTCTATTTTAATAGCATCTGATAAACCAGATCTTGGACTAGAAGAATTATCGTCTCTTAACGTCAAATCACGTTTTCAAGTATTCGAAAAATCTGCTGATACTTCAGTTAATGATATCGAGAGATCACCATCACAAGTTTTAGTTAAAAGATCACCAAGTATTCTAAGTAAACTTGCCAAGTGAGTTTCTAATAATTACAATCCTTAATTACATTAATTACTTAATGGAGTCAATCAATATCAAATTATACAGATTCCAAGCAAAAGGTATGGATATTGGTGTAGCTGATGAATCTCTAAATGGTATTCCATATGAAGAATCAAGTGAAAGTGAAGAGGAGGAAGAAAATGAACAAGTTGAAGGTATAATTATTTATTTTTAAAAAATGTATAAACAATTTACAATGTCTTGCTTGCATGTAAAATGATAAAAAAAAAAAATTACTGTTTGATTGAAGAAGTGGATTCGGAAATAGTCAAGTCAAAACGAGTTGCTCGAGAACGTCCAATAAGTTTTACCAAAATGGACGATATAAAAAACCGATGGGAAGTCACAAGTCAACAAGGTAGACGTGAATCCCAACGTGAAGCTCGTAAAGAAGAGATAGCTGGTATTCGTTCACGACTCTTTATGGTATGAAAATATATTTATTTATATGATGATAAATAATAGAGAGTATTCTAAGACTTTTATTTATTTACTTGGTAGGGTAAACAGGGGAAAATGAAGGAACTGTATCAACAAGCAGTAGCTACAAGTGAACGTGTTACAAAGACGAATCCCGTTGAGGAAATTCAATGCACAATGCATGCACGTTCTATCAAAGAAAAGTTTGAAAGAGGAGAGCCAATGGTAAATTCAAATGATGAAGAGGACAGTAGTAGTAAACTTAAACAAGAGAAACCAGACGAAGAGGTGATAGCAGCTGGTGAGTAATTTCTAACAGATTTATTAACAGAGTTTTATTGAGAAGTTGTAGCTTAATTAAAATTTCTACATCTTCATTATAGGTATAAGTAGAAAATCACGGTCTCTATTTTTGGAATTGGATGCAACTGCTGCCAAAAGTGGAAGACCAATGACTCCTGTTAACAACGTAAAAACTTCCACTGAAGTTCCGAGGCGAGCAAGAGATGTAAGTTTATAAATATGCTGTAATTTTTATCTTTTTTTTCTATATAAACGTCAATCAATTAATGGTCAAACTACATTTTAAAAAATGTGCATAAAACACTACAAATTTAATATAATGATTATGATACATTAGTAGTTTGGGTTATAAGTAAAAGGTTGATTGATTATAATTATAAATAAGTAAATTAATGGCGCAAAAGGTAAAAAAAAAGCATATTGATTGATTGATTGAATTGGGGGCAATGGGGAAGGCATTTATGGGACGTCAGGTATCGGACGATGTGGTCCGCAGCACAGATACTACCGAGGAAGTTAAGGTTGAGACTTCGGAAATCTCGAACAAATTTAAATTTTTCGAGTCATACAAGGAGCCGGAAAAGCAGAGAAAGCAGTTTCGAATAACACCACCTCGTGATGGAGAAATTAAGGTTTGTGAGGAAGTTTTGGTGGATTGGATTTCAATAACTGACTATAATCAAAGTATGGGTTCACTAAAACAACCAACACAATTAACACAAGAGTTTTGTATAGTATCAAAATAAATATTTAACCCATAAATGTTCATTAAAATGTTTCAAATATTTGAGAAAAAAAAAATTCTAATCCTAAGGACCTGACGCGACTCAAAATATATAAAAGAGTACAATGGCTTATGATTTCACGACTGCCCTTGAACCCGTAGCGTTATTTGCTATAGGGTTACCGTTAAACTATATTTTCTCTCTTCTACATCCTTTCATTCGTGAAGAACCAGCTAACATGAGACTTGTTGCACTTAGTAACGCACATTCACACGTATCAGTAGGGATTGAGGAGGCTTTATAATTATCTTTGCTATTGAAAATTGCAATAATAAATTACCCATTCACTGATCAAGTATTCTATCGACTGATTATCTGATTATTTAAGGTAAAATTGTATGTATTAAATTGATAATTTAATGGAAAAGAAGAATATGTGTGTATAAAGAAGCCGCATGAAATGATGCTACCATTTTAAAACTAATTCTCATACCGTGGTGTTTTTTAATGATAAATTTGTTATGTTGATTGAGTTTAATTCAAATAATTTAATGTTTATGGTTTTGTGTATATGTGAAATAACAGATGAATTCACCGGAGCGTGAGATATATCGTGATCCGGATGTGGTACGAGCGGATGACAAAGTTGACGAAGTAGTTCACACGGACACAACAAAAAAGATGCTCTCAATCTTCAGACAGATGGAGGAGAAAGCAACGAGAGAAGATGTGCCTGATGGACCAAAGCCGTTGAAACGATTTACGCCACCACCTGAAGATAAATACGCTAAGCAAACTACTTCAGACTCGGAGATTGATGATGAGGAAGATGGCAATGAGTCTGCTAGCGAAAATAGTATGGAAGAAGAAAGGAATCCTAACTATGTTAGAGCTTCCGATAAGGTAAAGTATTTTAATCAAGTATCTATTTAATTGCTATTGCATTTATGTTCAATAAATATTTCCTTTATTTTTAATTGACATTTTCAAGCTCTTCTTTTTATTCTAAATCAATAATGATGTAACAATATTTATCTGATGTTTTCGATTAAATAATCCTCAGAATAAAAAATATGAGATTTAAAATACAACTAATTATTATTGTGAAGTATTTTTGAAATATTGTAATTAAATAATAAATATTTCAATTGTAAATAGTGCTAAAAATATTATTAAAATTAAATTAGATATTATTTTTTGATTTGATGATTATTAAAATATAAAAAAAAAATTTTTTTATTAATAAAAAGTGTTAAATTTAAATGACTTTAGAATAACATATTGTAAAGATATAAAATGTTTTTATTAACATGCTTTAAAATTTTTATGTATTTTAATTGTTAAGTATTTGTTAAGATTGTTAAGTAAAAGTAAAGAGTAGGATATAATGAAAAAAAAATTACAAGAGATTGTAAACCAAGAGTACAAAGTTTTAAAATTTTAATTTATTATTGAAAAATAATTTTTTCAATAATAGTAATAATAGAAGCAGCTTGCTAAATAAACAATATTTGATTTACAGATGGAAGACGAATTCCTGAAGAATGCACAAAATGCAGCAAAAGCAAAAACACTACGGGCGAAATTCGAGCAATGGAAGGTGAATGACGAGCAGACTATCAGTGATAATAATACCACTAAGTGGGATGTAACAAGCGAACAAGTAAGCTCAGAATCAGCAAAAAGCCTTAAAGCTCGATTTGAATCACTTGGTTCACAGCCTGCTGAAGTTCCACGTTCTACAAGAGTCAAAGTCAATAGATTTGTAGTAAGTATTTATACTTGATTTGTATTTATTACTGCACATTGCGTTTGACCGTTTTAACTATTAATATATATGTTGTAAAATAGACTTAATTTTATTCTTTTTTTTTTTTTTTATTCATTTATTGCTATTTTTTCTTTTATTTATTTACTAAACTTTATCGAGTTTATAACTTGTGGTATCTAATACATGATGATTTCCATCAATGTTAGCATGCGAATGAACAAGGATAAAAAAGAGCAACAAACTAGTTCTTACTCCTACAACATTACTGTAATTATTCATTTTTAATAACTATCAGTATTTATTATCAGTAATTGATTATTAATGATTAAATTTATTTATTAAACGGTATTCGTATTGGCTTTATAGTTTGCTAGCATGCAACATCAATATTTTGTATGTTGTGTACTTTTTTTTTTTTTTTAATTTATGTATTTATATTATTTTTAAAATTATTACTTTTGATTTTGTCAATAATGTTTGCACAATAACATACTAGTCACTGTTGAATTTTTTAGAAATGTATTGAATGGTTTTTATTTCAATTGATTGTTGTTTGTGAGATTATATTGATCAAATGTATAAAAGGCTAAAAAAACTATGTAATATTTTAACTTTTTGGAAAACAGTAAAATCTGAAGAATGAAGACGAAGGAAAACAGCGTGAAGTAGATGAAAATTCCAGATTATATTGTGAAGATGGTGCAGTGCCACGAAGAATAAAAATACTACAAAATATAAAAATTAACTTCATTATCACTTCCGTATCAAAAATGTATCGTACTACTATCATCATTGTTATATAAATGTTATATATATATATATATATATACATTTAAATAATAATTTTATCCTAATATAAGTTTTAGGTTGCAATATTATTGAATTAAATCAAATATATGTTGTGATTATTTATTTATATAATTATATTCTATATAAAGTCTAATGGCCAATTTTTTGAATAATTTATTCATATAAAATTATATACAATGTAATAATAGATAACATAAGGTAGATTTATTTATCGCTATATAATGATTTTTAAGTATATAGTGCATTATATACATATATTTTTTAGTAAATAAGTTTTATTTATTTACATATTACTTCTTTTAACGACGCAATAATTGCAGTTAAATTGAAAGAAAAAAAATTTTATAGCATTTTAAATTTTATTTTGACAATTATTAAAATAATTTGTTATTAATGTTTACATATAATTTATGAAATCGATAAAATTTAAATTTTTACGAGAGTTATAATTATCTAGTTAAATATTTGTAATGTTAATTTGCATTATATTTTAAATAATTATTTACTGTAAATTAAATAACTTTGTAATCAATTAAAAGTTTGTCAAATTCCATAAATAAATATAAAAATAGCAATAAAAATTTTTACGTAAATAATTGTGTGAATGAGGTATTCAAGAATTAGAGTAAAGTGTTTTATTAAACGGTCAAATGCATTCTTTTTTTTGTTTATGTTTTAATTATATTATTAATTGTGACTTTTTTTTCAATCATTCGACATATTTTGATCTTATTATTACTATTATTTTAATTTAAAATATCCTAAATGAATTAGAACATCCAAACCACCGATGCAGATGTTTGTAATGGTTGTCAGAAGAAGGTTTATCCTCTAGAGAAAGTGGAAACAAATAATAAAATATTTCATAAACAATGTTTCCGGTGCTTACAGTGTAATTGTGTACTCAGGTAATCTTTAAATTATTTTTCTCATTTTTTATTTTTATCACTTTATTAATATTTTATTTCTTCATTTTTAAAATTTAAAATTTTTTTATTTTAGAATGGATACATTTACATTAAATAATGGAAAGCTTTATTGTATCTCTCATTTTAAGCAATTATTTATTGCTCGAGGTAATTATGAAGAAGGATTTGGAATTGATCCTCACAAAAACAAATGGATCAGTAACTTAAATCTTGATTTATCCAGCAACAATTGCCAGACCAGTCCAATTGCCAATCACACTTGAAAATTGTATTTTCTTGCTTATTTAAAAGAATCAGAAAATTCCAACTGATGATCTAGTGTTAATAGTATCATCAAAAAAAATTGCCGTACTTATTTCAGACCAAGTTAAATAATAAAACAGCATTTGATAATTTTTATTAAGACAATTATATATAGAATTAGCTCTAAAAGCATGTGAGGAAAAATTAATTGTATGTGTAATTAATGATTTTTATGATAATGACGTATATAATACATTGCCAATTATATTATATTAATAGTGATAATTTTGTACTACATGAAATGAATTGTGAAAATTAAAGAGAAATAAATTGAACATTATATAAATCAATACTCAATGAAATTATACTGAATTATAAATGAAAATATTATAAATATTTTAATTTTAATAAGAAGATTGAATAAAATGTGTAATCTTCATTTATTATAAAAAAAAAATTTTTTTTAATTAAATTATATTTTATTTCTTAAATTTCTGAAATGTGATATGATAAAGAAATACTAAGAATTAATTGTTTGAGTGTTTATTTACATTAATAAAAGGCTTATATGAGAGAGTAAAAATGTTGATAACATCAATTACATTATCACTATAGCAAAAAATGCTATATATATATATATTTAATTAATTTTTAACATATCTCGTGAGTTAATTATAGTTATTCAATAAGTCAAACTTTCTTCTATTTTTATACCTACTTATGTACATGTGTCTAGTAAAAAAGCAAGAAATTTTTTTTATGAAATTAATTTCAATATAGATTGATCTATTATTAAAAAAATAATCAAGAGGTTATGTTTGTTATAAAGAAAGCCTTAGAAAAGATTATACGCATAAAAAGGATGTGTTGTGAATATCAGTGATATTTTTACATCATGGAAATTTGTATTGATTCTATAGAATCTGCAAAAAATGCGATTAGAGGTGGTGCAACTCGATTAGAAGCGTGTTCAGCTTTATCTGAAGATGGTTTAACACCAACTCCTGGATTAATTCGATTCATTAAACAATTCTCCAATGTTCCAGTTTATGCAATGATACGAATACGATCAGGAAATTTTATTTATACCCATGAAGAAAAGCAAGCAATGTTATATGACCTAGCCATACTGAAAGATGCTGGAGCAGATGGCTTTGTTTTTGGTGCTTTAAACCAAGATAAAACTATTAATTATGAGTCTTGCCGGGAGATTATTTCTGCAGTAGGTCCTGAAAAACATGTTACATTTCATCGTGCTTTTGATGAGGTTAAAGATCCCATTCAAGCACTTGAAGAATTGGTCAAGCTTGGCTTTGAGAGAGTTTTGACATCGGGACAAAAGAAAATAGCTTTAGAAGGTCTTCCCCTTATTACTGACTTAATAAAACACGCTAAGAATCGTATTATTGTAATGCCCGGAAGCGGAATCAATCCTGAAAATATTGCTTTCATAAAAAACACTTGTAAAGCAAAGGAATTTCATGCTTCAGCTAGAATTCGCATAGCTATGGAGAATGAAACTTTGAAAGCAAATAAAATTGATGATCTGAATCTTCATTACATTAACGTTGCTTCAGAAGAGTTAGTTAGGAAAATGGTTGATATAATTAATTCTTAAATTTTTATTAACGCACTTTTTATAACATATAATCAATTTTATTATTACTATTCAATATCAATAAAAATTGTTATAATTATATTTAATATGAATTCGTCATAAATATTGATATTATTGTTTTCAATAAAAATTAATCAAAAATATGAATGTTATTGTTTTAAATCATCGACTGTAATAAATAATTCTTGTACTCTGGAACCTTGATAACGACTAATTCTTTTTGGACAAATAAAGATAAGCCAATATATTGCTCGTGTGAACAATTAAGAAGTTAGTGAACTCCGAAAAGTTCCAAGAGATTGTATATCAGGATATATACAAATTTGTGATTAAAAAATGTCTGAGAAAAGCAAATGGAATTTTTCAGAATTAAATGAACTTGCTTCGGAAAAGGTAAAAAAAATGAAAGTCAAGTTTAATAATTAATATTCTATGAATTAACGCTAAAAAATTAATGGTCTAGAATGGTGGAAAAGTTATATTTGCAACGGATGAATGGTTTGCTGCAGCAGATAATCTTTTGAAGGTAAAAGTTTGATTTTACTTTTAATGAATACCTTCTATAATAATAATAATAAAAGCAATATCCTGAATTTCCATTTGAGATTGACGTCAATTTTTTTTTATTAATTTTTCAAATAAAAGATAAGAATCATCAAAACATTTTATTAGAATTAATGATATGAACAAAAGTAAATGAATTGTAACTAACAAAATATTATTTTTATAGGATGATGAACCGGTATGGAAAGAAGGAATTTATACAAACTATGGTAAATGGATGGATGGATGGGAAACTCGACGGAAAAGATGTGCTGGTCATGATTGGGCTATTATAGCTTTAAATAGCCCGTCTATTATTAAAGGGTTCTGTGTTGATACAGCATATTTTACTGGAAACTATGCTCCAAGGGTTTCCATTCAAGCAGCACAACTTTATGAAAATGGTTAATTTTCGACAAAAGCTATTACGTAATTGTATACATTGTTAAGAGAAGTCTGTTTTAATGATAATTAAAGTTACTAACTGACTATATAATCAATTGAATATTTTTACTTTAAAATAGAATTTTTATTAATATATTAATTAAGTGAATGTATTGGATTACAAAACAGGTCTTAATTACGACAAAGAATCATTTCACAATTAGTTTCTAAAATAATTGTTTCATGGGTTTCAATCTTTTTGGAAAGGCATGAGAAATTTTCACATCCAATTATTGAAGACAATATTGCAATTTATTTTTTTTTATTTGCACAAGATGAATGTCGAAAGTAAAATTATCATTAAATACTCATACAATTTATACAATAATTGATATTTTTATTAGAGCTCAAGTTGTTTCCGGTTCGATCTGCTAGCTTTAAAGCAGGCGTAGCAGCTTCAAAGGATAACTTGACTCAAATAGAATCTTTAAGAACTGATGTAAGTCTTTAAAAAATATTTATCTAATACAATTAACAAAAAAACCTCCACTTAGATCTACTTCAATGAAATTTCAGGAATGGACAACGATATTACCAATGAGCAAATTAGAAGCTGGCTATGAAAGTACCCGAAGAAATTACTTTCCAGCATTTAATAGTCATCAGTCATGGACTCATCTACGATTAAATTTATATCCTGATGGAGGAATAGCAAGACTACGTGTTTACGGTCGAATAGTTCCTCCATTAAGAATTCCGAAATTTATTTCAGAACTGGTTGATCTAATTGCTAGAGAAAATGGTGGTGTGTGCGAGAAATATAGCAACGCTCATTATGGACATCCAAGGAATTTGATCAAGAATGAAAATGGAGTTGGAATGTTCGATGGATGGGAGACTGCAAGGAGACTTGATAGGCCAGCAATTATTCAAGTTGATAATTCAGGCATTCTTCAAGTATGTTGCATTTGAAATATTACATTATCTACATTATAATATTATTAACATACTTTATCATCACTAGCCGTGACTGATATGCTTGAAGTAATTTGAAAACTTTGACATAGATCCCTGGTGAAGAGTGGGCAATATTCAAACTTGGATACGTTGGACTGATCGAAAAAATCATCATCGATACTTTCCATTTTAAGGGAAACTTTCCAGATAATGTTAAGATCGAAGGTACATTCATATCTTGCAGAGATGATATTATTGCTGATCACCATGATGCCTTATGGCAAACAATTCTTCCTAAAAAGAAAGTAATATCATTTTATTCAAATAAACAATTTAGTATTTTATGTTAATTGATGCCTAAAATTAATTAATAATCATTTACAGTTACACCCTCATAAATCCCATGTTTATTTATCAAATGATTTATTATGGTGTGGTCCAGTAAGTCATATACGAATTATTATTAGTCCAGATGGTGGAATATCAAGACTAAGAATTTGGGGCTATGTATATTATTCCGGCTCTGAAAACTCGATTTAATGGTCCACCTGTTCTTATTCACTGGATTCTTATGAAACTCAATACAGTAGTGATCCTGGGTAAATTTCAATTTGACATCAACTCATTCGAAGACTTTGGAGAGTGGAGAAAAATTGAGGTGAGTGTATATAGGTATATAAAAGTATTGTAAGTGAAGGAAAGAGCGCCGGAGTAGACAGTTAGAGTGTAAAAGTCGAATGAATGAGTATGCAGACAGACATACTTTAAAGTCTGTGTAGTTTTACCACTCTCTGTAGCGTGGAAAAGTTGTTAAATTGTATTTTGAAACGATTGTGCTAATATTGTATTTATATTACGAAAATAAATATTTAGTGTTTAAAGATTATGTATTGAATAAAAGTATTATCTTTTCTTTTGTTATTCATTGTTTACATATTTGTAATATTATCCGATGGTATTATGGAAGTAAAAACTGCAGAAAAACTCTGCAAAAAATTTATCTGGTATTCTGTTAACATAAAAGCCTAAGTGTAAAGAAAAATTGGCAACGTTATTAAATAAGAAGGATGACGAGTATGAAAGATGAATCACAAGCCGAAAGGATAAGGAAGATGTTTAGTTGGAGCAACAGTTTGTCAAGGTAAATTTATTCTACATAAAATTTTATAATAAAAATTCAAAATATGTTTACTATTGGTGATAAGTAAATACTTGTCTAATAAAAAGAAATGTTTAAGTAAGATGCAAGTTTTATTTAGTGAGTCTGCGCCAATGGTATGTTCATGCACGAGACATTATACATATAGTGAAAGGCGTTCGTAGAGCCGACAAAACCAGTTTCAATCGTAAATGGTATAGATTTGACCAGCTCACGAATATCTAAAGAAATCGATGTGTCTTTTTAGCAACGGAAAACATATAATCTTCAGACATTTTTTTTCTTCGACTTCAAAGAGTAAATAATTATATAAATTAAAGTTATAATTATTATTAATTGCTCAATTTATATTCTATACATGTCATGTAAAAGACGTTATAGTAATTATGTATATAAGTAATTGTTTATGAAAATTTTTGGCTGTCAATTGGTGAAAGAAGATTTCTACTTTCAAAAGTAAAATTATAAGATAACTCATGACTTCTCATATTACTTAAAATTTAGTAATATGCTGATAGATGCCAGCACTTAACTCTTGAAGAAAAAGCCATTGAAAAAGGTTTACTTTTAATTTTGAGAGCAGCTTTTTATCAACAATAAATGTGCACTGAATACCAAAATAAAAACAAATTAAACAAATAACATATTAAAGATAAAAGTTTCATAATGAAATAATGGTAAAGTCTTATATTTGTATCAATCATCTGAATAGCAGTTGGTTAAAAATAATAAGAATCACAGTTTTTTACATAGCTTTTTTTTTTTTGTTAGAATGATTTTTTTGAATTTTTTATCATATGAATAATAATCTCGAAGGTTTAGAGTACATTTTTATATTGTTAATTCGTCAGTGAACATAAGAACTTTGGATCTTCAAGGTCAAGGTGCTGAATATACATATAATTATATTACATATAGCAAATAACTCAGAGTGACCATTTGACTTCTCTGAAGAAGAATACTTATTTGCAAGGATTGCACGTGATCTGAATAATAAATGACATTTCCTATATTAGTTCTCTGCAAATTATCATCATCATAATAAGATTGTAATATCGTTATTCGAATTAGTTTTTATATGTACTCGAAGGTCATATAAAATACTTCAATAAGACATAGTTCAAGTTTCTCTTTATATCCATCTTCTGGATTTTGATCGGATTGAAACGAGTTTTAATGTTGACTTATATTATTTTTTGGGGAACTCCAGTTTGAATAATTGGATGTAATTAATTAGCATTAATGATTTGATAGTTGTTTTGGTGTTGCTGTGATCATTCAGGTATAAAATATTTTATATTTTTAATTTAATAAAATAAAAAAACTTACGGTCTATCTTTATGTTGAACAAAGTTCATCAAATGTAATGGTTTTTCCACAGATATTTACGTAACGCAGCAGCTGGATTGACCGCTTTCACGTTTACGTCGCAAATCTTCGCTCTTATTGAACATCAGATATCGTCTGATATTTTAAATAGAATCAAAAATCTAATTTTTTCTGAATTAGTTGATCATCCTATTCAATTATCTCATATACAATGTAGCAGTTTGATGCTACTTTTTATTAAGTAGTTGGAAATTCAGTTAATCGTTTTGAGTGTGCTATGCATTTGCAAATTATATGGAATTTTACTATCAAGCAGAAATAATAAGTGACTTTTTTGAGACATGATTATTGTGCAGTAATTTGAAATTATACTGTGGGAAAAAAATGATTTATTGAAGAATTTGCTTGACAATATATATATATATATATGTATATAAAAAATATTAATCATATTTATGAGGATATCTTTAAGAACTACTTTTTGATTTAGTTAAAAAGTAAACTTAGTTGAATTATTTTCCTGTTATACCGGAAATATTTTTAAAGATGTTTAACTGTGAAATTATTATCCTTTTTATTTGTTTAAAAAATTTTTATTTTTACTTGACAATAATTATTAATTAATTATCACGGAAAGATGTAAGCTCTGTAATAATTGGAGATAAAAAAATAATAATCATTTATGAAGAGAGTAAATTATGTGATAAGTTATATCTCTTGTGTATCACAAACAATTACTCAGAAAACAACTTTCTTAAGTAGAGAAATTTCGCTTTATCAAAATAAGATCAATATTTTTTTTTCTGTATTGCAAATTTCTATTTGTAATTTAGCAATAAGTTATAAGCAACAGAGCAACATTATTCTAAATTCAAAAAAGGAGTCATAAGTTGCGGTGATTAATAATGTATTCATTTTAAGTAACCACTTTGCAATTTGAATATAAATTTTTTTGTAGTAATAAAACATTTTTCTTAACAATATCAATCAAATAGAAATAAAGATGGTGAATATTAAAATCTTTTTTCTAATGAAACGATTGCTATCTTAATCTCCATTATTATTATTAAATTTTTCCTCAAGTGTGCACATACTTAACTGATTCAAACAGCCATGATCTATGTAGGTCTCTGTTGGAATGGAATTTATTATATTAGTAATAACGGCAAGTTATACCACGAGCTAGACCAAATAATTTATAAGACTTTTCTTTTCAATCCCTGCATTTACCAATGTGTTATTTAATCGCGGTCTTCTCATTACATCATTGATCGTGTGTAGTTTAAGTTATGCAATGAGATGGTGAAAGTGACAATATTTCTGTTATTTTGATCATTGCCACGTTATTGTGATAGCTCATCTTCATATTGCTAACGAAATCATTAGCATGCTATCAACTGTTCCCCGTCAGATTTAATGAAAATATTTCAGCACTTTGTTAAGTAGAACATAAAAAAGTACACACAATTACTTGCATATGAATTGATAAATAATAATTATTGAACGTATTTTATACAAATTAGATGAAATTATCATAATTATTGTACATTCATAGTTGATGACTGATAAAGGTATTATATTTGATGGTGAAGTTATTATTTTGATGATTTTTAGGATAATTGGGTAATTATAATTGTTTATAATACTGTTTCTGACAAGTAAAAAGTAGATAAAGTAGGGAAACCGAAAAATGATTAGCGACAAAGGAAGAATGTGGTAGGGGAAAGACAACTCAGAAACATGGGAAAGCGAAGGAGGAGGTGACTTTGAACGTACAACAGTACGGTCGAACGGTCGGTTCTTGTAAAACAATTTACAGGTCGATCAGTCTTGCGGCAGGACTCGATAGTTGTGGCAAGTCCAAAGTGTTACCTGTCGTGACTAAGGTTCATATACGGACTTGCGCACATGTACACGTGTTTACTATTTCTTTCAATTAAGTACTCTATTTCTTAATGTGCTTCAATAATTATTTTTATATTATGTGTATGCCGTGAAGTTGAATTTTATTTTATTTCTGTGATGATGTTTATAAGTGCACTTTAAGAATTACTAGTTGCTTTTAATCAAATAAAAGCAAAAGGATTGGAGTTGACAATTGGAGAAATTTTGGAAAATAAACACTTGTAATTTTTAATCAAATTCGAATCAATGACGTAAGTCTGTTACAATTTTTTTATTATTTCTTATGATTAATAGAACATTGGTAATTAGTTATTAATTTTTTTATTAATCTTCACCTTTGTACATTAACCGTTATTTTGGCTACCAAATCAATAGGGTCTTTTTTTTATTGATGAAAAACAATCAACTGCTATGGAGATTATGTGACTATGAAGCGTCATTAGTCAGCGACATTGGTACACACTATTTGAGGAGTTGGAAACCAGAATTAATTTTCCAAAAAACTAATATGAAAAAGAATGTCTACCGAAAAAAGTGACATAAAAAGTTGAACATTTTTAATTAACTGAAATTAATTCAAGATATGAGGAAATTTTTTTCTTGGAATATTAAAATTATCCGAATTTTTTGAATGAATTTTTATAATATCACTAAAGATACAAATGCGAAATCAAGATGAATGACGAGTCTCTACTTTCTAAATACACCGCAAACAGAATGTGTACTGTCACCTACAAAATCCATAAAATTTAACCGGGAAATATATTGAGATGTAAAAACTACTTGAAAATAATATAGGTATTGATATTTTTAGTCATCAACTCCAGAAATATTAAAAACAATAATTAAATATGAGTACCAAGGTAAAACAATTAATATAATTAAAACAATTTAAATGTCTTACAATAAAATAATATTATTTACGCTGAATAATGACTAAAAATTAGTAAATTACCTATGGGTACTTTCAAGGTTGTTCAGAGTCTATTATGTGACGAAATATTCGACTGGGTAGGCATTTTTCCTAGTACTTCATTATTACATGTACCACTTCAATTCAATGAACAGGAATATAACATTATATGAAACCAAATTACCAGCATCAAATAAAAAAAGTATTAAAGAAGTACAGTTGTGGTAGTACCAAAGGTATCAAAGGTTCATTTAAAAAATCTTTAATATGACCATGACCTAGATATTAACCATTGACAGACTGTTAAACTAATGCTCTTTCCACACACGTGTCCAAGTCCAGGGTATTACTAGGATGAGAAATTTCATCTTACGCAATCATCATCAATAGCCATATTGGAATTCAGTTCTCGAATACTAGGCATCATTGAGTACGTGTAACACGTACAGGCCATTGATTAGTAAGTGATCAAAGTTTTGATAACATTATTTCAAGTGGGGGGTCCATTATCATAGGTCTGTTAGACACATCATCCTTATCAATAACTTGAGATCAGAAAATGTGCAGCAGATGAATAGCTGGAAACATGTACAAAGGTTTCAACCTTAAACCCAAAAAAAAGTAGCACGGCCTCGATTCTCCAATACAAGCTTTGACGTTTTTTATGTTGACCCTGAATTAAGACTTTTTCAATCTTCATTTTATCTTCTGACTGGTTTAAAGATTCTAATTCCGTATGCAAACTCGCAGTCGTCATTAAACATGATAAAAAATTAAGATATTCATATAAAATATTCCAATAAAATAAACTCGACATTTCTTATATTTCTGTATATCTTCAACATTCACTTGTTGCTGATACAAATGAGTCCTCGTATCAAGTTTGCCAAAAGTCATTTCCAGTATATTATTATATATTTATACTTTTTATTCATTGCTATTTGTACTCCTTATATACCGAGTACTCAGTCGTTGCTCAACGATGAAACTGGTGAGCGTCAGCGAAAAGAAAGTCGTATGCCCTTACGTAATTGCAGCCGTCGAAGTCACCGTTGATTCTTGCCGAAGCGTGCAATCTGGGTTGTTTGTATGTATATGTATATACGAATCACTGCATAGCACAGGTCCTTGCAGTGCAATAACCGGAAATGCTAAAATTACAAATAAAATAATAAAATTGTTTTTTTTTTATTCTTTTATTTCATTATGAATCATTTTCATTTCTCGCTTTTATAAATTCTTTTTATACTTCATCATCATATCCAATCAATTTGAACACATAATTAATTAGTCATCAATATCTTACTGTGTAGTTTTGGTTTAAATCTAGTAATTCGTATGCTTATTAAATGATTTATTTTATCGATTAATAAAAATTTTTACTATTTATGCATTGATTGAACCTTTAATTATTCATGCTAATGTTGATGAAATAGTCTTAGTTTGATTGAGCCAGTAAATAGGTCTGTCATGTTAGTGGGTCAATTATGATGTAATTAATTTATGTATTCATTTCATGTATAAAGAAAATAATTAAATTTTTGATTTTGTTAAAGTAAAATTTAATTTTGAATACTTGTTGAATTATTGAAATCAGTATCTGTAAATAGGACGATCATTTGTTAGCTTTTAGTTATTTATAATTTGATCAAACAACCCCTTTATTCTCGATACCAGAGAAATTCATCAAATATTCACTTATAATGAAACTAAATTCATGTTTAATTCAACTATTTAATCAATAATCACATTACTTATTGAAAGCTTCAATATGAGCTCTAAATTAGCTTTCCAACATGTTAATTAAATGAAAGAAAGAAAAAGAACTTTCAAATGATTATTTAAAAAAATCTATTGATGATAAAAAATCTTGAAGACTATCAATAATTGTATTAATTTGAAGATTAATTTTCATTCAAAATGATGGATTACATTTATCAAATACTTTGATTAGTATCATTAATAATTGATTATAATACTAAACCATTGATAACATTGAAATAAATATTATTGATTTTTATCAGTCAATAACACTGAGGTTTTTAATATTTACTTATTTTTTCAGCATATTTTTATTTATCCATATTTTTTATGCTAATTGATCTATTCTTTTTTTCATTTCAGGGAAGATACGCCAGATCGGGGTTACATCAATCCAGCCATTTCAATTTCAAGTGAATTGAACATGGACAATAATGTAGTGGCACCAAGTCCAGTTCTAGCAACTCCAGGTTTAAACAGCCCTTCATGGAACAGACAGCAAGCTGTCAGCGTGCGACATGCTTTCAAAACTTATGGAAGCAGCAAGAATCCAAACCATGTCATACAGAACCTGAGTATGACAGTGGCTAAAGGATCAATGTGAGTTGAACAATATCAGTTTGATTACTGATTTGACCAATATAAATAACCATCAATGAATTTTTAATGATACCTGAATGATCATTTCTACTTTTAAACATTTTCTCTAGAAGGTCATTAACTATTTCTTATATAAAAGTTAGCAGAATCAAGTTAATGTATCTTAATAAAGAAGAAGAAGAAGAAAAATTAAGAATAAATTAAGTAGATGAATTAATGAAGCTGATCGTTCAATACAGTTGCGTAGGTTTTTTTGGTGAAAGCATTTCTAAAATATTCAAATCTATCTCTTTTATGAATGCCGAGGAAATGATATTTTAGTTTGAATGAACCTTCACTGTTTCTCTTACGACATTAAATTTTATACTAAAGCAGGTAATGGGGATAAGTCGATATTACATTACTTTTTCAAGATATTGATGTACGATGAGTTAAAATTACCTTTAATATTGGTTTTATGGATGATTTGTATAATAGACTAATTCTATTAAGTAGTTAAATAATTTATATGAGATTGACATTCAACTCTTACTTTTATATTTTACTTTTAAAATAAAAGTATTATAAAATAGTTTCAATTGTCAAGTGTTAATGATAATGTGACGTCTTAACTTTATTTTGTATTTCCATTCAATGCCATTTCCAAGTGTGCATTTCAATTGAATCTACTTAACTCCTCTGAAATAGTAAACAAGAAGCTCAAAATATGTCAACATGACTTGTATTTATAATACAATAGAAGCTTATAGCCATTAAAAAAATTTAAGCAATCAAAAAACGAATCTTAACTTCTTTTATAGAATAATTTATAATAATTTACTCATTAAATTTATTTTATTCGTTAAAAATCATTTAGTTAAACATACTGTTGTTTTTTTTTACAATAACAATTTGTTTCAATAATTTTTTTTACTGCATATTTACAGACTTGCAATTCAAGTTTTATGATATATTCAAGTGTTATGATGGCAAAAGATGACATTAATTTTTTTTGTTATTATTAACGTTTAGTTTTCAAACTTTAAGTATATTGGTGCATAATTTTCAATTACTTTTCAAGAGTATAGGTTATCAGTCGTTTATCGACTTGAAAGCGAAACAAAAAAATACTTCTTTCAACTAATGGTAGTATAAAATTAATTATAATTGCAGATACAAAAAATGTTAAATGATATGAAAAATATTTTTTTAGAATAATATTTATTAATGGATATTTGATTATTATTATTTACATCTTTTTTCTCTGTATTATTATTTAAATATTTGTAACACCATACGAAATAACGATTAACGTAACTATCAATTATTTTAGATAATCTAAATTACTCAAGAAATTGGAATATACATCAGCTGTATTCGACATACAACTTTCTCCAATAAACAACTTTATGTTCCATTATTAACTTCATTATCATTACATGTTTTCTTGGGGGGTTTTTTTATTGACTCTTTCATTAGATTATTGAGAAAATGTTTGCATATTATATGAATTGTTAGTTGATTTATTGTAATTCTGAAAAACTGATGTGTCATTTTAGTTTAAATGAATTTATGGTTTTTCTATTTTGTTCATGATTGTTTTTTATGAATAAATTAATTAACTTTATACAATCTTGATTATTTATTGTACTAAAGACAAATAAAATAAATAGATATATTTATTTATTTATCTATTCATCAGAATAATAATTTTATAACATGTTTTTGGATTTGCTTTCAAATGTTATTCACACATCGAAACATTTTAAAAACAAATATGAAATGATAAATATTCTTTTAAATTTATTTGATATTTTTGTAGAATAAAAGATCAATTTGTTTAAAAGTCAACAATATGTAAATAGAAAATAACTGGCTATTTTTAAAAAAAGATAATTAATCATTGATGAATCATCCCTTATTTATGATGCAACATATAACTGTACCTTTGATCAAGATTTTAAATTCATCATCTTCTTTTTTTTATTAAAATTTTATGCTAATATCATCAGAATACTTGATACTAAAATTAAATAATATAAAAAAAATAGCCAAAAAAACATTCATTTATCATAAATGTACTAGACCTTGAGCATAAGATTTCGTACTAATTTATTTGATTGTTCATTACTCCAATCAGATATGGTCTTCTTGGTGCTAGTGGATGTGGCAAAACGACTTTACTTTCATGCATCGTTGGACGAAGACGACTAAATTCTGGAGAAATATGGGTCCTTGGTGGGAAGCCAGGAACGAAGGGATCAGGTGTACCAGGCAAACGAGTTGGTTATATGCCTCAAGAAATAGCTTTGTACGGGGAATTTACAATTCGTGAGACGATGATGTACTTTGGTTGGATCTTTGGTATGGAAACAGCTGAGATTGTTGAAAGGCTGAGGTTTTTATTACAGTTTTTAGATCTCCCGTCGCAGAATAGACTTGTAAAAAATCTCAGGTAGTTAATCAATCAATAAAAAGTAATGCAAATTATCATCTTTAATGCATAAATTATTAATTATTTGTTATGTCTATACTTTGAATTATAGTGGAGGTCAGCAACGACGTGTATCGTTTGCAGTAGCATTGATGCATGATCCTGAATTGTTGATCCTTGATGAACCAACAGTGGGTGTTGATCCTCTTCTTCGTCAGAGGTACGTTTTTCATGTTTATTTTTATACGTAAGAAAAAACTTTAGGTTTGCCTTACATCACTAAATGCATAAACGTTTTCACTGATGAGATACAAAACGTAGATGTCAAAGTGTAATGTAGTTGACGAAGATATGACAAGAAATATTATAAAAACTAGATATCGAGTACTATGCATTATTATGCTCATAAATGAAACATGATTTTATATAGACTTTGTCATGGAAGAAGGTTACTGCTAGACAGTTACCTCGATTATTTGTATAATTATAAAGAAAATCTCAATTGAAATAATTAATTATCAACTATCTAGCACACTGATTACGAGATATTATTATTCAATGATAATAAAATTTACAGCATTTGGAATCACTTGGTGCAAATTACGAAAGATGGAAACAAAACTGTCATTATTACGACACATTACATTGAAGAAGCAAGGCAGGCACATACGGTAAATAAGTTTTTTTTTATTCAACAATGATGAAAATGAATGACTTATATATTTATCAGAATCATTGGTATTTCTATTGGAATATTTGTGATAAAATCCACTTTTAATATCTAATACGTGTTGTTAAATAAATTAAACAAAAGCCTAATAATCATCATGATGTTTATTTAAAATCAGTAGTCTCATATTTAATAGTCATAAGACTCATTAATGGTATCTTTTCAAGAACTCTTTTAGCAAATAGATGAATGAAAAATATTCAAGTGTTAAGTTGTTTGATAAATATCCTCTTAAAAATTATTTACTTCTATTTTTGCAATTCGTAGAAAACAGACCTTGAATTGAAGAATTCTGAGAGTTTGAAGATACTCTGCTAATTCTGAGCTCTCTCGTTCACTGGTTAACTCCAATTAGGTACATTAATATCACTAAACGTGTCATTCACCCTCCATTACTTGGATTCCACACAATTTTATCAGCTCCTGAATGACCTAAAACATTTATTTTCAATTTGTTGTATTCATTATTTTTGATTATCAAATGAGTTATTGAATGAGTCATTAAGTAGAAACTGGAATTATATTATTGCATTTTGTAAATATTGATTGACTTTTATGATTTATTTTATGACGTTGGTTTGTTGATTAATAAAGAAATTAATTTGCAAATATTCAATTTTTATTCTAGATTGGTTTAATGAGAAGTGGACGGTTGCTTGCTGAAGAGTCCCCAAGAGCTCTTTTAACAATGTATAATTGCCCATCTTTAGAAGATGTATTCCTTAAATTATCAAGGAAACAAGGTCAAACGGCTCAACCAACAGTAGAATTAAACATATCTAATAATATCAGTTTGGTAAGAATATTAAAAATGATTGGAAATTTTTGTAATTAAATGTCATACAATTTCAAAACTGTTGATCAATTTCTTTGGATAGGCTTCCTTAAATTGGGGTAAAAAAGATGAACCAGTTTATGTAACTGAAGAGTCTGGTGTTATAGGATTGAATTTTCATCAAAGTAAAGAAGTACTTATTCATGATACAACAAATGGAGTTGGCAGTCATTATGATGTAAGTATGAAAAAAATTTCCAGTATTCCGATTGCACTGAATTGTTTTTCATTAATTTTCTTTTCTACTCAAATATCAGTTAAATGGAAAACCATTATCTGGCGTGAGGAAAAACTCTGAAGGAATGTGCCATGACTGCGACGTTTCAGATTGTTTTAACATAACAAGTAGGGGTAAAATAAGAGCATTATTACAAAAAAATTTCCTTCGAATGTGGAGAAATGTTGGGTAAGTATTTGTATAATAAATATGAATAAACAATAAGTTAATGAAAATAAACTTAAACCTAAAAATGTTTAATTTTAGTGTGATGCTGTTTATCTTTGCCTTGCCAGTAATGCAAGTAATCTTGTTTTGTCTCGCAATCGGAAGAGATCCAACAGGTTTAAAATTAGCTATAGTTAATCACGAAATGAATTGGTCAAATAAATCGTGTCCAATAGCAGATGGTTGTAATTATCGTATGCTAAGTTGTCGATATTTGCATTTTCTCGATAACGAAACAATGGTCAAGGTTGGTAATCAAATCATAATAAATAAAATAGCATTCTTAATACTGTAATGCCAATGACACCTTAATTAATTACGTATTGTCTACAGGAATATTATGAGACTCCTGAGTTAGCAATCGAAGCAGTGAGAAGAGGAAATGCCTGGGGTACTCTGTATTTTACGGAGAATTTCACGGATGCTTTGGTTGCTCGAATGGGACTGGGTCGTGATGCTGATGATGAAACACTTGATCAAAGTGAAATTCGAGTTTGGTTGGATATGTCAAGTAAGGATCAAATTTCATTTAAATCAATGCCAAATTTTTTGGCTTAGTTTCTAGTAAAATCAACTTGGATTAAATTATTATTTTTTTAATGTTTATTACAGATCAACAAATTGGTTTGATTCTATCTCGGAATTTGCAATATTCATATCGTGATTTTGCTAAAGATTTATTAGCGAAATGTGAGCTGAATACAAAACTAGCCGACGTTCCAATTCAATTCTTAGATCCTATTTATGGAACTAATGATCCTAGCTTCACGGATTTCGTAGCTCCGGGCGTTATTTTGACGTAAGAAATTATAGATGATTTATTATTAAGCATGTAATTAATAAATTTTTCTTTTTTTTTTAGCATTGTGTTCTTCTTGGCTGTTGCTCTGACTTCGTCTGCCTTAATTATCGAACGAATGGAAGGTCTATTAGATAGAAGTTGGGTTGCTGGAGTGTCACCCGGAGAAATTCTTTTTTCTCATGTTGTTACACAATTTGTCGTCATGTGTGGCCAAACAGCTCTCGTACTTATATTTATGATTCTCGTTTTTGGTGTGGAATGTAATGGCGACATTGGTTGGGTGATTCTGCTAACTATCCTTCAAGGTCTTTGTGGAATGTGTTTCGGTAAGAATTATTATATTTTTAGTTCCATTGTCAGCTGATCATTTATTATAGCCTTTTTTGTTGATTTATTCTTTAATACTAATGATTTCATTTATTATGTTTTCAGGATTCGTCATTTCAGCTATTTGTGAACTTGAAAGGAATGCTATCCAATTAGCATTGGGTAGTTTTTATCCTACATTGTTACTCAGTGGTAAGTATTATTAATATTTATTGTTTATCATTCGATAATGTTTCTAATTAATATATAAAATTGCATATATTGCATCATTGACATAGACGTTTAATTATTTTTATTTGCTTCGTAGGTGTTATTTGGCCAGTTGAAGGAATGCCCACGGTTTTGCGTTACATTTCACAAGGTTTACCATTGACAATGGCAACAACTTCTTTGAGATCAATGTTAACAAGAGGATGGTCAATTGGTGAACCAGATGTGTACAATGGCTTTATCTCCACAATAATATGGATTGCTGTTTTCTTAACAATTAGTTTGCTTGTTTTAAGGTTTAAACGTGGTTAGATTTTAATTGAGTGCTCAATAATTTGCATTATTCATTAAAACAAATCAATATATTGATTGATGAATTTTTAAGAAATTATTTAAATTTTATAATTATTCATTCAAGCCATGAAATTTGGAATAATTATTTGTTTGTATAATTTATCATTCCCAAGAGTTCATATGTAGGTAGAATAATTGAAAAATTTTTATAATATTTTTTGATCATCAAAGAGATATCCACGACAGGTTAGATAATAATTATTTTAATTAGTTGTTAATATATATACTAATCTAGTATATTTTTATTAATAAAAATGGTCGACTATAAATACGTGAATAGAGTATTGAGTTAAGAATTCTCCAGGATTAATATATTTAATCTTATTGGATTTTAAATACATATGAAAATGTTTATAATTATTGTAAATATATACATAGTTGATTGATTATTATTTTCATTACCTAATTCAATGTTAAAGTGAAAATAAAATGTATTTTATCAACGATCCTGTATATAAATAATCTTATTGTTTTATCAAATTCAAACCTAAACAAACAAAACCTTACCTTTGTAAACACTCATTTTCAATTCAATTACGACATGAATTTATTTAACAAATATACTACAAACATATACTACAATTATTACTACACGATTAATAACATTACGAATATATTTTTTATCTCCCGATTAAATCGCGATTAAAGTACGTTAAACAATTATAAATATCTCTTTTACATTGTTCATTGTCAACTGTTTTGATCTTGGAACGCTTTTCAATTTTTTCTGACACTGTCGTTATGAGTACAATTTATCTTATCAACTGGCATCAATGTTTGCATTATCAACTGCAGCTAAAAAAATTAATCAGTTGGTATTACAGAAAGGTGATTACTACAGCGCTTAGTGTGGTAGTGTGGTAATGATACGTACTAATTAATCGTAATCACAAAATCAGCTGACTGGGAGTTCTTTACATATTTCTTTGTATTGTATGTATATTTTTGTTTTAAGCCCTCAGCTGTTCTACGTAATGAAAATACGTACGTTATAATAATCTTTGGTGTGTATACGTTGATGGACAGAGTTCCTGATAGTCTTTAGGAATGGTGGTAAAAATAGGCCATGTAATTCTTGTAAACAGTTGCTCATAATTTATAACTCACATCAACGTGATTAATTTTTCATTCAAAAACATTGAGATTATAATACATAAGATAACTGTGATTTAAATAACCAGTGTGTATTACATTTTAAAATTATTTACAAACGTGTTATTTTACTTTATTAAATGTAATCTGTTGATTTTCCGTTTTTAGTAATGTCAAATGAAGATCGATTGCGGACTTTATTCTCTGATTTAGGAAAAGCAACACTTCGTGGTGTAAAAAAATGCCCAAAGTGTGGGACGTATAATGGATCACGTGGATTGTGTTGCAAAAATAAATATTGCGATGCTGTGTTTAAAGAACCAGGCGAAAGGCGTAAAATGTCAACAGAAGCATGCAAACTTATTACTGGTTCATCTGTTCAAGTATTTTCAGTAAGGGTTCGTGATAAGGGACCGGATTGTAGAGGCTTCGTACAAGTACCTGTCAACGCAACAATATTTAATGATTCATTTTTTACATCACCCACATCAGCTTTATGTTTGGTCGATAATTGTGAAAAAACCTTTGATACTAATGTCCTAAAATGTCATGAAAAAAATCCATCTGATACCAGTATACCAACATGCCAACATATCCAAGCTGCACTCAAGTGTTATGCTGAGGCTCAACCTTTGACTGTAAAGAATTCCATTTTAAGGTCGATGAATGTTTTAAGTGAATTAAAGCAGGAAATATGGCTGCTGGCAACTGAAACACCAGGTCCATTAGTACAGAGAGTATCAAAGAATATTATGGCTGTTAAATGCAAGGTCTCACCAAAGCATCCTCTTGGATATTTACATTTATCGTTTTATACAACAAAAGTTAAAGACAAAGTCGAGCATAAGTATAATTGTAGTTGTACTCCTTTTAAGGTAAACTATTTATATAAATTATCACTCTATTTTATATTAATTATTAATATAATTATTTTACAGCAACATTTAAGAGCTGCAGAATTACAAAATAATAGCAATAATAGTAATAATCGTACGGATTTATCACAAACACCCAAAAGATGTGTACATTTTTACTCCTGTATTTGTGCCTTTGCCAGTGATGTTAAACTGGCGGATGAATTTGAATATTATATAAATATTGATGAAAATGAATCGAAAGTACAGCAATTAAAAAATCCGTCTTTGCCAGTCGATGAGACTGATCAAATAGTTACAATGGGTATTTATATCAAATCTATTGAATGTTTACCAAAACAACACGGTGATAAATCGGATATTTTAACTTCATTTTTTAAAATACATTGATCAATTTATACTGATATATTTCTTTTTATTTTGATCTTAATAAATATAATAGTTTATTTTTCAAAGATTCAAAATTATCAGGAGAAATTAATAATATATTCTTAGCCAAAGATTAAATTGACGGTTATTAATTTTGTAGTTGATATTCAGTACATGTCTATTATTTTTTTATGATAATTAATTTTCTGAAAGATTCTATCTTCATGCTTAACATGACATATATTCAGTTCTAAAACTTTGGTAAAATAATTTTAAAGTTTCACTACATCTATAGAAACCTCGAGGGTATTTAAAAGTCTAGTTTAAATTTTCTCACACGTCAGTGAGTAACTGCAGATATAATGTAGTTTCTCTTTGCAATTCGTCTTTCTACCATCATTGTATCTTCTACGTCATATATTAATTTATTATATTCTACAACTTTTGTGGTGAAGCAGCAGAAAGTTTCTCATACCATGTAGAAGTCTCTGGTATATTCATTATTCTGTTTCGAAAACTAAAGATCAATTTCGGGCGGAAATTATACCAGAGATTATCATTTATTTATCACCTGTGCTGCTTTGTAGTTTAATTAATCAAAAATATACTTAAAAAAATAGCTATGGATTGTTAATGATAGTTTTTATTTTATTTTATTTACAGATTTTGATTGTTTAACAGATGATTCTCATTTATTAATTTTTCGTGATGAAACACTAACTGTACAAAATTTCGATGGAGAACGATTAGATATAGATTATATTAATCTAGACGCTGCAATTTTATCTAGTAATATTGTTGAAGAGATTGATACAAGCTGCCAGCGTACTTTAGTAGAAGAAAATAATGTTATTAATCAAGTAAGGCTTTAGATTTTTTTATCATTTTTTAAAATGAATAAAATCTGTTATTAATTTGTTTGTTTGTTTGTTTTAGACCAATAGTTTAGGAGACAATAAACAATCATCGATTGATACTTCAAAAACAATTAATAGTCAATTAGCTATCGAACATAAGTATGGATCCAACGAATACGTATTAGATGAACATGATTTAAAACTAGTCAACAATAAGTATACAGCCAAAATATATGATGGACAGACGCTGTTTGAGGCTAAAAATATTAAAATACTCGAAGATGCTTCTATTATTGATTGTGGAGGAGTTAAAGTTATTAATGATAATCTACTGCCAAATGAAGTAACTATACAAGTTGAAAATTCTAAAGCAAGTTCTGTTAAAAGGAAAAGAGATGATGAAAAACTTGGCATACCTTATTTGAATCTTAATAATTTAAATTTAATTGAAACCAAAAAAGTTAAAACTAAACCAACGATTATTAAAAAACATGATTACTTGAATGAAAATGTTGAGGAAGAAAATGTTAACTTGTCTTTTATCAAGTGGCTTGCTTCAGTTACTGAAAGAATAAACCAAACAATGCATTTTCAGTTTGATGGTAAGCCTGAACCGTTGGTTTTTCACGTACCTCAAATATTTTTCGACTGTCTGAGAGAACGAATTTCTTGTGGTGGAAAGAAAAAAAGATTACCAAATTCAACAACAGCATTTGTCAGAAAAGATGGAATCCCTTTAGGAATTTTTACCAAGTATACTTGGCAAATAACCAATATATTACATGTCAAAAGTATTTTTGAAACTTCTTTGATTCCTCTTGAGATTACTCGTAGCTTTATACAAAATGCTGATGGCACGTATGATTTATATAAACGTCAAGAAACAGATATTGATAAATATAAAAAAATGGAAAATAGTGCTTTAATAAAACCTTCAGAGTTGAAAACTTATCTAAAAGTTGGTAAGTATAATTAATGTTTTCATTAAATTTTAGAATTATTTTAAATAAGAAATACATGAATTTATTATGTTTAAAGGTAAAATGTCTCCAAATCAAGTAGATCCAACTCCATTCCTAATAGAATGGATACCCGATATCTTGCCAATTTCAAAAATAGGTGAACTACGAATAAGATTTGAATTTGGTCATGTGAACAACGAGACACCAGATAGATGGAAGACCAATGTGGCATCATCGAAAACATTTTGATAAAGAAAATTTAATAATATTCATTCAGTTATTTATACCAATTAAATAGTTATCCATAATTTTGTTAAAAAATATGATTCCAAAACTTGTAAAGGATTTAGAAAGTTAAATGTTTTCCAAAATTACAAAAATATACCAAAATGTAGGTATTATTTATATATTTTGATAAAACTTTTTATTGAAAAATTAAATGGTTCATTAATTGTTAAATGTATATATTTTGTTAAATAATTAACAACTATTATTTATGATAAATTGAAAATTAAATGAACTAACGTTATATTTAAATTTGTTTCTTTTATTTTTTTATAAAATTTTTGTGATTTATAAATTTAAATTTTTAAGTTATTGTACTTATAATAGAAATAATAAAAGAGTTTGGTTAACAAGAATTTATTTAAAATTGTAATAAACAATTTTAGACATTTGAAAGTTGCCTCGTTTTCGAGCTATATTTAGAAATTCTACATATAAATATAAGTACTACACTGCCATAGGCTAAATCGACTTATATAGATGCGCATTGACTATAGATGCTACATGAGTCAAAATGACGTCTTATTTCGAAATCGAGTAATTAATAATTATCATATTTTGTGATAAAATTAACATGACCTTAATATAACAAAGTTAGATTAATTATTTGACATGTTATAAAGTACATTTAGCATTCCAATAACGATTAATAATTAGTAATAAAAGCGGAAAGTAAGGGATTTTGTACTACTCCAGGAATTACCAGGACGGAAGTTGACGATGACGTACAAAATATAGGAGTAGTCTTCCATTTTCTTGAGGCTTTCTAGTAATACAGAGCACGTGTTTTGTTGCCGGTCACTGTGAACGCATTATTTTGTGTGTAAATTTACATCGGCAGTTATTTAAAATAACGTAAATTAATTAATTTGGGAGTAGTAATTTAATTAAATAAATAATGAATCCAGAAAAGTTAAAAAAATTACAAGCACAAGTTAGAATTGGAGGAAAAGGAACACCTCGTCGTAAAAAGAAGGTGTGTAATATTATTAGTGTCTTGGTTGTGATATAATTAGCAAAATGACGAGGCTATCGTTTATTTTGTCACTGAAATTGTTGTTACCAAATGTATGCTCCGAAAATGATTGTCACTATCTTTGGTATAATCATTAACTAACTGATTGTTTGCTAATTATATATTTATTCCATTAATAATCAATTTGTAGTTATGTATTTTTTTTAAAATGATATATATTTAATAAAGGTTGTCCACGCCACTGCAGCCACAGACGACAAAAAGTTACAAAGTTGCTTGAAGAAATTGTCGGTTAATACAATTCCCGGGATTGAAGAAGTAAATATGATCAAAGATGATGGTACCGTAATTCATTTTAATAATCCAAAAGCTCAAGCCAGCCTTTCGGCGAACACCTTTGCTATTACTGGCCATGGTGAAAATAAACAAATAACAGAAATGTTGCCTGGAATACTGAGTCAATTAGGCCCTGAAGGTTTGACTCAATTGAAAAGATTAGCCAGTACGGTTGCTGGGAGCGCAGTTGGTAAAGCCACAATGGAAGAGGACGATGAAGTACCAGAATTAGTTGAAAACTTTGATGAAGCCAGTAAGGAAGAGGTTTGTCTCACTTTTATTCATTTCATTATTACATTACAATCTTATCTTATTCGTTTGTTTATATTTATTTAATTATCTTGTAAATACCTTTTTCTATAAGTTGATATTTTTTTTTCTTCAATAAAAACGAGGTCATAATTAATATTCAGTAATAACCTGTAAAATAAAAATTAATAACTGGTTTACAATGTTTATTACTGAATTATTTTCAAGGCTTCTTGATTGATGGAATGTGAAATTAATTACTGTTATTAATTGATTTTTTGAAGGTTGCGACAAAGAAAGAAGTCGAAGACTTTGGTAAGTCTGTTGCAGACAAAAAAGAAGCAATTGTCACTGAAAATGACAAAAAAGAAGCTACCTTAGTTAAGCCTGAAGCTTAAAAGCTTAACGTTAAGCGTAAGTTAGCTCTAATTTTTAAATCTTTTAAGTGAGTTTTCTTTATGTACTTTCGATTGAGTTTCGATTATTTATTTATTATAGGTGCTCACCGGGATATAAAAAATAAGTGGATGAGTCAAGAAATAATATTGCTTGAGTGAAAAAAAAATTTGTAATTGTATCAAACGTTACAAATTCTTTACCTTGTGTTACGATTATATAAATAATGATAATGATAGTCCAGGAAATTGGAAATATTTGAAAATAAATGATGGTCGTTGGCATCATCTATTAATCTAACAATAAATTTTAAGAACATTTTTTTTTATTTAAAATGTGTTTATCTTATTACATATCAGTTTATTATCAAGCATCATTTTTTTGTTTCAATTCAGGTTAATTGGTTGATGCATGTGATAGAATCGCTAAACAATCAGTTCAAAAAATTGTTTCAATTTATGTACGGATTACAAGCTATTCACATTCTCGTTAATCTTATACTTTATTTCTCGGATAATAGAATTGTAATGGTGTCTATACAACATACCATTGAACGTGCTCAAGTACTTGTTACAAACAAATATTTATTAACATTCTAACATCAATGAGATAATATAAACATCAACAAGAATTAACAATAATCTCTCAATAGCACACATCCTTTTTTTTAATTTATTTGATATATTTCAATCGTGTTTTTTTTTTGCAATTTTTGTATTATATTTTACAATCAATTATAATTTGTTTTGTATGGTAATATTATTGGGTATCTAAAATAATTTTTATTGAATTGTACTTTCTATTTCATTTAATCATTAACCAACGAAATAAACAAAACAGTGATAATTTCTCTCTTTATATAAAAGATTTTAGAGTCGAAATCATTCTTATGTTGCATTGCATTTACGAAGATAAAAAATAAATTTATAACATAATAGTGCAATGATGAAAAAAAGGCAAGTAGAATAAAATTAAAATAGCAAAGCATTAAACTAATGCTCTAACGATCTCAATTAATACGCATACTGAAATAAAATCTTAAACCATTGTTGAATATACTAATGATAAGTAAAATAAAAGTTTACGATTTTTGAAAATTTCCAAGCGTTTTTCAGCATAGTGAGACATTAAATGCCTATACTGAGATACAATTTCATTTATAAGTGACAAATTCTTGAGCAATTGTTTTTAAATTTTATAATTGCCGTAAATAGGATGCATCAGTGACAGAAATAAAAATAATCAATTAAAATTATCTCTTTAATATGAAGAAATATTAATTTTTAATCAATTGCAACAAAAGTAAAAAATAATGAAAGTAGTTTTCGATAATTTATTTCCAAACAGTGCAACCTTAATATTATATTAGTAAGAAAATATCAATTTATTTTCATAAGAAAAATTCACTATTGTAACTTTAAAACAGGAATAATAAAATAGTTTCTTTGTCCAAGAAACTCTTGTCTTTTCAGTGAAGAATTCTTTGATGGAGATAATTTTATAAATAAAAGAAAAAGAAGACAAGTAGATAAGACTTTAAATGATAGAATATCTTTTCAGAATAAATGAATTTTTATTAGATTCAAAATAATCTTTAATAATGAAAAACAACAACAAAAGAATCATTTCTTTCGTCAACAATTTATCCCCAAGAAGAGGGTTCTTGATTGAAAAAATATTTTATTGTGTGAAGTTAAAATTGATGACATTGAGAATTTTCCGGCATTTAAAAGATCATTTTCCCCAATTCACTGTTGGTAAGATGATAAAGTAGCATTCAAATTGAATAAATTTATAGCTTCATCTTGCAAACACTCCAGATATGACATACACATAAAATAGAAACGCTTGCGCCAATAGACACAGAATACAAGGTTTACTATATCGATTTATGTATACACATATAACCGGATAAAATAATTATTTCAACAAACTCTATCTACTATATACATCCACATTCACGAAGATCTCCCTAAGGGGATAATTTTACTGAGACGAATTTATTTAACATCTTGGATACTCATTTATAATTATAATTATTAACTCAATAGACAGGATGAACATACGTACACTTTCAAAATATGAATGATGTTTCTTTGATGGAATAATTAATAATAGCTTGAATGAAAAACAATTATGAAGGTTGTTTGTTTAAATTTATTGGTATAATAATAATTATATATTCTAAGTACAATATTCCTATTAAATATAATGGTTATCTATTACTTACATACTATCAATGAGCATGGAAGATGGAAGGAGAGCAATACTTCTTTAGGTATATCAAAAGATTGACGAAATGGAAGAGATGACGGGATGACAAGAGAAGAATATTCTCGCGAGATCTGGGATAATCTTCTTAGAGTATTCGCACTTTTATAAGTGCGAGTTCAACTAGGTTTATGGAGAATTATGTTTTCTTTTGTGCAGTGGTTGCACAAATACACTCAAGGATGAAATGTATTAAATGAGATTTTTTTTTATCTACCCTCTAGTTTTTCAATTCAATAGGATGAATAAATCATCGTATGATATATATTTTATATATACGTGTATATATTCCAATATCAAGAACGTTAATCTACTTTTATCAACTATTGCAAATTTTGTTCAATAATTCAATCAAACTTTTAGTTTAATCGCTTAGGTGATTTGTCATTCTGAGCTATTTTTAGAAATAGGGTATGATAGGGGAAGATAATAAATCAAAAGAAAAGTAATATTGTGATTGATTTTGTCTTCGAGTATTAATTTCATATTTCCAATTATTTACTAATCAGTTTATGCGTAAATTCATTTCAAAGTATATTCCTATCGAATTATACGGAACGTAATTGAAAATTTAATTTTGCGGCCACAATAATTGAGTTCTATCGTTGTAATCTATTATTTCCATTAAATAAAATTAAACATATGGACTCAATTCTTTGTTATATATTTATTTAGCTGTCATTTCTAGTTATTCTAATTGAGATGAATCAGTTTAGATAACGAACCGGAAGAGCAATGCATCAACACAACTATTTTATTTACAATTTTATGCAAGAGTTGAATGAAAAAAAAAATTTAGATACTTTTGTCGATCAGCACAGCTGATATTAAAAGTTTCATTCCGGATATAAATATGCAATGATGTTGAAAATTGCACATTTGTTGTAGATATTTCACTAATTCTCGTTTTTTGTACTCATCCAGAGAGAATTCTCATCTGTATTTAATTACATTGTTGATTATTTTCTTATTAAAGAGGAAAACCAATTTGAAATTCTTTTACAACATAAGATAAAAAGTGAAAGATCTAAAACAATTTCTGAAATAACTTGTTCACTTTGTTATAGTGATTTTAATTTCTAATTCTTTTGTTAGTTCTTTGAATTGAGTTACTGTAATTTCATCCCAGAGTGTAATTTCTCTACCAACTACCAATTACTTTTAATCTCATTGGGAGATATCAGCTCTAATTGAATGACTAAAAAATGAATAAAGCTAATATTTGAAAATTTTGTTAAGTGATTATGACAAATGATACGTGTCACTGATTGAAACTTAAAAAGATACATAAACTGATTATCGAAGGGTTTGCGGTTTATTAAATATCTCTTCACCGACGATATATGTATTACGAATCGATTGTTTGCTCTGCTTTATCCGCTTTTGGTTGAGCTTCAGTGAATAATCCATAGTTATTCTACCAATCACTTTATAATGATTTAGTTTGTTATAAATACAGCTATATTACATTACTAATGTTTTGTTATTATTGTTGAAATTATTATTATTATTATTATTATTATTAATTATATTACTAGTGATAATATCATCGCTAAATATAATTTCTCCACATTTTTCGCTTCTTCATTTACTTACTGGGGTTTTAATTAAAAAGAGATAGATATGAAATGCTATTGTTTTCGGATTTTAATAATCTGCTGTGTCAAGCTAATCTGGCAGTTTTAATCAGAATAATACGTACATTTATTACAAAATATAATTTAAAACTTGGTGTCTAACAAGAAAAAAACAAGTGTTACTAGTAGTAGGTTTTTAATTTTTTTGATTTTCTGTTTTACCTGTAACTCAATTTAAATTATTATTAGTGTTTGGAGATAATGAAACATTTACAATTAATTGAAACATGAGAAGAAAAATTACTTTTGATTACTAAAATTATTCGCGCTGAGAAATTATTTTATTGTAAATTCTTAAATTATTTATTTTTCAGCTAAAAAAATTCTAACTGTTCTAAGCAATATTTTTTTTTATAAGAAAAAAACAATTTTTCCTGTAAAAAAATATGCTTTTATTTATTGAATTCAAGTTTTATAATTTTTATGTTAAAAGTATTTAAAAATAGAATCTTTTTGTATGAATATATCATTAGAGTTGATTGATAATTTTCAATAAAATAATTTCTATACTAAAAAATAATTTTTTTCTCAGTACACAACATCAAGTTCTGCCACTTCTAATTGAATATAAACTCTTCTTTATTAAACACCTATCATAGAAAGCTCTCATTAGCAGGAGTGACAGTAAGAGTAACGAGTTCCCCACCATGGTTATCAAGATGTTCACTATCTTCATGATCACATGATTTAATAACATAATTGTTCACAGGATCACCATATTGACTTTGATAAAACTCTTCTCTCATCATGTGATTAAGATTGCCACAGCGGAAACATAAGATTTCAACGAAAGGCTTGCGAAAGTCTCGATTAAGAGTAGCATAGATAATTGGATTGAGCAGACTGTTGCAGTAACCAAGCCAAAGAAATAGACTTGATAGAGACTTGGGTATTGCTTTAGGATCAGAGAGAAATGGTCGAACTAATGCAAGCACGAAGAATGGCAACCAGCAGATAGTAAAGGCACTCATAATGATGCCTAGAGTTGTACTGGCTTTTCGTTCCTTTGCTAATTGAAACCGCAACTTCTTTTGATGAGGTGAGTTCGATACGCTGCAAGAGCTGTGTAGGTGGTTTTTTACCACTGATTTGCCAGTAGTCAAGGTAGTTGATGAACCAACTGTCGTTTTTTCAGTCTTAAATAGCATAGGACATTGAGATTCATTGCTTTTCCTTGGACCACCAGTGAAACACTTTACTCCATGCCCACTACACTGTAACAGAAATAAAAAATATCAAGATATTCCCATTTTCATGACACTTGGGCTTTATTAGCAGACCATCTATCATCAGAAATATTTCATTAAAGTCAAATTACATTTGAAACTACAATTCGACAATAGAGAGCTTTGTAGAGCACATTCATCTAGTCAATAATTATTATTGTGATATCTCTTTCATCATAAAATTTAACATGAAAATTTTTAATGCTCCCATTGTTGAAGGATAGTTTAGTTTTGCTGTATGAATATGAAAATAACATTTTCAATAAAGTATACTGGAGTACGATAAAAGCGTAATTTAGCTGTTTATCTTTAGCGTAAGCAAAAAATTGTAACGTTGAATCAATTACTGAGTCTGACCTATATAATAATAAAATTCAATGAAAAGTGAAGCAAAAAAATTCATTTATCATTTTGAAGCTTTCAATCAAATAATAATTCTTGAAAGTGATATGTTCCCAAAAGACCAAACAAATCTTGAATTTCCTCAAAGGACTGTCACTCTCTTATTGATCGACGTCAGTATTCAAGAAAGTCGAGAGGCATACCTGTGATGCTTCTCTGTACTTGATATGTTTCTTTTTGTAGTCTATTTCACTATAGTATACATCATCATAGTACGGATGGGTAATATTTTCCATGTCAATAATTATTATGTTTTTTTTTTGTGATCCATAAATTTTCATTTGAATTCTATCATACATTCATTTTAAATAACAAAGAGTATCAGCGAAAATTTTTACTTTAAAGGATTTCGTGTGATCCATGAAATTTTAAGAGAATTCACGTTCGTGATGAAAAATGGTTTGTTGAGGAAAGTTGTTTGATGTTCTATTGCCTTTTCTTTCCGTTTCAAAAGTGTTAGTATAAAAATAACTTGATCATTAAAACTTGAAGAATTGTAACAACTAAATTACTACTCTATTTATATTATTTTCAACAGATTAATAATGTAATGCAATAAAGCATGAAATTACAATTTTTTTGTTACAAAAAAATTGATTGCTTTCAGCACCCCTTCTAAATACAACTGACGATTTATTAACTCATTTATTATTACGTATCGAGTCCTTTGATAAACTAATCTCGATAAGCCAGTTAGCAATAAGGTGGAAGCATGAAAACCTTAGAAAACCTAAATAGGAAAACCTTTATATCTTATTTAGGGAATCTAATACGGAGATCCCTTCGACTGGGGGTAAGGCTTTATATTTTAAGGAAGCTGTCTATCATTTCCAAAACAAAGAATGGTCGAAGGTATGCTTTTTATCTTGGCTGGATGAATAAATGGTTGAAGAGTCATTTGAAATACAACATGGAAAAAAGACACTATTGGTGTAACTGATCTGATGGCTTTTCCTACAACAGTCTTCATTTCTGTTGGATTTATAAAAAAAATTATAACTGCAAACTGATTTCATTCCATTTACTTGTTTTTCTATAAATAGAACAGAAATTGAGACTACTACAGGAATAGAGTTCCAATCTGATGCAGCAACAGAATATTTTATTCCCTGTTGATGTACCATAATTATGATGAACTTTGATCATTCAACTCGTTTAAATTTTTCATATGAATTATCATTCATAATATTTGAAGTATTGAAAAGAGAAAAAATCTAACGTCTTGGAAAAATTAAGGCTTCCGAACCCTCTATAGAGAGAAGAATATGACTCTTCAAGTTTTATTTCATGCACGAAAAGTGGAAATATGCTGTCGAAAGTTCTTTAGCAGAATAAATTCGAGATTATGATGTTTTTTTTTTCACTTTAGTCGAGTGAATTTTCAAAAGAAAATATTTCTCATTACTATAATTCAATTGTATATCAACAATAGATTGTTATTTAGTATCATCAAGCATGAAAAAATATGAATCTTATTAATTTTTATTATAGGTGGAATTATTGAAGTTGGATACATTCATTGAATAATGAAGTTTTGAAAAAAAGCAAAACATATAAAATAGTTTCTTTAGTTGGAAAAATTATTATGTTTTATTTAAATTCAAACAATGGTAACTTTAGTTAGAATGATTGTATTGTCATTTTGAAAAATTTATTCCAAAGCTTGAACTTTCAAGAACTTTGAGAGTTTTCTTCTTAAGATGCTAACATCTTGCAAACTTGCACAGCAAAAAATCAAGGGACAATGTACATCATCAGCTAGAAAAAGTACATCAAAGAGATGACAGTAAAAATTTTATGGTTTTTACTAGTAACTGGTGGACAGATTGGATTGCATGAGAATAGATATATCAGCGGGTAGGAATATATTCTGTTTAATATAGGAATTTATTAAAAAATTTGTTCCACTTTCTAGTAGAGTGAACTTTAGATATTATCAAACTTACTACTACATGCTAATATATCTCTGTAAGTCTATTTTCAAGTTTCTAATTACATAGGGAAATTTACTTAGTTACAGTAGTAACATTTGTAGAATTTGTGGTGAAAATGAGAACGGTTTTATACTCTGGTGGTTGGTTTTAAAATAATCATACAAAAAACTTTTGTAATCAATGGATTACTGCGATGTTTAGAAAAAAATATTATTTGTTTAAGGATTGAATTTATTTTTATTAAAAACTGATTTAATTAATGGACAGAACAGTTCAGTCTAAAAAAGTCACTGAACATTGTTTTTATTTATTGGATATTTTCAGAAAATAGTTGATGTGAAATAAAAATTAGGGAACGATTTAAAGCTAACATTTTATAGTTTAATACACTAGTATATCCATAAGCTTTAATAATAGGAAAAAAGATATCACTATCTATTTTCAACAAGAAGATTAAGTTTGATTTAAAGATAAAATCACGTTGATTTCATTTCATTGCATCAAGTTGCATAACAATCAAGTATCCTGAATGAAGCATGTAAAAGAGTCCACTTTAACTTTAATTTTCTATTTCTCGAAAATTTCTCTGATTGTTTCTGAGCAACCGAATCCTAAAGCTGAAAAGACTATTGTAGCTTTAAGCCAGAATAGTTACAAGCCAGATGACTGATACTGAAATTTAAAAAATTCTTCAAAAGAAATGGATAAAGTTTTAAAATGTATTTTTCGAATTACGTTATGGTCAAACTAAAGTTACTATCATTTTTCAGTTTCTATCTCTTCCGCAAGAAAAAGGTCGGAGTTCAATTTTTTTTTATAAATGTACTCGGGAAAAACATTATAGTGTAATTTATTATAAAAATATGTTTTTCGTAAACTTTTGTTTAATACATTAGAACAGTTTTCATGAAAAAAAAATTCTTTAATAATATTTTTTATTAGTTATATAGTTGCTAAAGTTGAAACCAACGATGATAATTAATCCTTTAGAAAACTTATTATCACAATTTTCAATAATATTCTGTTAATTATAGTCAATAAAATTGTAACTAAAAATAATAATTGACCCTTTAGAACCTTGTTTATGAACTTTTCCCTCATAAGTAATTAAAAACTCATTCATTTTTTATAAAACTCAATTATTTGTAATGATGTAGTTCAAAATATTTTCCAACTCTATCCTCTTATATTCATTTAAACAAATAATCATAATACAATATTTAATATTAAACTTAAATTGATGTTTTTATTTTTTTTAAAATGGTTGAATATTTTTAATATAAGTTACATTCGTGCTGCTTGTTACATAAATCAATTGGTATTCCAACTTGAATTATTCCAACTTTGAGGACTCAACTGAGAATTTATTCATTATTAATTCAATTTTCGTTTACTCAAATAAAATATTCATTTAAACTAAATAAATATATTTCTCAATATCAAATACGTTGTTATATCAGCATGTACATGTAACTCGTTTTTCGTATACACCATTTTTTTAAAATACATTCATTTATGTAATTAAAAAAAAAGAAAAATATCTCAAATAACTTAAAGAACTATAAAAATGTAATAAAAAATGCATATAAGCCAGAGACGGTTTATACCAGTATCGTATAAAAGTAATATAAAATTTTAATTATAAACAACGTCAAATTTTATTTACCCCTTTTCTGTGTACACAAAAAAATTCATTTGATTTATAGTATTCAAAGTACATGAATTAAAAAATATTCTATTTAAATAATTTAATTTTAAATAAAAACATAATTAATTCATTGATAATTAAAAACAAAAAAAAAAGGCTCAATATAAACACAATGAATTCATTATTATCTCAAAAAACAGCAAAAATTTTTTTTGTATAAATAATACTTTTATTATTCTCCAGTTATTTACCTTAAATCAAGTGTAAGATGAGTGTATTATTGTCTCAAGTAATGTGTTTACTACATGTTATTATAAGCCATAAGTAAAACTTACCGTCGTAGAAGCACTAGAGCTACGATGCTGCTTTATATTAGGAGTACTATGAGTGGTTTGAATATCGGAATTAAACGGTCGATTGATGATGCTTGAATCATGTACTGGTGGTTCAATTCCCAGAGTACAGTGAGCTTTTAAGTGACTCTGAGCGCTCATCTCTTCAAGAACAATCTTCCTTGCAGCACAGAATATTTTAGAATATACCTAAAGGTCAACAGAAAAAAAAATCAATATCTTAATTCATAAAGTTTGCTTCATTCATGTTTAAATTTAAATTAGAGCAAGCATGCATATCACGTAACTTTGAGGCTATAATTGATTAACTGAATACATAATGTACTCTTACCTGAATCATCACGATGAGTGGAATGTAAAAGCTACCAAGCGTAGCATATATTTGATATCCAAAATTCTGACAGACATCACAATGCCAGGCACCCATTTCAAATTTATGCTCATTTCCTAAGATAAGAAGGGGTGGAAGACTAATACATGCTGCAACAAGCCAGACCATACCAACGCAGAAAATCATTCGCCGTGGTGTTCTCTTTACAACATAATCAAGCGGTTGTGTAATAGCATAATACCTAGATTGTTGAAATATCAAAAGAAAAAAATATTAATTAAGCAACTTAAATTTTTTTCTTAATTAACTAAATGCTTTTTAACACCTTAATTATAATACGTGACATGTTATTCTTTACTCCAAAAATGTAAATTACATTCTGTACATTCTTTCACTGGTTTATAAATATGTATTTTTTCATCTCTATAACAATAAAAATAATATATTTGCATTGTTTAAATTTAAAAATGCATTTAGATATATTTTCTTCAGAAAATCTTCATCATATTTGGGTTGATTTATTCTTAGTAACCATTTGCTTAGATAGATAATTAAAAGTTTACATTTTAAAGTTCAAGCCATTATCATTTTAGATAAAATTGTTACGTTCTTAGTGGAATTACTTGTAAGTTAAAGTACGTAATTTTTATTTTACTCTTCGCTTGGTACTAAAGCTTTCCACTCGTGCAAAGATGTTGGGACCCACGCAATTGACCCAGGTGTATGATTTCAAAGTGTTGAAAATCACGTTGGAACATGAAACTTAAACTTTGTTGTGATATTCTTGTTTCCTTTAATTATCTGGTAGATATAAAAATATAATAAATGATAAATCCCCTTTAGTTGATGTTTAAATATGCAAATGAATTAAAAATAGCTTATTTTAACGTTAAGATTTATAAGAGAAATATTTTTCATCAACACGCAGTTGTATTTTAATGAGTATTATAACAAACGTGCTACTTATTTTTATCTTTCAATTATCAATCTTTGAGATTATGAAGTGGTCCGTTTAACAAATAACTTATCAGTTTTATCTGAATTTAACGTGACATATTGCATGTATAAAAATTATAATTGCTAGATTTAATTATAAACACTTGATATTATTTCTGTTCTTTACAAGAATTAGAAATTACGATGGGCATTTACATGTTTCATTAACCAAATTAATTAATACATAGTTTGATGGTAAATTTTCAATTATCTCTGTTTATTGTAAATTATTAAGGTGGAAAGAGACTATTGGTAGGTATTACTAACTAGATTTCTGTGTATATAATTCACCCACATGGAAAAATGTCATTCACCATAATACAATAAATATCCCTGAATCAGGGTAACACTTTTGTAAAGCCTAAAACAGCCTCGGGGAATTCATATGGGCGTATATAAATATAGATATACTATTTATGTGGGGTTGTTTCGAGGCATTAAATTGTGTTGAAATTCTCTATCTTATGTTTTTTATTGATGTTTCGGAAGTAAATTCAAACCAGCGAAATTGATTTTTCATGTCATTAAGATACTAAATCCAATAAATATTTATAAATGTAATTTAATGTAATAGCAAAATGTAGGTTTAATAGTTTCAAATGGCCTTCAATTGCTTATATAGCTACTTTAAATGACGCTTTTCCCTTTTTTTGGGATAGATATTAAGACGAATTTACGTTTAAGTGCATATTAAGAACTTTTTTATTTGTTCTTGATGTACTTTTGTGGTTAGACAGTTATTAACGAGCTTTTTTTCGGAATAACGTTATTAACGATAGTTATACGGATCTTGCTGCTTTAAATTCTTAAAGTCGTATTTCGCTCGATATTGAGTACAATATTGAAAAAATATGTTTCTAAATATGTATATGATTATGTAAATATGTTTTATAAAGATTGATAACGGTATTTATATAATTTATATACAGTGTTGCTAGCAGAAAAAATATATAGTGTGCATTATAATTTATAAACAATCATAAGTAGTAGTTTAAGTATGAATTGTGTATAGATTAAAAGTATTTATGGAATTATTTATTAATAGAGTTCTTTTTTATAAATAGTATAATTGCTTTTTTTATCATTTTTCGAGAGTTTATTGCATTTTGATAATATTTTTTATGGTTCTAGTAGTGTTTTTGAAAGTAGGGTGAAATCACTAAATATTACCCTCTACCCTAATTTCTGAAGGGTTGGCTATTAAAAAAAATTAATGAGGTCATTTTATTGATATAAGGTAAATTTAGAGAATATTATCAGATCAGACTATTTTTTACGTAGCAAAGAATTACTTAAAAAAATAATAAGGAAATATTCTTTTTATTGGTTTGATTTTTTATGCTATTTTGTAGATATATTGTTTAGATCTTGGATTATTTCAATATTTTAAATTGAACTTATTTTTTAAATAAGCATTAAAATACGAGAAAATAGAAGGCATGCAATTCTATATAAATTTATATTCTATTTTATGTTATTTATTTATAAATATAGCTTTGACATTTGCGAATTTATTTCTGTTTATATTACACAAAAATGTGAAAAAAATTTTGATTCATCGTAGATTGATTGCTTTTGATAGCTAGATAATGTATAAAAATCAAAATTCATTGAACAGAAGCGTATGATGATATTTGGTTAATTTATTCGACGTGTTGTGTATAATTCATATGTTATAAAGTACACCGTTTTAAGTATGAATTTTTCATGAATTTCAGGATTTACTTAAGTTGTATATTATAAAAATTTCTTTATAGATTGTACATGCTCTTTTTTTCAACATTATCCAGAAGTTAAGAATAAAAAAAATGATTCTACAAAATTAATTTAAAATATATTTTTAATTTAATCAACAAAAATAGTTGGCACACCAATAAAATTTACTCATTCTATTATTGTAATTTAATAAAATTATTTTATTTAATGGGATTATATTTTATTAAATTCGAATTTAATCAAATCTGAATTAAATTTAAAATTCATTAAAAATTTGTATTAAAGTGAGAATGTTTTTCATTTTTTCATATGATTTATCATCGATATTTCGTTCGAATCACTCTAATATACCTTCTCATCGTCAAAACATTGTCCCATCAATTAATAATAATATTGACTTCTTCCAATCATAACAGAAGCATTAAAAAAAAATTCATCGACTTCAGTTCAACTGATAAATCTACTGCTTAAGCATCATTTTTATAATTAAGCATATTGAAAAATGTCTGATTGAAAATTTTTTCCACTATAATAATGATTTTCACAGCTTCACTATTAATTGAATTCCAGCCAAATGTTTTTGACATTTGCTCGTTTGATAGGTGTATGTTTTTTTTTCCAATCAGAGTCAGTCAAGTAATTTTTACAAACTATCTGAGTAGATAAATGAATTGTTAACGAAAAAATATTCTTTTACTCTGTGACTTAAATTAAAATCAAATACGATCACAATACTTTTATTGCAATTAAAAAATGATTAATTATGATTTTAATTATAAAATCAATTTTAGAAGAATATTTTTACAACTTTTTTAAATTTTGGGTAGTGGATGGAGTAATTTCTTTATATTTAATATATCTTATTATAAATAATTATAGCATTGTTATTTTAACATGATAATGTTAGTGAATAAAAGAGAACTAGGTCAGCTAAAGTAAGTTCGTTTACCAAATATACTAAATTCAATAATAAAAAATTAATAAAATCCATAAAAATTGGAAAAAGTAATTAATATTATATAAAAAACATTATTAAGTATGTTATGAACGTGAGTTTACTTTTATAGATTATGAGAACAAATATTTGATTTAGATCGTTATTCCGATCCAATATCAAAACAATTATTTCATATGATATTCATAGTGTGCTTCTTTCTTGGTAAAATGTTTAGTACCATTGAAAACAAATGATGGATATTATTTAGTAACATATTTTTCACCACTTGATGGAGTGATTAAAAAGTAACAACTTCACTTCTATAATCTGTTAGATAGTTGAGATGAAGAAGGCAACACTTTTTGATCAATGATGTAGAGCTTCAAGTTAAGCTTAAAGTTCTAAGCCATTTCTCAACGTTGTATACATAATAACAAGTTTTTAGGTATTTTTAAAACATTTCCGAGAAACGTTTGCAGAATTTTCCAGTCACGATACTACTGTGTCTAGATTGTATCAATTCCGAAATGAAAGTGTAATGCGGATATCTAAAACTGGAAGATATATCTTTACAGTAGGATAAACACGGGATATAGTTTCGTATTACAAAGAAACCGTGAATGTATAAAATAATGGTATAAAAATATTTTTTTCATGAATTTACTTGATAAATAAAATAATTAAAAGTATCCTGGTACTCTACGAATATCAAAAATTGACATAATCGGATGATAAGAAGAAAATTGAGATCATAAAATAAATTTCTAATTACTGGATTATAAATTCAAGTAAAAACTTAAAAAATTAAATGAAACATTACTTTAATATTCATGTAATAATATAATTTATACATCATAATGCATCAGAGTTATAATGATCAAAAAATATTATGATGAGTTTGTCATTTTTGTGAGCTTGCAATTTAGTCTTGATAAAATTCTTTAGTATAAAATATTATTGAATGTAATAAAAATTTAGAGTAATTTTATTACTATCTTTCTTTACAACCTGGAATATACAACATCATAAATATTTTAAATATAATTGTTTCTCTATTTTATTTTAATAATACTAATTTTGAAAATTCAAAAATAAACTTGTAATCATTTAGCTTTTTCATTCTACATATTTTAATAGACAAGAATGAATTATAATATTTTTTATATTACTTTTCATTTTTTCGTGGGAGTTTTCTAAATTTAAGCACGTAAATCTTTAATTACTGCTCCAATTACGAACAGTTAACTTTTAAGTAGAAAATTCCACGATTTATGATGGTACGAAATTTTATTTTATTATTAAATCGAAAAGCCAGTGAAGGAAGTTTATGGAGTAATAAAAATTATATATATCATCTCCTACAAATAATGAATACTGATACACAGCTTACCTGTCTACAGATATCATGCAGAGGTTGAGGATACTGGCGGTGCAGCTGAGTACATCAAAGCTAACCCAAAGATCACAAATGATAGGTCCAAATGACCAGCTGCCGAGTATTTCGTAGACAAGGGCCATTGGCATAACCAGCAGTGCAACACAAAGGTCACTCACCGCAAGACTGACAATAAGATAGTTGTAGGGACGCCGCAGCTTCCTGACGAGACATACTGCCACACAGACCAAAATGTTGCCGATCACGGTGCCCACGATGATGCTGCCCAATACCAGAGCTATCACAATTGCCTAAATGGTGATAAAGTCAATATTTAGTTTATCTAAACTTGTATTTATAGTCTCTAATATAGAGTTTATGTTATAAAGCCATAGATATTGAGGTATAAAGTTTATACACGGTGAACGTGTATAATTTTGATTTGCATTTGGGACTATTATTATCTCATACTCGTAGGAAACTTTACCATAAAAGGGGTTAGATTTATCAATAATTTATAGCTCTTTTATTGGAGCTTACAATTGAATTAATGTTTGCTTGTGATTAATTAATGATTGATTTGATAAGGGTTTTGGGTAAGAACTAAATATGAATATTTGTTAGTAATTAATGATTCTATTGAGGCATTCGTGTTGGAATGGTTACCTTTATCTTATTGAAAAATAATATTTCTTTTAGGGAAGTTTTAACTAACAGATTCATGAATAATAATATACATATATTGAATAATGAATTCATTAATAGGACAAGGTGTGATTTTAATGATAGAGTATTAAGATATTTATTTTATTAGTTAATCACATTGTGGTTATTCCCTTCAATTCAAAACTTAACTTGTTCATTCATTGGATATTATGCCAGACCATTAGAGTAGGTGTCTGACCACTATGTGAACGTCTAACTTTTCTACTTTTAGGTCTGATCATACGACGTTCAAAACTTTAAATATTCGTTCTCCATTGATTAATTGACCCTAAATGTATTTTTAGTTATTCTTAAAATTTGGAGAATTTCAAATTTCAGATCGATTTATAAAGGGTAAAGTGATTAGTGACCAATTACCCTCTAGAGATCGACCATTATTTGAATTTTAAATCAAATGAATTAATGACAAAGATTGAATTTTCGCCTAGAAGATAGATAGAAGTGAGAAAAATTTTTGTAAATTAAAATCAATATATCAAGACTGTAATTAAATAATAAAAATGTTATTGTTGTAAAATTAATAAATGTATAATTAATAATAATAGTCATAATATTTTTGAGTTGTATTCTGGCATACATTATTTACTTTTAAAAAATGAATATGAAAAATATTAAATAAGAAAGAAAGCTCAATGATATCATTCTATGACAGTTGAATCCATTAGTATCAGCACTCATATACATATAAACTCCATTACATTTTTTGAAAATTAAAGCAAAAAATAGATCACATTGTTGGAAAAAATATGACATTTTTTATTCAAGTTTAACTTTATGATATATTTTAATTAATTAGAGAATGATATAAAGAATAAAAAAAACTGTAGAAGAATAGCTAATAAAATATCCATTACAATTCTGTTAGTATGACAAAAAAATTCAATCTTTGTTCGCCATTTTTAGATGCTTGATAAAAATAAAGCAAATGACTCAGATTTACATTTCTACTGAATATTAATAAATCTCCAAGTGAAGAGTTTATAAATCAAACCAGAATAGATTTCTTATCTTCAAAGTTAACACAGCGAATAGAAGCTTTCAATGTTTTTCTTAAGAATTAAAAGATAATAATTGAAGTCAAGTATGACTTTCATTTAAACAGAAATAATAGTGCTTCCTGTATGATTATATCTCCTGAAATCGTTTTTCGATTTCCCCTAAACCCCACCAAGAGAAGATGTAGTTTTCTTACTCCTTGAATTCCCTAATTCTCGGAACTGGTAGCTTCGATAGCGGAATTAAGGAGATTCCACTGCATGTCGAATAAGTCGTTTTACTATTGAATATGTTAGAAAGAAGAAACTTTTGAGAAATAATAACTTTACAATGATTCCATTTTATGCATTTTTCATAACTCCATTTTTATGATTTAAAATCTATGACAACAAACTGATTTGAATGGAATAAAAATATTTAAATGAAGTTTAAAATTTATAAATATATTAAATTTAGCGAGAATGAGTTTAATTTATATAAAAAGAACCCAAAGTGTGGTGAAACATCAATAAAAATGCAGTGTTAAATTTTTTAAATCTAGATTATAATATAAAAAATAGGATCAATGTGATAAATATGTTGGAGCTCTTTGATGAATGAACAAAAGTATCAAAAATATGTAACAGAATATTTCATAATATTAATGAATATTGATAATTAAATTAAATTCTATTCATTTATAATTACAATGAAAATGTAAATCTCGTTTAATCTCTTTTCTCACACACCAACTTGATCATGTTAAAAGATAAAATTTCAGTACATTAACTTGTATATTTGTTATTGAAAAAGTAGAATAAATTTAAAAATAAAAAATTTCATACAATTGGAAAGATGTTTTATATAAAACCATGAAGAGTTTTATTATTAAAATCTTAAAATTTGATGATAGAAATTTAATTTCCCGCTATACTTGAACCAATTCCAACACAAACATATGCTAATTTTACAGAACAAACAAAAGGATATGTTATTTTCTTGTACATTGCAGCTCATAAACATTTATTTTGTCTCTAAAAAAGTTTATGGCATGAGCACACACATTAACTGGATGAGTATAAATGAGAATAAACTCTTTTTATGGTCACGGTGACAAAATACGATGTTTTAATTTCATATTCATTGTGACGAATAGTGTATGTTGAGGAAAAAAAAATGTTTTTTAACCCATTTTGACAAATTTTTTTGTCCTAACGAACAATTAATTGTATGCATTCATTAATTATGCTCTTCAGATATTCACAAAAAATATTTTGACTTATGACTCTTGTAGAAATTATTATATGTTGAAAGATGATTGACGAGCTTTCTTTGACTTTTATTAAAAAGTTGACAATTCTTCTTTGGAATATTTCTCTCAGATTTTAAAGAAAAAAATAAATTTTATTCAAGAATTTAAATATTACAAAAGCTCTATACTATTTTATCTTGAAAAAAAAAAACAAAGTTATAGTAATCTGCAAATATGTGGTTATAATAACACATAGATCTGTTATAAACAAAAAAAATTAAAAAGCTTTTTTACCACAAAAAGTTATTTTTCCAGGCAATTCTCTTAGACAAAAGGCAGATTTATTTTCTGCTGAAAAGGAAATAGCATTTGAAGAATCCCGAATTGTTTTCTTAGGACAAATAATCTTTATCTTATGAGAAAACATTTTTTTCCTCAGTTTATAGTATTCATTTCAACATACCTCGGCAGCTGTAAAGGGTGAATTTTTTCCAGGAAAGTCTTGAAAAAAGTTTTTAGGATCTTCTGTTGCAATCGGCGTGAGGTGCCAAGTTGTTTCTGTATTCACGTTCTGCCCCTCCATACGATATTAACCAATGCTTAAAAGCATTCCAAGCTCCCCTTTCTTCTCATGAAGCTCACACTAGGACATCATTCTTATTATGTACTTTATTCTTTGATTGTGCTACTATGTTATCTCTCTATTTTACTCCTCTCTTCCTCGTCGTCCTCTTCGTCCCCCTCCGTTGATTCTGATGCATTCACTGAGTTCTTAACACGATTTGCCCACACTATTTTTTTCAGCGATGTTGGCGACAGTGTCATCTATATGGACAGATGCCAGATTTTATAATTTTTTTCCTCCTTGAGATTGCCTTTATGGTTGTTGCAAATTTGATTACATTCTTTTAAACTCATTATCACTTATTTGAACTTCTTTGATGACTTATATTTATACCTAGAAATAACAAAAATTCAGATTAGATATTGTGTAACATTATTAGATTAATTAGATGATAATGACAATTATTTATTTATTTATTCTCAAATTCATGTATATTCAATAATCTAATTTGATTATCTATCAACAAGTATTGTTAAGCTATCAACTACACTCAATGTATGTATATTATTCTTCATCAAATGTACCCAACTATCATTGAAATTGTTCATGATAATACTTACGAAATAGTATAATATAATCAAACGTAAATATTTATGATACATTTAAAGAATTTTATTTTCATTTTTAGATAAAATTAGAAATATATTGTGATATACCATCAAAAATGTCCATTAATGCTGGTATTATTACAGTTGGTATCATAAGTGATATATGACAATTAATTGTACTTTGTGAATAACACGACATAATACGAGATAAAAGGTTAACATTCAGATGGTTTTATTATATGATAGATTACGAAAGTAATGAAACCTCGATTTGATGACATACAATAACACTTGTTCAAACTTGATATTTGAATGATTAAATATTATTTTATTTCCATCATTATTTTTATCAAAATAATTTAAATATTGATTCAATAAAAATCGTTCAGAATTTTTATTAATTGCTGTTAAATTAATTCGATTCTAATAGTGAATGGATAGAGTTCAGGATACATCAACGCTCTTCATTAGCATTGCAGAGTATTGGCATTATATCAAAAGTACTTTAGTGCAACATGCAGCGGCCTACCACTAGTCGTTAAATATTTGAATATTGCTTCTGGATAAAATGTAATAGCTTTTAAAGTTCTCAGTGCTTGTTGTGAGATCAGAATTAATATTTTATACTGAAACGACAGATTTTAATTATTTAAAATGGTACAGTACTTAATACAAATTGTAATGATATGCAAATAATTGCCCCTTACTTAAGTGATTAAAATTTGACTTTAATTATTTATATTCTATCGTTTTCTATATTAGTAAATTGAATTCATGTAAAACTTTTTCAATTTCAGGTATTGCAAAAGTTAATGGAATTATTCGTTTTCTCTACAACATGGTATTTATAAACCAGTGCTCAAATTGTTCAGTTTTCCCCTATTGTACTTGCATCGGATTGCACTTGAATTCTTATCAAGGTGAAAGAAGATTACTTCCTAAAATAAAAAAGAAATAATTCAAGAAAACCACTCCAAGAAACTTGTTAGTTGAGAGAACTAGAATTTCGTTAAGACTTATGGAATTTCATTAAAAATTTTCATTGAAGATTATGCCATTAAGGAAGTTCATTCTACCTATCATTCATTGTTTGGACTAGTAGTCTAACTTTTTTTTTCAATAAAGTTTAAAAGGTAATATTTTATCTAATTGTATATTCCAGGTGCATTAATATAAAACAATGCATTAGAATGATAAAAACATTAAATCTTCCTCCAAGTCTTCTTTTTTTCTAGACTCTACTCTACTTACTATAAGATAATTTGGTTTACTTAGAGAAGAATTAAGGCTTATAAAAGCACTTACTGCCGGTCTTGTCTTTATTCTAAAACCTTCTGTAACATATTTAAGTTCATCTGGCATGCGCGGAATAATTTGTGGCTTTTGCTTGAGTATACAAGAGGATTTGTTTGCACTCTACACGTGTGATTTTTTTTATTCATGTTTGGATTTATAGAAGAGGATTCCTTATTGCATAGAAATGTGCTTTATCAAAATTTCTCAAAGTAGTATTATTCTAATTAGTAAGCCACAAATTGTGATAAAATAATTCAAGCACGTATTAGAGATTAACTTGGGTTCAACAACTCTACAACTCAACAATACTATGAAAAAGACGTGGGTCTCTACTCTACTACTCAAAAATTGATCATGACAGTTCAAAGTTTGCTAAAATTAGTCGATAGATCATGTTCGATCGTCGTCAAAATATATAAATAGATGTAAATACTTTTGAACTGAAGCTCACTAATATGTTACGAATGAGCTTTGAGTATTTTTTTAAATGTTAACTTATTGGAAACTAAATGGAAAACAGCTTAATACTTTGAAGAATAAAATTAGATAAAAGTTGAATAGATATAAAAATGGTATTTTATAAAAAATAATAACTCTATTTGATTACTCATAGAAAATAAATTTCCACAAAACCATATAGAATATTTTATGAAATTTCATCACTAAATAATTCAATTGATATTTTTTTATTTTTCAGCATTCTCTTTCCTGTGAATACAATTTTAGTTTCCTTTGAAAGCTCTTCGTATTTCCGAATGAAATAAATTTTTAACATTTTTATTCTTCTGTATGTATATACATATGTACATGTTGGTATTATTCAAATGGTAGCATATTCTTGTAGAAAGGATCGTTTATCGTAAAAGCGTTTTTCGATAATTTCAAAACTATCAGTGTTGGAAGCTATGGAAGAGTCATTGTAACGATTTGTAGTAGGTAACTCAACGTACAATGTAAAAGAAAAAAAAACAAATAAAATAGAATACAATTGAGCCGGTCAATCAAGTAGCGTGTGCAACAAGCTGGCCCCGTTCGTGTCAACCGATCGATTTCACGTAGCCTGCGCCACTAAATTCATTTTCTCACTTATACGACGATTACAAGTTACTTTCGCTTTTTCTCTATCCACTTCTATAACTTACTCCTTTATTATAGATTTATCTGTTCATTTCAAGTCCTCACTTATTGCTTTTTCAATAGAGACATCGAAATCCAATACGTTTTAGTTGATAATTCATACGACAATTCTGAACTTTACCCCTATTGGATAGAATTGAAAAAGGATTAAATTTTATTTATTTTATTTGTTATTATTTGAAAAAATTCCGGCATTTTATCAGTAATTAATTTAATCCTTTTCCACCTGTATGATTTTTTGTATCATTTTACTTCTCGTTATTGGAAATAGTTGCTTTTTATATGCCGCGCCAGAATTAACACATGTTTTTTTTTTTCCCCCCTTTTTGGTCAATAATGATATAATAATAATGGATAAAAAGCTGGAAAGATCTAATTATTAGATCTACATTTGATATTTATAAAATATTCTATCATTGCATGGCATTATTATACTGAGTTCAAACGTATGTTTTAATATCAGATGCAGAAATTTTATTTTATACTCAGTTCTCTGCAATTTCCTAGTACTGCATTCATGTGCATAATAAATTTCTCGGACAATGGTTCATATGAGTAATCCACACATACAGACATATAGGGAACCTAAGGGATTTTGAAGTGGAATTATTTAACATTCAGTTTTACTTGGTCGTAAAAAATTTAGTCAAGATAAGTAAAAAACAATGGATCAAATTAATAATACATAGTTTTACTTGGCAAGTTAATAAAGATGTTAAATATTATAAGAAAAATACTCACCATTTTATTATAAATGTGAGGTGAAATTTTTTTTGTTTACTCTCTTCAATATTTAATTGATTATTCATGAGATTAAAACCCATATTAATTGCTTGTAATTGTCAGAGTGGTAAAATTGCGGCTTTCTCATACACCTTTGATATTCAATTAGACTTCAATTTTAATTATAAAACAAATAGAATAGATGTTGTTTGTAATTATTTATAACAATTACCAATTATGCTTTTAGTCCTGTTATTAATCCAATTATTTATTTTATTCTCATTAATGTTGGATAATGTTCATCACATGTCACTGATATTAAAGTTTCGATTTTCCGTAGCTAATTAAAAAGGATGAGAAGACACATCAAACTATCTACATGTATTTTACATTTATATTTTATGTAATACATCATTCTACAGACACTTAGTATGCAAATAACAGAGTGTGTTTTGAAATTTTGATTCAATTAAATGGATAACGTGATGATGGAAAAAATGATACCATCATTTACCATTGACAACATGTCTAATATTCATTATTTCCATCAACCCCCAAATATGTAAATAAACCTCCACTGGTCACTCATTGCCGTTCATGTGTTTATTAATTTTTAATTTCAGTAATTTTTTAAAATTTATTTTCTTTTTAACTTTCTAAAATAAATTAATTTGAGGGAATAACAAATATTTAATTGTTTTTTTATTTGAGGAAAAATAAAAAAAAAAAACATCTACAAACTTGTCTAGTCTGTTTAGAGGCAAAGGTCGAGTTAAACTAAACTCTTTCTTCAACGCTCGGAATACGACTAGACTGGGACGACGTTCTTGTCGTTGACCTGGACTCCGTTGTAGCGCAAGCGCTACTCCGCCAAATTATTGTCCTATCCGGAAAATCTTTCTACCTATGACGTAACGTATTGTAACGCCCTATAAAATATTATTTTGTCAAACAGCGATATTTACATTTATCAATGAACTTATAAGTACATTGTTTATGTTAAATATATCGTTTATACGATCTTCTAAGTATGCAACTTCGCGTTGCAGAGTTTAGTTCATGGTGAAGGTGGATGCAGAATTTCAAATGTATAAAATATCTAAGTCAAAGCATAAAATGCTCTGTTTATTTCGATTATTTTTTTTTTTTTTTCAAGTACGAACATAAAAAATGAAATAAATCCGACAATAAAGTTTTATTGTACCTGACTATCGTGTTTTTTTTTGCAGCTTTTTTACATTATCTGTAAGTTTTCCTCTTTTTTGTTTTTTTTTTTTTAAGAAAGAGTTTAAAAAATTTTTACGATTGATTAAAAAAGGGGAATGTTTTTTTTTGTTTTAATAGCCAGTATTATTTTTATTTGAACTTTGTCAAAGTAATTGATTTCGAAATATTAATCATGTCATTTTCCATCGGAAACTCTATTATGACAGCGACTTTTGTTTTATGTATTGGCTTTAGATACTACAAGTCATATGGGAGTTTAGATCTTCTATCAGATGTGAGTAATAGCAAAGTATCTAATGCTCAATTTGACAACGATCGATACAGCCAGTAAAGTTTAATTTTTATGAGTGAATTGCGTGTTGATGATGAACTTGAACAAACTACACAAAGACGAATGAAATGTTGTCGTATAAATAATTATCAGTAATCATAGAAGTTCGTTATTTAGAGCTTTGGATCATGGAAATATACGCAACAGAAAAACAACAAGCAAAAACAATTTTCAAGGATAAAATTAGTTCCAGGAAGTGGTAAATAAAACAAAACATAGAGCTCCGGTAGTTCAATCACGATTTGTTTTTATGCCTTCTTGGAAAGAAAGATATCGACTAAGTATGATAAATTAATTCAATATTGATTTAATTAAAATTCATGCTTTATAGGAATAGAAGAAATTTCTTTCCTTTGATGATGACAATTTACTCTCCAGAGACTCAAGGTTTGTTGAGGAAAAATAAAAAATAATATGGTCACAAAAGAACTTACTTTTTGTTTTTTTTTGTTTTCTCTGCTAGAGAAAAAGAAATGTAAAAAATATAAAGCACTTATAATTACATACAGATCTAGTTGAAATATGAAAAAATATAACCATAAAATGATAACATAAAAATAACACTTTATACTTGACAATCAAGTGTACAGTGAATGGTCTAGTGAATTTATGCTCATCAACCCAATTAAATCACGGAAAATGATTATTCCCAAGTTGAGTGTTAAGGTGTACTATGTTGCTGGTGGACTACTAAAGCAAATAAGTGTGCGGGCGTGGACGAGGAAGGACGTGACAAGTAGCGACTGCAATTTCCAAGCTTAACCGCGAAATTATGCAATTTTGCACCTTTTTACAGTCTACAAAGTTGGTAGCAATAATTCGTTTTGATACTTAAATAGAAATTTAATGTCAAACTTCACGAAAAGAATTGTTTGTATATACCTGTATGTCATTATTATTATCAGATATATCATAATGAGCTTTATGTTTTCATTCCCCTCTGATTTATATCATTATGGCTAGCATATAGATCAACGTGATTAAATTAACTCTAAACCAACATAGAATGGGCATTTAGATCATGTAGATTTTTCTCATTGGTAAATTTTACCAATCATTAATAAAGTTTGCTTTACTCATCACTGAGTTCGTTACCAGGAACAATTCTCTCATTCACGATAAATAAGATTAATTGAAGATAATTGAAAAATACCATAATATCGAATTTTTTTTTTTAAATTAATTTTTATTCTAAGTTAATTGGAAAATGAAAAAATCGCGTTGAATACACGGAAAAATTGAACGAATTATCAGTTTAATTAAAAAGTTTTCACAGAAACAATAGAGTGTATTTTAAATATCATTTTATTCTTTTGAATGATATAAATTCAAAATAATTGGATGTACAAATGAAAAGAAGTTTTAAAAAATTATTTACTTTGAATTCAATTTTTTCTACAACTACTGAAAATGTACCATTTCAAAACCGTGACAAAAGTTTTTTGTTCAATTCTAGAGTAATTTTGCTTAATAAAGTTTAAGTGTGGCTTTATTCAAAATAAATTATCATAATAAATAAAATGATTGTCACAAACTGTGTCAGTTTAGGATTTATATAAATTAACTCTGGAATTACCTTACTTGACACAAGCACAAAAGCTTTGAATGTTTGACAGGACTTTAGTACTAAAATGAATATATTTGAAATATTCAGAAATCAACAAGAGTAAACATATGTACACTGCACGTGATGCGTAAGTCTGATGAGCCATGACTATGGATGAACCAATTGCCGGTTAAACGATTAATAACCAAGTTCCCGATAATAATTGTTTGACCGTTCGACATTGTTCTCTATACAGTGAGCTCAATGACAGCGATACAACGTTGGTAGCGATCATCATTTCTATCTCTACGTAATGATCGTACATGTAGGCTTAGCTATTTTGCTAGTCTATTGTTCATCAATACATGATGTTTCAACAAGATTTATCAATAAATACCCAATGCGTTCAATTTAGATAGTAATAAATTTATCTAGAAAAAGAAAAACTTGGTAAAGTATTTTCTCCAATACTTGCAATATAATTTTCTTAAAGTTCAAGAACTCTTTCTTGTATTTTTTTTTTCCTTCAATGATAAATCATTGATAAATGAAAATCTTTTTATTCTAGTCTTCAGAAAATGAGTAAATAATCAAATAATATATACATGAAATATTAACTTATGTTGGAGTCAGACTTTTATAACTATTCGTCTTTTAAAATCATAGTTTTATCGTATAAAATTGTTTTATTAGACAGCAGTATTTTTAAATTCAATGTTAAATGTATTTTTCTTCATTTAAATATTGAAGAATAATTCTTATGCAATTGTTCCACTATTCACGGTGTACATTTCCTCAATGTATATTTATATTTTTATTTTATCAAGGTAAACGTTGCCTAGAGGAATTATGGGCTAAAATTTATGATTCTTATAAAGTTTATTAAATTAAATTGAATAAACTTACCTAATATTTTTGTGACGGTGCAACGAGCATAGTAAATCCACCACCGGAAAATTTTTTATGGCTTGGCAAAGCTGAAGATCGCGTTTCAAGACTTTTCTTAGATGATGTTGGATTTTTTTGTTTTAAATCATAATATTTGATTTTGATCTCACACATTTCCTTCGTCATCTTCTCCAGCTCAAACTTATATTCACTCGTTCGATATTCCCACATATTCAATTCAGCAGTTAAACACTGCAAAAAATTTAAAGTTAAGATAACAGTAACAAAATTATGTTTATAAAATATTTTTTTTGAAATATACTCACCTTCAATTTATTATCTTTACACTGTAAGATTTTTTTTGTTTTAATTAATTTGGTTGTTAATTCAGGACCAGGTTGTTTTAAAAATAGTTGTCTCAAATTCATACACAACTTTTCCATTTCCTGTATTCTTCTATTTTTTGCAAGCAGGTTGCTATTCATTTTTAGTATTCGTTTTTGCAGGAGTTTAGTTTTTTTCAATAAGTGTAGAGTATCCGGATTGGAATCCTCAAATAAAAAGAATTTTTAAATTACGGAAGAGAAATGTACGAATTAAAAAAGAGATAAAAGGTAAAAAATGAACATTTTACTTCTAGTTTTCTCCATCGATGAATATTTAGCGGGTTCTGGAGTTCATCTTCAAGAGCCATAACCTTTAGCCTCTCTCGTGTTAAATCGCGATTTAATTGAAATATTTCATGGCGGAAATTACTCATATTATTAAGATTTTTTGTTAACAAAGCTTTCTCTGAGTATAATTTATTAATCTCCAATTTAAGTAATCTAATATCTTGAAATTTTTTCATAAATTCACTTTCACCTTTTTGCAAAGTTTCTTGCAAAACTTTTATCTTGCTATGTTGCAGATTTAACTCATCATTTCTGCGGACAAGTTGGGTACCCAATACATCTCGCTCATTCATTATATTATTAATGTCTTTTTTATAACGATTAACTTCAAGATCAGACACTTTTATATTTTTCCACAACTGCTTTTGTTCTTTATCCGCATCTTCTATTATTTGTCTTAATTCAACGATATTTTTTTGCGCTGACTGCAATTTTAGACTAGCTGTGTCTTTCTCCTTTTGCACCTTTTTCAACCCTGTAAGATAAATGACCAGATTTTATTTAAAACCAACTGTTCATTTTACTTTTTTGAATACTAAAAAATAAATTATCATTCACTTACAAAACTCTTTCTTCATAATATTACTCTGCTTGGTTGCTACTTCATCTTTTAGTTTTTCTAATTGATTATTCATAACTGCTAATGTATTTCTTAATTCATTTACTTCATTTTTAGCTGCTATAAAATTTTTATAACAAGTATTTCTCTCAGCTCTAGTACTTTCTAATAAATTTTGTTGTTGTTGGAATTTATTTTTAAATTCAGTTAACTCTTTGGTATAATTAAACGTTTCTATTTCTTTAATTCTGATCTTATCAGCAAAATCATCCACCTAATTTCAATTCATTCATCACTTTACATAAAGGAATGAATAATAAATATAAGTTTTTTTTTATATTTCTACTCTCAATTAGCTTTACTTCCTTTACAAATATAAATTTGTTGAAATATACTTGACTCTAAATTATTTCTCGTTTGAAAAATATGCTATGTATTATGAAATACGAGTATTATAGTGTTGAAATAATTATATATATGTATATATATATATATATATATATGTATCTATGTATACAGCTGTTCTAAAGTTAAAATATGTTGAAATGATTTTTTTTTACAAATATTAAGTATAGGAGTGCTCATTAAAATAGAAGTGTTCTAGTTGTTATAAATAATAATAATAATTTGTAAATCAGACGATTAGGAAGAAAAAAAAATAAGAAAAAAAAATGAGTAAGATTAACTTGCTGTCAAGCATTAAATCCCAAACACACGTGATTTATAGAATTAATACTGTTAATTAATCACGTTGTACCTCATTATAAAATTATGCTTGCATACCACATCATTATTGTAAACTCTGTTATTATAATATATTCAGAGGACTAATACAAGGGCGTCTAATAGAATTTCGTTCTGGAGATTCGCCTAACAGCATCAAAATTGATATTATATTGTAAAGTAGGTCATATCTATCTGAAATACTAATTGAAAAGTATATTCATAAATATAGAAAAGAAAATTTTTTATCAGATTTGATGAATTAATAAAAAAAAATTTCAATAATACTTTATGAATGTGGTAGTATTTTTTCTATAACATACGAAAATTAAAAGATAATCACTAAAACTCATAAGAGCATTACACTTTGAGATTTTTCTCTTCACATTAAAATGTGCTTACTAAAAGCATGAATAAATGATTATCGGTAATGTAATATTACTACTTTAAAAGAAGTATTTTATAATTACACACAAAAGTGAAGAAAAAAAAAGAGTTTGAGCTGGAGTGCAAGCTTGAAGCATTTTGAAATGCTATTTAATTGCTTCCTTAATGTGCAAATTATAAAAAGCACTCACCTGTAGCTTCAATTCGTGGATTTGTTCGCAAAATTTATTTTTCTCTTTTTCAAAAGCGACTACTTTACTATTTGCCGCAACATTTATTTGCTTCATTTCCTCGAGTTCAAGCTCAATTTTTCGTTTACTTTGTTCTGAGATAAACAATGTCTGTTCCGTTTTATTAACATGATTTTTTAAACTGTCAACCATTTTAAGAATATTATTTTTCTCTCGAATTGCACACTCAGCAGACTTTTTCTCTTCGGCTATCTGACGTTGATGTGCACCTATTTTGATCTCGGCATTTTTCAAAGCGTGTCTAGCATACTCGAGATCTTTTTCCATTTGTACTTGCGCTTTGTCGATCCTAGCATACTTGTTGGCGGTCCAATCATTCTCAGCTTTACATTTAGAGAGTTCTTCTTTTAATCTATGATAATAAGGATCGTAAAAGTTTTATAAGAGTTTAATAAATTGATTGAAGTGTCATTTACTCTGACTAATACCTTTTAGCTTCTTGCACCAGTAATTTATAGTCTTTACTTTTTTCTCTCAACACCTTTTCCATTTCACTGACTTGTTTGCTCGCATTGTCTAACTCACTTTGAAGGTTCATTCGATCCACTGACAATTTATTCACTTCTTTCCGTAATTTATCATTTGTATTTTTTTGCTCTCGTAACGAATTTTCAACCCGGTTTAAAGTATTTGTGGTCGTTTTTGCTACTGCGTTTGCTGACTGAAATATCAATGAAATGGTATTTTAAACAGTGCATGATATATTTCAATTTTTTTGATACCTGCAGTTGAGTATTTTTTAATTTAAGCTCCTCTTCTAGTTCTAATAATTCATTTTCTACTTGATTGCGCATTAATCGCTCCTTCGATATCTCATTCATTTGAATTGCCATATTTTCTTGCATCTTATTCAACTGGTCGTCTACTTCATTCATTTTCTTTTCCAATTCTTTATTATAAATAGTGATACTTTTTATTTTTTCTTTGAGAGTTTCAATTTCATTAACCATTCGTTCCCTTTCTTTCATTGAACTTTCTTTTTGCTTTGATTCTGTACCTCTACAATATTATTATCTTTTACTTATTATTATCATTATAGATCCTATTGAGATTTTATTTATTAATTTTTCCTTACTTTTCGTCCATGACTAGCTGTTTATTCTGATGTTCGACTTCTTGACTCAATTTAGCAATAGTAAGTCTAAGATTTTGTATGACTTCTTGAGAATTTTGTTCACGAATATGAGCTGAATTTGCAAGCTTTGATGTGTCAACTATGTCCTGGTTCAATTTTGCAATAATTCTTGTCTGAGTTTCTATTGTTTTTTCAAGTTCATTTATTCGATTTGTTTTATTAATTAAATCTTCCTAAAATTAATTAATTTTTTACTTTTTAAATAAAACGATAATTATTTTTATTGAAAAAAATTTTAAACATGAAAGTTTCTTTCTGTCTTAAGTCTTCGAGAAATATTATGATAGTTAATGCTACTTTAATTAAAATTTTCGTGTAACATTTCTTTTCTTTGAACTTTTTTGTCTTTAACAATAGAAATGGAAACCTTGAAAAAAATATACAATGTAACACATAGATGAAATGTTCCTTAATTTAGTTATATAATTAATTATAAACAACAGATATTTTCTAAAACTTATGGTACATAAACTTTGATATATTTTATAAAAACATTCTATTATTTTGAATAACAACAAAGCTATTTTCCTTTTCAATAATACTCCACTAGGGAGATAGAAATATCAGCAACTGTAACAATATTTATTTATTTTTCGACAAAAACACTAAAAAAAAAATGATAAGTCATATTTACGTTTCTGGTGACACCTAATATAATGTAACAATGAATTAAACTTTACAAAATCGATTGTATTACTTTAATAACATTTTTAATGATTAATTTTAGCTTGATAGAGCTATGTTTGGTTCAAAAACAAAATATGTAGGTTAATGACAAATTAAGAAGGACAATAGAGTACAGACCTGCAATTGACGGAGTTTTTCCATCAGTTCTGCTTCTTCTTGTCGACATTGGTAAAAAGATTCGTACAAACGAGTGTACTCAGCTTCGTACGTTGCTAAAGCCTCGTTGCTCTTCATCTCATTCAATAGCTAACAGAAAGAGGAAATTAGGTATGCGATGAAATGCCATCGATCGAACATTTTAATAAAAAAAAGTGCTAAGAACAATTGGAATGAAATTGCTTCAAGATGACAAGTGCATTATTAATTAAATATTTCATGTAATTCCATTGGGTGAACAAAATCCTGATTTCGAAATGTACAATCATTGAAAATGAATAATTAAAAAGCTATCTGGAAACGATGAAACCACTAACTTACTTTTGCATAGTCTCGTTCCAAATTACAATAAACGCTTGCAGCTGAACTACCAGCTATTGATGGTTCTCCGCTTTCGCTCCCATCATCCTGCATATTTTATTATTTAGAAATGATGGGTCAGAATATTGATGAATAATTTACAGCATGATTTATTGAACATAAAGTCTTACCCTCTCTAATTCTGCATTCATATCCATCTTGATGTTACTAAATAATCAAAAGTCTTTCGCTGATATTTACCAGAATGTTGAAAAGTGTATCATTAATTTTTGCTTCAATTTAATAATGTTGTTATTCTGGTTATTTGCATAGGATGATGATTGATACAGATAAAAAAACATAAAGTATAAAGAGTACTGCAGTTAATCGAATTGAAATCATTAGAATGAAGGATGATTGACATTCTAGTTTGCGTACGATAGCTACAGTGTGATTTTCATCTACTTATTTAGAAGTTTCTATGGTGATAAAATAACTTTTGTATTGCGATAATAGTACGCATTTTATTTATTTTTATACATTTAGTCTACTTAATTCAAATTGAAAGGATTTTTATTACTTAATAAATTAAAATTTTTATTCAAATTATTAGAATTCATTCGAGATTCTAGGCACCAATTGACAATTTGTCGATATATCTTAGCCCATGCTATTACAATTGTTTTCGCCTATATTAGATGACGCGTAGCTAGAGGGCGTTTAATGTATGATCTAAATGCGTATTAATTAACGGTCAATTTTGGAGTGATGAGCATGATTTTTAATTACAGTAAAATTTTTGCAAATAAAAAAATTTATTAGCATATTATGTTCAGTTAAATATTTAAGTTTAATATGTATGTTTTTTTTTTAATAGTGTAATAGGTTAGTTAAATGTAAATTCAGTGATATATTAATCATAACGTATGCAACCATAACAGGTGTGTATTATATTTTTATGTCAAAATAGATTGAGGCTATTAATTTTGCAGTAATTAACTGAAACCAAATATATTGATTAGTAATTACTCATCTGTTTATTTTACTGTTTGGTATTGCGAAATTTATAGTATAAGCAAAACTCTATCATAACATATTTAAATTCAAAGAATATTTTTTTTAAATCATTTAAACGTTTTTTTCTTCAAGTAAATATTAATAACTCAAGATAGTGGAAATAATTTTATTTAACGATCTATCTATTAGTCTATTTACATAACACAGTAATTTTTTTTGTACTGATTGAATATAAAAATTATAAATTCAAATAAAATGCTAATAGGATTAAATAGGGGTTTTTAATTGTTAGACCGTATTAAAATGTATTAACAATTAGTACAATATATTTAATGAATCAAAGAATAGCTTTTAACCTATTAATTGATTGAATTTTTAATTTTCTTTTTAGACTGAAATTTGTTGCAAACGGAAAGCTTTAATTCATTGTAGAAAATATTATTTAAAATTTTAAATTTGTCTTTAAAGTTAGTTTTTTTTAAAAGTAGGATATAAAAGGTATATCTCAACTATTTTACAAGAGTATTCTGTAAAATTTATTAGGTTCATATAATACACTTAAAATCCAGAGCAAACTTTTCACTCTTACACCTTCTTGATTGCCCATTATTCAGAGCAAGATATCAAGATTTTTTGTAACCTTTTTTTATTATATAATTGTTGCCAATAAAACTAAAAATAGAGGCAGATAAGCCAAAATAATGGCCTTAAATTTTAACATAATATATTGAGATGCATCAGATCCTTCCTTTCGAGTAGTAAAAAATCCTATTGTGTTTCTAGACATACTTTTAGAAATTTGGTAGGGAAGAAAGATAGCAAAAAAACAAGAATAAAAATTTTATTAAAAATTCTATTTTCAATATTTTTGCATAACCATGTTCGTCTACTATGAAATCCTAAAATAGATAGAGAACTAGATATGTCAACAGGAACATGTAGCAAAGTTTGTCTCAGAGTGTCGATATACATATACAGATAACTGTAGAAAAGCAGTAAACTTATGAAAAGATATTTCGTAAGCACTCAAAGTTTCATATCTACAATCTATTTCCTTACTTAAATCATCCAGATGGGACTTGGTAATTCTGGTAAGCATCAACACCACTCTACTAAAACATCTGTACTTTCTTAAGAAAATTTGATTATAAAACGCAAATATCTCAGCAGAGAGTTGTTTAAGATTACAAATGTTTTCAACAATGAATTATTAAAAGTTAAGGAATAGACATTTCAGATATTTCAAATGCCCTTGATAACTAATTTGATAAAAAAAAGATTAAGTAATAATACTTCTGTTGAAGTTAATGAAAAGTTAAAATGCAAATTTCCCTTTTATTTAGAGAAATAATTTAATTTCTTATCTCAAAACTAACATATTGTTTTTAGATGAAAAAATTTCAAGTAAATGAACTAAATTCATTACTTTGTTTTTTTTTGATAAAAATTTATTATTTTCCCTATTACTATAATAAATTGTGTTGTTAAAAAAATAATAACTGCATCATTGTATTTCATGATTATTTATGAGTGAGTGTGAATGTAAAAATTTGTGTATTTGTAATTTTTATATTGCAAAAGTGATTTATTTATGGTAAATAATATAAAATAATTGAACACATCAGTCATGTGTGATTTATATGTTGAAATATATTAGCAAATTTTTTATATATCGACAATAAGGCATTTAATGATTCCATGATAATTATTTAAATATATTTTACATGAATTCTAATATAATAACAATTATTGTTTCAGGATAAACATGAATGAAAGAGTAAGGTAAGATTTAGTTTTTATTATTAATTTTCAAATTTTTTAAATTAAAATTTGACGTTCAATAGTCATTTTTCAATAAATTATTGAAATTTGAAAAATAGAAGAACTCTTGTTTTTTTTTTTTTGTTTAGAAAATTTTTCATAATTTTCTCATGAAATTATCTTCCGATGATATATTTCATAATTTACAAAATATTTGAATTAACAATTTGCATGGAATTAAATTGGATAATACTTGAATAACCAAGAAAAGGATTGTAAAATTCTAAACCTAAATATATTTGTTTAATATTTCAAATATGATAAAGTTGACGATTTTTTTTGTTTATATTTTTTTTTGTTTTTAATTATTAACGTATGTACAGCAATTAAACAGTCTTGTTTATGCAAAAAATAAAGCTTATTTACATGATTATCAGTGTATTATATAATTTATATATTCAAGACGAATTAGAATTTTAATCATTCCTTTTTTTGCATTTATTTTTAAAATTCTGTAATTAAAATATGCTATTAATTTATTAATAATAATTAATCACTGTAATAGTATCGACAAATAAAAAAATAAGAATTATAAAAAAGAAGTAAAACAAATAATTCTTATTGTCTTAAAATTTTGGCACAAAAGTCACTGATAATTTGGTAACTGTTACACATTCAAATGATATTCTCACCATCTCTAATATTTATATACATTATAAAATGTATTTTATTAAATAAAATTTCGTTTAAAAATTCTGCACAAATTATATTGTCATAATTTATGAGATATAATTCACTCATGTAAAGTTGGAAAAATGATAAAAATGAAGAGACGTTATAAGTATGAAACAAATTAGAATATATTCAGCTAGTAGAGGCAACTTGAGATACGGTAAAAGGTGTAACTTGGTAAAGAAAACACCGGTTGCAAACTCTCACAGGCTTTGTGTGTCCATAACGTGGTAATGGAACGTTGTTACTACTACAGCGACCACAAAATACTTTGCCACAATTTCTGCAGTGATGCCTGCGTCTTACTACCGTAAATCCAGCGTGACAAGCCATACATCTTGGTGCATCATTGTCGGGTATCCACGCAGGTGCACGCTCTACACATTCTTCACCACGTTCAGTAACTGGACACACTGAAAACAATAGATACATTTTAATTACTATTCAATCATTTAGGTTGAAATTTAATTAACCTTTATTGAATAACCTAGGGCTTTCACGTTTAGATCAGTTGCCAATTCATTGTATACAAAAGATTCCGTCAAATGTTTGCAAGGATTTTTTTTCTGCTTCTATTCATCATTTTTTTTTTTGTCAACGTAACACAGTTTGACAGGAAAATAATGAATAGATTTTTTCTTTAATACACTAAAGAAAAAATTTCTTTCAATAGTAAAAGCTTGCTATTTTTTATGAAAATAGCTCTGAAATTTTTAAATTAAAAATTGCTTTAAAATTAATAATTATTACTTTTACGTAAATATAGGCATTATCATTAAAAGTAAAAACTCCAAGTTATACATCTTGAAATGATCTTGATAGAAGTTAGGGGTTAGGGGATGATTAATGATAAATAAATAGAAACTTAATATTAATAAATAATGTAATTTTGTGAACGAGTTAGGGTAGAGAATAAAAAGTAAGTTTACTAAACAATTAGATCTATTAAATTTTCATGGTTTTATGTACACTTGAATGTTTAATTCTCAAATTGAGCAGTTTATACATTAGTTTTTATTCTATTTGAAAGCAAAACTAGTTATCAGAAACTATAACTCAATTCTTACACTCATTCCCAGACAAAATAGACATGTTGACATCCGCGTCTTTTTTATTTGCTATCGAGTTAAGTCAAGTTATCGCAATGAAGATCCAAGAGAAGTTTTATTTATATACAAGATAAATTCAATCAACATCATACAACGTTATCAGAATAAAAATATATATAACAATTAAACCGCAATCTGATAATATTATCAAAGAGTATAATTTTGTTAAAATTTATTTCAACTATTAAATTTTACTTTAGAAATGAAGATTAAAATGTCTCATAAAGTACAAAAATTGATGAGTTAATCGTTTTTTGTTGATAGATTTTTTTTTTTCAACAAATAAAGTGTCATCAATATGAACTTAATTATTTATTCATTTATGCAAAGTCGCTTACTTGTTTCATTGGTGATTGTAGATTCATCAGGGTCATCTTCATCTTCTTCGTGAAATATATCATGTCTCTGAAGATCTCCATTCGTGTCATGTGCTTCAATAGGATGTAAATTATCTTCAGGTTGTTGAGGTTGATTTACAGAAACTGGCTCTTGTTCATTTTCTACTTGGCTACTATTCATGAGGAAGACACACTTCAAGATATTTCGCAAATCTGAAGCGAAGTTTGTTTGCAGTTGATCCGCTACACCAGCTATACATACAAATAAACGGTGAACAAGATCTTCGGAAGATCGAAACTTGGCTCTGATTTGATTTCTATTTGCTATTTCAGCAGCTTGCATTGCCAATGCTATTTCTTCGTCATCTTGACAATCACTTTGAAATTCACTAGTTTCAGAGCTTGAATCACCATAGCTTGAATAACTAGAACTAGAATCAACATTAGTACGTTGGATAATAGGTAAATGTAGCGAACAAGTAGTTTTTGACGTTACTCCACAACAATTTGTCAAATCATTTGACTTCGATGTATTTTTTGATCGATTTTCACGTGAGCATTGGAGACAATTAATATCGTGGTTAATTGGTGAGGTAGGCCTATTCGTAATTAATCCACTTTTATTTGTCCGTCGACCAAGACCATCGTGCTGTAAATCTTCTTTATTTTTAAGTAAATTGGACCCTTTGGAAAGCTGATCATTTTGTACACTAGAATATTCACAGTAATTTCGTTTATCAGCATCTTTTTTTCGCATTTTAGAAATCTGTTCTGCTCTACATCTCCTATGATCCAATAACTTGCGATTTTGTGGAGAAAAATTACTTGGGGCTTGATGACCAGAACTATGCCTTTGAGATACGTCAGATTGTGAATCAAAACTTCCTAAACGTGGGCTTCGTTGTGGACTGTGGTTACCAAAATTAGGCATTTGGTTTTGATTTTGAGTGGGCTGTAATGAGGCACCATAATTCGTAAGTCTTGGATTTATACAACGATCTACTGAGTTTGACCGTGAACTCTCGGTGCTAAGTGATAGATGAGTATTTGAAACATTATATGGAAGTTTTTGTTGAGTATCGTTGTGGTTTCTACGTAAATTTTTTCTTTCAAATTTACGCTGTTGTCTTCTCAGTTTGTTCTCTTTCGATCTACGTGACGGTATTTTATCGTGAGCATAACGCTCAATATTATTACCAATTTTACTAATATCCTGAGAGGTAGATGGACAATTTTTACATCTTAAATCTTTCCAAAATTCTTTCGATGAATTAGTTTCATCAATATTTAAATTGAGATTTTCCCAATTTTCGGAATAATTTATTTGAATTGATGAATGATTAGAATCACACACAGTCATTTGGCCATTACCGTAAGCCAATCCTACGAATTCTTCGTTGGTTCCATTAAAATTTGACGATATTCTATTAGACATTTTAGAAATATCACTACCATTACAATGATAATGTCTCGATGATGTTTGGTTTTGAAATGTGGGAATGTTTTTGGTACAACTAATTGGATAAATACAAGAATTTTCACTGTCATGTGAATTTTTATCATAATTAATATCCTTTTGACTATTTTCACACTTTACATATAATTCCTTAGAATCTTCTTGAATCTCATTAGCAAATAATTTTTTTTCTTCAGGACTTTTATCATACAAACTAGTATTTTCAGAGGATATCACGGTGCAAATTCCAGAATCTGTTTGCTCAGATATTTCATTAGTACCATCACCTTCTAATAAGAGACTTGAGAGTGTTTTATTTGCTTCAGATATAAATTTTTTTGAATCCATATCTGGTAGAGAATTTTCAATCTGTACAGTATCATCTGTAACATTATTTTCATGCGAAACTTGATTTAAAAGGTATTGAGTTTGTGGAATTTCGATATTGTCGATTGTTCCAAGTATTTGAGATATGTCGGTACTGAATAAGTCATCCTCACCTTCCAGTAAATTATTCTCAGATTCATTTTCAACATCTACAGTACTACTGCCTCCAGGGCATTGATCTTTTCCAGGAATATGCATTAAGCTCAATGATTCTGTTGAATTGATATCATAATTATATTGATCACTAGTACTAGCTAGCCGGAAGGCAATATCACCATTTTCTCTTATTCTGTCTTTCTTGTTTTCTAATGGCGTTGAAACAGGAGCCATTTGTTTGAAATTAACCGAATTAACTAATACGTTGTCCTCATTAACGATTCTCGAAGTTGACCCGTCACTTAATTGTGCTGAATAATTATGGCTACATGTGATGGAACATTCTAAATGATTTCCTCTATCACTATTCTCTTGCTCCTCATTATTGTGTATTAATTGCGAATTATTTTCAGTTTGTTGATTGGTTTTAGGACTTTGCTGATTTAAAATTTCTACTACGTCATTAGCCACTTCATCCATATTTGTTCCATTATTTTTCGTTATGGTGTAAAAATCTACTACGAAATTTTTACAATTTGGATAATCAGTATAAAAATTATACACAAATTTCTCCAATTCTTGTTGACATGCTGTTCTAGTTGCGGGAGATATCGGAACGTTTGGCTCCTCGTTAGAACACAAAAGTTTCTCCAACATGTAAAGCTCTCGACTATTAAGAGTCCACAGAAGTTCTCGGATTTTTAATAATAAATTCTGTAATAAAACAAAAGTATTTGATTTTAGGTTGATTAAAAAAATTAACTAATAATGGAAAATAATTATTTATGTTCTGTTAGTAATTTCATTTTTATTTAGTAATTAAAAAGAAAGTAAAAATAAACATAAAAGTCGATATAGCTAATTTTAGGACTCTGTAAATATAAACATCCACTATTTATGATACATGAATTTCAGAATTTTGTACAGCAATCTTTGCTATTAAATTATTGATTAAAATAAAACTCTCATCTAGTAAATTTCTTTGAAAGTAATAAAGATATAACGCGTTATCAAAAATTTTACGAACGTATAAAAATTATTACGTTTTATCATTTAAACCAGAACTGATCTATCTGTTACATTTTCTATTGCTCTGTTTATTCACAAATTGAAAGCATAATCATAATAATATTGCTGTTATTTTTGAAACTTTTAATAGTAGTTAATCGAATATTTTTGAAATATTAAATGTTTTTTTAAGCTTTACGAATAGAAATTTTTTTTATCAATTACTAGAACCATACATATGAATTTAAAATTCAAATATTTATTTACTCAGCTACTCTACTACCAATTTTACGTACATCTATAAATCAATACTAAGCCAATCGAGATTTATTTAGAAATAATCAATATTTACTGGGTCACTTAGGCATTGGAAAGTTTTTCTTTAGTGAAATCAACATTTTATGTCCTTACCCTAAATGGTCTAAACATCTCGCTAATAGTATCATTCGAATTGAGGCACAGAGGTCCACCAGGAGGAGCAAGGAGACCCGAAACTATAGCCAATCTGGGAATGGTAAACATTAAAGCTGGGTCGTAATTATCTACATCAGCTTGATTAAGCAAGCCACGCTCGAGTGCTCTTTGCAATGTCTCGGAGAATAAAACACAGACAAGTTCTTGTTGCTCATACTCTTTCGTTGATTTTACTGGGACCATTGCTGCGACATAGCATAGTTCAAAATCAGCAAATAATCGGTCGAATATTTTAAGTGACTCAATTAACTTTTCCATCTCTAAAGGATTGTGGGTTTGATACAACTCCTGAAAAATAAATTCACCAACCATTCAATTAGTGATAAGTGCTTTATGGCTAACAATTATTATTAGAATTAATGACTACCTTTAAATTGGTGTGCCCTTTAAGTGCATGTTCTCGAAGTAAATTTCGCACAGTTTCCAAGGATTTCGTAAGTGCTTTAGCAAGTGGTCTCATTGCCGAACTCTCAACTTCTCGATTCATTATTGAGGATCCAGCAGCAAGACATTCAGCACCAAACCACAGTTGGCCAGCTAGATTTTCCTGCATTACGTCGTCAGGAAATTTCACTCGAAAATCCCGATTAGCTCTACAGTCTGGTATTAATTCATCCATTATCTGATTACATATTGTCAATACTTTATCTTGACAATGACGTAGTTGGTTGACGAGTGTAGCACAGCGTTCAGGCTCTTGACGACCATCAAATGAGTCAAGTTCACACGCAAGTGCTGTAAGTGCTTCATTTGCATAGAAGAATTGGGCCAATAAACTCGTATCGTCCCTCTAGAAAACAATAATTAACATTGATTTAAAGAATAAAAACTATTTAATTGGTAGCGTTTTTGAATGCGAAAAAAGCTTGAAATTATTTATGAAATAAAGTGATGAAAATAGCAAGGTTAATTATAGTCTAAATATTTATTTTTAATTAATTAAATTGTTGGATTATATTTAAATTGATGATAATCCTTCTCTTGTATCCACTTTTAATTATTTAATACGATAAATTATTAAAATTCAATTTATTTTGAGCTTTTATTTTGTTTTTCTTTTTCAATTGACAGTATATTTATAGTTTAATTAATAATTAAATGAAAATTTTCAAGATAATATTTCGAATTAATTACTTTTTAATGATATATCTTCTCTGGAATGATAATACAATTTTGACGATCTTGTTTTTAACAGTTAATATTCGTCCTAACGTGATAAGAAAGTAACAGATAACTGAAAAAGTGCTATTTTACATGATGATCTCATAACTGTTTCTCTATTATGGTGGTGTTGAATTTTAAAATAATTTCATAAGAATGAATATCAACAGCAATGGTAATTCTGTTTTAGTCAAATTCAAGTTAGTCGAGTTCTTTGTTTAGTTTCGCTACTAATTTGTGAGTAAAATTACGTTGTTTTAATGAAAATCATTGATTACACCAGCTAATTTAATTATTGAAACGCTAAAAAGAAGTTTGTGTCTAGTTTATTATCTTTATTTTACGAAAAATTGGACGAGTTCCTGTGTCATTTAATTAACAATAATAGTGCCAATTTTGGCTTCAAGTCAAAATTGAATCATTTAAACATGCTGTGATATTACTATTCATTTTCATCAAAGTCTTTTCTAGGTCACTTCTAAAGAGTCAATATTACAAATTTTTTATTGTGTCAACTGGTATCATTCTTTTTCTTAAGCTTCAAGACTCTACTTGACGGTCTATTTGTTCTTTAATTCATTGTTTGTCAATGACGAATAAAGATTTTGTTAACTTTTTTATGATTTCAATATATTAATGCTCTAATCGAACAACATTCAGCATTGACATAATGATGTTAATAATCATGTCGGTCAAGTAGCAATCAATTTGCAAAGTGAGTCATTCTTCGCGGGGTAGTTTGCTTAAATTACTTATTTTTTTATCGTAATACCGACCATTTTACTACATTATGTTCACTTGAACTACATGTCACGTTTATTTATTCGTACGTAATAAAAATACATGTAAGAGAATAAGTTGGAGAAGAAACTTATTGAACTACCGTAAACTCATATTATTGACCTCGATAAAGACGGATGAGCCTAATAGATAATATTGATTGTATACTTTGCTGGAGTGTGAGAATTTTGTAATTATCTTAATATACATATTTTATAAACACTACATTGTCAAATATAATTGTGAAGTTACGTGAATATCTTTAACAACCTATATCTTAATTGCCTGAGAAGCACTTTCAACAATTTAAGAAAGGAAGTCATTATGTTATCAAAGCATTCTTCATTTGTTCTTACCACATTAAAAAAATATTAACAGGTATTTTTCTTATTAAATAAAATATCTGGAATGCTAGTTCATTATTAAAATTTTTTTATTAATTGATTCGAATTATTACTGATCAGTTTCTTGATTAAGCAATTTTTATTATCAAAAATCAATATCCCCAACTCTCAGCTTCTGAAAAAAATTATTTGAAAAGTTGAAAAGTTCATAGTGTTTTGTACAAATATTCCCAAAAGTTGATTTTTTTTATTGCCATCAGTCTTTGTTTTAATGATGAAATTATGATCAAAATAATTTCCTCTGGACTTTTGAACACAACCGATCAGATGATTTTTCTAATAAATTTGATCTTTTTATTATTAATAAAATTAAATTATTAAAAACAAAATTAAAAACAGTATAAATACAAGATAATGAGGTTTCAATGGTACAAATGTCTGTTTATTTTTAATTAAAATTTATTCAGGCATTCATAATAACAATTGTTACATTAGAGTGTGGTTGAAAAAATGAGATGTTTCTTTAGATAAAGAAATATTTTCAATGTAAATTGTTAATAAATATAAATAATACTTCAATAAACAAGTTATTATCATCATATTTAAAATACCATTTTGTGCTTTGGCGTATTATATATCATCTTGAAGTATTTCTCTTATCACTTGACGACTCAGTGTGCGAAAACTTTCACACTGAGAACGTGTGATTATAGATAAAACAGGTGGGCATAATAAAAACATATGCCATCATTAGATTAGTAGCTATTTTTCACACTTTTGCAATCGTAGACATTGCGATGTAGATAATAATAGTCAGAAGAAAGGAAAGTATTGGTGTAATCCGGGAGATATAGGAAATTTAATAACACAAAGGAAAAAAGAATTTTAAGTAAGATCAGCGTTAAAAAAAAACCCCTAATGTTCTTTATAATAAAATTTACAATTATGATTAAATAATATTAAGCTTACTTTAGGTCTGTAAAACCACTTTCTGATAGACTCCATTGTTGTTCTAAATATTGGAATCAGTCAAAATAATATCGAGGACCTGCACCGATCACTACGACTTTCGCGCACCTTCTACTTGCGTCATAGCGACGCCCAATGTAGAGCTAATGCACAGAAACACACCAATACCTTATCTGTTTCATTTTTTTGTTATTTATTGAACGTTCATATTTATAAAACTACTTTTTTCACTATTTATTTGACAATATTATGATTGTGTCGTTGCTTAAATGGCTACTTAATGACTTTAAGTACGAATAAAGAAAGCTTAATGAAATGCACAATGAGAAATGAGAACTTGAACATCTGTGACACTAGTCACAGCTATAGCAATTTCCAACCAACTGTCCAAGTATAGGTGTCTGCGCATGCGTTTATTTCACTCTTTGTGGTGGGTTTTAAATCACAGGATGCGGGTATACCGCTATAGTGGAGTCGATGAGTTAAAAAACGTGACTTTAGTTTTTATATCAGACATTAGCGCCGTCTAGTCGAGGAGTGAAATTGAGAGAACTAATGAAAAGGTAATCGGTTGGTAAAAATGATATCGGTAATACAGCATGAGATTTAAAAATTCATTACATCTGAAATTAAAATGTAAAAACCACTAGAGTTTAATTTAAAAGAATAATAATGACCTAGAAATATTATTAAGGTTATAAATTATTATGATTGGGTTTTATAGCTTTCTTGAAGGTATTTATTGTGAAGACAATAATGTAATTTATATTTTATTCAATCAATGTGTCATAAAAACAATAATTACTCGAGATAAAAATTATCTACAATAAATTTACCATAGTATCTAAATGAAATATTTTTTATAAGTATGGACAAAGATTATAATTAAGTATTCAAGGTAAATAATACACATAGTTATCAGATATATTTTATTTAAAAACTAATAACAAAGATGTTCTTACGTTAATTTACAATTTAAATTTAATTACGTAAGTTAAATCATTATTAATATTTAATTTCAAAGTTCAAGAGTTAATTGCAACTATTTATTAAGTTTTTAATGAGTTGAATGTTCTTCTAGCTTTTGATATGATTCACGAGGAATCTCATTTACATCAGTAAATCGCTGATATTGTTCTTGTACAAAGAATAATCTAGTGTAAAAAGAGTATGTATTTCCTTTAGATTTATGTAAAATGGAATTATTCGAATTTCTACAGACGATTATGTGTCGACAAATGGATAAAAAGTGATCCTCTATTCATTACAGAGATAACAACTTTCCTTTGTAACCGACTGATTTAAAATTATTTTTGTTAAATAATTAATATTTTTTTAATTACATAAACACGATTATTATTAGTTAAAAAATGATTATTGTGCCTTTTCATTTTGGTTTAATACAAATAATTAAAATAATCAATTTAAAATTATTTTTTATAAATTATTATTGAATTTAAATATTTTAAAATACTGTATTACAAACCTAAGTGTGTCATTTTAACACACTTTAGAAATTAAAACTTTGCATCATGTGTTAAAAATTATTCCTTTTGGATTGTTAAACAAAAAAAAATTTTATTTAATATCAAAATTTCTAGAAAATGTTATTAACGCTCTCTGTACTCTACTGTACGAAGCATTTCAATTGCTTCTTATGACTCGACATTTATAAATTGCAAATTTTTTTAAAATAACGATCTATCCAGATTGAATAAATTATTCTCATAAAAACTATTCTGAGATCTGATTATAAATATTAATTATCATTGAAAAAATTCGTTCTCACTTTATTGCAACGTTGTATTTTATTTTGATTTAAATATTACAAAAAATTTTTGCAGTTTAATTAAATTAAAATTTAATATTAAGAACATATTTGGGAGTAATCAGATTAATATGAATTATTAAATATGTGCGGACAATTAAATGAAATTCGAATTAATGAGTGTTGATTTTATTGAATCTATTCAAATTTTAGATGATTTTAATATTATTTACGCCATATATCAGTATATCAAATATGGTGTTGGAAATGAAACATCTGCAAGATAAAGAAAAGTATATTAATTGATTATTTAACAATAGATTTCACAAGAAATGGCGATAATTAAAAAAAAGTTAACAGATGATTTTAATAAGTCAATTAAATTAATTGGCTTATCTTAACTGTTAATGAGATTGTTACGTGATTTTTTTATTGAAACTACGGTATGATGCTAGATGATATTATAGTTTCAATAAAAAAAAATAACGTTGTTCTCATGAAATTATATATATATATAAGGATTCATTTCAGTTTTATTAAAGTTGTAAAAGTATTTATTTTAAGCCTTCATTCGTTCTAGCTCCCTTGAATAGGTATAAAAAAAAATTAATTAATATTCAAAAATTATTCAGCAGTTGGCTGTAATTAATTCTTTATTTCTCCACCAACTGTTGGCTGATATTTTTAATCTTTTTTCTGATAAAATCATTACATGTGCTACCATTTTACCTAATTTGTGAATAAATTTATTTAAACATAGTAACAGTTAACTATTAAATAAATTATTATTTATTATGATACATTTTAATTTACAATATTTTTAATATTTCATTATTTAGAAGAAAAAAAATTATTTTTTTGTAATAAATAATAAATAATTGAGTCTCTTTTAAACTATGAAAGTTGATTAATTGCCGTTTTTTATTTAATATGGTTAATTTACTATAAAAAAAATTTTTGTTCAAAAATTACTTACAGTACTATTTTGATATTTAAAATTTTCTAGCAATGAGATTCATTGAAAAAAAAAGTTAAATAATAAAATTTATTCCATTAACATTTTCCAAAGAAGAAAATGAAAGACTCAATAAAATTAATTTCAACGATCCATAAAATCAAAAATGTTTCGATTCCATAAGAATTGAATTAATTACAAATTACAAACACTCATAAAAATAATACCTCTCTCAACTCTACCACAATAAAAATTAAGCAGCAATAAGAAAGATCTTTTGTAAAATAGAAAATTCCAATTTCAATAATGAAACACGTGTTATTTATTTTATTAAGAAAATAAGAATAGAATAAAGGAAAAAAAATCCCATTATTGTAATTGAAATTCTAATATGATTACGATATTGGTGCAGTCAATGTTAATCGTGAAAAAATGATGAAAGAATATTACTTATCCAGTTACGCTTCATCATTTTTTCTTCTTCCCTCTCAATGGAAACTTCAGCACAATATCATCTAGGTTCTTGATCACCAATTAACTCTCTCAAGTATAATCATTCCATCACACCCCAAATTTTCAATAGAAACAAAGTTATTAGGTAGACGTTTCCACAATATCACCTAATAATGATTAAATTCTAATAACAAGCTCATGTTTGACGATGTGTTGTTTCTACTTTGTGCACTATTATCAAATAATCACAATAATTTTGAACCTACAGGGTTGGTATTCTCTCAATGTAGGGGTTTTCTTCAGTATTGGAGGAGAATATGCGTGGGGGTTGTCTTATAAAGACGCTTCGCGGCTCTTCACTTAGCACATTGCTTTTGTAGAATTTAAACTGGCAACATAGTGTTTTCTTCATAGACTATTATGCTAAATAGCATTCAATAAATCTATTTTTTTTATTCTCTACCAAATAACATTATTTATTCTCTGTTGTTGCTATCAGACACCTACGTAACAATCAAATCATCAACTAATAATTTATTTAATTAAAAGAAAATAGAATAATTAAAATTAAACTCATGCTGTACTTCAAGGTAAGAAAAGAGCTTGATGATGTTTTGAAAAAAAAGATGTTGATGTTTGTTATTTAAATCCATTCTTGTACATTACTTAATTATTGGTGTGCTTTATTATCAGTATCGTTTGAATATGTGTACATATATGGTTTTGTATTTTATTTTAATCAGTCGAGTGATTTATTGGCATTTTGGGATTGATTTTTCATGAATTAGCCAGTGCATTTACGATATAGGCCTTGTTGACGTGATCTATCTATCCCTAAAACGTTTCAGTGTATTTATCTGACGTTTACGAATACACGACTAAAAGACAGTATGTTTAAGCATCTAAGCAACAGAGACACTCGTCCTGTCTCTTATCGGCAAGACACTTAGTAGCACTTACTCTTATCTTAATGACCAAGGACACGGGTAGCGTTAATGGCCTTTCAAAATTAGCGTCAGAGCACCCTTTAAAGAATTAAATTTTTTTCTTGGCCATATAAACACTCAATACACAACACTTTAATGTGTAGATGTTTGAGAATTTTTCAAGTTTTAATTTCATTTCGCGGCTCCTATGTTTAAATTTCTATACCAACTCGCTGTCATTGATTTGAAATGAATCAGAAGAAAAATATTTATATGTCTATAGACGATAAATTATTCATAGCTGGCTACTTATCAAAACTTGTATTTATGGATGCTTTTCTTTAAAGTGATAGCTTTTGGGTTGAAACTATGTTTTAGAAAAACATTAATTATCAAAATATTTTTTAAAATCAATTGTAAAAACAGGGTAGACTACGGTTTCCGTGGCGCCGCGATTTTTTTTTGACTCGCAAAATTGTTGTAACTTGGTACAATGTACTTGCAGGGTGATTTTTTTTCATTAAACGGTGCAGCCGAAGGCCGCCACCGGAGAGAACCCTCTAATTCTGTAGTCCAAAATTATACCCATGTATAAGCCCATATAAACCGAAAATTTAAAGTATCAATATCTCGAAAACTAAGTGAGATATGAAAATATTTTATTCTTCATTTTCATCTTATTTTGGACTGTTCTATCGAAATTCATTGTCATTTCGTGGCGTCACGGAAACCGTAGTCGTGCCCCAAAAACTTTTAAATCTAATGTATTTGAATATCCCACAAAATTGATGAGATGCACTGCAATAGTAATTTTCTGTCATTAATAAATAAATTTATTTCTTCTTACTGACAATAACATTGTGGACATAATTGGATTTCATTCAACAGATGTCTTATCTGTCGTGTGTCTTAATTGTCTTGTCATCAATGATGATTACTGCTACTTGTCAGATGTTTCAATACAGTCGAGGTTGGACAAATGGTAAACGTGATAATTCAAAACTTGGAGCTGGTTTACCAATGGAAATTAAAGGTAATCATCTGGTTACTGATGGCAATCAATTCATTGACCCTGCCATTAGCTATTGTGCTTTTCACAAACTAAGAATGCTTCTTCAGAAAGATGATGGTGATGAACAAGTAAGTATAAATTAAATAATTTCTTTTTAAACATAATCATTTTCTTGTTGTTTATTTATAACTACATTCAACTAATATTTTTTAGATTTACTTCTTACCTTGTGAGAGACTGGGTTTCATAGCGAAAGCATTTAAAGATGGAAAGGTACCCAATCACTATCGACATATAACTGTTAATGAAGATAATAATGATAATAATGTTGATAATTATGTGACATCATAAAGGATTAATCATCATAAAACTATATAATATTCATGAATTTATATAGAGTATTATCCTGGAGAGTTGAAAAAGCTTTTTCAATACACTAATGAAATGTTGCTGATGGAATAGATAATTACTCTTAGACAAAGATTTCTTAGTTTTTTATCATTTTGTTTCATTGATTTTTCAAGACATTTATCTGGTAAAGCAGTGATTCTATGAATCTAGACTTGAACATTTGATAATTTAATAAAGATCCATTATTTTGATTTAAATAGCAACATTAACATCAAGATCTTAATAGCTAACTTGAATGAGTTGTTGAACCAAGAGTTGCTGCATTCTTTCACATCAATGAAGTCAACTTATCAATTAGATGAAATGAAATAAATATTGTGATGCTTGAAAAATAATTCTGTTTTATTGAATTGATTAATTTTTTTATCAATGTTTAAATAAAGCTTTACTCGAAAAAATTTATCTAGTTTATTCAATTAAAACAGCTATTGATTTAATTTTGAAATGTCTCCAACATTCTTTTTATTTAAAGTTGTAGATATAATTGTAAAACGTCAGTTAACTTATTCACAATGATAAATTTCAGGTTTGTGTTGTTAAAACAGAGAAATTAATTGGAGGAAATTGAATTATTATTGGAAAATTTTATTCCAATACTCTTGCATATTTTATCAACACAATCAGATGAAATTACTTTCGTCAAATGTATACCTCTTATATACTAAGCTACATACTTACCATCATAGTTATACTTCAACATCGTTGAAGAGTCATTTATCTTCTGTCTGACATTCAGTTTTCATCAATTCCTCGTCGGCCGTTAATTAAATTTTCGCCGGCCTAATTGGACGGCTGGGCCACGGTGGATAGATCGGGGTAGCTGGTAATGCTGAACACGGAGGATTTTCTCTGTCAACAGCAAGATGGAGTGAAGCTCTACCGTGGAAAGACAGAATGAGTCGATGGATTATCGAATACGATTGCGGTGCAATTTCGATACTTATCAATACTACCAACCATATCATCTTTTTAAACTGAACCTTCTTTTATTTTACATAATTATCCACATGAATTTTTATGTATTTATTCAATTGATATACTTAAGACATTCAGCCCTTTATATGCTTCTTTTTGAACTTAATATTCCTTGCTATTAAAATAATCTTACATTATTTATCAATGTGAACTCCTGCCAGGTCGATACGTCTTGGGTATACATTTTTTATCAGCTTATTTTAAAAATATGATGCTGATGAAAATAAAAATTGAAAGAGCAGGAAAGAAATAGGGATGGAAATGTCGTTACATTGTAAATGAAAGCTTCATATCAGTCATTATTCACTGTCGACTTTTTTTGATTCTCACGTCATTTACAGTTACCACCATCTACTTATTATTGCTATTAAAAAAGGCTTTATCATGTTGCTGACATCTTAAAAAGGTTCATAGACTACTGTATCGTAATACACTTAAAACTTTGTCGCCAATCAGAAACCAATTATCGAAGATAAGTTGGGGACGAGTTTAATTATATTAAGTATTAATACCTGTAGTAGAACTTTTACTTGCACACCAATACTTTTTCTTATATTCTGTATTACATCATGTCCTTGTGTGTGCACCCCACGTTTTTCCATACTGCTATCCTCTCGGGAATAATACTCAATTGTCTAAGTAATGTATAACTTGAGATACAACACAGAAGTTATGTACTTTCATCAATTGAGATATTTACTCATCTGAATTATAAAGGAATAGGTTTTTTGTTAGGATATAAGGTGAGGATTAATTTTTGATGAGGTTATTGCAATTTATGTGTTATTATTTTTTGTATGATTGATGAGAGTTGGAATAATTACTAAAAAATTATTTTGTACCACAGTTAGTGATGATACACATCTGTCTTGTAGAACAAATATTTTACTTTTAATTTTTCATCTTATATTTAATTGTTCCACTGCTCATAATAAAATATTCTAAATGTTTTTTTCAGTTCAATTCTATCAAAACATTTGAACTAATTTTAGAGAACGAATGAGCAACATCCTGATTTGATGATTGATCATTTGATTTGATGATTAACAAATTTAATATACGGTTTCGTGATGACATGTTACTTTGACAGCCGATAATACAATCTAATCGTGGTTCAGTGAATAGTGTTGAGAGTGGATATAGAGAGAACTAGAGATGAAGAGAGAAATAGCAAGGTGGATTAACCCTCCCGTGACCATAAATGAGTATCGACCAATGTATCCCACGAGAGATTCTGCAACAATAGTAAAGCCTCTCAGTAATCATGGCTCCTATCTGGTTACGGGTCAATTGTTATTTCTCCATTAATACTAAATAATGGGTCCATTGCTGAACTTGATCTAACTAATCTCAGATTGTGTTTTAAACACATTCAACTTGGTTAAATTTCTGTACAAACATTTTATAAACTTTAATGAAAAACCAATTGTTTTCAATGATCTTGAACACTTGAATGACTGATTCCTGACTGTTCTAAGCTTAGACTCACATTACTAATCATTTATAAAGAAGGATTTATTTGATACGATAATCCGTAAATGATTTATTTAGTGAATAATAATTTTCTAACTTATTAGAATAATTGAAAATAATAGAAATAAAATTATTGTAAGGTTTTTAATCTTTTAGACCCATTGATTACTTAAAAAAGCTGATGAAGATGAAATGAATCATCCTAAGACCTTCCCTATTCTGAATTTTTTCTAATGTGATCAAGCTATCAAAAGCCAGTTTCAATTGACTAATTTCTATTATTTATTTATTTATTTATTTAATTCAACATCGAATTCTCATAAACTTGAAACCCAAAATATTTCTCAACCATTTGAATCTGCAATAAGATTAGAACTAACTTTCAATAATACAACCAGTAAATCCAGGTTTAATTCTCCAACAAAATAATTGAAATAGTTGCATTCATAGCGCGTACTAATTTTATACATTACTAACACATCCCCATCTGTATGCATGTACTAGGATTGGAGGAGTGTAACGACATTTCGAACAGCCCAGGGGAAAAGCATAATTGTGGACCTCGAATTGCCAGACCAGACTGGAGCTAATATTGGATTAGTTTTTAATTCGGTAGACACTCCAGTACCCATTCGGGGTCTATGCTGGTAGTCGTCCCGCGTGTGGTCGAATAAAGAGGGAAAAGGTGGGCACGTGCGCATGATGCGCATTCGCAAGAGTAACAATGGGTGGATGGTTGTGCTTTTCTCACCAGGGCGTTTGCGCACTTGGTGGGGATGCCTCTGATGTATGATCGAGGATTAATTCGAGGGGCGTATGCTGCGTCCTGTGGGACCTGTATCTGCGCTATATCGAACGCACGCGGGACGCTGACTTCCCCTCGTATACATTTGTGTACGTGATGAATTAACAAGTGTCACGATCGTTTGTTCGTAATGTCTAATGTTTAATAATACATCTAATTATTATTTATTTATCTGTTTAAAAAAATTCTATTTACTGTTCAATTACATATACCTGCCTTTAATTGTTTATAATAATTTTTAAAAGAATTACATGGAGATGAATGAACAATTAGGAAGCTAATTCAGTGATTTAAAATAAAATCAAAATTTTCAATAATCGCAGTGAAATATTTTTTTGAAATTAACATTTTTTTTTAAGGTTAGTGGTGTCTCAGAAAGCAAGAAATAATTTAATATTACTTGTACTTAAGCCTTGGCTTTCGTAACATTTCAAAATGTTAATTTTATTATTAAAAAAAAAATATCACTTGTGCACAATAAGTTTGTTTTTCAATGTAGATAAGTAAAGTGTCGTACAAATGAGACATAATTTTTTAAAAGTGACTGATAAGATCTAGGTCAAGATTTAGAGTCATTGACAAATTTAAATGAATTTAATAAGCAGTCATTATGAAATTGGGTAATCACAAATGAACAAATAAATAAAAATAAATTCATTTCTGATGAACGTTGACTTTTTGTGTAAGTCAGGGGCATTTTTTTGGAGATTGGGAAACAAATCGTTACCATCAATTGTTGGGTATATAATGAATCTAAAAGACACTAAGAAACGAATGAGAGAAACAAAGTGAAAAAGAACACTGAACCGCTATTTCCGGCTATAGATTAAAGGCCTTGGTTTTGCCGAGCGTCAGGCTGTCGACGAAAACCAACAGGACAAGTATAATTTTCAAAATTTTACAGATATACAATTTTATTATTTTTTAAGTATTACTTTTTCGATTTATTCATAGAAGGGAATTAATCCTTAAATCGATTTCTTGATAAACTTCCTTTTATCACTTAACCAGCTGACGCGAAAAATAGACTAAATCAAGTAATTATTGAGTAACTGTAATGGAGTTGGAGAATGAAAGTTATGGTAAATACAAAGCCTGAACAATTAACTCTTATACTACTATTGAGATGTTTTTATATGAGTGTTGCTATTGCCGACAAACATTTGTCTCCAAATAATTGGGCAGGATGGCAGGTCGTAGCTCCTCTGCAATTATAGGTAGTAAACGTGGCCACATCCGGTGAGAGAAGACGAACATCTAGGATTGAAAATAAGGAAGAGAGTAATGAAGATACAGGGATTGTTATGACCAAATAAAACTATTATGAGAATTGAGAAAAAAGGCGCCGGATGCTGTCATAATTCGAGAAGGATGACAGGAACTGAAAATAGAAAAATGCTTTCACAATTCACGTCCCTAAACGTTAACGTTAGCTGCATGTTTTTATATCAACACTGAGAGAAGAGTTTGGTCAAAGTTAATAAATGATTTTGCTTTGCTTGATGATTAAATTAATTTTTTTTTCATTGTTTTGCAAATAATTGTGAAAGTGTAATTTCATAGTAAATGATTCATAAAGTAGTAGATAAGTGGGTTGATAATTAATTAATGTAAATTAATGTTAGACAATGATGAATTCAAGACTGTGATGATTTCTTAAAGAACAATGAATTTTTTTTACATTGAGTTGGTGAAAATAAATGAGTAATTGATAATTTATAATGATGTATAGGGTGTTACTTTGTGAAAATATTTAACAACAATGAGAATTAGAGTATTTAATACAGAAAAAAATTGTAAAAATATTTATAATTGTACTTTTTATTATTTTTATTAGACTTAAAATTAAAATTAAACCATTTTTTAATGTGAAAATTATTACTAAGAAAAGAAGAAAATGAAATCTTTAATTAAAAAAATTTTTATTTTGCTTTGAAACAAAGTGAACAAATTCTTAAAAAATAATTCATTTTTTTACTCTGTGATTTTTGGATTTTTATTAAGACATATTGAAACAAATCATTGATTATGAGTAGTGCAAATAATTTATTATCAAACATTATTTATTTTTATTTAAGAAAAACACTTCTCTCAATGTGTTAGACAGCAGCTAGAGGAACAAAAAAATTGTAAAATGTACAATAAAAAACATCTAAATAATTTTTATACCATGCTATGATGATTTAAGACAAAAATCGTATTAGAAATCACAGTTGTACTTGTTCTTTTTACGCAGGTGCTACCGCATTTCAGTTTATCTGTTTAAATACACTTTATGTATGCATATATATATATATATATATAAATTGTATATATACACGTACATAGTTTGAGACATCACATAATTCATTAATTACTACAGATCATAATCTATCATAGAGCTATAAGATATTACTATAATATAATTATAATTATTATTTATAATGATTATAAAAAGATATGCCAGCACTGATGATTATTTTAGAATTTATCCAAAAATTTAGCAAATTGGCTCTGCAAGAGCTTGTGAAGGTCCATATGGTGGGGCCCATTGACTAACTGAGTGTCCAAGAGCTGGCGCAGTCGATTGACTCTCGAGACTTGATACTGAAGCATTGGCTGCATGACTTGCTATGCCTCCAGGATAACCAACTTTGCCTAATGCTTCAGCTTGAAGTGAAAGCATCAGTCGATTTGCTGCTTGTCTTTCAGCTTCTCTTTCTTCAGCTGTTTGTCGCCTGAAACATACGTAACTTTTTCTTTGATAAAGTTGTTGATGTATCAGTCTATGAACACAAGTTTATTATAAATAATCTTAATAACTATTTTATTATTCTTAATTAAATCTTTAAATACTGTTACTAAACACGATGAACAATGTTTGAAGAAGTTTCATTCATTTGTAAATCATGAACAGGTCCAATAGAAAAAGTAGAGTAGTTGATATCGTTTTCAGCAAAATTTAGAGAATTATAACCATTGAATGCTATTTGCTATTGAATTCTGTTTATTAGTTAAATAGAAAAGTTAGTTACAAGTATGAATATATCAATGACTCATTAATAGGAATAGTCATGTCTATTCTAGATCTATAGATATTCTTGGACTCTTCTACAGATTTTCCTGAAGATCTGATAAAGATCCATCAAAAATTAAAGCAATTTCTAGTTATCTTAAATAGAAAATATCAACTACTCAACTGGTGTTGGTGTCTTATGATAGCACCATATGATGTTAACTACAACTATTTCTTGTCTTCCACGATAATTATTATTTAAAAAAAGAACTAATGTTCATAGACCAGGTGTCTAATATATTTTATATATTTACAAAAATAATTATAAATTATTAACAAATCAATTAATTTATTTTGAAAAGATTGATGATTTTTCAAGTGTTTTGTGCATCATTTAAAAATAGCTGATCACTAATTGATGACTCAGGCTGTTTGTTAATTATTAATATGATGAATCAATACTAATTAAAAAATCTTCTGAGTTAAATGATAAAATGAACAAAAAAGATAATTTATTTGATTGCATATTTTAACTGAAATCAATGCAGCAAAGTGATTAATTAAAATATTATCTCACAAATGGTATCAGTAAAAATATTTATTAATCAGTTCGAAAGTGATACATTACTTTTAAATAAACAAATGTATTCATGCATGACTGCATGTAATTAACATTGCAATAACAATTATAGATAAAAAAACATTTACGGTTAAATAATTAATTGGAAGTAGTATATACATATTCATTTCAATAATACTAATTCTTTCCGATAGATAAATATATATTTCTCTTGTTGAATATGTGCTAGTTAACTGAAAAAAGGTCTTGGCGAACCTTTGGAAGGAAGTGAAAAAAATGCTTTTTTTTTTTTTATTGAATAATTTCTGGTAAGAAAAAGAAAGGATTAACATAAAAATGGAATATATCATAATTTTTATTATTTGTAAAGTAGTTGGATATTAGTTTCTCTGAATATTTGAACCAATTTCTAAGTTTTCCAAGAGTAATCATTAGTATAAAACTGGTTCTTCAAACGCACGAGCAAGTTAATAAACGATATAGGATATATATTTTCTGCTGCTGTTACAAAGAGTCAATCAAGAAGAAAAGAAATGGTAAAGAGACTATGCGGTTCAATTCGTGGGTTTAAAGCATCATTTGTTACCCTGGAATTATCACCAAACTCTGTTGTTGATGGTCCTGCTTTTTAGCAAAGATTCATATGTGTATCTATTTCATGGTTTTAACTATGCTTGGCTTTCGTTTTTACCATGAGACATCTTCCTGTAATTTAACTTAGCTCCACTCATTTTTTACGATCATCGCGTGTCCGTATTTAGTATTTGCGGTTTAGACTATACTTGGACGATTATCGCGTCGGACAAATTTGAAACCAATGTACTACGCGTTAGCTAAAATTCCTAGAAAATTTAAACTCAGAACTACCAGTAGTATATTATTAGACAAAAAAATTACACACAGGACTCTATACCGACATATTTATAAAGAATACACAGTTTAATATAGAGCACTGACTTTTCTCAGTATCAATGATGATAAAAATAAATACCAATGAAATATAATGTATCGCACGTTTATTTCTTATTTAAATGGATTTTAATTAGTTGAAGGCTCATGTTATTCACTCACTCGACAATAAGAACAGGTTTGCCAATTATTAATTAATGTACAAATCTATACTGATAAGTTTAATCAATCTTAAAAGGAACTTTGGGGATTAAAAAAAAGGTCTGTGATGGATTAAAAATTCTTGGGTAATTAACTTTCTTAAATTAAAACTGCCAATGATGAATTCTTGAAAATGTGATAGACTTTGTCTAAATCTAATGTTCATAAATACTTTTTAAATTTTTTTACTCAATATTTAGCTTTATTGTTGTCTCTACTTTAAAACTGATAACATTTTTTTTAATTTATTTTAAATAAATTACAATGTGTTATTATTTTAGAAATGAGTAATTGTTTTGATTTATTGTTGGTGACATGAATAAATAGATCCATTCATTGAGTCACTCCTTTGTTTTAAAGAATAAGTGAATAAACAATGATTTAACTTGGTTTTTAATTATTGAAGCAATCAATAAGGTCTGTAGATTTAAATTTCTTTAAACCTCTCCTGCTGATGATTTGATGTTCGTTGAACAAATCAGCTGTAAGTATCTTAGGATGGATGCTTATCCTTGTTTTGAACGAATAACATTTTGCTAGCTAACTTGTTGGGACACATTCAGGAATTTGATTATTATACCCAAGAAGTTGAAATGTTCAATTAAATTTTATTTTAATTGTTTTTAAATTATTTCGCAATAAAAAAAAATTAGTTAATGATTGTTGAGTTGAGTTATATTGAAATGAAACTTTACAGTTTTCTGAATGATTTAATTCAAGAACTTTTTATTATTTCAAAAATTTATTACTCTTTTTACTGATTATTCTCGAAAAATTTTAAAAATGGCTTATCTTTATTGGAGTCATTACTGCTTTGAGTTAACGATGCAAGAATTAAAGTAGAGACAGTGAAAGAGTTAACTGTCGGAGTAAACTTGATATATACTTAATGTTATAGAATAAAATGAAATAACTATAAAATATGTAAGTCAATTCAATGCTCTACTTTTAATCAGCTTTAATCATCAAACGCATTACATTTTATTTTTCTTTCATCAACGAGATATACATTTTTTCGTATAAAGTATCGTGACAAATTTATTAAAATAATTTAAACGATGAATGAGAATGAAGGAACTTGAGGTTAATTGAATTGAGTGATAATTGGAATGGTTTCAGTAAAAAATATTCTCAAGTTTTTTCTTGATAAAGCTGTGTTATGTTTTAATATTCAAACTCATCAAGCTAATAGGTATTTCAACACTTTTATTTCATATTGCTGAAGTTGAGGACTGATTTTAAGTATTTTTATTTTTAATATCATTGGTTTATTGATTTATCAAGTGACTTTTCATAGACTCAAAATGAAATTTTAAATTATTCATCATTAAATTAATTAACTTCAAAAATTTGAAAGTTTAAATTATTAATGAGTATCAATATAAAATTATTCTACAATCTCAAAACAACTTGCCAAGCAAGTACAATCTTTTGTTTGAGTAGTAAGTGAGATGATAACAACAGTTCAATAATGTTTTGACGTTTCAACATGTTTAGGTGTTAAACATTTTATGCTTATTTAATTTTTCTGACTTTAGCAAGGCTGACTTACACCTCGTAATAGCTCTTTACATTTCAATTTTCAACACTAAACAATTTATTTATATCAATTGTTTATAATTTAAAAATAAATCTAAAAATGTTTTTTTAATATCCAATGAATTGTTGAGATTTTTTAATTGTTTTTTTAAATACAAAATATTTTCAAAAGCTCATATTGAGCTTATTTTATTTTTTAGTGTTGTTATATTGTGATCAATCATTTATTTATTCAAGAAAAATTGTTTATGATAAATTGTAGGTTAGTGTGGGTTGAAGAGCAATTGAATTTATTGATCCACAAGTATTCTATGAATAAATATCGTTCCTAAGTATTCTGTCGATATATTTCGAGCCTCAATATTATGTATAAAAGCTCAACCTGTGATGGAAACTGTGATATGAAAAGATCGAAGTGATTCAAGCGTTTGAATGTGAATGTTTGACAGTTTAAAAGCTAAGGAGGAGCAGTTTTGCCGCAAAGTCAAGTGAAAAGGGAGCTATGAGGGGTGGGCCACGAGGGAGCAACGACAGGGGGGCCAGAGACTACATAATGTACGGGACAGGGCCAAGCTGTTAGGTATCTGAATTATTGAGACCAAGTTATCTCATCCGTGCCTACGGTCATCTCGTTATTTTACACGGCATTCAATGCTACACAGCTGCCGTCGCTTCTCTCCAACAAAATAACTTGAGCTGTGTATCGATTTGAAGTTAACTTTTTTTTCTTTGCTTTAAAAAGAAGATTTTCGTTTAAAAGTTTACTAGATTAAATTGAGAATAATTGTTATTCTCTTCTTGTAATTGAAGTGAACAATCAATTGTGCAACGGAAATGACTACTTGAAAGAAAATGTCATAAAGTTGAACTGATTTTATTTGAAATGGATTTTTTTCTTTTACGTACTAAGTAAATTTTTAAACTAAAGTATTTATATTGAGATTAATTTTTTTTTCACTACATTAGAATTGAAGATTATTAGACATTGAAACATTGACTTTAATTTTAAAAAATTGATTATTTGCCTAAAATTATTTGAGTTATTAGAAATCAATTTACATTTCGTTTATTTAACCCATTAATTCCCAAGGGTGAAAATAAAAAGATTCTTTTTTTTTTATCATTTCATGTTTTTCGAAGTAACAGAAGATAATTAATCAACATGTGTATATTTAACGTAAAAATGTCAATTTTATTTCCAAGGATCCTGGGCCTTTTTTTTTATAAGACCCAGAGAGATCGAAATATCTTGAAGCAAAACAATCTTCAAAATCTTTAAAGAGAAATATTTTTAATAAATATTGCTAAAACAAATATTTAGTTTTTATTGTAGAAAAAAAGCATCTGATTCAGTCATTAATTAAATGGAAATAGCATGCTTTCATGTTGATGGTTTATAATTCACTCACATTTCTCAATTCATTATTTTTATGTTAAAAATTGAGTGTTTTTTATCTCCAAAGATTAGATTCATAAAAAAATTCAAGTTTTTTAATTTTATGGTTTTGACTGGTTTCCAAACTAGTTTTCTATAACCAACTGTTTTATATCAATATTTTTAACGTTTAGACAATTTTGAATAAATAATTAAAGCTCTGTACTTTAATGGAAATCAGAATTACTCATCAATATTCTAAATTTAAAACTATTTCATTTGTAAAATGTAAATAAATTTCAATTTCCAATTTTGATGAATGAAGAGGTGTTTTTAAAAACCTAATTAAAATAGAACTCTTTTTAATAAACAGTAAAAATTTGAATCTAGTTGATGGAAAAATTTTTTATCAGCTTTCTAACAAAATTAGAATAAAGAAAATGAATATAAAAAATGGAATGATTTAAACCTTTTAGTAATAGATAAATAGAAGGAGAATGTATTAAAGTGTCAATATAATATCAATGTATAAATTCAATTACTTTGAAATATTATCTGCATATAATTATTTACTATCATTTCAAAGTGCTTCATGTAATCATGACATTCGTTATTAAATCTATGAACATATTCATTTTCGTTTCTATAAAACCATTTATTTCTCAATACTTGACATTGTAAATGAAAATTACATGTACTTGAATAGTATTTATCCTGACATTTCACAATTTCTATTGAAGATTATTAAGATACACTAAGAAAAAAATTGATTGTAAATAAGTAATATTTTTTTAATTGATAAAATAAAAATTTTAAATAGTCACAGTGAATTATTTTTTTATTTTAAGATCAATATTTATAATAGAAAAGAAAAACAATTATTATAAATTATAGATACATTTTTAATCATTGGGTCATATGTGAACTTTAATAAATATATTTAGATAATCATTTAGTAATAGATCTTAGTGCAAATTGATAAGAATTTTCTATTCATTTTTTTTTTCACTAAAAATACCAATACTAGAATTCTATGAATTAATTCTTTGTATTGATGTTTATCTGCTCTATTTAATCAAAGGGAACATTTTCTCTATACAATAAGTGTTAGATAAATTAATAATAACATTTAATTTACCTTTAACTATATTCGCACGACTTTACTATGCTAACAAACTACATCTATTTCCAGTGTAGGTAAAATAAATTATGTAAATAATACATCATCACGCATAGGAGGATAGATCAATGGTAAATATAACTCTAGGCGAAATGTTAATTTATTTCATGATTAAATGCTAAATATAATAATGATAGAAAAATAGCTTCACTTATCGTTCAAATTTCAGGTTTAATTTTATCCAATAATTATTCCATTTCTTTTCAATCTTATGAAATAAATAAAACATTTCCTGACATATTTATAAAACATTGTGTCATTTTTTCTTCAAGTATAGAAATTAATATAAATAATGGAGTTTTCGTTTTGACTGTACAAAATAATTGTTATCCTGGATTACCTGAAATTGTGTGCACCTGTAGTAAGTACACAATAAAAATGGTGTCCATCATGAAGTCAACACGAAAATCCATTACTCCAGGGTCTTGATCGTAAATTATAAAAGGTATTATATGACTTCATAATAATATTTGAGTGTAAAAAATTCCCGACAATTACTTTAATTTCATTCAAGTCATGGCAACATTTATCTTCTATGATCTCTGAAATTTATTTCAAGTTCATACCAGTGGCTAATGATATCTCAATATAATCATCATCTTCTATAGCTTCAACGGTTTTTGAAATTACTTGAAATGTTATTATGAAAAGAATTTTATAGGTGTAAATATTAATATTTACCTAACCACCATCATTGTCTCATAAAAGTTGCTAAGAATCTCCTTGATGATAAATTCCTTTTTTGATGTAAGAAAAGCAAAGAGGAGAAGAATTGGCCAATGAATATTAATAAAATGGAGTTGAATAAAGATATTATGATTCAGGGACTGTTTGGATGTAGTGTGGAATATTCCTTTGGATTATTTGATTATTTTTTATCATCAGAAATGTTGAAATGCTTTGGAAATGCTTTGCTCTAAAATAATGATGAATATGTAAGCTTCAAGACTCTAATAGGTACATTTATATTTATAAAAGCAGAGAACAATAGCCCTTCAAGTATAGCAAATGGTTTCAAATCAAGCAATTCAATTTTAATGTAAAAGTAAAAAGTAAAAAAAATAATCAATGAATTAAGTCTCTTGTGTTGGAGTATTACTCTACAAATTTGATAACTTCTTGGAGGTCTTTTAGAAAAATACTTTTAAGTTTTGTCATGAGTATCAGCGATATCTTTATAGCGTGGATATCGGAAGCTGTTAGATAGGTCATCTCATCAGGCGGAAACACCTTTGATACAAAAACTAAGAGAAATTTTAATCCTTATCTAAATGATGTGTTTTTGTCCTTACTTATCTTGGAATGGACTGCATGCGTCTTTAAGGAATGGATATACATACATACATATGTATAGGTATATATACATAACCAGATTACCTTTTACTTATTAACATACTGAATATAACTATGAGTTTTTATCTGTTCTTTTTTCCGAACTTGAATGGTCGAAATTTAGCTTATATTATTTATGTGTTGATAGTGAAACTGCTTTGGAGTCAAATGGTTGTTTCTTTTATTCTTTTCAATCAAGTTATGGAACTCCAATGTCTAAATTATGGATAAAATGGAATCAATCCTTTTAAATAATGATAAATTACTTCTACTACTGTTGATAAATGTAATAAAAAAAAATTGGAGATCAAAAAATCATGATCAATTGAATAAATATTTTTTTTTATTCAATTCCATCAGTTATTGACTTAGTTTGAGATTTAATTCCAATTGGTATATTTCAATAATTTATTCAAGTATTTTTCTTTCTCATCTTTAATTTTTCTAACTCAAATGACAGAGTAAATTATTTTGCTGAGGCATTTAACAGGTTTAATTTTAATTAAAAATCAAGTCTTTTCAAAAATTAAAGTATTCTTAATATTTTTTTATAATCCTACATTTTGTATTCATCACCTAAATAATACATACTCTTTACATCACACTAGTACAGCAACAAAAATATTTGTGACTGTAAATTAGCACTTATAAAGTCCCACAATTTAGAGATCAATATATGCTTGACCTTTGTTTTTATGTAAACGAGAACAAAAGTGTATAGAAGTATTGGAGACAGTAACACCACCCTATTCTGTTAATAATTATGGAACTTTAAGCAATGAATGAGTTGTGAGTTCACAAACTAATCATAAAAAATTCATATTCCTGAAAAAAACTCCATCATAAAAACTAGTTTATTTTATGTTATTAAAGACTCTTTGAATGCTAGCAGTTCTAGTGGGTGAATTAAATTCAAGCTCTTTAAATTGCATAAATTACAATATAACAACAAAAATGGTATTTTTTTCTATTATATATTGTAGCATAAATAATTATTATTTTTTCAATATAATTGTAAAGTAAAATTTAAAAACATAGCTTTAAGGGGTTGAATGTATCGCAAATCCAACATAATTAATTTGTATTATGTTAATAAATATTTTCTGAATAAAGTAATGACTCCTGATGCATTGAGCCAATAAATGACAGAACTAAGCATTCTAACTAATTTAATTTATACTTATGTAGTTTGCTGTACATTGGAGTGTGAATATATTTAATATATCAAGATGAAAGGATGAGTACTTTTTTCTATGAGTCTTCGATTACTATTAATATGATTGAATGAATGAATGATCAAGTTAAAAAAAAATCTTGAGTAAATCATTGAAACTTATTTATTTCAACATTGTTGTTAAATATTTACCTTTAATAGATTTTTGTTTAACGATCATTTTAACCACGAAGTGATGATCTATTTAACTCCACTTGGAAACTCCGTAAGAGTTCTATTTCTAACAAAAAAAAAAGCTTTAAACCGTACCTAACGTAACGGTTTATAGCTTCATCTATTTATTCTGGATTGGAGCGCAACCCGGTAGTAAATCTATCCTACTATCGATAGGACTATGCACCTACACAATGATTGGTGTGAGAAGAAATCTCATTCATACTTGATACATTTTTTTAACTCTCGTAATGTCTCAACTTGAAATGTTTTCAATGATTATTCGAATATACTTCAAACTCAAGTGTGTGATCTTCAAAAACATTACACTGTAAATTTAAGTGCATTATTTTTAGACATTTAAACGTGTGAAATATAAAGTAACCCATTTTCCATGGGTAAAAAGCGACTAAAATGGGTAACCTTATATTCAATACAACAAAGTTTATCTGTGTGTTTTTTGAAACACTAAATCTCAATCACACCCTTGGGTTTGTAGTGATAAGTAAATAGAAAAGCAGACTTTTTACTTGTAATTATATTTTAGATAAAAGACAAAGTTAGTGAGAAAAAGAGACTTTTCAATGATGCTTAATAATATATAAAGAAATAAATAAAAAATGCTCACCTCCATTTAGTTCTCCTATTTTGAAACCACGTTTTCACCTGAGCATCTGTCATCTTCAGTGACTTGGCAAGGGCTGCTCTTTCAGCTGAAGCCAAATATTTTTGCTTATGAAAACGTTTCTCGAGTTCAGCTATTTGCAACCTGGTGAAACTCGTTCTGGGTTTCTTTCTTTTCGGTGGTGTCCGATTTTGATAAGGATGTCCAATTCGTCTAGGAAAAGTACCCGCGACTGTAAAAAAAGAGAAAAGAAAATTTTTTTTGTTTTCAAATCTACTAAATAAATCATTTCTATCACTAAATGTCATCTGCTCAATTCCGAAGACAAGGGGCTGGAGATGACAGATATCTGTCATCGAATTGATGACACTTTATAATGTTTTATTCTGATGGAAGGATCTAAATTCCAGTATCTAAATTTATGTCTTGAATAATCTATATTTGCATGTTGAGCACTAGAAAATCATTCTTCTCTATATATCCCGATGGGGGTGCTCGTAAAAACAAGATGGCGTCAGTCGCCGCAAAATGGCCGGCATAAATAAAGGAGTCACAAGTTGGTCGAGGTAGCTGTGAGAAGAAGGTTAGGGGAAGTCACCGACGGCATTTAGGAGAAGCCAAAGTTTTGTCCCTCAAATGTAGTGTGCACGTTAATGCTTGAAATCTATAACAGAGATTTATTTCTCACAGGATAATGGCTTAAAAGTACAGCAAAATATCCTAAAATTTTATTCACTACACATTCACGATCCATTATTTATAAATAAATTTATCTAAGGAAATATGTAGATTATGGATAAATAATAAATACCGATAAAAGTAACGGTATATAAAAGGAATAACGTGAATTCATCAGATGAATTTTCTGACCTAGTGCGCTTGAGACAAGACCTTTGTTAGTGGAACACTTCCAAGCTTAAGTGAACAAAATGAGTCAGGTCGGTATGATTTGAATGATGCAATCGGTTTGTTAATCTCTGTGACAGAGTCTTAGCGAAAGTCATTATTCTCCTGCTCACGTTCAGTGCACGGTAATGAAGATTGTGGCCTTCAAAGTAAATTATTTTCTTTCAAGATTCTCGGGCTACTGTCACAATATTATTCTAGTGATGAGATTTATAAAAGATACTTTTCGATATAAATGTTTTATTTTTCTAATAAACATTCACATCATGATTAAAATATACTTGTGATTTTTATCGAACATTTTCGATCATTTTTTAACTATTATTGATGGGTGAGTTTTAATGAACACTAAATGGAGTTTATCTTAACTCCAATCTCCATCAATCGAACACATTTAATTGAAAGAAATGCAAGTATTTAAATATAGTTGTTATAATTATAGCAGCATTTAAATGACTTAAATGCAGTTTGCTGTTTAAAGTGATCAAATGTGAAAGGTGGTGCAATTAATATTATTTGCACACTTCCTTTTTAAGATGCAGTTATTTATGTTAACTTGATAAATTTAGTTGACTTTTTTTTTCTTTGTTTAAGCTTTTAGTGATTTAATATTGGTTCATGGGTATTCCCTTGTAAAATGTTAAATGACTTGTCTAAGGAATTCTGGTTTATCCAGAGCTTTTAAATGAAAAATAAAATAATTTTTATTTTTTTGTAATTAATTTAAATACTGTTTCATGTTAAGCATTTAAAATAATTTCAAAGGTCTGTAGAAGTACATTTACCATTTCCCTCATTAAAGTCGTTGCAGTGCAAATTTTAGCATGTAACTTTACGTACTTGGAATGTGTCAGAAATAATTAAAATGCGTTTGAATGATTTATGCATTATTTTATGAGTTAATATTACTTCATAACTTTAAAATATTTTACTATTTGCTACATAAAAAATTCCTCCAAGTAATTTAAGAATGAAATTAACTTTTCTTTACAAAAATAAAATTATATTAAATGAATTATTTTGCAATTAAAATTTCGAATACGAGAAGCAATTATTTATTTGGAAACCTTTTTTAAGAATTAGAGCTTTGAAGGTCGTAGATTTTTCAAAATCATATATCATATGATTACTCTAGCATTCTATGATAGAGTTCAAGCATGGAATAGAAAGTTTGACCTAACATAGACTTTTTCCCTAAAACAGTTGACTTTTGTGGTTACTGGTGACTTCTACTAGTGTTATATATAGATTATCTGTTATTATTAAATGACATATCATTATATGCAAAAATAATTTACATTCTTGAACGGAAAAAAATATTGTTGATTACAATCAATGACGTTAATTCTGTCAGACTATTGTTATCTGACTTTCATGTCTATAACTACTAGTAGAATTGAAATCTTTGTAATTTAAACGGGTTAAATATTTTTTAAATGAAAAACTATTCTAGGTCATATGTTGACTTGTTATTGTATTATTTGAAGTGAGACTTGGTTAACAATTTTATTTTTTTAAACAAATAAAAAGTGTTTCAGCTGAGCAAAGGGGTAATGGTTGAATGAGAACTGGAAGCTACATTGAACACACTTGTTTCATAGAAGAGATTTATTTAAAGAGAATTAAAGCGAATTAAGCTATTAATTAAGCGATTAAAGAGAAATATTGCATTTATTGTCTAGTATTTAATTATTTATAATAATTTAAATGATTTTCTGAATAGCAGTATTTTTAAAAAAAGTTAAGATTTATTCTTCTAGATTTTTATTTTCTTATTGGAATTATTTTTTAATTTTTTATGATCAAATAAATGTAAGTAATATTGAATATAAAAATATAAAAAATGTGGTATAAAAATTTAAAAATAATTTTAAAGCTCCATAAATTCATGATAATTATAATAGCACAATTTTTCCCATGGCATAGAAGAATATAAACATTGAAGACCCTACTGAATAATGCCTCAGGTCGTTTTCGTCTTCTTCAATAGCTTGAAGAAACAGAACATCTTTCACACGAAGGGAAGATAGTTTGTGAGAAGAAAAAAGATGTTAAGAAGAAAAAAGTTGAAAAACAAAATAATTTCTAAATGATATTCCTCAAAAACTGTATTTCTTGGCTGAAAATGCACAGTTTTATTTTATTACATGTAATGGGTAAGAAAAAGTTATGAGTGTATAGATAACCATATAAATTTCAGAAAATATTGAAACATCTTTCAGTAATAGTTTCTAAGGAACTCGCGCAGTGCATTCTACGCATCTGCCTGTCTTGAACCCTCCAGATGGATTCATGGTTGCACAGATATATCTATACAAACCTTTCAAATTGCACTAGGCTAATTATTAAAGCTAAAGATCTCAAATTTTTGGAAGCGCGTCAAATGAAAGGAAATAAGCAAAACAATTATTCACTATATATTCATTTTTGATGGATTAACTACAAGAATGGGAAAGAGAAAATTTTTAAATTAAGAAGAACAAATTTGGTTTCATATTAAATCTTAATTAGGTTTTAAAATTTTTAATTTTTTTGATTTTTTAAAATCAAAATTTAGAATAATCACAATAATATATTCATTTATTTAAACTTATGATAATTTTGAACCAAATATCAAAGCAAAATTTCGTTAAATTCAATCAAATATTTTATTGCCAACAATTTTTTTGATTAAATGAATATTATTTTGCGTAGCAAGAATTTTTTTCTCAGTATAAAATTCAACATTGAACAATTTACTGATAAAATTGAAATTCCTCGAAAGCATGCATTAACTACATTTTTATCAAGTTCACCAACTCATCAAGCAATTAAGAATTTTTCCAAGTTAAAAATCGCATCTACTAAGTTAAGTTATTTTAAATTCTTCATCTTACTGTAACTTCAACTCTTAATTAAGCCATTTAGTTGTACTCCAGTAACAATGTGTGAAAATTTCTATAATTATAATCAAAGTATTTATAAAAAAAAGCATGCCAATGAATAGCAATTAAAATAATGACAGCTTGACTTGCACCCAATCACAATAAAAGCTTAGAGTATTTAAATGACAAATTGTGAAATGCTCAGTATTTACCCCCACATGTTTATAGTTTCTCAAGAGTAAAATTGATTTTGTAAAGCAAAAAATATTAACCTGTCTCGTTTACGCTTGAATTACATTCACGTTATTACTTGTTAAGTATATCGTGAGTTTAAAGACTGAAGAAAAGTGTACATAACACACTCCCTGCACGTGGTTAATTGTAAATTACCAGAAGGGAAATAAGTATTAATGCGCTTCATGCATAGAGAGTATAAATATATGTCTGTCATTGAACATATATTCATGTAACTGGAAGAAAAATTTACCAAGAACCATCGCGTATTAATCATTGAACAGGATGTCGTGCATTTTACGGTTACTTAACTCTTTTTAACTACTCTGCATCAGCATATATGAACTAAGTGTATACATAGTGATAAGATGAAGAACACGTACACCAACAACAACAACTCAAAATTATATACATTGTTGAGGAAATGTACATGAAAATTTCACAAGATTGTAATTAAACTCTTTCAAGTATGCTCTATTTTATAAATAGCATAACTGTTTTATTAAGTAATTGTTTATAGACGTCAATGACGTGTAAAATAGCATGAAAATATTGAAATTCTAGGTTAGACTAGTCAGGAATAGCTAAAAAAGGTTAAAAATAAAATGCAGAAATTTTTTGAAAACATGTAATTTCACAAAAACGTTAATATTATGTTGTTTGATATATTTCAATAATTTATGTGAATAAGATCGCCAAAAATAGGTTATTATTCGAATTCCTGCATCACACAAATGGTCATTATTAGTTATTTTTGCAGAAATTAGATCTTATTTTCATAATAGTATATTATTAAACCATAACGCACTTTAAAAAAAATTTTTTTTGTTATTTTTTAGATAAAAAATCATTTAAAATAATTAAATAGACTAAAAAAAATTTCAATATTATTATCTTTATATTTATTTTTGTTTATTTTACTCCAAAAATGCATTTTTTGTCAAGATTTTTAGTTTGTATTATCGGCCATATTTTAGGTGGATGACTGCCATTATATGGAATGCATCCAAAATGTTTCTTTTGGCAAGACATTAATTTTCAAGAATTTAAACTAAAAATAAATATTTTTCCAGTAAAAGTATTGTTTATTAGTGGATTTTTATTTATAAAATATTCTTATGCAGTTTATAATAATTTTTTTGCTTTAAAAAACTGTAAAATTAATGTTTTTCTTGATTCGCATGAGAAACTCGTATACGAATGAATATTTTAAAACTGAAGAAACCAC